TTTATCTTTTACTTATTTTCTATCTTATATTATTATATTATATATACTTATATATATAAAGAAATAGAGTAAGAGAGAAAAGAAAAGAGTATAATAAAAAGAAAATTAGCTATATTATACTACCTTTTTATTACTCTCTCCTTCTTCTTTAAATAGAGGTATATATCTTTAGTAGATATATATATAGGTTTATAACACTTATATTAGCTCTAAATTATATTAATAAAATATTCCTTATATACTATATATTAATCCTATTTAAAAGTACACGCTAAACTTACTTTTAATCTATTATTATTTATTTTTTCTCTATTAAGTAGTATTTTTAATATTATAGGTAATAAACTCTTTCTAAGTATTAAACTTATTAGACTTTATTAATAATATAGTAATTACTTATAATTATAATAAAATAAAACTAAAATATACTTTTATAATTATAATAATATAAGTATATTATATTTATTCTTCTATTCTCTCTTATTTTAATCTTAGCTATAAACTTTATAAAAGTCTTTAAATAGCCTTTATCCTATTAGATATATCTATAAATAAAGTATAGTATAATATATAGATTACTTATATTCTCTTATATAGATTCTATTCTAAAAAGTTATAAAAAGACTATTTTAGCTATTCTAAGTCTAGTAGATCTAAGATATAGGTAGTAAGAACCTCCTTATATATATACTAGTATTAGGTCTTAATATAGAATTACAGTATAATACTCTATTTAAGAAGTTCTCTTAGATACTTAATAAAGGCCTAGATAGTAGGTTCTAGTATCTAGAAGTATATAGCTATTACTTTAGTAGCTACTTCTTTCTTTTTAATTAGCTTCTTATACTCTTTAATATATATACTTAAGAAAAGAATTAATAGCTCTTAAGCAGAGCTCTTCTAAATAAATAGAATAAAAGAAAAGTTTAAAAAATATAGGTTTAGTATTAAAAGTACTATATATAAAAGGAGTATATTCTTTATTACTTTAATATAGCTTTAAGTATTATATTAGTAAGTACCTAAATTATATAAAGTTAGATACCTACTATTATTAGAAAGTTATTACGTTAGTATAGTATATAATATATAATATCCTTATTAAATTAACTATAACCTTTAGTAGACTTTTAGTAGAACCTATAGAAGTAATATATATACTTAAACTATTACTATTAATAACTTCTCTTTTTAAGATTTAATAGCTTTATAGGTTTAGTAGTAGTATTAAAGATTTAAAAAGTTATACTCTTAATATTAGTATATAAAACCTTATTTATAATAGCTAAGGTAAATATAAAGTAAGCTTAGGTTAAGAATATAAAGTAATAAAAATCTATATATTTAATAATATACTAAAGAACTTCTAGTAGTATATTATTAAGTTTAGCTATATTAAAGATATAGTAGGTAGAGTCTATAATTAGTAAAAGAGGTTCTAAATAAAAAAAGAATAGTTAAGTTAGTAAAAAGTAAAACTAATAAAGAAAAGAGTAAAAAATAATATAAAGTTATAGTATAATATAAGTAAGACGCTATATACTTTTTATAATTTTAATAATATAGGTTTTATTAAAATAAATAGATAGTTATTTACTATATATATTAATAATTAGAAGTAATAGTTAGTAAAGGTACTCCTTCTCTTATAAACTTATTAAATAAATTTTAATATATAAGTAGCTTTAAAGGAGATAGATATAAAGTAAAAGAAAAAAAAAGTAAGTTTAAAAAGGTAACTAATTATAAAATATTACCTTTTAGATATATACTCTTATAGCCTATTAAATAATATTATATAAAATAAATTATATACTTAAAGGTAAAGAAAAGGAAATATTTAGATAGAAACTGCTTATTAAAATAAAGAAGTATATATAATTTCTAGAGAATACCTAGAAGAGAGAGTAAGTAAACTATTTAATAGTGTAGTAGTAGTTAAAATACCTTCTTTAGTTAGAAGCAATAATAGATAGTTAGAAGTAATAATAAATAGTTAGAAGTAATAATAGATAGTTAGAAGTAATAATAGATAGTTAAAAGTAATAATAGATAGTTAGAAGCAATAATAGATAGTTAAAAGTAATAATAAATAGTTAGAAGTAATAATAGATAGTTAAAAGCAATAATAGATAGTTAGAAGTAATAATAGATAGTTAGAAGTAATAATAGATAGTTAGAAGTAATAATAGATAATACTAATATTTTCTATCTAATTAGAGGTAATAAAAGTTAGGAAGTAATACCTATTTACTTATATATAATAGAATAGTAATTTATAGATAATCTTAACTTTAAGGCTTAAGATAGTAATTTATAGTATATTATAACTTTAGTATTTAGAATAGTAATTTATACTAAATTATAAACTTTAATATTAGAAATAATAAAATAAAGTTAAGTATAACTTAAAATTTAAAATAGTAATTTATAGTAACTTATAAACTTTAACGTTAGAAATAGTAACTTATAAGTAATTATAAACTTTAATATTAAGAATAGTAACTTATAGGTTATTATAAACTTTAATATTAAGAATAGTAACTTATAGGTAATTATAACCTTTAACGTTAGAAATAGTAACTTATAGTAGTTATAACTTTAGTATTAAGAATAGTAATTTATAATTTTCTTAACTTTAAGGCTTAAGATAGTAATTTATAGTAAATTATAAACTTTAACGTTAGAGATAGTAACTTCTAGGAAATAATAAACTTTAATATTAGAAATAGTAACTTATAGGTAATTATAAACTTTAAGATTAGAGATAGTAACTTATAGGTAATTATAAACTTTATTAATAGAAATAGTAACTTATAGTAGTTAATTATAAACTTTAATATTAGAAATAGTAACTTCTAGGTAACTATAAACTAATATTAATATAGGACTTTAATATTAAAGTCTTATATTAATATCTACTCTAAATACTATATACAGCTCTATTTTAAAATAATATAAGTATTATATTTTTAATTCTTATATACTTAGAGCTATCTATAATACTATAGCTTAAGTATAGAAGTAACTATTTATATAAGTTTTTATAGACTAAATAAAGGTATTTAGTAATAAGTATAAGAACTTAAGTATATATAAGTAGCTTATTAAGTGTAAATAAATTTAATTAAGAGAACTACTAAAGATAATAAAAAGTAATAACTTTAATATTTTAGTAAAAAAATAATAATAATAATATAAATTTATAATACTTAAAATAACTTAAATAGTTAAGTAATTAAAAATTTAAATATATATTAAGTAGTACTAAATATTCTAATTAAACCTATTATTAGTAGAAAAAATTATTAATCTATATCTAGTATTCTATCTAATTTCTAACTATACTTTTTAATTATACTATCTTAAAATAATCTAGAACTAGAATAACTAGATACTTAGAATTTAATATATATACATTAGAGATATTTTTTAAGTGCCTATACCTAATTATACCTACTTCTACTTAAAGTTATTAGCTTAGTAGTTTAGAAAGCTTAATAAAGAAATAAGAAAAGGTATTAAGCTATAGTTAGGCGTATAAGAAGATAGTTACGCTAGCTAAAAGCTAGTAGGAAGATACTGTAGTATACCCTATAGGTAGGAAGATACTAAATTAGGTAATATTAAAAGGCTAAAAAGTTATATACGTTATACTACTAGTATTCTATATTCTATCTTGTATACGTTTTTTCTCTATTACGCTAAGTATTTATAACACTATACTGTTGTAAGAGCCTGTTAATTGCTTTTGTTCGCCCTAACTGTAACCCGATTCTTCTTATACCCAACTTACCTAAATTTAAAAAGATGGGAACTCTCTTGTTTCCTGTAGTCTACGCCGCTCTGTTACGCAAAGAGGTTAGTAGCGTCTATCCTCCCTCCACCCACTCCCTAGGCTCGGCTCAATACTAACTTCTAGCGAGGGTTGCAGATCATGGATCGTTTCATTAAGGAAAACGGCGTCGACGAGGACGAGTTGGACATTGTTTTCGTGGACAGCATTGACGACTATTACTACGAGGCATCAAAGGCACCAAGGGAAGACGGAAGCGACCCAAACTCTCCATTTATTGGAAAGACGCCTCAAGAATGTCACCAACTGCTCTTGAAGCTTCGCAAGGATACGGAGTCGGAAATTATAACCGACATTTTTGCCATTATGGACGAGAGGTCAACACAAGACGACACTGTACTGCTCGTGTGCGCAGAGAGGGATCTTGGCGGGGAGAACGAAGTCTTGGCCATGCCGACTGTCCGTGCTACCTTCCAGGCTTCAGCTACCGCGCTAGTGTTGTATGAAACGGGGCACAGCAGCGTAGGAGAGGATGCGGAGCGTGCTGCACGTGAAAAAGACAATGTCTATCGCGGAACGTGGTCTAGACACGCATGATTTGTCTTGAGGCGATGAGGATGAGCAACACTGACAAGATCATCTTCGTCACTGTAGGCGGAAGTAGGGTCGACATTGCGGTGTGGGGGACGGATGCAAACGCGGATAACGTCAGCGCTACCGGCCTAGCAGAACCTGGAGAAGATGAAGAGGGGTAGGGATTACGGAGGAGATAGGGCGGAGGTTGTTAACAAGTATGAAGGAACAGGGAAATAAGAATACTGCATTCACTCTAACCAGCGAGTTCTCCTTCAATTACATGATGTAAGGGTTCCAGTCGGTGTTATTCACAACTAACGTCGACTGCAGGGCTCTTATTCACAGTTTTTTAGTCCATCAATGTCACGGTAACCTCCCGGCTGCCTGACACCTGACTGCTAATTGACTAAGCGCTACTAAGGCACACACGCTAGCTACCTAGATATATCTTAGCTTACGAAGCTCTACCCTCGAGGCACCACTAGTTGCCCTAGTCCAGTCAGCCTCACTATCACGACCTAACGCTACGAACACCGAGAATGGTCCAGCCTCCGTCAACATGTCAGCGTCTGGCGATGGCTCTATGCCTGCAATCCAGACCCCACCTACGACCGAGATTCGAACTGACAAGAACTTCCGATCCGAACGACTACCTGATCCGCCAGCGTTCAACAACAAGACGAAGGACCTTTCCCTCTTCTTAAGGAAACTACGTTACAAGCTGGAGGGGAATGTCGATCACTTCCCCGAAGAAAGGTCTCAACTGATTTACGCACACTCCCGCCTCGAACGCGACCCTGCTACGTTAATCGACCCTTTAATAGGTGAGGATATTTGCACTGTAGACCGCTTCATACAGTTTCTTGTAGCGACCTACGGTGACCGGAATGGCGAACTGAATGCTTGGAGCCGACTCAATAACCTGAAGCAAGGGAAGAAGAGCTTCCTCTCCCACTTCGCCGAATTGCGACGTCCCGTAGCTGACACGAACTTGAAAGAAGAAGCCCAGATAAACCAGCTGCGCCGCTCCCTCTCCGACGAACTACGCCGTGGCCGTGCCATGGTCGGCGTTACAATTCCGCGCTCCTTGGACGACTATGCTAACCTGATCTCCCTGTATTTCAATGACCTACGATGTCTCCCGACTGCACGTACGACTACTAGTACCAAGCAAGATCGGTACCTGGTGGGAATGGAGATTGACGCCTCTAACTAGCCGAACGGAAGAAGATAATCGCTGAAGGACAATGCTTTAAGTGCAACGAGAAAGGTCACATCTCTAGCAGTTGCTCCGTGGCTATTCCCCGACAACAAGTCCGAGCCTACAGCGCCGGTACTCGTTCTGTCCGATCTGACTCGTCTGAATCTGCGCACTCCTCGCGCTCTCGAGGACGTCACAGCCGCAGACCGTTTTTAAGAAGGGAAAAGACTCGTCCCGAGGATAAGTCGCTCCTTGAGACCGCGCGCACACCGAATCTCTGCTGAATTATAGTCCGACTCTCCACCTGGTTCTTGGAAACGCTGTATCGCAATACTCTGGCTCAATTCAGTAAGCCACGACCTGGAGCAACCTGAGAGCTCTCGTTGATACTGGTGCTACTGGTGTCTGATACATTCACAGACATGGTCGCGCGAAGTACTACACTGAGTTCGACATTAGCGCAGCGTTCAACCGTCTCCGAATCACGGCAGACGACGAGTGGCTGACAGCCTTCCACACGCGATATGGACTGTTCGGGTACGTACCTAGTGATTGCCGTTTGGGCTAGCAAACGCACCAAGCACGTTCCAACGTTACGTGAATGAACGTCCTACGACTATTCTTCGACGTATTCTGCACTGCATATTCTACACCACATCTTAATCTACAGTGAGAAATCTGAAAGAGCATAAGGAAACACATAAAGGACGTACGCGCCTTCCTCGGTTTCGCAAAACCTTCTACCGACAATGTATAGATAGCTTCTCCTTCCCTAGCCGGCACCGTTAGTAGCCCGGACCAAGACAAACGTCAGTCAAGTTCGCCTTTGCCGAATCATGCCGCAAGGCCCCTTTAACGACTTGAAAACTTTACGCAGCCTTCACCACCACCCCGATCCTCCAACACTTCAATCCCGACCCACCCCTCGTAGTAGAAAGCCCACGCCTCCGACTACATCCCCGCTGGCGTCCTTTCACAACACGACACGGATGGATTACTTCGGCCTCGCACCCTTCCCGAAACCGAGGGATGTGGACGTATGCAATCCGGGTATCCACCATCTAGGGCGGGGAAAGCGGGATAAAAAGTCGCCACTGGAGGGGGAGAGAGAAAGTGTGTGTGTGAGCGTGCAAGTACAAGATAAGACTTGTGTATAGTATTTCTTCTGTAGAGAGGGGAGCGAGAACGGGTAGATAAGTATGTTGTTCTGGGAAAGGGTTGTGAGACCCGTAGTTTCTCCGCCATGATGTTGCGACATGTTGGTCTTGACGACCACGCCAACCGCATCTCGCAGTCCGTCTACAAGGTTATTGCTAATAGATAAGTGATTGATTCTGCTGATATTTTGATTACGCTACTAACACCCCTACAGCCAGGTCCGCACACGAGACATGGGCGGCAACTTGTCCACCAAGGAGTTCACCCGCGCCGTTCTGGGCCAGATAGAGAAGGCGTGAGAATACCACGACATCTAATCTTTTTTATTATATATTATTTCCATTTCAAAGATAGCTAATATAGTAATAATAATACTACTTACAGTAATAAGCCTGTTGTTGCAGAGGTTTAGCTGTGCTTAGGTAACAAGCGCAAAGAGCGGAAACCGCGGTACAAAGTCCAAGCTCTATCTCCGCGGGACTCAGCTGTGAGTCCTTGAGGGAATTTGACGTCGCGTAAAGAAACATGTCGCGGCTCCAGACTATCTAAAATAGCCACGTACCGCAACCGGTGAACTGAGAGTCGCGAAATGCATTCGTTACGCTCAACAAGAGATAGTTCTTATGCAGCAAAAGATGGGCCGCTGATTGCTTGTATCATTACGTCGTCAATTAGCAAGCTGTGTTTCGTCTTCAAAACGGGCCAGTTATACTTGAGAGCAAACGATCGTTATGTACCTCATCAGCGCCTGAAATTCCATCGCATAAAGCGGCACGGACTTTGTCATAAACGCTCTCACCGCTACACAACATTCGAGTACATGCACGATCAATTGCTTTTTTTGGGGCTTCGTCTATTTGGGTTCGTAAAACTGGCGTCTGCTATCTCTACCTATTCTTGTGTTATGTCACATCTGGTGACGAGCAAATTTGCTCTCGACCATGATCTTTGTACAAATAGAATAGTATACGATAGCACCCTTCAATGAACCCTCTTCTTTAGGTGTACCATTGGACCCTTGCGGTTTGATACAAACATCTCATACGTTTGGTATTCATCCTCACGCTGCCGTCCTGGTTTACCTCGCGGGTCGCCTCCCCCAAGCTTGTTGGTTGGATCAGCCTTCACTTCGAACGTCCACAGAGTTTTGGCAATAACGATGCGCATCTCCAGCCAAGCTAGGTTCTTTCCAACACAGCCGCGGGAACCAGTAGAAAAAGCGCAGAATGCACTTTGTGCTTTGGCAACGTCTTGAACAGAAGAGCCCAGGTTTCTCTCGTTGGCTACGATCCATCGCTCAGGCCGGAATGTAAAAGGCTCAGAGTAAACATCCTTGTTAAAGCTGAGGCAATATAAGCCAGTGCTGACGTGCAATCCCTCGGAAATGTAGTGGCCGTCTACAGTCGTACCACCTCGAAGAACCACACGGGCTGGCTCAGCGGAAACAGGAGGTGTCATACGCAAGGCCTCTTCGAGGAAGGCGGTGAGGTATTTGCACGAGACGATCTTGCTGCCGGATGTAATTTCACCATAGCTTGAGAATGTAGAGAGAATCTCTTCTGCGAGCTTGGCCTGCACGTCCGGTCGTCGCGCGAGGTAGAAGAACGCACTCGAAAGCACTATCGACGTCGTGTCAGAACCAGCAATAGTAAGGAGATCACATTCGCCGAAGAGCTCGTCCAGGGTATAGCCACGCTTGCCGGTCTCAGGATCCTCAGCCTTGAAAAGCCAGTAGAAAAAGTCCTTCCGAACTTCGCTATCAGGTTTTGGGTCTCTTTCCGAGTCTTGCTGAACCAGTGTGCGATTCGCAAGGCAATTGTCTACAAAGGTTTGCCACTGCACTACGGCCCGCGGCGAGGCGACTGACAAGAGCCAGTCGAGGCCGCGAGGCTTCATCCATACCCATGCTGAGCCGAGCGGACCCCATGCAATCTACAAATATCAGCACCTCAATGTAGTATAGTAAACAGATGGTGCGCTTACTGGATTGATTAGCTTCAGGTACTCGACCATCATCTCAGGCACATGGCGTAGCTTGCTATCTGGCTCTTTCATGCCGAACGACTGTCCGAAGCATAGGTCCCCAAGAATGTCGAACACAAGCCAATTCATCCAGTCGCACATGTTCAAGGATGCTGTCCAGTCGCCATCTGTCTCAGCCAGCGCCCCAAGGAGCTCAAGCCATCGGTCAATATTGGTATGAAGAAAACCCTCGGCTGATCTTAAAGCGCTCTCAGAGAAGGCATGATTCATAACCCGTCGCTTGCGGGAGTGCATGTCGATGCTTGTCGTGTTCCAAGTGTTATGTGTATTAACGTTGCGCGGCCATACTTTGTAATAGTCGGCCTTCCTCACATTTCCAGTGGGACCAAAGATCTTCCTATATGCAGAAGGAGTGTTTATCAAGACGCTGTCAGGTCGGTATCGGAACTCAATACCTGTGCAATATCAGCCCCGCAATTGTCTCGTCTATCGCATTGCTGTACCCACCGTACTTTTCTTGGAGACTGTAAAGCCAGATGTGGCGATCCCCCATACGAGTATGCCACCATGACGGGAACACAGTCAAACGAGCCCAGAATGGCCCCGGAAACTTTGCCAGAGGATGGAAATGGAGCCGGTATATGACAGTGAAGACTATATACGATAGGACCAGGGTACTTCCCAGCACCCGAAGACTAGGATACGACACCTCGTTCAAATGGTCATGAAGAGACATGTTGAGCAAATGCAATAGTCCGAGTAACGTGGGGATGAATGGAGGGGAAAGAGAAGGACAGAAGACTCCCTAGGTACACTTCAATACCGCTCGAATGAACAAACCAATGACCATCAACTTGATAACAGCTATCCAGTTTACCTTACTCTTCGCGGTTGCCGAGAAAAAGCATTCAAAGCGGCGCGGTCAGCCCCACTATACAATAACGGATATAGGCACGTCGCTTCTCATCCCCAAGCGAAGTTCAACCAATGACAACTAGTCATGAGTCGTGGGGAATGGCGATCTCTGATTCAAGATTCGTGGAACTTTCACCAGGATGCGAATAGACGCCTGTATCTTTTGAACTCTATATACATGCACCTCGCCTATATTCGGAGGTTTGTCCCCAGATGGGACGGACGTGGTAGGACGACTCAGCGGCGCTAGTCATTCGCAACGGCCCGGCCAAACACCCTGTGCCAGACGTCCTGCCGATCACTCGCGAATTACAGTTGTTCTATTGGGGTTTACGCAATGCGTTTGATACGGTCAAGGGCATTGTCATTCCATGATGAACTTGCGTCACCTCAGCCAAGCGCTATGTTGTGGATGCACAATCTTCCATAGGCGCGTGTTGTTCGGCTTCTTTGGTGGCGGTTGCAGACGCGCGGTCATGGTAATGTAGAGTTCGGGGCGAAATAATCGTTGTGATGGCAGGAGTCACTATCGACCATTACTCACCTCTCCGCGGCAGTCAGGGTTGGAACAGGGTTCTTGTCACTTGCTCTAGAATTCTCAACTACTCGTACAAAGTCCCAATCATGCCCCACACTCCTAAAGATTACTGTCAAGTCTGTTGAAGCTTTCTGGACGAGATGGAACGCGTATTCAAGTCTGAAGAAAGTGTGTAAGTGTTTCTTTTGTTTCCTTTCGAGCCTCAACATATGCATACAAGGCGTTTGATTGCTGTACCTTGAGACTTTGGTGCCCGTCCAAACTTCCAAGCTGATGAACACTCATGGTTGACTAAGCGCTAACTGCCACCAGCGATGCCTACCTTCACCGTCTTGATGGCGTGGCTTACTCGACATACGCGCTTGTCATGGTCGTCGTCCCTCTCAAACTATGGTGTCGAAGAAGAGCGGGCGGAAGGTCCAATATCGGTCTGGATGACTACACAACTGTGGTAGCCCTCGTATTAGCTAACGGCTTCTTTTGGACTTGCATGATTGGTAAGTCCTCTACCTCAGTTCATGGGTCAACACAGCGCACTTACTCACTCATCATAGGTATGAGATCTATGCTCGGGCGACATGTTGCGAACCTGTCGCATCCCCTGATGGTCATTGACTTCTTGAAGAGTGTTTGGATTGCCCAGATGTTCTACACGTTTGCTATTGCATGTATCAAGTTTGCAGTCCTCGCATTCTATTGGCGTCTGTTTTCCGTCAACGCGAGAACAGTGATATGGATTGTGGCAGGGATGTGCGCAGCATGGTACATCGCGATGGTGAGTACTTCTATCTGCAGCTCGAATACCCCACACTGACCTTGGTTTCGCTAGTTGATGTGCTTTGTCTTTAGTTGCATACCTGTCCAAGCAGCATGGGACATCACCATCACAGAAGCAAAGTGTATCCCAATTCGATCTATATACTTAGGCGGATCTATACCGAACGTTATCCTTGATATAATCGTGGTGGCGATACCGATGCCCTACGTGTGGCGACTCCATGCGCCGATCGCGCAACGACTCGTCATCGCTGGCATGTTCGTACTGGGAACATTCATTGCCGTTGTCTCACTGGTTCGCCTCATTATCTTCCTTCAGATACCAATCGCTACATCCGGCGATGTAACATTCAACTTCCGCGAGATCGTCGTCTGGTCTATTGTCGAAATCAACATTGGCTTGGTCTGCGCCTGCCTTCCGAGTCTCAAACCCGCACTCAGTCTCATCGGCCTTAGCAAGCTTTTCTCCTTCAACGGGTCCCGGATTTCAGACGCCAAATCGCCTGGACCCAGTAGCGGTTACCCCTCCCGCCCGTTTGGTAGCACCGACGATTCGCGAAAGTCCAGACCCCGCAAGAAAGGAGCTACTGGTGGCTTGTTTTCTACCGTCGGTGGACTCACAAGGTTAGATAGTGAGGAAGACTTTGAGATTGTGAGGAATGCACATGGAAAGCACCAGACTGAAATTGAGATGATGCGGTTAAGTAATGATGGCGGTGACATCATGCCAGATGCGGAACGCACTACGGGCATAAATGTGCAGAAAGATTGGAGCGTTGTAAGTCATAAAAAGTAATTTGGGCTGGGAAGGTTAGAATCGCATCTGCCAACTTACCTAACAGCGCGTGAGCAAGTTAATCAATTCATCCTAGACTAAACTATGTGTCTAAATTGTAAGACCAAGGCTTCTTTCATATTCTCATGTTCAATTGTACTCGCCACCTCTGTATCAGATTAGCTACTGGCTATCGCTAAACTATACAGTGTCTTTCTTTTGACCGTTGGTCTTCATCTCAATGATTTGTGTTGTAACGCCGAGACCTTCCAGTCCAGAGTGGGTTTGACCATCAAATATCTTGTCCACCTCTTCCAGCGTCATTCCCTTCGTCTCTGGAAAGTAGAACCACACAATGGCAACTTCTCCGACTAGACACCAGAGCGCAGTAATCAGATAGAACCCCCAACTGGACCATTCCATTGCATATGGAATAGCGTATGTGTTGAAGAAGGCAGCAAGATACAAAGCACCACTGTATGCTGCCAGACCGTTCGCACGAAGAGAGTAGCTCAAAACTTCGATAGGGTAAATCCAAGCCAATGGTGTCCATACAAGAGAATAGCAACCATAGAATAGGAAGATTAACAGCACCGATCCAGCAGAGGATGCGGTCGTTGGGCTATCCAGGTAAAACCTCGTGATTATGGCGTTGACTAGGAGCAACACACCCATAGAGCCAGACACAAATACTAATCACATGTTAGCAAAACAAAACAGCCATGCACATCATTCGAATGTACATACAGGAAGCAGGCCTTCGCCCAACTTTATCCATGTATGCACTGCCAATCATGGCACAGACAAGATTCCATACGCTCAACCCGATGCTGATAGCAAGTTGCGATGGCACGTCTGTGACGCCGGCACTATCGAGTGCGCTTCCGAGATAATACGAGATGATGTTGTTGCCCGAGATTTGACCAAAGACTGAGCTGTTTAGTCGTGATCATCGTGGTATCGTGGGAGAGGAACTTACTGCCAACGGCAAGAGCTATGCCAAATCTCCATCTATTTGCCCTGGTGGCAACAAGAGCCTTGAACGAAGTCTTCTGAACCGACTTTTCGTATTCAAGGGTCTGCAGAATTTCTTCAAACTCTAAAGCTACTAGTGTGGAATTCGGATCGCCATTGCCATGGTACTTGATCAGAACCTCCTTGGCTTCATCGTGTCGATCCTTGTATATCAACCATCGCGGGCTCTCGGGTATGAAAGGAAGTGGTACTAAACACAAAATAGATGGGATAAACTGCAATAGAGACGGCAGCCTCCACGCCCATGTACTCTGAATATATTGGCTGCCGAAAGTTATGCACGCTGCCAGGAGCGACCCTACATACCATGTGGAGCCATAAACACCTGTAAGGAAGACGCGGTGTCTTGGATGAGCTACTTCAGAAATGTAGTTGGGAGAACAAGCAGACCCTGTCGTAATTGATATGCCGACGATAAAACGTCCAACGCAGAACATGGCGAAATGAACGGCAGCAGATTGAATCGCTGCTCCAAAGATGGCGAGCAGTGCAGTTATGGCCATGGCTTTTTTGCGACCGTACTTGTCGGAAATCCAGCCGGCAAATGGAGTGGCAACTACGCACCCGGCAAAGACGATAGAGACGTCAAGTGATTTGACACCCTCGCTGACTCGAAAGTAGTCCGCGTACGAAGGGAGAATGAGAAGTCCATTCTGGAGAATGATGTCAACAGGAGCTGTGTCTACAAAATATATCTTTCGGTTGACATTGAGCGTGAAAAGAAGACTTACCATCATAGAAGAATCGTAACCCTGTGTCGCTGAGTTCCATACTGCAACAAAACATATGATGCTCATGAAAAACTTCTCCTTGGGCGTCGTAGGTCGTTCGTTGACGTCCGCCATGGTGAGGCCAATTAGAAAATGCGAGACTACAGGATACTAGGTATTGAAGAAATCATAGATGAAGTCCACAACGTTTTATTGTATGGAAGGAAATCTAAACACTGGTCACATTGAAGAGATACCTTATCTGAACACTAGCGTAAGTCACCTCTACGTTATCGGACTTAAGCTTCGATGCGACCTCAACATTGCTTATCATGCGATACCCTGTTCAGGTACTGGAGCTGTAATCTGCGACGAACTGTACGTTCGGGATATCACCGGCACAAGTTGAGTTTAAGATACGGAGGATTGGTTAGCGAGGTGCACTAACCCAAAATGTAGAAAAGATCCTCAAGTGTGGAGGAAAGTGGAAAGCCTTATGAGAGATAGCGGAGGAAGCACAAGACAGCTTATATGAATCTCGGATACTTTTAAGGCGAACAAGGAGAGGAATTTGAACCAAGAAAGGCCTATATACTGTTTCTTCTACTTCGAAGCGTTTTTGACAATTAGCGAAACCAGAAAGAATGGAACCGTCACGGCAGGCATCACGCGATATCGAGTACCTTTTGAATCAGATGACATGGACCGAGAAAGTGGCATTACTATCTGGTATTGATGGGTGGCAAACGTCAGAAATCAGTCGTCTGGGTATCGGGTCTTTGAAGGTATGCATATTCGTGCAACTAATGTAAACATCATTTAGCATGAAACACTCTCGCTAATTCAGGTCAAAGACAACAGATGGCCCGGTCGGGGCGCGAGGGAATCAAATAGTTGACGGACCGCGTGCATTATTCCTCCCTGCTACCGTGCTACTGGCATCTACATGGTCCAAGTCAGATCTCCGCGAGATAGGCCGCGTCTTGAGTAGGGAGGCGAAAACGAAACGGTCCCAGATCTTGTTGGCACCGACTGTATGTTGTGCACGGAATCCACTTGGTGGGAGAAACTTTGAGTCCTTCTCTGAAGACCCATTCTTGAGCGGTACGCTTGCGATCGATTATGTGAGTGGTGTGCAGGAGAGTGGAGAAGTAGTAGCAACAGCGAAGCACTTGTGAGTAACCCAGTCTATACAACCTACCATATTCCAGGCCTATCAGAGGAGCACGATGATCATTGCAAATGCTGATGTTTTCGCAAGTGTCGCGAACGATCAGGAGTACCAACGATTCAGCATTAACGTGAACGTTGAGCAGAAAGCACTGCGCGAGATCTACCTCCGACCTTTCGAGATGCTCGTTAAGTCATCCTCCCCGCCAGGATGTTTCATGACAGCGTACAATCGCGTCAACGGAGAGCACATGGATTCAAACAAAACTCTTGTCAATGACATTCTACGCAAGGAGTGGGGCTACCAAGGCCTCGTAATGAGCGATTGGGGTGGCACAAATTCTACTGTTGAAAGTGTGTTAGCAGGATGCGACTTAGAAATGCCAGGTCCTTCCGAGCTAAGAGGGGAAAAACTTACCAAAGCTCTGAACAGCAAGAAACATCCAGGTTTGGAGCCAGCTGTTGATGCGTCTTGTCGTCGTCTCTTGACTCTAGTGAAGAGGTTAAATCTGCTTGGACTAAACGAGGCAGACGCAAAAGCTACTCGTCTGCAAGAGGAGTATACATCCACTAATGATGAAGACATTACAACTGTACGAAGGATAACCGCAGAGGGCGCAGTTCTTTTGAAGAACTCCGAGAGAACGTTGCCCCTAAAACCTGTCGAACTAGCCGGTAAAAAGGTGGCGTTTATTGGTTCAAAATCGAAAATGTGTACACCTGGCGGTGGAGGTTCGGCAAGCATGAATCCTCAGTACCTCAGTCAACCGATAGAGGCTTTCAAAACCTTGACAGCAAGTCTCGGAGTATCGGTCGAAGTCAATTACTGCTCTGGCATGTACAGTAACAAATGGCTCCCTTTGATCTCGTCAGAGCAATGGAGGCTGATGCCACACATGATAACAAATCCGACGGACTCCGGCGCCATGTTACGCTTGGAGTTTTTCTCAACGACCAATCTCACCGGGCCTATCCAAGCGACGCAATTCAGAACGAGCTCTTACGTCGACTTGTTTGACACTGCTCCCACAGACATGCTTGGCAAGCCATATTCGTTCCGGCTAACCTCGACGGTTACCCCATCGAGGAGCGGAATGCACTCTTTTAGTGTTTCCTCTGTTGGGAGCGCAAGATTGTACCTCGATCGAGAACTGATACTTGACAACAACAACTGGGAAGAGAAAGGGGAGACATTCTATGCTTTCGGAAGCGCGGAAGTTATAAGGGCTGTAGATATGCAAGCTGCAAAAACTTACGAAATTACCGTAGAATGTGCTACACGACAACATATGACCGAGGCTTCTGTGCAGGCGAAAGAAGCTGAAGTTGATCCCCTGCACGTTTTCGCCAGTCAAGCGGGTCTACGGCTTGGCTTTCTAGAGCAACTACCACCCACTCTCGAAACAGACGCAATTGCGCTGTCGAATGCAAGTGACTACACAGTAGTCATACTTGGCCTCGATGATGAATGGGAATCTGAAGGCTACGACAGGGGGAGCCTGTCCTTACCAGCATCACAGGACAGCCTCGTCCGCAGTCTGATCAAGCAATCAAGATGTCCGGAATCGATTGTGTTTGTAAACCAATCAGGAACACCAGTCGAAATGCCATGGGCATCTGATTCACGGATTGCCACGATACTCCAAATATGGTACGGGGGCCAAGAGGCTGGCAACGCATTAGCAGATATACTCTTAGGCATCGCGACACCATCAGGTCGTTTACCAGTCACTTGGCCCAAAAGGTATCAAGACCTACATTTTGCAGATCGCAGGGAATTGTGGCCTGGAGTCGATGGACAAGTATGGTACGAGGAAGGTACAAGCGTCGGTTATCGATGGTATCTAAAAAACCAAATAGAACCGCAGTGGTGGTTTGGATTTGGCCTTAGCTATACGGAATTCGAGGTACGCGATTTGGCCGTAGCTCAGCTGCCAGGCGAAGAACATGGATGGGAGTTATCGGTGACGGTAAAAAACATCGGTGAGTATCCAAGCGATGAGGTAGTTCAAGTGTACATGTCTCCAGCGGAAGATCCATCTGCTCGGAAACTTGTGGCTTATGGAAAGACTCCTACTTTGGCGCCAGCAAAGGAGATAACAGTCACACTCATTGTAAATGCTCGGGATGCAGCCAACTGGATTAGTGGAAGCTGGGAGCTAGAAGCTGGTGCCTACGATATAACTGTGGCACGGGATGCTGGAGATTCAAACTCATCTATAACCCGGGAAGTATACCTGGAACGACGTTGGCTTTGGGAGCCATAGAATGGTACCCTTGAATCACCTTGATTGCGCAGGCAAGTTGTTTATATACTCTAACTGATTACATTTCATCTTATAAGGCGTTATCACTGCTGTAATTGGCGTAGCTGGATGGTTCATCCTTCCTGACTACCCCCAGACAACAAGATGGTTTACCCAGGAAGAACGCGATATCGCGTACTACAGTGTGGAACTTGATGCGACAGGAAAGAAAAGCGCCTTTCGCAAGCTGTCAGTGATTCGGTAGTGTGGCCTTTTGATGCGATGGCGCATATGCTTCTAGCTGTGAATGGTTTAAGAACTTCGTACGTGCAACCTTCTCATATGCTCATACTGAAAGCGCTGATATTGCTGTGCAGTTTCGACCGTGGTCAAGACTCTCAGTTCCAATCGAACAATAACGTTGGCCCTTTTATGCCCACCGTACCTCATTGCCAGATTTCTTACCATCGCGGTGTCCTCGTCGTCCGACAGGTTCAATGAGCGTATCTGTCATATCACCATCTCGAAAATAGTGGCGACCGTCGGCTTCATCGCAGCTTTCACGATTCTCAACCTGGCGGGCCGACACATGGCCAAAGTGATCTTCACCATTGGCACATGTGGTGTCAATTCCCTTGTCCTTGGCTGGTGCGCTTCGGTATGCGGTCAGACAAAAGAGAATAAGGCGGCTACCGTTTTCATCGTCATAACCATCATGGTTTCCTCCTTCATTTAGATCCTGTATGTCTAGAATCCTGCTGATGAACCGAGATATACTCCTACGCTTGCTTCTAGCGCTGCTTTCTCGATGGTGACGGCTGCCTCCGCTTGGGTTGCCAAGATCATCATGGTTCGTCGGATCAGGGTTCCGCGGTAGAGTGGCGATGGAACAGTAAACTTCTATGTGTATTGATTGAAGGCTCTAGTCACATGTGAATCCCTTACCACTCTTTAGCGATCACCAAGCAAAGTACTTGCAAGTTAGAATTCGGTTAAGAACTGGAGTCTTCTCAACTCCATATCCTGCATGGGTTTGGTATGATTTCCATTATATGTTGGTCGTCTGGAACAGGTTGTAATGAGGCTTGGTGGTCGATTGTTTTGGTATTCTGAACTGTATTGGGCTTTGCTTTACTCCTTTGCACCTTTGCTAGCTTGCTTCATGCAGGATGATGAACTGACAATTGAGTCGCTAATTTCTTTACTAAAACAATGAGATACACTTTATCGATAACCGCAATCTCTTTGCAGTCAGTATTCAATGTGACTCCCAGCAGCCCGACTCGGTGGTCACAACACTATTGTAATGCGTGGCAATATCACGGTTGTGACCGCGACACTCCTCCACTGGAATATTCGCTATAAGAATTGCCACCTCGGCCGCTTGCGAAGGACTTCTTGAACGCAATGCGCCGACTGTCTTATCAAAGAATTTTCGCTTCGGTGCGTTTCTCCACTTTCGTAGACGGAGCACACCGTGATTGGATCAGAGCGGGGCACCAAGGCTTGATCGGCCGCCTCCGATCTCATCAACATCGGAGGCTAGATGACTTGTAGCACTGAACATGCAGTATATATCCAGTTAGTTAGACTTTGGAAAGAAAGTATCAAACAGACTACAAGAACACCACATTTACTGGGGAAGCTGCTAAATTCAGAATCCCAAAACTTATTTTCGCAAGTTCAACCAATCACCATGCCTCACGCCACTACCCCAAGTCCAATCACCATACACAAGATACAACCTCAAGAAGGTTCATCTTTCGACTTCGGCGCCGAGATTCGAGGTGCTGACCTTGAAAACATTACTGGTATGTCGGCTGTCGACATTGATAAGCGATCGGGCTGACATGTACAGAATCCGACGCAGAGATAATCATCAAAGCTCTCTATGAGAACCAAGTTATACTTTTCAAGAGCCAGCAGGCCCTCTCACCAAAAGCCCAATATGAACTGACTCGGCTCTTCGACCCCTCAGCCACCGGTTACGGACACGGCAAAACTCTTGATGCCAAACGCTCAATTCTTCACCCTGACTTGAAGACCATCCCTCACCAGCCACAAGTTCAAGTCATCGGCAACGGGCCCGTTGCTGAATTCGAAGGACTTAAAAATATTACACTGAAGCACCCTCACCACCGCACATTTCACAAGCAAGCCATCAGCGACGAAGATGACCGTGAAAACACGAGATTCTATAGGTGGCATATCGACGCCGCACTATATGATTTGGAGCCTCCAAAGGTCACGAGTTTGTTAGCTGTCAAGGTTCCAAAAACAGAATATCAGACGCTGCGGTATGATGATGGAACCGGTGATGAGTTGAAGCTATCTCGGGGCAGCACAGCGTTTGTGTCAAGCTATAAGATGTACGATCTCCTAAGCGAGGAAGACAAGCACTTCGCCAGAACGACAAAGGTTCAAGTAAGTCTTATTCGCCATAAACTCAGGTATTATAGGTTAACAGACATCTAGTACGCCCCACACCCATACATCTGGATGTCCCCTTCCAAGTCCCGCTCTGATGGCCTCGGACTCATCTCTGATGAGCTAGAACTACCCATTGACCAGCTTCCACCTGTTGATGAATCCAAAATCAAGATTCTACCTATGTGCTGGAAGAATCCTGTCACCAACAAACTGGCGCTGCAAGTGCATCCAAGTGCTATCCAAGCTTTGCATCTAGCCGACGGTACCATCATCGATGATTTGAAGGAAGTACGGGAGATTGTGCACCGTATGCAAAGACCGGGCATTGCACCAGAGCTGGTGTACGCGGTGGATTGGGACGAAGGCGATATGGCCCTATTCAATAACAGGGGCGTGCTGCACACAGTCACTGGAAGTTTTGTGCCCGAGGAAGTGAGAATCTTCAGGCAGTGCAACATGGCGGCTAGTGAGCCTGTGCTTGGACCCGATGTATGAGAAGACCAACGGAGAGGTAGACAAGTGAAAACAAGGCCGAATCAAACATCGATAACTAGATAGTATCACAATCCAATGTCCCTAGTGTCAAAAACACTCTTGGAATATTCTAACAAAGCTCCCTCCCCAGCACTTCCTCTTGCTCAGCAACTGCCCTGCAGCGCATGCGCGGCTCGGATCGCTTAGGTATTCTCTGGTGTGTAATGGCGGACGATTGATGTTCAAAACACAACATTTCCTCCTTCATGACTTCGCACGGCCAATATATCCAGTAACCGTGCTTTGCATATCATTTTCGCTACCAAACTACGATGGCAGACACAAAGGCCGCCTACCATGTTCGTTCAATCCAACGATGAGGAAATGCGCAAGGCCGGAAATTTCATGATGCTCAATTTCACCAATGACCACTGACAAATGTGTATGTTTATGTCGTAGTACGAATTACTGATAATGCTAATATTTACTCAATTTCTCAAATGGGATTATAAAATAAGGGTATTAAAAGCCTAGTAAGCTTGAAAGGAGTGTAGCACTATTGCGAGCTTTGATAAGATCCGCAGCCTTCTCAGCAACAGCATACATCGTAGCCTGCAAGTGCGTAGCTGGAATCAAAGGAATGATGCTGGCGTCAACAATGCTGAGACCCTTCGTGTTGTACACAGTCAAATCGCTGGCAACAACACCACCATATGACTGAGGCATCATCGAACAGCTACCTGACATGTGCGCGAACGATGCTTGGAGGTAATTGTGCTGGATCAAAGCGTCGATGATCTCGTCGTCTGTCTGAGCTTCAACTCCAGGAATGAGTTCAATTGGCGAGAAGCAGTTGAGCTCAGTCCTTGCCCAATGTTTTCTGGTCCACCTAACCATTTCGACCAAGATCTGTCTGTCGACAGGGTTCTGGAAGGTGTTCCACTGAACTACAGGATTGCCGTACTTGTTCGATGGATTCAGGGTAACGGTACCACGGGATAGCGGACGCTGGAGCGCGCTTATCGCAACACCAAAAGGCACCATGGGCACTTCACCAGCTGCTGCGTCGCTGCGCGAGTATAGATTTGCGATAATATCACGCTGCTTCTGGAATCCGCGTAGAAGGGTCGAATCGGCATAAACTGAGGGGAGAAAGCTTCGTGCATTCTGGGCCGTGATTGTGTTGACGATTTGTGAGTATTTCTCGGTGATGCTCTGGAGACTCAAGAATGCAATGCTACTCCCATGAGCTTGCGTGTATGGACCAGTTTTATTAGTGTCGTATTGGGCTCGTGCAGCGGCCATGTATACGGGGTCCAGCAGGCTAAACGGGTTTGGAGTTGACATGTTCTTGAGATCGAAATACGCGTAGGCGTTGGGGTGATCTTGCATATTGGCGCCAACGGCGGGCATGTCTTTCTTCACCTTGACACCTGCAGCAGTAAGAACATCCTTTGGACCGAGTCCACTAAGCTGAAGCAGTTGGGGGGTAAAGACAGCGCCAGCAGCGAGAATGACTTCACGCTTTGCGTAGACCTGTTTAACCGATTGATCTGAGCGCGAGACAAATTGGACACCCTTGGCTTTCAGTCCGGTCAACAAGCTTTGGTCGAAGAGAATTTCATTGACTCTCTTTCCGGTAATCAAGACGAGGTTGCTGCGACTCTTCACAGGATCGTAATATGCGTTCTTTGCTTGAGATCGTGTTTGATTTTTGGGCTGTAAGGCAGTGGGAATCCAGAGGGCGCCAACGGCAGTGCCAGCGGCGTGTTCCCTAGGCAACGGGATGCCTTCGGCTTTGAAGGATTTCCAGATGGTTTTCGTGTCCGGGTATTCGAAATTGGGAAACGATGCTTGGATTGGCCCATCTGTGCCATAATATGATGAGTCATACGTAATTCCAAAGTTTTTGACGTTGTCCGCCACGGGTGGTGTAAAAGTGGTGGATTTCTTGAAGTAATAGAGCAGGCTGTTCCAATTCCACCCATTATTGCCGAGCTGCTCCCATGCGTCATAATCGGCAGCAGATGCGCGGTCCAGGGCCATGCCATTGATCACCGACCCACCGCCTACTACGTTGCCAACGTAAACGGGAAACGATTGGTCGTCAATGTTGGCATTGGGAGCGGAAGGAATGTCGTACATTAGGTCAGTATTGAGACTGTTTCCGAACGCGGGGATTTGAGTCGAGACATCATCGTTGACAAAACCGTTTTCGATAACAAGAACGGAACCTAGTTATCATGTCAGGATGTTGAAGGATTTATTTAGATTTAGGGATACTCACGGTCACCGTCCTCACTCAAACGGTTTGCAACAGTGAGTCCAGTCAGTCCACCGCCAACGACGATGTAGTCAAACGTCTTCCCTCCTACATCCGGTTCGGCACTGCTCTTCGCTTGACTCGTATTCGGGATAGTCTGCGATGACGAGAAAATAGTGGTGCAAAAAAGAATGGACAGACAAAACGAAGGCATGGTGGGAAATGAGTGTGGTAACGTAAATGAGTGTGGTAACACGAAGCGGAAGGTGCAAGCGTGATGGACCGAAAGATCCGACTGTGATGAAGAGTTATGGGGCAAACCTTTGTAATATCATGACAAGGGGTGTGAACACGCAAGCGTCAGTAGCTCACTCCTTTAGCGGTCTGTTGCTTCCAGTCACGGCAACACGGTTCTAGTGTATTGTTGCCTGCAACGAGGTGCGCCTTTGCTGAAGCTAATTCACACTGGCAATAGGTCTATTCTGCAAAAAGAGGTGCGATGTAAGGGTAGTTTACATGCTGAGGTTTGTTCGAAAATTGCCACCTTAGTGAGTCTGGGAATCGAGCTCATGATTTGTTCAGCTAGGAATTGCAGAGGTGTCGGCGAGACAAATGTCCGCTCGAACCCTTCCCATGTAGAATACTCATGGCGGGAGGGCGAGTCGTTCAGGCACTACCGGTAGGTGGTAAGTGACGCACTAGGGTGCACCGCATATGCAGGAACCACGCTAACACTTGTCGCCTACCACAGCCTCGGATCTTGACAATTTGCACTTTCTCCGAACTAGTTCTTCGTCAGGGGCAGTTGATGCTCAACACAGGGACTTGGGTATTCCAAAGCCCCGGATCAACGCAAACCCTTGAGTCGATCATGTACGATCTGACTACCTAAGCGCATCTAATCGACGAACTTCTGTTATGACCTTTACATGTCGTGACACCACCTAGAGTCTCGATTCCTCTTTGCCCTGTCACTGCTGGTCGACCCTGAAGACTATTGAGACATTCGGTACTCCGTCCAATAGAGACTTAAAGTCGGCTACTTGCACCCTATTGATTAACTTTCAGGCTTTTATGTGGCGCGTCGATCTAGCTGGGCCGCTTGCGCTTCTTAGATCGAATTGGATGTACAGGCTCCAACACGGCTTGCCACACACTCAATTGAGCATTAGCAGTAGGTCGCTCTTGTGTTACGTACAGTCATGTTGATGACACAAACCGAAACAGCCGTTGAAGCAACGAGCGGTATCACGACTTCTAGGTTCACATCTGCCCCACGCGGAAGATACCTAATCTGTACAAACACTGGAGGTTTAAGTCTGGACTTCATAGCCTATACTCACCAAGATTGGCGTCGTTGATGCTAAAGTACTGCGCAGTTGAGTGTGCCGATAGTCGGTCGAACTATTGGGTGAACCATAGACATCACAGTGCCCCGTGCAACTGCCACGAGCTCACGACGGCAGCCGCATGGTAGGCGAAGAGCGTATCAAGAGTGATTGGCTGGCTTCGACGCTACACGATGGCGCTAATCCGCGGAGCTGTGCGTCAAGGGAGACCCGACGCTTGCAAAATGACAACCTACCGGTACGCCAGAGCATTCGAGACGAACTAGAACATCTGGTTAGTTTGTTGATTAAACTCTGATTTTCCGTAAGCCCTGGGCATCGCAAGCTGAGCTCAAACACTGTGTAACAATCCGTCTCGGTAGTAAGACTATTTCGAGAAGAAGTTGTCAGTCTCTGCAAAACTTATTTGTTTTACATGTTCATGAAACAAGCGATGTGCACATACGAGAGGATTACAGTTTCGTTACGGGGGTATCACTGAATCGTGTGCGCGAAGCAAATGCCTGCTCCCACGCGTATCCAGGCACTATAGACGCCACAGGCATGGACAAGTCGCACTCTCCCGATTGGGCAACCTGTCCCCGGCGATTCTAGCCGCTCTGCTTGTATGGCTTCATGAACTATAACAACAGCTCGCTCCACCAAATCCTGCTGCATGATTGTTTGCGTTCACGACGAACGGTCGTGGTCCGAGCTTCATCACCTTCCTCTCCTTTCCTCCATCGTACGATTCTAACTTTCTGGTGCTGGATGAAAATCATGTCTACTTCGGCAGCAACCCCACAAGGACTTCCTTTAGACGACCGCTCGAATGCCCTCAAGATACCCATCGTTACTCTGATTGTATTCAGCTCAATCTTCGTCGCTCTCCGTTTGAGTATCAGTATCAAGAACAGGAACTACTTCCTGTTAACGGATCATCTATTATGGACAGGTCACGTATGTATCTCTGTGGTCTATCTTCACCCAGATTACGTGGCCATAGTTTCTGACAAGACGTGCAGGTCCTAGCAATCATCGGAGCTTCATTTTGTTACAAAACTGCCGAATATGGCGCTGGTAAACATGTTTGGGACCCGATTATGACACCAGCCAATCTGGAGAAGTATCTCAGATACCTATGGTTTGGCCAGTTGTTCAATCTCTACGGCATGGCCTTGGTCAAACTCAGCATTTGCGCCTACATCTTAATGATGGACTTTTCCAAAAGTTTTCGAATCGTCGTCTGGCTATCTATCGTTCTCCACTTGGGCATAAACTTTGTCTTTCCCTCTGTCATTTTGTTGGGCGAGTGTAGCCCCATATCGAAGCACTGGGACGTTGCGGGCAAACAGCCAGGTTCTTGTTGGTCCGCTGAACCCAGAGTCATATCAGGTGGGTCTCCTTGGACGTTGCTCCTACAGCGCGTAGCTTACACAATCGTTGTAGGATATTCCGGGGCTGCGACAAACATTCTCACGGACCTTATCTACACCATTGCCCCGCTCTTGTATATTTCAAGGGTTCAGCTACCCAGACGCACAATTTGGGGTGTTCGCGCTGTCTTCTTACTTGGGCTCGTGTAAGACACTCACTTTTGTTACAGTGAACTATGCTAATATCTTGCCGTAGAACGACAACTATATCTGCATGCAAGTTGTACGAGATGAAGGCCTTGAGAAACTCACCAGACTCCACATACACATCAGTCAATCTCAGCATTTTCGCCATAGCCGAGGTGTTTGTGGGTGTCTTCACAGCATCTCTTCCACCGCTACGGAAAACATTTGAGAAAAACCTGCGCAAGGTGCTACCCGACACAGTGTTTGGAGTTACGCGAGGAAGTCGAAACAGCTATGCGATAAAGAACGTCGCGAGTCAGCAGAGCAGTAAGTCATCAAAGCCGGATCGTGACTCCGACAACGATAGTGAAAACACGATGCTTTCGGATGATCACGTAGTTATGAGCAAGGGGTCGGACAACACGATCATGTGTACTACACAAGTGAGCATGGTCGTTCATGAACAGCGGCCAGCCCGACCTCGAACGGTCGAGTGGGTTTGAGTGCTGTTTACATGCACGGTGTCGAATGTTGAATGCCGCAAATTCAGTAGCAACATCATATTACATCAGTCCATTATCAAATTCATCCTCTGGCAACTGCGCTTTTGTGAGGTTACATGTTGGCAAACTTCGTCCACATCATCGAAAGGTCGCAGGCAGTTCTTCGACTTTTCGGCTATCTTCTTCTGTCTGCGGTCTAGGTCGGCAGTTCTACCGTAGTTCGTGTAAGTTCAACACCAATGCAAGTGGCTTTTTGACCATGCTGATTGTGGATGGAGTCACTCGTCGTTTTGAGACCCAGTGAACGAGCCCCACACTATAGACCTGACGCCACTCATTAGTTCCCCTGATGCTCAAACCCTATTCACCACCTATACCCTCAATCTCAATCTTCTTCCAGGATGGATTACAGCCTGCCGCTCTGCCGCTGCCGAAATGGCTTTTCCGGTGCAACAGCTTTGAGCCACCTCATCTGAAGGTTCTGGAGCTATATGCTGCGACTTTATTTAGCCGTAGCTTCAGCCACTTACGGCAAACGAGTGACATTGCAATGAACCGTTGGAAATAAAGTTGGAGTGGACTCCGGCTTATCGACTTTAGAAAATAAACCTCGTAAGGAGCGCAACACGGCCCCTTTTAGTGTGTCGTCACTCTCGGACAAGTAACCCAAATAGGTGCGTGGGATTGTTGATGGTAAATCTTGCCCGATCAGTTTCTGGTGTCACTCTCTTGCCGACACACGGTAGACAGTTCAACATGAAAAGTTCAGTCCGACAAAGACTACAACAGACGAGCCGTGCACCAGTCCCTCGTCTACGGAAGTACTTGATGCCGATGCATACCACACACATGCTTTTCGGGCTTAGCGGATCGTCCCGCACTATGGTGTAATGGCGTGGCTGATGTGGATAACCATGTGAGAGTTTCGGAAGTGAACTCCTTCTCCTATCGGAGAAACATGTTTGGGGGCCTCAGCTGCTAACTAGTCGGTTCTTGCGCCATAGCCGCTTCTCAGCTGAAACCCCATATCCACAAATCAAACTGTGTTTAACACTTTAGACGTTACGAAAAGGCACGAATTTTCTCCGAAATCGTTTAGTCCATACGGAACCTCTTGCTTGCCATGACATGGCTCTTCACCAGTTGAATCGGCATCCGCCACTATTGATACTCCCAAGCATGGCGCCAACTTTGGAAGAGATCGTTGGACTAACCAGGACGGATTCAAAGAAGCCCTGACGAAGAGAAACTCTGATCACATGGCTGACTTACCTGTCCTATCTCCCCCACATCCCGTCCCACGTAACCACTGTTCAACTGGCGACGTTGGAGATTTCCATCATTTTCACCGTTCTTAGAGTAACCGAAGCAAACGCTTCTTTTGTATCACAACCCTTATCTCCAATCATAACCCTAAGAACGCTGTAAATCGCCTCGTAATCGCGTCACACATCATTTCCTACACGAGGCATACTCCAATCCACATAGTCCTCCCTAATGACTCAGGAGATATCTTGTTTAATGCACCACTAAACCCCTAGTCCCTGCTGAACAACACTACGCGAAAGAGTGTCGCTCATGTCGCATCAACGTGATGTTATAGATTGATTTATCCAGATGCGTCCGAAGAAGGAAAAGAGCAATCATGTCATGGATAATGCATTATTAGGAGATAATGCATTGAGTAAATGAATGCGGAAAATCTAGTTGAATGGGCAATTGCCTTTTTACAGAGCGAGGGAAGGCGAAGTAGAACGAGATATTCTCTGAACATAGATTCCAAGATATGCATCATGAACAAACCAGAGAACGATAGACCGAATCAGGGACGACAAAGATAAAATCTCCCCTACTGAGCCCACTTATGACGTGTACGACAATCCAGATTTTCCATCTTCGCAGAATCCTGCGACTCGGCCAGCTGATGGTACAGAACTGGACAAAGCCAACGTAACCACCCTCGCCTCTCTGACCCCACAAGAGCGCTTTCACACTGGAAATTGATCTCGTCCATGCATCGAACATAGTGTGTCAATCCGCGAGGATATTTGCTGATCTGCGCAAAACAAATCGATATGGGTTACAATCGTCTAGCCAAGGTTACGAGGTTTTGAAACGCGTAAGTTCGTTGAAGGGAGGGTGTCCGTTCGATTACAGCAAGACTTTCTGCTCGTCGATGGGAAGCGCAGTCATCCTCCCCGCTCTTACCGGAGTGAAGTTTGGACCTCGAGAGAGACGAGGTGCATACTACCTAGGGTTCGGTTTCTCGGGGGGAATATTCACGAGGTGAGAGAGAGAGAGAAGGCACTCGTTTGATGTACTGGTTGTTGTGGGTGTTCGATGAGATGGGTTATGCATATTCTGCCGCAAGGGGCGTGCAAGGACTGAAGAGTTCAGTCGAGAGCAGGCTGAATCGTATAGATATTCTGAGTCCGCATACTTTTAAGATCACAACCGGTATTTTAGAAGATGGCCTCCATTTCATCACACAACCGCCCAACCACCCTCACATAACCTCCCCCTTACTCCCATCATAAGCTAAGTACAACCCCCCCTCTCCCAACTACCCCCACAACACCAAAACCGTCGGCCCAAAATCCCTCACCGCCCCCGTCTCCCCATCCACCCCCCACCTAACCCCCTCCTCCCGCCCCTCCTCCAGCGTCGCAAACCGATACGACCTCACCTCCCCCAACCCAAACCTCCTCCCCTTAACCAAATACTCCTTAAACCCCCTATGCGTAACAACCGCAATACTATGATAAGTCTGCGAAAGCCTTAGCAACTCCGCGCGCACTCTCTCCGCGCGCGCCGTAGCATCGGCGTGCGTGTGTGGCGGGAAGTCCCATGTTTCCGGGCATGTGGAGAAGTCGAGGGAGGGGAATGCGGTTTGGAGGGCGGCGCGCGGGGAGCCCGTGTTGCAGGGGCTGGTGTTGTGTGTTTCGCAGAGGGAGGGCCATATTTGGACGGGGATTTGGGGTGGGGTGGTGAGGAGGGAGGGGAACATGTTGACGGCGGTTTGGAGGGTGCGGGTTAAGGGCGAGATGAGGATTAGGTCGGGGGGCGTGGGGAGGGTGGTGTGCTTTGTTGTGTGGTGACCGCGCTTTGTTAGGGGGGGGTCGGGGTGCGGGTGGTTTGGGTGGATGTTGTGGAGGCTTTCGCCGTGGCGGATGAGGTGGATTAGGGGGGGAGTCATGGTTTCGGATGGGTTGGGGAGTGGAGGACTGGAAGCCCTACGGTGATACTTTGAGTTCTTGTCGTATTAGCTCCGACGTTACGATTGGATTACGTACAGAATCTTGCTCATTGGCTGGATGTAGTTGAAGTACGACGTCCCGTCTATGTTGAATTTAGAGTGAACCGTTTTGTCTCCTGATGGTGAGTACCATACATAACCTACTTTTTCATCCTTCTCCATACATGCTTACTCAACGCTCCTACTTTGTTAAAATAAGTTCACATGATCTGCACTATGCAGATTTGGACGAATTGATAAGGCACTAATTACACGTTCAGTCTACCTCTCTTCCTCATCTCTTGTTCACCTACCAAATGGTCAAGATAGACGATCTTCACCCCTACCCCGTGTTCGCCTCTGACTGTACTGACGAAACTGATACTCAACACGCGATCGAGTTGAGCTGAGGTGTATTCCCGATCAAAATCCAGCACATTGCGTTATCAAGAGCCAGGTCCAAATATGCGAATACCTACACATCTCGTACGCTCATGAGGATGAAAGCGAGATGGATTCTTGCGGGCAGAAACCCTCTGAGGTAGGTTCTTGGCTTCGAGTCGTTGACCGCCATTTGACATTGTTCCTCGATATAGCTGTCTAGTTTGATTATGGAGCTTTTTGCATTGCGCAGCCATCCTTTTCGCTCGATGTCTTCGATATGACATGTGAGGAGTTAGTCAAATCGGATTGGCTCACTTCTTCATTCTGCTCTCCTTCACTTCCGATGAGTTTACTGATCATAATGTTCTGTGCGCAGGTATGGTGGTTTACTGTGTAGGAGGGTATTGGTACAACCTCGTCACGACTGTGTATCGACTCGAGAACGGATGACTGCCAAAACACGAATCCGTTCAATACCTCATTAGAACGACTGCGTTAAGCTCTTCAACAATCACGCAGCCACATCATCCCGCCCTTTCCCCACCCCATATCCATAAACATGCAAATACACCACCTCCTCCCCCGTCTCAACATCCCCCGGCAACTTATACTCCAGCACCCTCACCTCCTCAAACCCCGCCTGTTCCATAAGCTTAAAAAACACCTCCTCACTAGAATGCCGCATCTTCATCGCTACCGCAACCACCACGCGCGTCGAAGCCTCCGCCAGCCTCCCCAGCGTACGTACAAGCGCCGGACTGCTGTCGGGGTTATACGTGCAATCGGCCGCGAGCACCAAATCGATAGACGGGGGCAGATAGCGCGGTAAGTCGGCGTCCCAGTCCAGGGTTGCGAAGGTGAGGGAAGATCCGTTCGCGGGTTTGGCGGCGCGGATGTTGCGCGAGACGATGTCGGTGGCTTCGGGGAGGTCGGTGAGCAGGATGTGGGCGTTTGGGAGGAGTTGGGCGAGGGAGATGCCGACTGTGCCGCAGCCGGTGCCTAGTTCGAGGATGTGGAGGGGTGGGGTGCGTGGTGGGGGGAGGAGGGATGCGATGTCGTAGATGTGGCAGGAGAGTGTTATGCCGGCGTCCCTGGGGGGTTGGTTAGTTAGTGGGGAGTTGGTGGTGGGAGGGAGGGGATGGGGCACCATATGTGGCGGGCGATGCTTTCCCCTGTTTCTTCCCAGATGTGGAGTTTCTGGTTAGAAGGGAGTGTGAAGCGGCGCTCTGCTAACTTCATGGCGGGGGTGGAGAGGGAGAATGGCGCGCTCCATGCTGAGACTATTCCGCGGGTGTGTTCGCCGGATAGGGCGGAGTATTCGTCGTGTGTGGATTTGGCGTCTGTTCCTACTTTCACGCGCAGTGAAGGTGGTGAGGATTTTGGCAGGGGGAGTGTGATGGCCAGGCTTCGCATGCCGCTTGTCCATTGGACTGTTTTCCATACTATGGTCTGTTCTTCATTTTGGCTGGAAAGGAGTTCTGCTGATAATTCGACATCGTATGGCAGGAATGAGTCGCCCAGGTCAGATGTGATTGTGATTAGACAGTGGATTTGGCGTCTTGAAGTACCCTTCTCTACGACGATGCGGGGAGTCTTGAGAAAGCGGATGTACCGCATTGAGTTTCCTGCAATACTTATTGGGGAAATGGGTTGGATGCTTTTTCTATGTTCCACGCCAATCAGATGCTGAGCGATGACGAAGTCCGAGTAACGCTAAGCATTTGTTCTCGTCTCGTCTCGTCTCGTCTCGGTCGGCGGTAGCGTGAGTGTGGGGATGGTTCGTCCGTGCCAGGCTGGGGGGAGCAGCAAGCGTCGAGCCGCATCTTCCTGCACGCACCCACTGCATCGCATCGCATAACCCGTGTCGCGCTTGGAGTGGATGGACGCACCGACACACGTACATGCACATGTCCACGTCGTAGAGCCGATGCGCTGTCGCATCTTCGCACCGCGCGCTTCGTAACCCTCATAACCCTACGTCACCAACCCCGTCTGTCGTCCGCCGTCGCACCACCAACACGCCCACCACGACGACACCCGCCGGCCAGCCATGTATCGGCGCGGCGACCCCCGCTGGAACCGCACGCTCCAGCACATCACCGACAACCTCGAGCACGCCAATGAGTCGGCCCAGGAAAACATCTACGGCTTCACCCAGTCGTACATCAGCCCGTGCTTCGCGTCCGTCACTCACTGCGTCAACGCCTGCACCGCGCCCTGCTTCCCCTCGCACAACGACCGGCGGCGACATCGCGGGCGTTCGCGGGGGCGCGCAGAGTCCAGCTTCGACTTCTACGACGACTGGGAGGAAGATGAGAATGACGGGCTGCTGGGGTGGGGGAACGACAACCTCGACCGCCTGCTGGGCGGAGGCGGAGGAGGAGGAGGAACCAACTACGGCGCAACCGCCCAGCCAGGCCGACAGAACGCAATGCTATACGGCCAGCGCAACCGCGACCCACGCTACAACACGCCGCGCCGCAAAAGCGCCCCCCACGACGCCGGCCCAGACCCAACCCTCATCCCCAGTTCGTCCTACTTCGGCTTCCTGGGCCGTCTGCCCTTCAAGATCGGCGGCAAAGGTCTGCGCTACAAGCCCTCTGCTGCCGACCTCGTCGACCACCCGGGCGCAACACGCCGCACCATCGAGGAGCAGCCGCTGATCGAGGACAGCGACGAGGACGCCCAGGACGGCAGCGAGTTCAAGGGCCACCAGCGCCAACGCAGCTGGACGCACACGTCGGGCCACACGACGGATTCTCTCAGCTCCCGCGGCGACATCTTCCCCAGTGAGGACGAGCTCGACGACGCCGTCCCGCTGGACGATGAATTTGCCATGGCGCTTGAGCGGCGCGCTACGGGGCCGTCTATGACAGACGAAAGTAGCTCCAGGAAAGACACGTCGGTGAAAAGTCTGGGTGGGAGGAGTAAACGGCCTGCGCGCTCCCGCACCACTTCGTCGCGACACACGCGCGCACGCCACGACGACGAGGATGGCGATGTCAGCCCCCTGCCGCTGCCCACCACCGATACAGAAGGCGAAGCAGAAATCGACACTCTGGTAACGGAAGAAGCGCGTCTCGCCGCGCACGAAGAATCCACAATCCACCGGAAACGCATCGACGCCCAACGGCTCGCTGTACAGCGCGGGCTGGGCTCGCTGAATCTGCCGCCGCAGAGTCGGAGTGGGAGTCGGAGTCCGGGGTCGACGCCGAGATCTGTGCGGTCGCCTATGCTGCGGTCGCCGGGGAGTGGGGCGCGGACGCCGAGTGGGGTGTCGGTGGGTGGGGGAGAGTCGGAGGGGGAGGGGGAAGGGGGTGTGAAGTTATGATTGGGAACTTGACTCGACTGTGATAATGGAGAGAGAGATGGGGGAAGAACACGTAGCGTAGCGTAGCACCCAACGACTCGACGACGACATGACGAAGAAGCAGATTCATACCGATTATCCATATACCATACTACGATATCTCATTACAACCCCCCAAAAGTCACCCTCCCCCCCGTAAACCCCCTGTAAATCTCATCCAGCACACCCCTCTTCCTCTTCCGGCCCTCCTCCCTCTGCTCCCGCTCACCCTCCTCCTCCGCATCCGCCATTGCATCCTCTTCCGTCCGCGGCTTCCACGCGCCAATACTCCCATCCGCATGCGCAGAGTACAATTCGACGTCATGCGCGCGCCACGCCAGCGCCGTGACGCGATCCCTCGCCCTGTCAAGTCCGGTAGATTGAGCGTGCGAAGGCGCAGGTGCAGGACGCCGTAAACGGCGCAGAAGTTTTGCGTCGAAGAGCTCGTAGGCTAGGATCTCGGTGCCGTTGGGATAGTACAGGATATCTGCTCCCGGGTGGAGGAAGCTAGCGGGGGGCAGGACGGGGATGCGAGGCGCGAGGCCGTTGTTTCTAATCGCAGGGCCGAAGTTAGCGAGGGTGTTTGCGCGGGATTCCGCGTTCCAGACGCGGATGCGCTGGTCGTGGCCACAAGTTACAATGTGTGCGGCGTCGTCGGTCCAAGTGATGCCATTCACGGGGCCTTTGTGTGCTAGTGCGGTGCGGGAGGATGTGCGTGTACCGCCGATAGAGTTTTCGAGGTCGAGGGTGCCGAGCTCGCTGATGCTGCGGCGGATGTCCCAGATGCGCACGCTGCCGTCTGAGGCGCCGCTTGCGAGGAGGTGGTCGCGCGTGGGGCTCCAGGCTGTGGAGAGGATGGCGCCTGTGTGGCCGGCGAGACTGTGTGTGCTGGCGCCCGAGCGTAGGTCGATGAGGCGGACGTTGGGGGACTGTGTGGCGCAGGCGACGAGCAGGTGGGAGGCGATGGGCGAGAGGGCGATGTTGTAGACGACGGCGTCGAGGTCGAAGGAGGCGGAGGGGGCGAGCGTTTCGCTGGAGTACAGCTTGACTGTGTGGTCGTACGAGGAGGTGAGGAAGGCGAGCGAGTCGAAGGGGTAGAAGCAGAGCTGTGTTATGCCTAGTTTGTGCTCTTCTGCTGTCTTGTTCACCGCGGATAAGGGCAGGTAGGTTTCTCCTGCCGAGGTTGCGCATGTTTGCGCCTCGAGGTCCCATATCGCGATTGATGAGTCGGCACCACCGGACAGCAGGTATCGACCCTCGAACTTGTCGATGGTGATGGCGTTCACGCCGGATACGTGTGCGGGGATGCGCTCGTGGGGACTGTCTTCGGAGGGGAGATGCTGACTGAAGTTCACGGCGGCCGGCTGCAGCGCGTAGATGAGGCGCGACGTGGTGGCGCGTCTGAGGACATTGTTGGAGGCGAGGCCGTAAGCGCGGTCGAGCAGCTGTTGGGTGGTCATATGTATGCGACTACATTCTTTGATGGTCGTGTTTGAGACTCAACGTGAAACATGACGTCGACGTCGACGTCGACGTCGATCTTGTTGGAGCTTATGTAAACATTCACTCTAACCATCCAAACATTTCTGCGCGCAACAACATCAACGCTAAACATGATCAAGCGGAGGAAATACTACGGAGGCTTCACACGCCCACCGACAGATTCGTCTGATGGCAACGACAGCACAGCCTCTCAGCGGGCTCCCAGGCGCCTCGCGAGCGTCTACGATGCCGTAGCAGGTGCCCGACACCAAAAGCCCTACACTAAAATCATATATTGACCGTGCAAAGGAAAGGTAACACAACGAGGTCTCGTGGACAAAGCGCCCTCCGTCAAAGACGCCAAGCAACCACTCCGCCCAGATGAAGTTCTCTTCAAGCAAAGCAACGCGCCAATCCGATACGAGGAGACGGACTACTACTACGCCCACACCCGGCTGCCACCCGATCAGAAACTGCCCAGTGGCGACTTGCTGAGCGCACTGCATGCCCATGTGTCGAAACTGTATGCCAGCACGGAAGAGCCCGGGAGTAAAAAAGCTTGGAAATGCATGGATGAGACTGCGCTGATTGCTTTGGGGATTCTGGTTGAAGAGACGGCGAGAGAGGTGTTGGGTGAGACGGGGGACTTGGCGTTTCTGGAGGGGGCTGATGAGGAGGAGGTGGAAGCACTTGCAGCGCGGGGTGAGATGGAAGGGGTGGAAGAGAAGGAAATGGAAAGGCCTGTGTCAAGGGGTGGGGGAACTGAAGAAGAGTCCGATTCGAGTGCATGGTCGTCATCCGATGATTCGACTGAGGAATCAGACTGAGTGTCGTACTGTGACTTGATGAAGCCAAAGCTCTCTCAATCTGTGCGCATATATCCCGGTGCTGCTGGACGACGTGGGTCGTGCCTGCCTTCCTGAGAGCTGATGTCTTGGCTCGCATTCACCAGGACGGCACACTCCCCAACAAACCTCCCCACCTCTCTCAACCACCACAACCTCCCACAAAACCACACACCACCACCTGCACAAAATGGTACACTCACCCTCCCCCTGCACCCCCTCACTAACACCCCCAGGCCCCAAAACCCACCCCCAACCCCCAAAAAGCCGCCCTAATCCTCTCCTACTTCCACAAAACCTCACACGCACACAGCATCAAAGTGTTGGAGAAGACGCTCCCGCAAATCGCGTCCATCAGCGGCATGCACGTGAAAGACTACCTCAGCGCGCTGGCCGACGACAACAAGATCCGCGTCGAGAAGATCGGGAGTGGGAACTGGTATTGGAGTTTTCCGGCGGATGAGAAGAAGAGTAAAGAGGGGGCGCTGCGGAAGGCGCGGGAGGAGTGGGGGAGGGCGGACGGTGTGGTGAGGGAGTTGGAGGGGAGGGTGCGGGAGGCGGGGAGGGCGAGGGAGGAGGGGGATGATGACGGTATGTTGTTTCTTGACGGCTTTGTGTGCGTTGCTGATGCGAAGTAGGTGACGATCGGCAGACGCTTATTGCGAGGCATGCAGAGCTGGGCAGGGAGCTGGAGGGGTTGCGCAAGGAGCTGGCGGCGTATAGCGAGCAGGATCCCGTCGAGATGGAGAGGAAGGCTACTGAGACGGGGAAGGCGCGGGCTGATGCGGACAAGTTCACGGATCAGATCTATGCTATGGAGGGATGGATTAAGGAGGCTGTTGGGGGGGATAAGGAGCAGATGCTCATCACGATGAAGATGCTGTATGAGGATGAGTTTGATGAGGAGGAGCAGGGCTTGCGCGAGCTGTGAGGTGGGTTCGGAAGTGCAGCTCGGAGATGATGTGGAGGGAGGGAGATGTCGAGCCATGATGTGGGCGTATAAGACGATCATTGCATGCATGTAGGAGAGCCAAAAGTTAGTGATTTCATACTGAACGGCCGAGTAAAGCTTTGATGTGGCCGTTGCTGTGCATCATCCATGTCTTCAAAGGTCGTCTCTTGCCCTGATCTCCTCACCTTGGACACATCGCTGCTCATTCTACTTTTATCATGAGGATAAGGTGTTGGTACCTCAGTCTCTCGTCGGCGTGTGCTTCACTGCAACGAAGCAGTTCAACGCGAGGCGACATGTAGTTCAACTACAAGCACATCAAACTCTGTTACAACCGCACAACAAGCCTTGACACACATTCAACTTCAGCATCCACACCCTAACATATGATAAAACTACCGCGTCGCCAACCCCTCATCCAACTTCTGCCCCGCACACTCAAGCAGCAAACGAGTCTGCACGCTCTTCGCGGCCCTCGCATAAGCAACGATATCCAGACCCTGACCCTTACCCTCGGCCCCGCCATCAAACACCTCGTAGCTGAACCAGCCGCGGAAGCCCGTCTTCAACACTGCAGCCGCGACGTCGGCGACAGGCAGATAGCCGCCGTTGTAGGGCAGGGGCCGGAAGTCGTGGCTCCATCGGCCGCGGGGGAGGAGGCCCGAGTCGTCTCTTTCTGCGGAGAAGGGCTGGGGCACTTTGTACGCGTCGCTGATTTGGAGGAGGTAGATTTTGTCTTTTGGGATGGTGGTGCTGAGCTGCTCGAGGCTTTGTGTGAAGCGCTTGGTTAGCTCGTCTTTGGATACATCTTCCAGGAGTCCCGACGCGGTTTTTGGGTCTGCCCACTCGCCGCCCGCGGTCTGGAAGGTGTCGAGACACAAGCCGATGTTGGGGCGATCAACCTCCTTGACGATGGTCCAGACGTCTTTCCAGTCGGGCGCGTGTGTCGACCAACACCAGTTCTCGTAGGCGAGCTTGAAGTTGTGTTCCTTGAGCAGGTCGCTCAGTTCTCGCAGATCAGGCACGATCCGGCTCTTGTCCAGCTTCTCAAGTGGTGTGTCGCTCGAGCCAACCTGCAGCATATCGGTCCCGCACGCCTGCATGATGCGTATCCAGCCGCGCGCACGCTCGAAGGCGTCTTTCCGGCCGTCGGAGCCCTCGGGCCAGCCTTCGAAGTTGGAGAAGGGCTGCAGCATCATGATGCCCAGACTGCGCTCGTCGCACTGCTTCTTGATGTCTGCCGCGACGGTGCACAGCTCGTCGTAGTTGTCCTCTTCGACGTCATGGCCGAGGAGGGTGGCGCCGTAGGACAGGATGTCTGGAAAGGAGAGCTCGATGGCAGAGAAACTGCCGACGTGGATGGCATGTAGGCGATCGAGGAGGGGTGGCGGGTCGGATGGGCTGCCGAGCGAACACGAGGCGTAGCTGATGGGGACGGCGGCGAGGGATGCGGGGTCGAGGGCGGCCATTGTAGGAGGACTGTCACGTGGCTATGTAAGTGGGCGGTGTTAGTTGGGGATGTTGTGAGCTCTGCAACGAGTGTCTATAAGTGCTGCCATGGAGCTTTTCGGATGGCATGGCTGTGACGTAGCTACTAAGTGGGGGAGCCATCGATGACCGCACACATTTGCGATGTGTTGCTCTGTGAGGCGTATACGGAGTCAATCAGGCCATAAGGTTCTAGTCGTGCTGTAGTGGCTTTGTATGTGTGTTGGCAGCATCATGTATACTCGTATTGGATGATAAATGGAGGGCCGATGAGTGGAAAGCGTGGACAGCAGAGAAAGAGGAAAAATATTTTGTGCCGCAAAAGAGCCAATCAGCCTGTGCTGACTCCGGCGGTCATTCTCATTCACACCACTTCGACTCATAAAAAGACTGCTCCTTCAGCCAGACACACAGAATCTATATTTACCATTCCTCCCCTGGCAACAGCAGCATAGCAAGAGCCATGTCGGTATGTACACCCCTCGACTATATCACGGCCCCCGCCAACACGGACACAGTTCTTCATCGAGAACAAGGCCGTGGGCGACCCCACCAGCTCTGAGGATTGGCGCATCCGCGGCTTCAACCCGCTCACGCCGCCGGACCTCCTGCAGAGCGAGATCCCCCAGACGCCCAAGTCGCGGCAGACGGTGCTCGACGGGCGCAACGAGAGCGTGGCCGTGGTGCAGGGCAAAGATGCAAACGGGCGGCTGCTCGTCGTCATCGGGCCCTGCTCCATCCACGACCCGGCCGCCGCCCTCGAGTACTGCGACCGCCTGGTCAAGCTGAAGGAGAAGTACCGCGACGACCTGCTCATCGTCATGCGCTCCTACCTCGAGAAGCCGCGCACGACTGTCGGCTGGAAGGGCCTGATCAACGACCCGGACATCGACAACTCGTTCAAGATCAACAAGGGCCTGCGCATCTCGCGCCAGCTGTTCGTCGACCTGACCGAGAAGGGCATGCCGCTCGCCAGCGAGATGCTCGACACAATCTCCCCCCAGTTCCTCGCCGACATGCTCAGCGTCGGCGCAATCGGCGCCCGCACAACAGAGTCGCAGCTGCACCGCGAGCTGGCCTCTGGCCTGTCGTTCCCCGTGGGCTTCAAGAACGGCACAGACGGCACGCTGGACGTGGCCGTCGACGCCATCGGCTCGGTCAAGCACCCGCACCACTTCCTGTCCATCACCAAGCCCGGCGTCGTCGCCATCGTCGGCACCACGGGCAACGACGACTGCTTCGTTATCCTACGCGGCGGGAAGAAGGGCACAAACTTCGACGCCAAGAGCGTCAAGGAGTCGCGCGAGAAGCTCAGCGCAAAGGGCCTCAACGCCCGTCTCATGATCGACTGCAGCCACGGCAACTCGGAGAAGGACCACAACAACCAGCCCAAGGTCGTCCATGCGCTGGCCGAGCAGATCGCCGCGGGCGAGACGGGCATCATGGGCGTCATGATTGAGAGCAACATCAATGAGGGTAAATTCATACTCTCGCACGATAAACTACAACAACGGCTAACACGCTTCACAGGCAACCAAAAAGTCCCCAAGGAAGGCAGAGAAGGCCTCAAGTACGGCGTCAGCATCACCGACGCGTGCATCAACTGGGCCGACACGGAGAAGGTGCTCGAGGAGCTGGCTACTGCTGTTGCGACGAGGAGGTCTCTCTCCGGTCAGAACGGTACTAGCTAGATACTTTCCTCTCCCCCTCCTTCTTCTTCTCTTCCTTTTTTGTTCTTGTCCGACGGCATTCATGATTTCCACGACTTTGGGTAGCGAATGGGGGGGCTGGGCTGGGCTGGGCTGGTGGGGCGGACAGGCGTTTTTCTGGGGAGCATCTTCAACACAAAAGTGCGTGAGCATGGTTAAGGCAAAGCCTCCGCGGGAGAGCGTGAGGGTCAGCACAAAAAGTTTTCAACCCCATCGAAACATTCACGAAAAGTAATGGTTTATCAAACATTCACCATCACTCGTGAAATGTGGCTGCGATGCGATAAGACGATCCCGTGTATTCATTCGTAGAGTAACTGACTGATAGAACTTTTCACATATCCGTATACATCATGACATGACATGACATGATTACGTGCTCCAACGCACTTCACACTACCCTACCCTACCCTACAACCCTACAACCAATGGAGACGACCGAAAGAAAAACAGAAAAAAAGGGTATACCAAAATACAAGATCATGAAAAAAGCGGCCGTTAATCAAAAGACCACCCCATGGAAAGAAAAGAAGGAAAAAGGCCGTGAGATGTAAACAAGGTACGTCGCGTCGTAAGCAAAGCGAAGAAAAGCGATCCAAACGTATTCCAACATGTGCGCAAGAGAGTGTAACACATCGTCTGAGTAATGCCACCCCATTCATAAAACATGATACGCAAGTTCGACAACGAAACAGCGAATATGTGAGTATTAGATCAAGGCATCCAGAACGAGAGCAAGAACCCGCCGACAAGCCGAGCCGTATACTGGCCCTGGTTAGCAGGCGAAATGCTAACCACGCGCCGTTGCTGGAGGTAATCCGCTGTACATCATTAGCTTCACCATCCACTTACAGGTCAGCCAAGGGGACAAAAAACTCACAATTCTCCTTAACCAGCTGCGCAACCTGGCGCACAAAACTAACGCTTGTCGCATCACCAAACCCCACCTCCTGGTCCCACGCGTGGTCCGGGTTGACCAGGGGGTTACACTTGCGGTTGTATTTCCAGCGGAAGATCTGCTGGATGAAGTGGATGCGGGTATCGATTTCGCGGCACGCGACGTCGGCCTGTTCCTGCGCGGCGCGGGGGTCGAGGCCCTCTGTTGCGGACCGCGTTGCCATGACGAGGTGCACGGTTTTCTGCTGGTCTTCGAGCGCCATGCACATTCCTACGACGGCGAGGAAGGCGGCGAGCCACTTGTCGCAGCCTTTGGACGACTTGAACATTTGCTGGAGCCGGTTGAGGAGACTGTTTTGGATTGAGCGTTGCAGCCGCGAGAAGAAGTATTTGAGCTGTCGGTTCGTCATGCGGGGTGAGGTGTAGTTTTGGACGTAGGAGTTGCCGCCGCCATAGGAATGCATGCGCGATAGGGTTGAGACTTTGGTCTCTTCGGCGATGGTCAGGGTGTGGGACATTATGAAGGTGACGACAATAAGGCGGTACACATCGCGGAATAAGTTGGCCTGGAAGCAGTTAGTATGACACTCTATGCGAATTCGACTCGTCAAAGCACATACCTCGTCGTCGCTCTTCGGCTTGACCCTTGTCATCAGCTTGAAGAGCCTTTGTTGGAAATCGTTATCATCCTCCATCCAACAAATCTCACCAAATGCATCAAGGTGGTGTTCAACAATCTCGTTGATGTATCTTTCGTACCGCTTCTCATCGCTGTGGTTGATCAACACCATACCTAATGCTGGGCTCTGCTTCTCGATCGCAATTCTCTCATGTGTAACCGGGTCCGTCCTGTACTGTATCTGTACCAACAATGCGTTTCCTCTAGGAACAAACTCGTATACCTTGACTGGAAATCTAGGCATGTGATGCTGACCACAGGTCATCATGACCGTCATCTCGACGTTGCCCCATTGTTGAATGTGCTGAGTAACAAACGTCTCGAGGTGTTTGTTCTCATGCATCTGCGTGACGAGAATAGGAAGGAACGAGTCTGATAAATCAATGAGTTTGATACGCGAGCACCCCAAACCACAATCGGCGTTCGGACGCTGGGAGCGCTTCAAGCATCGTTCGCATGTATCACCCGGTCCACATTTATCCCTCTGCAGCACACAGTGCCAACACGCTACTATCTTCCGCATGTCATGTGCTGCTTTGGCTACTGTAGGTTCCAGATGTGTTCCAAGTGTTCTGCCGCCAGACTTGTTCAGCTGCCTTGTCCCATTTCTAGAAGACTCGGGTTCTGGAGACGCATCGAATGTCGTTTCCGGGATGCTTCCTTGGGCTGGAAAGTTGACTTGTAACGAATTTTCTGACTGGAGCGCTGAATAGTTTGGTTGCTGTATCGAGAATTGTGTGATCATGACACCAGGGTCCGAGTGCTGGTAGGATGAAACCCTGCCATCTGAACTACTGGGACTAGGTGCTGAAGCTTGCGGGCTCAGAGCTTGTTGAAGCGGAGAGTGCGGGTATTGATCAATTGATGATGTGCCTGGTGACGAAGGAGGGAGCTGATATCCCGTGATGTAGTTTTCCGTAAACAGAGTTGACGATGCGTTGAAGTTCACAAAATTCTGAGCATCCGGAGTAGGTGAGGCTCCAGTGATGCGCATCTCGACTGGACTCTGAGCTTGCATCTGAGGATAAGGAACAGGAACGAGCGGATATTGCACATAAGGTTGCGTTGCCATGGAGAATATATTGTCCAACGGGGGCGCCATAGGTTCGCTGGGTGACACTAGATAAGAAGGGTCCGTAGAGTTCATCGTCCAGGAGTCTACATCGTGTAGGAACTCGGAATAGTTCACATGATCAGTGGATGGATCAAAGACAACATGACCCGACCGCGGTACCATTGATGACCTTGAAGGCCCTTGACCAGTCCAGGGACCACGTCGAGGCGGTTGGGTAGTATAGCTTTGATCAAAAAAGTTATGTGGTGGTTGTATCGCGAGCATATGGTGTTGGTGTTGTTGCTGTTGCTGTTGCTGCAGCTGCAGTTGTAGCTGATGTTGCTGTTGCTGCTCTTGATAGGCTTGCATATTGAACTGTTGCTGGTACTGTTGAGCTTCAGCCATAGTAGCATTGAACGCTGCTTGGATTGCTTCGATATGTCAGCGGAGGCACCTGATCTTTTCAAGATACATACCTTGGTCACTGATAGTACCTTGAGGAGTCAAGAACATGCCCGTGTCCATCACCGGGATGGCATCCTGTGGGGCTTGGGTCGACATTGTATTTCCACTTTGGTAGTAGCTGCGTAAGGTTGAGTCGAGCATTTCAACCTCGAATGAGTCGGGGTCCGGTGTCCTCACAGACGTTGGGGAATTCGAGAGGCTGCCATGGTCTTCCCAAAACATGTGCTCGGGCAGCTGATCTTGAGGTAGTTCCGGTTGCTGCGAGGGATTGCGACTCAATGGCGGCGTGGTGAAAAGTGGACCGGGTGATAGCCCAGTATGGTTGAGCAAGGAGTCAGTTGGTGTCTTCGGCCGTAGGACGTCATATTGGCCATATCCAAACGCACGTGGATCGAAGAATTGTGGTTGTTCCTGAAACTGGTATTGCTGAGAGAAAGTGGACATGATGCACAGGCGGGCCGCTGTGGGCGGCCAAACTGGATTAGAAGAATTTCAGAAACTGCGCACGCGATGGCCTGAGATGCCCGACACTCGATCCTCGGGCTGGTGGCCTTAACGACGAAAGGCTGACGATGTGTACTCGCCCAACGTGGGCCTCACGAACGCGCAACAAGCAAAAATACACGGAACGGTCCTGCCAACGGAAAGAAGATGTGCAACACGGCTCGAGGAAAGGCGTGTAAGAAGGATCAGAGCCAGGGCGGCTGAGAGGAGAGATGTTCAGATGGCAATACCCTGCCCTGCCCCACGAGGACCGGTGAGCAGAACCCGTACATGCAGCTATCGGTTCTAGCGAAATGCACACCACCCGAGTTGCACCCACCCGCAACACACGCTCGCGCTGCGAATCATCGATAGATTCCACATTGGAGAACCATGATGTACCTCACCCGCGCGGGCCGAAAAGCGCTCGTTCTCGATTCAGTCTTGGATGTGCTGTAGGGTGGTTTCTAGAGCGTCAATGATTGGGTTGCTCCGATGCCTCAGGTGTCAAGGCGTTTAGAGGACGCACTGCGCCCCATTGCCCAGGCAAGGTTTCATCAAATGGCCGTGTTTGCGAAACGACTCACGAGTCGCACAACTGTTCAATGCGGGCCAGCTGATTTTTCTTGCGGCTCTGCTGCATATTGTCAGGATTGATGGACGCACAAACCCATAGAGAGATGACATGTGTCGAAAATCATGAACCAATCATCGTGTTGACGATGCTGTGATGGGGTTTTCCCTTTCGTCAATCAGCGGGTGTCCGCACCGGGACAATGCAGTCGCAGATGAGATGTGCGAATCCAATGCCAGCGCATGATTGTGAGTTTGTGTGAATCCAGATGGGAGCCATTCACAGTAAACCGAGCGCGATAACCGCCGGCGTGACATCGGACATAGCCACAGCCACAATCTCCGCCATCATTGGAGGTGGTGGTGTTTTCTGTCAGATTTTGGTGTTTTAGTGGAGGTTTGTGGGCATGACGTGAGTGTGGGCGCAGCACTGCTACTTCCCCAGACGCTTCATCGCAGACCGCAACTTCCCAATTATTCCTTACTGCACATCAAACATCAGCCAAACGTCATCGATCTAGGATGATCGTCCATATTCTTTCGTCGAGGAAGACTAGAAACTTTGTGTTGGACAAACATTACAGTCCCATCGTCTACTTCGAAGTAGTGCGATAACCAAATGAGCGACGATGTCTGATGAGCGCTTACGTTCTTCTCGCTTCAACGGGGTGGTAGGTGTAGCAACAAAACACTATTCACAGTGGAGTGCAGCTGCAAAGCTTATCAAAGATATTATGCCTGTCAATTGGAGTTTAGTCCGATCTCCAACTCCGGCCAATCATGAACAATCTCCGCTCTCGGAATTAAAACGGAATCGAGAATTCATGAGCCCTCGACAACACACCACCTCCATCGTTTTCATCTCTCCTGACACCTCGGAGGCTGTTCGAAATGTTACGAAGGAATGGAAAGCCGAGGTTTGTGTACACTCCGAGTGCTCGATCCATGCTGACCAATTCTAGGTCTTGCGAGCCATGTCGCATCTCAAAGATCCGATGCGACCACACAACGCCAACGTGTACAAAATGTCAAAACAGGGGCATTACCGATCAAGTGAGCCCGTTGAACCGTGATTGTGTACATGTTGTTGATGCTCGCTGAAGTGCTTCTACCATGATGCGCCCATGACCAAGCCGGTTGGCACGCCTCGCAAGAAACCTGAGCCTCGTCGTCGGAGAGCAGAGGCTCGGTTTGGCGAGGTACAGGCCCCCCGGAATCATGGAGTACTTTCCTCACTTGCTTTGAGTCCTCCGACGCTCAGAAATGACACTGGAACTGTTCCCGTCAGTAACTCTTGGTCGACGCCGTCTGCGACCACCACCACACAAGCTGAGACAGATTCAGAGCCGGTGAGAAGCTTCTACCTAGGCTCAACTAGCTACGCAAGCGTGTTCACTGAAGAACGGCCACTACCAGACGCAGTACATGAGCAACCACGAGAACGGATAAACATCACGCCTTCATCTTCAGCCCAGAACATGGGAACTCGACATTGTCAGTTTGGCATTGGTCACTCGATCGTATCGCAGTTGGCACCATTCTCCTTTTTCGAGAAGTCAGTGCATATGTATTTCAGCACTCGTATGGCTTCCGCTCTAGTCGGACCCCTTATCTTGTCGGCCCTGCCTCAATTGCGTGATGATTTAGAGCTGCTCAAAGCCGCCGGCAGCAACCCATATCCAATGTATGCTGAAATGATAAGAAACACGATCAGACCCCTGCGAGTACCGTCCACGATGCTTCCATCGGAGTTTTTCACCTTGTTCACAGGAACCAACTTGAGATGGGAAAGTCTAGGCTTGGTTCTGGCCATAGCTGGCTACAACGCGCAGTTCATCCCTCCCAACGACTCTTTCTTTACGCTGGATGATGGGACGAAGATAGATCGGGATGTCTTTATTGAGGATATCATACATACCACTAACGATTGTATCAACCTTTGTCAGACACATGGCGCTGTCAACGATATTATGGTTTGGCTTATCTACATCAATGCGCACGTCGTGAGTAACTTCTACGGAGACAACTGTGCGTACCCTAAGTCGTTAGGTATTTCGCGTTCTGATAAATGACAGATCACGGAACATGGAAGCGATTGAGCGACACTGTGTCCGCGCTATATGCTGCTGGTATGCACTGCGAAGGAGGATACAGCGCAACAAACAGTGAACCCATGTTTCTTCGCGAGTCAAGACGAAGAACATATTCAGCTGTGTACCGGTCAGATAAGATGATGGCGGTATTTTTCGGCCGTCCTCCATTGATGGCATGGAGATATAGCGACCGCAAACAGATACTTGACGTCGCCGACGATATCATAGCTGCGGACGATCCAAACATCGTCAAGGAAGCCCTTTCAAAGCTGGATAGCGCAGGATGGAATACCGAGGGTCACATGTACTCTGCTACGCTCATCAGGCTCCGCTGTCAGCACGCCATCTTCAAGGAACGACTCCTGGAACAAAGTCTTGCTGGCGAGAAGGACAGCGAAGTCGTTCGCAACCTACGGTAAGCCGATAACTGGCTTTATTTTGAATCACTGTAGCTGATCGTATTAGCATCATATCGGCTGAATGTACCCAGTTCTGGGAAACCCTTCCAGCACACCTCCGCTACGAGATGTATGATGAAGATGGAGCATGGAGTGGTCTCGGACCAGCCACCACCCTACGTTTGATCACTGTTTATCTCGAGTATCTGCACATGCATTTCCAAATGCAGCGACTTCTCCACCGACAAACCCAAGACGCCCTCCCGGCTTTATTGGAAGTATCCTTGAAACTGCTCACGACATCCCTTGTAATTACAAAGCCAAACAATGGCATATACGAAATACGAAGACACTTTCCGACTGTCATTTTGTTCTACTGCTTCCCTGCTGCTGGTATGCTTGCGCTGGAGCTTAGAAGATGCACTATCGACGGCGTGCCGCTTCCCAACACAGTCTCGCGCGCTGATGTGATCCGCAAGCTCTCGGTGTTGACTTCGTGCCTGGAAGGTATTGTCTTGCCAGGTGATGGGAATCACAAACTCTGCAGCGAGTTGAACAAGATGCTTGCCCTGGTCTTGGACGAGGTTCTCAACTACCAGCCCCCTGCTAATTCGGGCCAAGGGAATGCAGGCGTGATGGCAGGATCAGCACCTGGGCCAGGGTTTTTCGATCTGCCCATGATTGAAGGGATGGAGCCAATCCCAACGGAGGCTGAGGACTTTTTGAATTGGCTGGACAACGCTGATTGGGGGAACACTGTAAGACTACTTGGCAAGCCGCGATATGAAGAGTGACAATTGCTGACCGCGCATAGGATTTATTCTAGACAACTGAAGACTCGAGACAGCTTGGAAGATTTGAGTGTGTTTTACACTCCCTAAACAACAAGAACCGTGACATTAGAAGACAGCCCAGGCTATTCGTATACCATAATACTATCAGTCCAAACCACGATACCATTAGCCTCCACCTTCCTCTCTCCTCCTTGCATATGCCACAGCTATGCATAGATCCCTCGACGTCGCTTTACTCCCACAACTCTCTCAACATGCTAATGCGTAGCAAAATACGCTGCTCGCGCCGCATATTTTGTCTCCTTCTCCGAGGCTTCCTGATCTCTCCTTGCTCGTTCTTCTGCAGCTAGTGATCGAGTCAGCATACGTGAGATTATAACCCCCCAAAATGGACATACTTCTCCGATTGAAGAGTTTTGCGAGAATCGTCTTCGTGGTTGAAGTCGTACTTGTCGACTTGATCGAGGAAGCATCTGAATGTACATCTGCCGACACGGTGGAGGAAGGAGTCGTTTTGGATGTGTTGGAGGGCATACTGCCGATTCAGTTGGAAGATGCTAAAGTAGATGGGTAGGTAGGGTTGGTAGAATGGAATCAGATTGAATGTCTTCTTGATTTGATTGGAATCTGAAAGTGTGTTTAATTCCTTTCCCCTCCCCAGACAACGTCTTTATATACACCATCCTCCCCACCGCTGCCTACACTCCCCCAGTCCGATCTTCGCATCCTCTCGTCCTCGGACTTCGCATCCCACTCTACATTCAGGTTAGGAGGCGATATGACTCCCCACCGTTCATGACGAAAGTCGTCGCGTCAGCGCGTCGGAGTAGATCGACTGTGTAGTTTTCCTGGGTTGTTTCAAGATGCATGGGTAGGTGAGGTGGCTTGTTTCCGTGTAGGATGCAGGATTGGGGATGGAGGATGTGGTTGGGTAGGGGTGTTGGGGGCCTGGGGCGCGGCTCGGAATGAAATGGAGGGATTGCATGGGTCGGAGTAGAGGGTTGGTTGTGGCGGGGGTGGGGAGTGGAGGGGGGGATGGTCTTGAGAGATGGGGAGTTGGGATTAGAACTAGGATTGGGTTTTGAATCAAGACATAGGTTATACGGAATGATGAGGGAATGTAAGGGAATGTAAGGGATTGGGTGGAGTGGTGCTTTCGCGACTACTGTTTCTACATGGTATTAGTTTAGGTTGAGAGTCGATAGTAAGAAATAACTGTCCCCGTACCGAGGAATGAAACAAATAGTATCCTCTTCAAAACATATTTGTCGACCGTCGTAAATATATAGTGTTAAAGACATCTCGTATTCTCAGTCCAAAATGTGGAGCACTAGCGTCATACCTGCACCCCTCCACCAAATCCCAAATCCCAAATCCAAATTTATCTCAACGCGACAAAGCACCACCACCAAGAACCCTACAACCCCACCTCCACTCCTCCAAACACACAACCACAACCGCAGCAACAATGAAACTCCTCACCCTCAACTTCCTCACCTGCGCCATCAAAACGTGCAAAACAGACCCCTCCTCCTTCCCCCTGCACCCGCGCGACGCAGAATTAGAAATCCAAGAAGCAGAAGTTAACCTGCCGTTTCTGCGCAACATCCTGCCGCGCCTCATGTGGGCGGAGCTGTCGGTTATATGTCGCGAGGTGCGTCGCTCTCTGGAACAAAATCCGAGGAATGGGATGGGATTAGCAGAACACACGAAAACGAGAACACAAGAAGAACCACGTGCTGACCATCGCAATCACAGCTGGGCCTCCCCGAACTCCCCGCCACGCCGCCCACGCCCGAGGATCTCGTCGAGCCGTCGAACGCGAACCTGAATGCGGCGCTTGACGACGACGAGACGCACACCGCACCGACGGAGCAGGAACCGAGTCAGACGGCGAAAGACCTGCATCGCGTGCTGCTCGAGACGTGTATTGCCGAGGGGAAGCTGGTGTGCGGGTGCTGTGGGCACGAGTATGCGGTGAAAGAGGGGGTTGCGAATTTTTTGCTGCCGGGGCATTTGGTGTGAGGGGTGTATGGGGAGTGCAGGGAGAGGTGTTGGAGGACAGGCAGATGGTGTGGTGGGAAGATTGGTGTGGGAAGTGCGAGTGGGCGTGGGCGAGGTTGAAGACAAAAGGCGGCACAAAAGTCATGATACCCTTTTCATTTCAGCATATACATGGCGTACGGTGGAGTCTGCACTTTGCACTCGATAGGCGGGATTGCGATCTTGCGCTCAAAAGCAGGGCTGGTCGATTAGAAAAACACGAGCAAGACTTTTATCCCTTCCTCGCTTCAGTCTACTCTACGTGGTATCCGACCGCATTCCAGACGCCAAACGCCAAAGCTTTTTGTCCACTCTCTACGACCCTAGTGCGCGATTAATCTGCACCTTCTTATCCTCGCCCGCGCTCACAATGCCAACCTCCTTGTTCCACCTGACGCCAAACACCTTTGCGCCCTCGCCGTGGCTCTTCGCCGGCCCACTCTGGCCCTGCCGGTGGATCGTGTACACGCTCTCGCCCGTCATGCCCTCGCCCATAGCGCCGCCTGCGCTGACGTTGCGCAGATCCCAAATCTGACACGTCCCGTCGTGGCTGCCAGACACGATGTTGTATTCGGAGTTTGGATCCGTGTCAAGGGACACGACGCCGTTCTTGTGGCCGCGCAGTGTCATGACGCTGATTTGTGTGGCGGACACGCGCGGGTCGACGAGCGTGATGTGGCGCGCTGATGTGCCTGTGGCGAGCAGATTACGGGACGGGATGGCGCAGAGGGAGAGCAGAGCGTGGCCCGTTGTGCGCGTGTCGACGCATGAGGACGTGGGCAGATCCCAGGTCTTGAGCGTGTGGTCGTGCGAGGCGGAGTAGGCAACGGTCGCGTCGTCGGGCTTGAAGATGACGCTGGAGACAGGTGAGCTGTGGCCGGAGAGTGTGGACAGAGCGCCGCGGGCGGGAACGGTGCGGTCGGGCTTGGAGAGTTTCTGGCGCTTATTGGAGGCGGCTGTCGAGTTTGGAAGGAGTGTCGATGGCGCGACGGGGTTTTCCTTTGCGTTGCTGGAGAAGAGGGAGATGGTCGTGTCGGAGGAGGCGGAGAGGATTCTGTTCGAGGGCCCGTGGACGGCGATGTCTTCGACGCCCCATCGGTGGTTGAACAGCTCGAGACTTGTTGTCATGGTTCGCGCGTCGTCGTCGTACTTGAAGACTCGCACTGTGTTGTCCATGCCCGCGGCTACAATCTTCTTGTCTGACAGCCATTTTGCCGTCTTTAAGCTCGTGATCCTCCCGCCATTGCTGGGCGCTTCTGACGTCGCCAGCACATCACCCGATGTGTTCCAAACCCGCACCAGCCCGTCGTAACTCGCGCTCAGTATCCGCTCCTGGCCACTCTGTATGCTCGCGCCCGACCATATCCCCGCAGCCGACGATCGCGACAGCACATCCACAGCAGACACCCAGTCGTCGTGCTCGAAGCTCGTGACATTCAGCGGCGGAACGAGCGCGCGCGTGTACTCGACGTCCAGCGTCGACTCAGCATTGATGCCGTTCTTAGTGAGGAACTCGTCAATCGAGGTGCGCAGAAACTGGCCGTTGATGAGGATGTCGAAGGGAATGCGATTGTCGTTTCGGTGGAGGAGGTCGTTTGCGAGTGTGGAAAGCTGGTGGCGGCCCAGAGCTGAGTGCTGTATTAACCACTGTTTCTAAACATACTCCAGCGCAAGCACACTTACAGGTCTGGACAAGCAACACGGTCGGCTCGTCGGAAATCTGCAGATTGGGGTCGCGCGTGCTGAGGCGAACCTGCACTTTGGTTTCTGCCATGATCGAGTCCATTTCCTTGGTATATACGTAGGCGTAATGTTGCTTGCAGTCGTCCAAGCTCTCGAAATTTTGGAACCTCGAACTTTTTCGATCAGGCTAGCGCGGGATGGAAAAGTGTGACCCAATCAGCTCTCGCAAAGTCCGCTCTCCAACCCCACAATCATGACAAGAGTCTAGAGTTGCAACCATGGCGAGATGCAGCTAGATTACCCTGCTGTGCATCTATCGAAGAACCGACGGCTGATAAAACGCCGTGAGCAGTTGATCACATCCTGAGGGACAAAGCTGTTGAAGACTCTTGCCTGCACCATGCCTCTCTTACGGCCGTACAAGTCGGAAACACATGTCGCGCCATACCATAAACATGATCCTGTCAGCAGCAGAACAATAAGCACTTACGATCAAAGTCAGCTGTACCTGCTTCGAACAATTGCCTTTTAGGGACTGTTATAATATATCAATCTCACTTCAGCATCCGATTTCGCAACGTCTTGTATGGTTGTACTCGTTTCTGACATTTCGAGAACGTGAGAACATGTGTGCATTGATGTGTGATTCTTACCAACGCATCTCACATGTTACATTCTCTTGTACTCTATGCGTCAGCTTCTGTATCTTCTTAAATCGACTGTCTGTCGTGTCTTTAATGCTGAGCTGTATCCCTGACGACAGGGCGTATAAAACTGTTCAGCCATGATATCATGACGTTTGTTTTCGAGTTCGGTATCCTCGGTGAGATATCAATTCACAAAAAATGGAACGCAATGAAAAAGGCGACAAACATTACATAGCAGATGCTACTGTAAAACCTACAAGTGTGCGTATATATAGCCTAAGCAGTTCTGCGCTTGGGGTTGGGCCGTGTCAAGCGTTCACTTGTCGAGAGGGCATTTCACCTTACGTCCGTAAAGTGCAATGAGAGGTTAAATACGTGAGTAAGTGCTGGACCCTTCGCCGCCCACATATAAATCGGAGATGTATTCAACCGTTGCGGGTTGACAGATCGTTCCGCAATCCGGCGATGACGCTACGAAGCGGCTAGCTTTGGGTGACGCACTAGTGTTGGGTGTCAGTACATATCCAGTAACGAACATGACTGGAGACTATAAACTTAATATCGCTTTAGTCTAAGATATAAAGACTCAGGGAAGTCAGCCACTTATCACATCTACTGGCCATAGGCTATACCTCACTCAACGTCGACACCAACGCCAGCACCGACTCAAATAGCCTTTTTACTTACGAGATGGGATTCAACGGGGACTTTGTTCCCTTGGTCAAGCCAACAGCTGAGAGACCAAAGTCACAGTATCACAAAAGCCTTCAACCAATCTTCGCTGGCTTCAACACCCTTGAGCTCAACGTAAGCAAAACTCTCGCACAAATACCGCCTGGGCGCATATGAGTGGAAACTAAAGTTTTCGAACACAGTTCATACGCGATCAGCTGAACCTCTCGACATGGTTTGCACTCGGCGGCATCGCACAAGCTGCGCTTCTGGCGGTATTCGGTCGTGTAGCCATTCTTCCAAGTGTTGTCTTGATTCTGTACCGAGTCCTTGATGCCTATCTCATGGCAGCAGGCGTCAAGCACAATCACTACATGGATGGCGTGATGCTCAACAAGTTCTCCTCGCAGTTCCCAGACTCGACAGGCCAGTTTGGATCGAAGCCAGCTAATGGCGATATCGTTATCTTCCTGATCGGTGCAAGAACTAACCAGTGAGTTCCCCCATCGACATGTTGCATGGCAATCCAAAAAAAAAAAGGCAACACACTAACCCATAATTCAGTCCCATGGGCATGTTGTCCCCCGGAACCAAGCAACTCGGTGCTTATTTTACTGGAATGGCTCGCAACCTAGAAGCCCATGCCGAAGAATTCGACTTCCTTGGTGCATCGGGCTGGACTGGCTCAGAGCGAACCGCAGGAAATGAGCTCATGACGGTCATGTACTTCAAGTCATCCGACGGTCTGCACAAGTTTGCACATTCGGATTTCCATCGTGAGGGCTGGAATTGGTGGAACAAGGAGATCAGCAAGATGCCTCACCTTTCTATCTGGCACGAAATGTATCGATCTCCAAAGGGGAACTGGGAGAATATCTATGTCAACAGCCACCCGGACCTTATTGGTGAGTGACCCTTCGCAGTGCGTGTGTGTGCAAGTTTCGATTACATACTGACGTGTGCTTCCCTACTAGGTGCTACTGCGTTCAAGATTGATCACCCTGATGCGAAAGCAGAGGGAATCGAGCCGGGCAAACCTTTCTACGTCAGCCCGATTGTGGATGCTAGGAGAGGACTTCTCAAGACCAGTGCAGGTCGCATGAGCCAGTCCACGGCGAACGAGCATGATAAGTACGATCAGGATCCTTACGCGCAGTATGGAACGCTCGGGTATGTTCAGTGAGAATCGGTGTCGTAGGGGTTTCGAACAGTATGGATGGAGTTATGAGAAATACACAATGTGTTCTTCTGCCCTGAGAATGCAACATGTCCCGATTGTTTCCAACGTATACCAAACGACATGTTTCCTTGAAGCTATGGTCGACTACTCTAATCTGAATGCGCATTATGCTCAAGGCTGTCAAGATACCAAGTTTCTTCCGAGGTACTCACAACAGCCTACTATGCATATCCAAACCCCCATCAAAAGGAACAAACAATCAAACACCTAGACACCTAAACGGGCGCCCACCACTCGAAACTAGTCTTCCTCGCATCCTTCAACAATACACTGACATGTGCCACATCCCACCTATCGCCCTCCTCATCCGCAGCCCTAATCATCGCAGCCGCCAGGCCCAAAAAGCCAACAAACATATGCTCCTTCTCCATACTAAGCATACTCCCCCGCTGAACATCATGCGTCAGCTCCCCAGCATCACGAGAACAGTACTCTTGCTCGTGAAATACACCTCGGCTTTCGCAAGATCACGGTAGATGTGTGAACAAGCGCTCAGCAACATCGAGTATACGAACGAGGGCATGTCGCGCCAGAACTTTGCATCTGGGCTCGCGGAGCTGAGCATGATGAGGCGAGGGGCCTTGAGGTTCGGAACTGTGGTTTGGAGACTTTTCAGCGCGGATACGACGGCGTGGGTGGTGTTGAGGGCGATGCTGCAGCCGGGTATGTTGAGGGTTGTGGCGACTGTGAAGAAGGCTGCTTTGGTGTTGGGGAGATATGTGGTGAGAGAAGGGATGTGGGATGTGCTGCTTCTAAAGATGATGGGTGATGCGGTTTGTGGGACGGTTTGTCAGTGTCTTAAGTTGCAGATATCCTGGTTGAACACATACTATCATTACATGTTCAGAGTATATGAGAGTATGGAGTAAGCGACGGCATTCTTCTGGCGATGATGTTGCGCGTCACTGTGTAGACTTGGTGTGGTACTTTACGGCACTTCGATCCCTTTCAGTTCCAAGCATTATCATGCGTTACGAATAGCTGCCGAGGAATGTAGCGATTATCTGGTCAAATACGTATTGACAATCTACCCAATCGAGTGTGATACTCACTGCGGATCGTGTGGTGTCGGGTTTCGGAGCTCTCGCACGCCACACGACGGGTAAGAAAGATGTCATCGCTGAAGACTCAGAAAAGCCGCAATGTCTCCCAATCTCGCCTGGGCTAAACAGCACGAATAGACTTTGAGCTGATAGAAGAATACAATTTAACTACTATCAAAAGGTTCTGACTTCATTCTATCTGAAATTCGCTTGAGATTAGATGCGATTAGTAGTCTTATCGACCTACTATCTGTTCAACCTTAATTTCTCAAGCTTTTTTTACGTGGCTTTTTCTTTGTTATTACTCCTTGATGTCGTTGAGTTTGGCTGGGTTATGTGCTAGGATTGGGGTGATGAGAGCATAAAGTTCCTTCGTAGTGATACTCACCGCACTACCTCAATTTGCATCTCTCTCTTTGTATATTGTCGTTCTTCATAGTGTGGTATATCAAACACCGAAAGACAGTCCTACTTACGCGGCGCAGTCGTGGCTTACCCCTCCTCGCCAGCAAGATACTGAAAGCACTTTCGAAACCCCCACGGCTCCGTGCTATCTCTTCCAGACAAGATATGTGTCAAACGTGGGCTCGATACGAGCCTCAGCCAAGCTCCGAGTGCGCTTCGTGACGAAGCACACATCAATCCCGATCCCGATCCCTCGTGTACATTGAGCTTTCACACGCTAAAGTTGAGCATGCGTTGTGATAGATAGTATGCATGGAGAGTCAGCTAGAGTTGAGTGTTCAAGGGGTTCAGGAGAAAACAAGGCAAAGATTTTGCACGAGCTCAAACACATGGTTGAGGATCTGCGTCGCATGATGCCTCTAGAAGGCATGTGCATAGCCCACGTTGATGGCGGCCCTTTTTGTGATCCTTGATTGTAAGGGATCATCAGATCGTCTTGAACCTTCTAGCACGCTGCAGGATTCCCACATGCACCTCAAAGGATACCTGGAAGGTTATGCGCCGCGCCAATCAGATATTACTGAGTTCATATCTCAATAGGACGGATGTCGGTCATCTCCGATATTCACTTATGGAGACTTAAACAGCTTGAATATTCTCGCGTCTGTAGACGAGATTATTGATATTATTGATTAGGACACAGCGGGATAGTAGCCGTCGTATCAGGAGGACAGTACTGCTTCGAATGCGAATCCACAAACGGTCGAGAATTTTCTCCAACCCAGAACTAAGAAATCGGAGATGGAAAAGATGAGACGTGAATATGTGAGAGCTGTTTCAATTATCAATGTTGACCAGGTTGTGTACCATTGTAGGCTCTCGGATAACTAACCTGGAAAGACTCAAAGAGCGCTATCTTTCCACGTTATTTAGCAAAACTCCATTTGTTTGTCACCAAAGGATCGGATGATACACGGTGGATCAAACGTGTTTCGCTGCACAAAACCCTGGAGAATTGTCGGCTTTTACATAGTAGGGGTTGCTGAGACCCGACACGAGCGCTTACGAAGGCTGTAGGGATCATTTACGGTACAAACGCCGTAAGGATCATCTACAAAGACGGTAAGGATATGTCAGGTACCGTCGAACCGCTGTAGCGGAACCCCCCGTAATGCTACTGTAGCATGTACGTGTAGAGTGGGGCAGGGTGTATCCGAGGGACAGGAATACCTAGAGCATTGAGCTGACGGTGTCCTGGGCGTCTGGTTCGCTCGGCCCCATCCAAGCGACATGGACCCTTTTGAGGCTGAATGCCGGAAATCCTTGACTGCGTTGAGGATGGACATCCTAGCGATAATTGAGGCATTAAGACTGAAACTTCAGCTGTGGAAAATTTGGGCAGTCAACTCACAGTTCCAAAGGCACAGGAAGTGCGTACATTTTCCTTGCAGAGAGTCGTAACAGAGTTATCGTTTGCTTTAAATTGGCATTGTGTATCTAAGTATCTACCAAGCATTTTCAATGCTATCTGCTGATGGTATGATTGGTGTAACAGGTCGTGACTTGCGAAATGTGTCAACTCAATTCCTCCCCTCCTAACCAGCTAGCGCAAAGACCTTTGCCAAAACATCGTCATCGCTAGGTCCATCTCCCTTGATAGTCTCATACGCTGGCGCAAGCACCGCTTTTTCAATCTCCTTGTATTTTCCATCACAGACGAAAAGTACATCTCCGTGCCGAGACTTGTCAGCCATCAGATAAGCAACCGCACGGGCAACCACGGCAGTGGATTGGGATGGTTGCGAAACTGCCTTCAGGAGCATTTCCAGATCAGGCAAGACTTGAGTTGCCGTCCATGAGGGGGCAAGACCGTTGATGCGGATAGGTAGGCCAGCGGCTTCTACGAGGCGTGCGAGACCGCGGCAGAAGCCGAGGACACCGCTCTTGGCCGTTGCTAGGACATCTTGTTAGCCTTGGACGGAGACTTGGCGGCTTGATGACTTACAGTAATCAACGGCTCGGACAGGATGTAAGCTAGTGCTGGATCCCATAAGCACGATACTTCCGCCTTCCGCCTGCTCCTTCAGATAGTGAACGGCCAGGGTACCAGTGTTAACAACGCTGTTCAGATTGATGTCCAAGGTATCCTTGTTTGGCTCCTTCAGATCGCCCTTGTCGTCGACCTCAAGGGCCAGGTAGTTGGCACGAGGGCCGATTCCAGCATTGGCGAACACGTAATCGATCCTTCCATATCGGTCCTTTGCTGCCTTGAAAAGCTTCGTGAGGTCTGTCCAACTCTTGACATCGGTTTGCACGAAAAGAAAATCGCCCTTGGCGGGAGGTTCTTGGATGTCACCGCTGACGACTGATGCTCCTAGAGATAGCAGCAGCTCGACTGTAGCAAGACCAATACCAGATGAACCACCTGTGAGGATGCAGGGTCAGCTCTAGGTGTTGAGGTTGCATTGCATCGAAGAAGCGGTACCTGTGATAATAGCGACCTTGCCCTTAAAGCCGGTCAGATCTCCGTCCTGAATTTGAAAGTCTGTCATGTTAGTGATCTTTGTGTAGAGTTTAAAGTCAACGATTGAAAGTTTGAGGTTAAAAAATAGAGTAAGTTCCCCGGGAACTTGGGTAGTTGGTCTATGGCAGGTGGGTGGAGCTGCTGGCTTACGGTAGCAAAGGAGCTCCCGAGGTGTTGCCGCTACGACAATTCACGAATCGGTGGTGCATACAATCGCACAGACGTGTGTCGAAATAAGCAAATTTGTGTGGAAGACGCACAGACGGCGCGCTACTGACTGATTCATGGGATGTGCGAAGGTGATTCTAAGCGGGTCTGTGAGTTTCAGGAGTACCCTCTTGAAGCATTCTCAAAAGAGAAAACAATGTGTTGCATTATGATTCGTCTCGGCTCGACGGCTCGATAAGGATTTTACTGAGTAAAACTCTTCCATCTTTGCATTGCATCTCACACGTGATCGTGGTACCTTCCCCACGTTCGAGGTCTCGAACACAGGAGAACCTTCGTGCGTCTTGTGGCGCTTCTCCTGCTCTGCAGCTTGGGCTCTTTGGACCTAACTTTGTGCGTGCTTTTGGCTCAAACATGTGGACCGTTTGCTTGGCGAGAGCATGGGAGCAGGAGTGCTCCGAGGGAATCCTAAACTTGTTTTTGATCAGTTTCCTGACGGAAGAGGAAGAGGACTTTTGCTGATCGCCGGTTCTGGCCTATATTCATGCTGCTCGACTTAGAAGCTAAGCCTATCCATACAGCCACTCGACCCAAGTCAGGCCCCCCACGCGGCTGACAATAATCCCCGCAGAAAACTGCCGAATCCAGAGATAAGCCCAGCAACAGCCTCTCTTAACATAGGTAGTATAGCTCCACAACAAGAGCAACACCAACAACACCAGCAACCATGATAACAACGACAACAAAAGAATCGGGCGAATGTGCAAAGAGAAACGTTGTAGAAGGTCATTGGTTTCAATTTTAACATCTTACAAATACTAGGTTCACTACTAACTTTTGTTATTGCCTACGCCATTGTATAGGTCGTACGAGTGCTTGGTATGCGGGGGGCTTTTACCAGCCGCGTGGTCCTCAGGAGAATTTGCTCCCTGCCGTTGTTCGGACGACTTGATTGGGTAAAAATTGCCACGGGCCGATGGGGAGGCGGAAAGCACGTACTGAGCTGCAGGGCTTTGGCGTGATCCATGGGACATCCATACGTAGCGTAGCATTAGGTCATTGAGGCTAACAACGGATGTGCCGGCTTCGAAGAGCAGCGGTGTGGCGGGAGAGGTGCATTTCCGACAAGAGATTTCAATGTGCTATGGGAAGGAGCCGCTACATCAAGGTGAAGACAGTGTTTTTGTGACGTAGCCTCAATCGAGAGCACGATTGCAAGTCGACCCGCGGGTCTAATCGTGAACGCGCGGCGGATAAACGGATGAGCGGGGTTGCGCGAGAGTTCAAATGGCGACCTCAATGATGAGCTCGAATCGTGAGCCCAGCCGTGAGCTCGACCGGGAGTAGATCATCCTTGAAAAGGACGGTGTTAAACCACTCCCAGCTAGTCGGAACTTTTAGCAATGAGAGCCACTTGCTCCTCCTTAACTATCGTGTCTAATTTGGACAAGATTTGCAAAATGTTAGAAGTCCTCTTTCGTCAACAAGACTTCTTGGATTGATCGTCTCAAGGATATCAGTCGTGTAAAAACACCTAATATCAGTCATTCAACCACAAATCTCTGGCAAGCTGCTTTTCCTGCGTCTTCACTCGTTCTATCATTCCTCTTGGCCGCAAACATGGCCACTGTCGATGTGGCTGGAGATGGCATAGCACTCTTCTATGCCTCAATTATTTTGTTAGTCTTGAGTTGGGTTACGTTCTCCATGCGCGTTGGAGTACGGATATGGAGAAAGGCTTGGGGGTCGGATGACTACTTGATGTTCGTAGGACTTGTATGTGTGCAACAACCCAGAGCAACAAAACAGCGGGCTAACACTTTAAGGTTCTCTTCTCTGTCACGGCGGCCCTATGCATTGTATGCTGCTATTATGGCGCCGGTCAGTTATCTGCCGATCTGCCTGTCGCTACGAAATCGAAAGGAACCAAAGTATGTCCATTCACTATCGTTAATGAGAAGCCAGAAAGCACAAGACTAATCGACCTCAGCTCTTCTACATTGCAGAATACTTCTATGCCGTCAGCGCCATGTTCATCAAATGTAGCATCGCAGTGACACTTCTGCGTATCGCCGGTACTCGTCGTCGGTTCAATTGGTCTCTTTGGGCAATCATAGGTGCATCAGTCATTGCCGCCCTTGTTTTCTGTGTTGGCATAGCCAATATCTGTACGAGTAACCCGCCTTACGAGATGAGCGTCACTGACTTTCACAAAGGCCATCCAATTGGAACATTATGGGGTGCAGCTAATGGTACATGCAACCTCAAGCTGAACAGCGACGTCAGCTTGTTCTATTCAGCTATCGGAATTGTAGTCGATTGGAGCTTAGCAATCTTGCCAGCCGTCTTGTTGTGGAATGTTCAGATGAAGGGCAACGTAAAGGCTTCAGTGGCTGTTATCCTTGCAATGGCTTCTTTGTGAGTTCCTCTACTCTCAGGTTTGTATACTGCTAACTTAAAGATCAGTGCGAGTTGTGCAACGATCGTTCGACTCAACTACCTCACTCTTTACAGCGACCCCGGAGAATTCATGTACAGCACTGGCAAAATCGGTTTCTGGTCTTTGATGGAAGAGGGAATCGGCGTGGTTGCTGGCTCGCTCCCCGCCCTTCGTCCTCTCCTCTCCCTTCGACTCAAGATGAGCAGCAGCGCAACACCCATGGGTGCCCCCGCATCGGCCAACACGTACCCAGTATCAAAGAGCAGGCCGCCACAATCACGATCGAGTCTCCTGATGATGGACACTTTCCACCACTTGGGCGACGAGGATGACGTTGAATTTGGTGACGGGGACAGCCAGAAAAACATTGTGAAGGAGACGAAGTACACGGTGACCTCGACTTACGCTGCTGGGAACGGAGAGGAACAGCAACAGAGTCAGGTGTTGGGCTGGGAGCAGAAGAACCATGCCCACGTCTGAAGAGGTATGCCTAGGTTTGGATAGAGAAAAAAATACACGAACCGCCCACAAAACGCCGTGCGGCCAGATATATATTACCACAACATCAGCCACTCTTCCACATACGATCACACGACGTTGAATGCAAGGCTTCCCGTTCGCTCAGCCCTATTTAAGCAACGTACCGGCGGATTAGTACATATATGGGTACCGATAGGGAATTCCCGCTGTTGTATGTTTTTGTACTCACAGCGTCCTGGAGGAACGGGCATGTAGTCCAATGGTAAGACGGCAGAACTGTCATTCTGAAGATTTAGTGTTCGATTCCTGGCGTGCCCCGGTTTATTTTTGTCGGGTAACAGGGGACGGGTGTGGCACAGTACATTAATGAATACCCTGACAATAAGTCCCACTAGTATCGTTTCCATCTTGTTGGGTCCTGTGTTCTACGCTCTCGGTTAGGTTCTATATCATCTACAAGCAGCGACACCACAACCCTAGAACTCACAGAAGGGTGTATTGGGCATATACTGCTAGACATTAAAACACATGCATTCTGCACCGATGTTGAATGCATTTGCCAAATTGTTGTAGGATTCTGGTGCAACTTGGTTCCAGCTTGTACACTTAACTAAGGGCCGCCATCCTGGCTACAGCTGTATGAACACCAACCCATGTCTCCTATATTGTCTTCTGGTTTCATGCTTGTTGGTGCATGAGTTCTACAACTTCCTCAAGCAACGCCTCTTTCTCGGCTTCGCCGCCAACACCATACTCTTGCCTGAATCGTCTTCCCATCGCCTCGTCCCCCACAGTTCGCTCGCCATCCCCAAACACCTCCTTGAACACCCCATCATAGCTCAACCAAACACCCGCGAATATGAGCGACACAAGTTTGCTCAGCCAAGCAGGCGATCTCCCCTTCTTGTCCTGGAACATCTTGTTCAGCGAGAATACGAATACAATGAAAGGCATCCATATCGCCGCGAACAAGGCTTTTCCCGCTGCCTGTCGCTTGCTTGTGATGGTGTAGGGTCGAATGTCATGAAGGTAGTCTTGATATTCTGCGGGGAGATTGCACTCGGTGGCGCCGTCGGTGATGAGCTTGAGGTAGCGAGCGGAAGGCTGCGCGTAGCTAGGGTCTGGGCGGGTAGGGTGATCTGTGGCGCGCATGTTGTTCTGGTCTAGCCTAGGCGCAAAGAGGGTGTGTGCTTTGAAGGGCAGCGTGGATGGCGACGTAGGGACGGTGTCAGAGTCTGGGAGGACATAGCAGTCCACCATGACGTCTTTGTAGGACGATCCCCCGCCTTCTGTCGCGATGATGTGTGCATAGTCGCTGAGTGTGACTTCGTATACCACACCCACTAAGCCCTTGTGCCAGCGGTCTTTGTGGTAGTCTTGCCCCTTCGCGTTGCCGTTGTCGCCATCGTCGCTGTAGGGTACGTCTGGTGTCCGCAGCGCACTGTTCCCGAAGCATGGCTCTATGTACGGAATTCCGGGCAGATCGAATGTCAATCGTAGTGATGGGACCAGGACGTTGACCTGTGAGATGGGCTTGATGCCCCGCACACCTCTGAATGTCTCATTGCACAGATTTGACCCGTACGCAAGGTACAGTACCGTCTTTCCTTTCTCGCGCGCTGCTGACACGTCAGAAGGTGTGAGGGTTGTCGCATCGAATGATGATTCTGTCAAGGAGGCATCGAGGCGCTCCTGTGACGTTCTCGCCAGAGGGGCGAAGACGCGCTTTGGCGCGTAATTGTCGCGACGTCGCGAGAACTGCAGTCGGCTGGTGACCTTCTTCCAGAACGGGATCGACGCGTTTGTCGCGGCATGATTCGCGAATTCGGGATACTGCTGCGACGAGGTCATTGTGAAGCTGGATTGCGTGATGCTGATACGAGCTAAGTTGATTGGATAGTTCTTGTAGCGCCCTAAAATGGTACACCTACTGTTCTGGGACTGAATTTCTCTGTTTGAGTACTCGTAGAATCAGACTCTATTGTTGCTTTATAAGTAGTACTGTTGACGCGGAGTTTGTCCGTGAAGTTGGCTGACATAGTTGATTTGGCATCAAATCGGCCGCAAGTTGTCCCATTAGCCGAGTTGCTGACGAATGCGAGACTTTGGGATATTTGATAGAAAACAGTCCAAGAAGACTATTGGGATTTTGGGACAACCTAATGAAGCAAAATGGCCAAAGAGTAAGGCGAGCAGACAAATGGCAGCCTTCTACACCTAAGTTAAACTGAACTCAGAGAAAGTTGGTCAATGCCATATTATCCAGCAATACAGGGCACAGGATTAGTTATAATTGAGTCAGATATCTTCAACGAAAACTACCATCTATATCGGCGCTTCGGCATCGTGTAGTATCGAAGTCGTGGAGGACCAACCTGCACATCCCTCCCCATGAGCTTCAGCTCTTCTGCCATGCGTGACAATCCCTGAAAAACGGGGAAAGACCTGGAGATATTATGAAGCTTTCTTGAGAGTTTCTCGATTTCGCGCGAAAGGAAGTAGGTGTCTTGAATGTTGGAATCATGACCCCACATGAAGTGATGATGTACACTCTCCAACGTTTGCAGGATGTATTGGCAGTGATGGAATGGAATAAAAGCCCAAAGTTCCTGGAGTTCAGTGTCCAGGCTTGGCTATATGAAGTGTAAGCCGTTGAATGATGACAACGAGGATGTATAGCAGATTGAACTTACTATACGGTCGCGAGCTACGCAGAAGTCGCAGCATGGCTCTCTATCATGCAACCAACGGGGGTGCCTCATCTGCCAACTTTGTAGAGGATAGTCGTGAACATGTGGGAAATTGTTATGCCATCGGTAAGGGCAATGCAGTGTGAACATATCAAATGCCATTGTTTTCGATCGCTAACACCAAACAAGTTTGAGCAGGATGAGAAACCGCAAGACAGGTCAGAAAGAAGCCAGCCAGAATCGAGGGCAAGGCTACTCTTACAGCTTCTTATACTCCCCTAGTCAAACCTTGCTTACGTTGCACATACGGGGGCATTGCTCCATTGTACAACCAAGCAGGTCACAGCCTCTATGGAACACGCAAACACATTGGCTGTTAGAGAGCGATCAGATAGTGGAAGTCACCAGACCGGTACACTTTTCCGTACACATCTCATGCAATTCAATCCAGCTCTAGAATTTGATAGCTCTTCCTGATAACTGCATGTGGAACGTATGTTCATGTTCGAGCAAACAGCGAAAACGAACTCAAGGATCGTGTAACGGGTCACTGCCGATCGAGAACTGGCAAGCTGTGGCCATCTGTATGCCGGATATGTCGTAACAATTGCGGACGGGGCTGTGCGTGAGGCGATTCGACAGGGTAATTCGCGGCCATAGGAGGCTGAAGCAAAGTTTGATCGAGAAGGGCGCAACTCTCAGACACTATGATGTGCAATCCAATCTTTGCGTCAAGCTGGAGGTATCAATCACATGGTCAAGTCGTGAGATGGCGGCTAGAAAGGGCAGAGACTATCCTGTGCGCTTTGTAGGTATGAAAACTACCAGGACAATAGAATCCTCCAGAAAGTAATGAGACTTAGCATAGGAGCAAGACTTGATTCAGCTTCTTCCAACAGTCCGAACTGAGATGAGAAGAAAAGTGTGGATTGCGCTAACACACTAGTGCGGCGGGACATCGTCACGCTAGACGCACTTTACGCGTCGGGTCGCGCATGCTAAGGAGCTCCTTCCTCCATCTTCAATCGTCGAGTGCACCTGCCACCACACCCCACCCGCCTTCCCGTGCAGTCATCACGAACTATGCCTTCTACCGTTCTGGGAAAGAGAACTCGCAGCGCAGCTCGCGCAGAAGGTAGGCACAATCAACGCTCGAGTCGCGGTTGCTCGGGTAACGCGTCACTAACGCGCTCTACAGACGCAAAGCGCAATGTCACAACGCGCGCAAAACGACGAGAACAGTTTGTGATCCTCGATGAAGCGGAGAAGGAGAACCCATTTGTCACACCGAAGAAGGCGATTCTGCAAGATGATGATCCAATGGACGTGGATGAGCTGGCGGAGGAGGAGCAACCATTGGCAAAACGCGGAAGAAAGGCAGGCACGACACCTGCGAAGCATGGCGCGCCTGCATCACGTCTTCCTCTGTCGCCTACAAAGACGTCGCCCTCGAAAGCACCAGAGAAGATCGCCTTCACCCCCTCAACACCACGACACCGAGACGCGTTCGCCAGCAAAGTTGCCGTCACACCAAGACACCGACTCATTCTCGCTGGACGACCACCATTGACACCTCGATCGCCACACACATTGGGTACCCCTCGACACACCGCTCCCACAGTCTACAATGAAGCCCGCCAGCTATTCTCCAGAGGCTCCGCGCCTACAGTGTTATTCGGCCGAGAAGAAGAAAAGAAAGAGCTGCAAGGTTTCATCTCGACGCGCACAAAGAACAAGAAGTCTGGATGTATATACGTCTCCGGCCCGCCAGGCACTGGCAAGAGCGCATTCGTAGCCGACATCTGCCGCACAGTCGCAACCAATGGCACAGTCGAGACGGGCTATATCAACTGTATGAGCGTCAAGAACGCCACAGATCTGTATAGGACACTTCTGGAGGAGTTTGTGGATATCACCGAGGTCACTGAGGGCACGGAGATGGACACATTGAACGGTCTCTTCATGCAACGCCAAACGCCGTATGTTGTTACATTGGACGAAGTGGACCATCTCATGGAGCTCGACATCGACCTTCTGTACAATATCTTCGAATGGTCGCTCCAGAAAACCTCTAGCCTTGTCCTCGTTGGCATTGCGAATGCGCTCGACTTTACGGATCGGTTCCTTCCTCGACTCAAGGCCCGCGGTCTGAAGCCTCATTTACTCCCCTTCCTCCCGTACACCGCGCAACAGATTTCTTCTGTCATCACATCAAAACTCAAGACGCTCCTTCCGGCTGGTTCGAGTCAGCTCCCCTTCATCCATCCAACAGCCATCATGTTCCTCTCGAAGAAGGTTGCGGCGCAATCCGGTGATCTGCGCAAGGCCTTCGATATTTGCCGACGAGCGATTGATCTCATTGAAGCCGACACGCGGGACCAGCATGCTAAAAAGGCCGTTGAAATTACACCGTCTCCCACACCCTCGCCGTCAAAGACGCCACTAGTCGAGAACAACAATCTCTCATCATTCGCACTGCTACGATCGCCCTCCAAATCGAAGCCTCAAAATGCACTTACGACTTCGCTCGCCCAACTCACTGTCGACACCGCTCCTCGAGCAACCATTGCACATATGGCGAAAATCACAGCAGCAGTGTTCAGCAATGGTACAAGTCAGCGCCTCCAGAACCTCAACCTCCAGCAAAAGGCAGTCCTCTGCTCGCTTTCGGCCATGGAGAAGAAGAAGCGCGCCTCGGCCGCAGACAATGTCCTGTCAACACCTTCAAGATCTCACAATACTGCACCTACTATCAAAGAGCTCTTCGAGGCTTATACCGCTCTGTGCAAGCGCGAGAACATCTTACATCCGCTCACGAGTACCGAGTTTCGCGACATCGTCGGCAGCCTGGAGACTCTCTCTCTTATCTCGGCAGTAGAAGGCAAGGCAGGGTCGTTGGTCGTTGCGGCTGGTACACCCAGCAGAAGGGGCCGGGGCGGCTTTCCTGGTATTGTTGTCGAAGATCGTCGCGTTGCGAGTGTTGTGGGTAATCAAGAGCTTGGAGCTGCTCTTGCGGGTCCCGGTAGTGGGATTTTAAGGGGCATTTTGGAGGGTGATGAGTAGGAAGATAGTTTTTTGGATTGATCGTGTAACATGGCAGGTACCATTGTGCGTGGAACTTGGTGTTTGGATAGGTGGGTAAAGAAGGTGTACATCATACATGGAGTGCAGGAATAGCGTTTGGATTTCCATTGATCTTTGCATAGCGTGGGGCGTTCAGAAGATTATGCCGAGGTTTTGGATACTGAGACTCGACGGCTTAGATAGCATAGCATGGCGCCTTTTCTGACTGTAGAACAGAGAAGTCGAATGAATTCGAAGATACTGTATCAATTTGTCTGGTCTTCGATGATGTGGTTCTATTCCTCTGCCATATTTTAATAAAGTCGTATTATTGCTATCCTTCCACTTGCTAGGAGAGAGGGCAGTTCCCAAACACGGTGATCGAACGTGAACCCCATCTGGCCGGTGAGATTAACGTATTTTCACGGGCTTTATATCAGACGCGGCTGTGTGATGGCTTAACTGGTGTATATGAGCGGTCCATACAGGTGTAATTGGAAATCGCCACGGTGAGGACGAGTACCACACAAGCAACCTTGCACAACTGAGGATCGGTATAATGCTGACAACCATTGGCAAAGACATGGTCAGTACAGACTAAGCTTGATGAAAGTGGATGTCGCGCACAGACAGGTCAAACGCGTCCGATATGTTAAGGGACAAGAAAGCTCTGCACCTCGCGATGACTAGCTTTCACCAACACAACAGTCACAACACAGGGCAGCTCTCATCAAGCTAACCATGATGGTAAACGTGATATGTACGACTAATCATTGCGCTCTCTCCCATTTGCTCGAAAGCAGGTAGAAACCGCACCCAAGATCGGCCACTGGTATCTCTTCTCCACTCTACAGACGGTTTTCGTTCTCATGGAAACCTCCATCGCCCGTAGGCGACGGGTCACTCCAAAGAAAATGCTTTTCGTGAGTGTGTTTGAATTTTGCGTTGTTCAATATGGAAGCAGAAAGGGTAGCGCGGCGCGAGAAAGTTTTATGCGGCTCCCCGGGGCCCGGCGTACGTTTCTCCGATCACGTGCGCCTGAGTCACCCCGCTGCCCGCTTTTTGTGTGGGATTTGATCTTGGAGGCGTTCGACGTCAGGATCACTGCAACACACTCGCACACCTTGAAACGACCGTTCCCAGGCACTTCCAACCCGCAATCACCCGAGTTTCGAAGAAACCGCCCAGCATGGAGTCCGAGTCCGAGCATGAGCACCGCGATGACGAGAGTGTAGCAGCATCTGAGCATGAGGAGGAGGTTGAGGAGACGAAGCCAAAGTCTGCGCTGAAGAAGCCCAAGGAGGTGGTTGCGCCTGTAGAACGCCCAGAGCTTCCGTGAGCCCTCCGAATTAGTATATTCATATTAGCAAAGCTGACACGCAGCAGCGAACAGCCAGACCCAGACACAATAGACTTCTCCACACTGAATCCATTGTCCCCCGAAATCATCTCGCGCCAAGCCACCATCAACATTGGAACAATTGGCCACGTCGCCCACGGAAAGAGTACGGTAGTCAAGGCCATCTCTGGAGTCCAGACAGTCCGTTTCAAGAACGAGTTGGAGAGGAATATTACCATCAAGCTTGGTTATGCAAACGCAAAGATCTACCAGTGTGACAACCCAGAGTGCCCGCGCCCAACATGCTACCGATCGTACAAGAGCGAGAAGGAGGTCGATCCACCTTGCGAGCGTGAAGGCTGCGGAGGGAAATACCGGCTGAAGCGCCATGTGTCCTTCGTCGACTGCCCTGGTCACGACATTCTCATGAGCACGATGTTGTCGGGTGCCGCCGTCATGGACGCCGCGTTGCTCCTGATTGCCGGAAACGAAACCTGCCCCCAACCGCAGACTAGCGAGCATCTTGCGGCCATCGAAATCATGAAGCTCAACCACATCATCATTCTCCAGAACAAGGTCGATCTGATGCGGGAAGACAGCGCCGCCTCGCACTACGAGTCGATCCTGAAGTTCATCCGAGGAACAGTCGCCGACGGTTCTCCTATCATCCCTATCTCTGCCCAGCTCAAGTTCAACATCGACTCGATCAACGAACACCTCATCTCCAAGATTCCCGTTCCCGTACGAGATTTCACCGCAAAGCCCCACATGATTGTCATCCGATCCTTTGACGTCAACAAGCCCGGTGCTGAGATCGAAGAGCTGAAGGGTGGTGTTGCTGGTGGTAGTATCCTGACCGGTGTATTGAAGCTGGGTGACGAGATCGAGATCAGGCCTGGTATCGTGTCCAAGGATAGCGCTGGAAAGATTCAGTGCAAGCCCATCTTTTCAAGAGTAGTGACTTTGTTCGCCGAGCACAACGATCTGAAGTTTGCGGTGCCTGGAGGTCTGATCGGTACGTTTTGAAGGATATAACTGCTGATTTTGTCTAACGTTCAACAGGTGTCGGTACACGTGTCGATCCTACGTTGTGCCGTGCTGATCGTCTCGTCGGTTTCGTGCTCGGTCTTCGTGGACATCTGCCTAACATCTACACGGAGCTTGAGGTCAACTATTTCCTCCTCCGAAGGTTGTTGGGTGTCAAGACTGCCGACGGCAAGCAGGCCAAGGTTGCTAAGCTTGCAAAGAACGAAGTCCTCGTACGTTGGTTCTGAAAGCACTCAAGAGGTTTGCTAACTTGCATTCAGATGGTCAACATTGGTTCCACCGCGACTGGTGCAAAGGTCATTGCCGTCAAGGCTGATGCTGCTCGTCTAACATTGACATCTCCTGCTTGCACTGAGATTGGCGAGAAGGTTGCCTTGTCTCGACGTATCGAGAAGCATTGGCGACTTATCGGATGGGCCAACATTGTCGCGTAAGTATTACAGCACTCCCATTCTTGACTGTGTACTCACCATCTCACAGTGGAAACATTCTTGAGCCAATTGTCGATTAGGGTGGGTTAGATAGTCTTAGCACTAGGAGTTCGAGGGGTAGCCTTGATGATGAGACGATGTTGAGCCAAACGACATGACGGCAGGGTTTTGAGCTTTGCGTTTTTGAGCATTTCCTGCAGGATTCGGTTGAACTATGTGAGGATAGAGGCGGAAAAGGTGTATCTGCGGCTACGCTCTAGACGACGCCCTCTGGAACCACAGTGTGACAGGGCGTGGAAACTGAGAGCTTTGTGGTGCAGCACCACCTCCAGAACAGCAGTCAGAAAAGCCAAATCTAATGAGAATATGTACCAATCAACTAAAGTGTTGAGAACATCTATGACCTGATGTGGAGTTTTACGATCGGCAGTCGATCTTCACATGATAATTGCACATGACAACGGCGAGAAACAGCTGCGTTACAGACGTCAGTTACTTTCTCGGCTTATAGTGCCTTCCCCTCTTTCCATTGCTCTCTCACGGTTCTTGTTTCATTGAAACAAAAGACATTGACTATCCAGGCGTGTTTGAGAGCAGACTGACGACTGACTCGCAGGCCAACCAAACAAAACCGAGCTCACCCTGCATATAGAGTTTCAACCTTCCTTTTACACCAAACGCGGGGACGAGAAAACCGACAGCGCATGCGCTGTATACCCTCTTTTCTTAAACTTTTCTCCACTCGTTTTCCTATCTTAGCTCCGTATCTTTCATTACAACTACAGCGCAAACGACAAGCGCATACGACATTCGTTCTACGAAATCACAAATATGGCGGAAGACGGCTTCACCCCAACAAACGCCGCGCAAGATCCACCACCTATCTACCGCCCCATCCCACGCCGTCCGCACGTCGACACGTCAGATTCGCCGACCCACGCCTTCTCGCACGCGCAATCTACGCCACCGAGTCTCAGCGAGAGCTCCCGCAGCAGCGACTTCCTCGCCCAGCTCAACGCGCGCCTCCTCCGAACGTACAACTCGCGCGAAGATGCAGAGGATAACACGCCGCCGTCGAGGAATAAAAGTTTTGCCGAATTGAGGAGTAGCACGCTCTCTGGTATCTACGACGATGTGGGAACGAGTTCTGGGGAGACGCCATGGGGTGAGGGCGCGGAGACACCGGCGCGTATGGGATTCGCGCAGGAGGGTTTGGGAAGCCCGGACGGGGGGCTTACTATGAAGAGTTTGGCGAGGACTGGAGGACGGGTCGAGAGCAATGGGAAAAAGGGAGTGAAAGAGAGGAAGAGACAAGGAGTGTGGAAGTACGCTGTGATTGGGAGTAAATTGGCTGCGCTGTGGGTGTTTGGCCTCGTGTATGGGTTGATCATCAGTCATCTGCATGATTCCAGGCAGTTGGCTGCGGTACATGTTGAGCTTGATCGGGAGGGTTGGGTGTATCTGGCTAGTTGGGGGATGTTTGGTGTTGCGCTGGGAAGCTTGTTGCCGTATGTTGATCTCTTGTGGGATGGACGGGGAGCGGACCTAGATGCAGACGCGCAAGAGAAGGAATCGGAAAAAGGCAGTGAGATATCCGTTAGTGAGCAGATCAACGACGTAGTCAGAAGTGTGTGTGCGTTTCTTGGTATCGCGTTTGCCATTGTAAGTTCCTTCCATCTTTCCTACGTGGACATGTTGGAAAAATAGCTAATCTCTGCAACAGCGCCGCCTCCCCTGGCAATCCACCCTTCAACTAACCCTCACGCTCGCCCTCGTCAACCCGGCACTCTGGTATATGCTCGACCGCAGCAAACCTGGGCTCTCATTCTCCCTTGTCGTCACATCAGTCCTCACATCCTTCATCTTCCTCTCCAATCCGGATGTCCTGCCGTCGCCATCCTTCCCCGCCGCAAATTCCACAAGCAGTCTACCACCAAGTAGTAGCAGTAGTAGCAGCGTCGTGCCCAGTACAAGGCTGGTCAGCTATGAGAACCTGGCTGTGGTGACGTGGGTGGGCAGTGTATTGTTTTGCAGTTGTGTATGCTTTGGGAGCATCGGAAGACGATTGGGAGTGCTCGAAGGTGGGGTGAGTAAGAGATGATGTAAAAAGTTGAACTTGGTACTATTGGCAAGTGTTGTTTAGAACTATGTAGGTTCTATTGGTCTTCGCGTGAATAGATTGGATATTAGACTTCCTATGGGGTTTGGTTGTAAACACTCCGCGTCGTAGTGTTTTCGTTCAACGCGTGCTTTCTTGAGACTTGAGTCGTCCCTTGCTCCTTTGTTCGAGGCTCGATCAGGCTGAGTCGAAATTGGCACGGGTCCAAAGTCTGTGTCTGGGATCAGGCTGTGTAACCACCTCCTCTTCCATCGCTCGTTTGTTGCCAGAGTTGCAAACAGCGGTTATCTGTCTTCGATGAGCGTTTGTCTTACCTATTCTGATCGGCATTCGTGTTTTGGGGTGTCATCTCACACTCCTAAGGTCCACGTACTTCCCATTATGCTCTATCCACTACCCCAACAAACTGCCAAGGTAATATAACATGATGCTGGTCACACGGCCCGGCAACCCAAGCTCCCAGTGAATATCCGCCACGAGTTGAGTTATTTACTGACGAATGATATTTCTCGAGGTACTACTTATACTATCATCTCACACCACCCAGCCTGCCCACCAACTCAACCTCAACACCACAGTCTCCCCAAGCAAAAAATGGCCGAGGACACATCCGTAGCGATTGGTTTTTTCACTCTGCCTCGCGAGCTGCGAAACGCAGTATACCATCAGATATGGTCCCATACCTCCAGACTATCCATCCCTCACCAGGACAGACTATACGAGTTGACTTACACTACCCGCTCGTCCGGTCCCTCACCGCATCAGCGCGGTCTCCCTCTCTGGCTCCTCGCAAACAAACAGTTTCTCACAGAGGGTCTCGACCAACTCCTCCTCAACGCAGCCTGGTCATGGGGAACTAGTAATCCGTCGCACAACCCACGCGCCAGCTCCACCCCCCAGATCCCGTCGTCCCTGTTATTTCCCATAAAACCCTCCAGCCGCCCGTTCACCCTCAACCTCGAAGCATGGTCACACGTTGCGCTGCGAGACTTACCGGCTCCGGAGCTCTCACTGCATGACTGGCATGCGGATGACGCTGAGTTTGTTGCTGAGGTTTTGCAGGATGCAAGTAGTATGCAATGTCTGGTTATTAACGTCACAATAGCAGATCATGCGCAGAATGACCCGGAGAAGGCGCCGCGTGAGGTGGATTTCTCATTGTTGCGAACGGACAGGTGGGCGTTGGGGTGTGGGCGAGTGATCGTGGTGGTGAAGAGTCGGTTTGGACGGCAGGCGTGGTGGCATGAAGAGCTGAGGGGCGCAGTGGAGAGGGAGGCCAGGAAGGTTGCAGAGGTGATTTGTGGGAAGGAGGTGTGTGAGAGATATGAAGAGCTGGCTGAAGGGGTCGCTACGAGGAAGGATGTCGTGGGTGTGATGAAAAAGGGGAAGAAAGAGGTAGTGCCGATAGACGTATGGCGGTTCGAGTTCTGGCGGAAAGATGAACGAAGACTTTGCTGAGTTCCTCCTAGTGGTATTGACGTATATAGCGGATCGTATCCATGATTACTTCCAAACCCTCCTCTTTGTCTTTGGATTCTATCCTTCTCTCTCAACTAAGTCCCGCAAAAGTCGTTCACTAATTACCGTCGATATGTGTAGATTGTAGTATATCCAGCATGTCCCCTGGAACCATTCTCACATAACGTATGTCTTCGTATATTCTCCTGTTGCCGTGTCTGTATAACACGAACACTCCAGATTGCCATCTCCAACGTTTCATACTCTGCAATACCCCCGGAAGCCCGAGCTCGACTAAAAACCAATATTTCCGTCGCCTTCTAATTGGCCTCCTGATAAATTCCTAAGATATTGAACTCTGCGTTCATACAATCGGTGGTGAATTAACATATCTTCGTATCGCCGACGTTCTTCCAACACGGGATCGAAGGGCTCGAAAGCTTGCGGGAGAGCAACAGGATGAACGTCCATGTCATCTTCAACGGGACTTTGCGGGCGCACAAGGACGTTCATTGCAGGCTGTTGTCGGATAGGGATTTGTATTTCGGGTTGATGTCGCGGCTGCGTAATAACATGCAATGGAATCAGCTGGGAGGCAACACTGTGCGCATTGAGCCTCTGAGTATCATCTTGTCGAGGAATGTCAAGACGAGGAACAGGACTGTGAATTTTTTGTTGAATGAGGAAGTCGCGATGCTGGTCTAGTTGTGCGCGTAATGCTTCATTTTTGCGCTCAAAGCAGCGTGCTTGGACGCCTGGACCGAGATTTCGAGAATACAAGAGGAGATCTGCGCTGCAGTCTAGTTGCAATAGAGCGTGTGTAGTGGAGGATCTAGAGGGCTCAGACGGCTGTTGTTGTCGGTATAGTGTAGCCATGGTTTCGGGATGATTAATGATGAATGTAATGCGAATGGTCATGGCAGTGTTTGAGATCATGACGTGAAGGACGATAATCCGCCGCTACACGTCTCCACGTGATGGCGTGATTTTGACATTGATAGTCCACGTTCCTTCCACCATCAACACTGTTTACGTCAACAAACTGCAACGCCATGTAACTTTCTATCATGTCTACTCGAAAGTAGCCTGTGCGATGAATTTGTACAGTGACTTCACCCTGGCAAAACACACGCGTCCAAGAAATATGAACATGCAGATGACCAAACGGCCCAGATCTGCTGGTTGCATGCGCGTCAAGGTTCACTATAACCTGACACACGTTTCTGAGTGTTAATTCGTATCTTTGAACAACATTGGGGGATATCTCGATCCAGCTCAGTACAGGTTCGCGATCATCGCCAAGCAGGCAACGTGCCAGTCGTGCCTTCCTTGCTCCAAGGTAAAGTCCGATTGTCTGAGATTAAGCTTTTCCATGACTGCCCTCGTCGCTTCATGACTTCCTCCCCAGCAACCTCTCACTCAACCTCTCACTCAACCTCTCACTTACGCCCACTCAGGTCGACCATGGAACGACTCTCGACCCTCCCGCCTGAGCTGTTGAAGAACGTGTTTGCGTTTGTCAGATCAATTGCTTCATTTTCATAATGTCATCATACTAATACATTCCAGTTACGTCAACCCAAAGATATGAAAAGCGTTTGCCTTGTCAACAAACAATGTCACGGCTTGATGGCACCAATATTGTGGGAGACCCTACCTTCAGATCTACAGCTCTCGACAAGCAAAACCCTGGAGGCATTGCTTAGCCCACAAAGCAACATTTTGCGCTACATACGTCGTCTAATTTTCTATCCTGGATGTACAGAGCCTGCAAGCGTTACATCCATAGAAGAACCTATGCGAGATAACGTACTCCTGCTGCTCACTGCATTACCGAAAGATCGGCTGATCTCATTCTATTCACATGTGGCAATCAGCGCAAGCTTGCTCCAATTCGTTATACAAACACATAGACAACTCGAGCTCATATCATCTAATGTTCTCACCCAGCTTCATCTGACTCCATGGGTACGCCAACACTTGGGGAACGTTCGAGCGCTGGAAACGTACGTTCCTCTGGAGAAAGAAAAGGCCACTATTTCCCTTGAGAATCTCCGATTTCTGATCGATAACACACCAAAACTCAATACTTTGCATATCTCTGTGGATCAAACCGAAGACACAGATACGGATTATGCCGACATCAGCTCAATCTCTTCAGAGATCAGTGGAGGGTCTTCGCAGCCGCTCAAGCTCAAGTCTCTAACACTCGAACATCTGGATCTGCGGAGCGCAGTTGCCCTGATCGGCCGTATCGACATACTCAACAGCCTTGTGCATTTGAAGATCTGCGACTGCGGTAACTTGAGGCTCATTCTCACGTCTATGACTACTCTTTTCTCTGGAGATAACAAGCCTGCATTGCGAACCCTAGAGATCTATGTCTCGGGTGATCCTCGAAAGGGCAAAGAAGTAGTTCTGGCTATGGAGAGGTTTCTCCTTTCCTTCTCAGGCTTGACTGCACTCTTTCTAGACATGTTTGCGATCGAATTGGTCAGCAAAGAGAGCATCATCAATCATGCTCAAAGTCTCACGGAGTTGGGTGTTTGCAGCTCGCAAGCATTCTTGCCGACTCACCACTCGATTGCTGATCTGACTGCGATCCTAGAGGCTTGTCCGGAGCTCACCCAGCTTGCGCTCGATCTCTCACCGGGCTATCTCGGTGCATGGCACGAGCTTTGTCAGGACTTTCAACTCGGTTCCTCGACTGGTTATGCGCATGTGGAAACCGAAATGGAAGCTACCTTGGTTAGTAGGAATCTGGTGTTTCCTACCCATTTTGGCTAACGATGTGTCTAGAGAATCATTGCACAGCACCCAAAACTACACACGCTTCGCATGCTAGACCTTGCTGGGGATACACTCGCAACAGAGCCTAGCGCTGACCTCTGGAACTTCCAAGGCATTCCTTCGTACGGGCAGTCAGTAGCAACAATCATCATGCAGAAGTTTGCTTCGACAATCGTGCTTTACTTGGCTCAGGCTGGATCTGGAATCAAGCTCTTCGCTCCCTGGCCAATCGTGCCGCATCAACCTTGGCCCGAAGACAAAAATGGACATCAATGGCCTAGATATGCGTATCTTCGGGGGAGAGTCACAGACGGACAAGGTGTGGAGCAGACTGTTGCCACACCGTTAGCGGATCCATTGCGCGACATGCCTGAATCGAGTATCATAAATCGCTACTGGTAGGTATGAGTAGGGACAGGAAAAAGTGTTTTATGATGCAGACAGTGGGTTTCGAATGATCCGCCCTGTAATGTATATGGAGTCAACTGGAGATAAATTTCAACACTGCTTCTATCTCCCAAACCAAAGAAAAAAATCGCCATGCCATCATCTTGCAAGTGTGGAAATCCATGTCAGATGGTATTTCGCCCTGTCCTGCCCACCAAAACGCCATGAAATGCGCAAATCATCTGCTTGCTCTCCTCTTTTATCGTTCATCGCCTAGAAACGCTCCTTCATCCTCCCCGCCACAGTCCGCAGGTTGCCATAGACCTTGCTCGGATTCTGGCCCAAAATCAGACTCACAATAGCCTCGCGCGCAACATGAATATTCTTGAATCCACCCAGGATATGGATCTTCTGGTCCGCCAGGACGACTCTAGTGCGACTCGCGTTCTCAATGGCAAACTTTGTCTTGCCGTCTTTGCCTGCTATGCGGCCAATGGCGCGGCCCATGTGCTCGCCCTGCAGCGTCTTGACGTCCTTGATCTCAAACGTCTCGATGTACAGGTCGTCGAGGCGCAGCAGGGCGATGGCGTCGTCGACGTCGAAGCCCAGCGTGAAGGCTTTTACGAAGTCTTCGCCTTTTTGCAGCGCGCCTGTCTCGGTCGTGGCGGAGGACGTGCGCAGCTCGACGGACTTGGATTTGATGTTCATGCGGACTTGGAGCTTGAGGTGTTCGACGAGGGGGGGCTGTGTGGACGGGTTAGCGACTGCGGCATACACCTTCTGGAATTACAATGTGCGTACGTAGATCTTGGGCCATGCGTTCTTCAGCGGCGTCATGCGGTGTGGGGGGATGGGGACTTTGCGCTGCTCGCGGCGGAAGGCGAGGGGTATGGATTTGGAGGGCGCGAACTTGGGGCGGCCCGTCTCGTCGGTCATGAGGGCGTCTTCTGTGGGGGCGTCGGGGGCGTCGGGGGGGAAGTCGGTGGGCAGCGCGCTCATGTCGAGTAGTTCGGCGTCTTCGTCTTCGGCGGGGAGCGGGATGTTGGTCGCTTCCATGGTGACGTCTTCTGCGAGGTCTTCGGGGCGGCGCTGGAGCGCTGTGGGGGCCGGCATTTTGTGTGGTTGTTCCGTCTCTTTCTGTGCTGCGGTGTATTGGGCGTCGCTGAGAATTGTCGTGAGATTGTCGCAGGCGGGCGGGGTTATCGATAAGAGAAAGTTGACAAAAAATGCAGAGGCGAGCCGGGCGGGCTAGCGTGAACTGGTGTTAGCGCCCCCATCCCATGTGTGCCGGAACATGCATTGCATTTGCGAATTCGCGTCATGACGAAACGTGCTTCCTCCCGCCCTGTTCCCACTCTGCGCCGCTTCCTGCCCGTCGCACAAACACGCTCGCACACTCAGCACTTGCGGGCTTCGACCATGTGGGTGCCGCAGTTATAATGAACGGACATGTAGGGCTGGCGTTGGGCGCGGGTCTGCGGCGCTCCGTCGTCCAGCAGAGGGGTCGTGTGCTTCCGCGGGTTGGCCTAGGACTGGAGCTGGACTTGGAGCCGGGGACTTGGTCGCGGTCGCCATGGAGGAACGGACGGACCATCGCCTCGAGTGCGCAGAGCCCCGCGTGCTCGTCGACGGCTTTTTCTCGGTGCGCGCAATCTTCACATGCAAGACGCTTCTCGGCGACTTTCCCACGCCCGTCGATATCGCAGCCCGCAGACGTCCAGCAGAGTGTCACGCTCGCTGTGCTGTCTGCTTGGAGCAGGAGTGCCTCTACTAGATGCACCTCACAAGCAAGAGGCAGCGCCTATACCAGCCAGCGGAACAAGAGCTCGTCCACGAATGGCTCGTCCAAGGATAAGCAGGCCGCTGCTTCCCAGACTCCGCAGGCCACGCTCTCGCCTCAGCCTCAGCAACCCCCCAACCCCTCGAACCCTGCCCCAGATACCCCGCCTGAAGCATCGCCTGAAGCACCGCCAGCTGCCAGCAAGCACCTGCTCGACCGCCTCCCGAACGCTCTCCCACACCTTCCACACCTGTACCGCCCGAGCAAAGCAGAACTGCTCGAGGCAGCATCAGGCTTCTTCTCGCGCATCAAGATACACTTCAAATGGCTCACCATAAGGAGCACGCGGCCCTTCAACGCCGACGAAATCTACGCCCTCTTTTCCTGGGTGCTGGCTGCCCACGCCCTGTGGTTCGTCCTGGGTACCACGACCTTCTTCATGCTGACTGTCTTCCTGATCAACACTGCCTTCTCGCAGGAGACGCTTGCCAAGTGGATCGGCAACTACCTGACCAAGTCCTCTGGCATCAAGGTCGTCTTCGAGACTGCCGTGGTTCCCAAGTGGAAGGATGGCGTCATCTCGTTCCGGAGGGTGTTCGTTTCACGACGACCCGGTCAGGGTAAAGGAAAGGTCAGCAAAGGGTCACAAACCGAGATGGCCGCCGCAGCTGCCGCTATAACACAGCAAGAGAAGGACGTGCAAGACGGCGTCGCCGAGGAGGACACAAACTACACCCAGTTCGAAGTCTCCATCGACACCGTCAACGTCACGCTGTCCTTCTCCAAGTGGTTCAACGGCAAGGGGCTGCTAAAAGACGTCGAGATCAAAGGCATTCGTGGTGTCGTGGACCGAACATCTGTACACACAATCGAAGGTGTGAATCCCAGGTCCTACAAGCACGAGCACTCTGCGGGAGATTTCGAGCTCGACTCTTTCAAGATGGAGGACCTACTCGTGACCATCTACCAGCCCGATAGCTTCCGTCCATTCGCCGTCAGCATCTACTCCTGCGACCTCCCTCAACTGCGAAAGCAGTGGCTCTTCTACGACTTCCTATCCGCCAACATGATGTCCGGATCCTTCGACAACTCCCTCTTCACCATCCACCCCCGCCAAACCCACAACTACACGGGCACGCAACTCAGCAGCGGCCGCGACTCGGAAGACGGCAGCACCTGGAAAAAGCACAGCCGCATCCGCATCGACGGGCTCAACATCGACCACCTGAACCGCGGCTACGACGGCCCCTTCTCCTGGATCCACGAAGGCAACGTCGACATCGTAGCAGACATCATGCTCCCCAACGACGACGACGACAGCATCGCTAAAGTCATGTCCGACATGTACGACCGCGTCGAAGCCACCGTCGCCCAAACAAGCCGCAAATACCACTTCTCCGACCACGCCGCCCACGGCTTCGACCACCACGACGACGAGCACCCCGACGACCCACACCAAGAAGAAGACAAACGCTTCATGATCATGGATCTGCGCGTCCACCTCAACGACGTCCGTGCCGCTGTCCCCATCTTCACCCGCGATATCTCCTACGTTAACAACGCGCTCGTCCGCCCTATCGTCGCATATATGAACTCGAAACGCACGTTCATCCCCCTGAACTGCAGGGTCGTCAAGCGAGTCGGCGAGTTCGACGGTAGCTGGACACTTTATGATAGCGGGCTTATGGAGGAAGTTTCGCGCGAGGTATGTCGACGTTTATCCCCTTACTATACAGGAGAAAGAAACACAGCTGACAAGAAGATAGATGTACGACGCTTTCGCCCGCGACGTGCTCGATGATCGCACCGTGCGCAAACGACGGATTAAGAAAGTGGGTATTTGGACGCTGCAACTCGCTGCTCAGGCACTGTTTTTGGGATTGGCGGGGAATATCGCGTGATCTTTCTTTCTCCTAGGCGAGGAAAGGTTTACGTAGATGGAAGGGAGGGAGTGGAGGTTTGTATATATATCATCATTGCTATTGCTACTACACATACCTATACCTATACCTATACACCTATACACGGAAAGGCAGGGTAGAGTAAGGCGTTTGGAGTCGGATCACCGAATGAGGTGTGGCGATTTGCTTGAGAGGGCGGGCGGGTTGTTTTGCGGCATAGTTATGTATGATTGTACGAGTGAAATGAATGGCATGGAATGGCATAAGTTGAATGGAATGAAATGAAACGAAATGCAATACTGGGATGCTGCGCATATCTCTCTTGACATCATACTTTCAGGTTACTCTATTCACCTGGCCTTTTTTGGCAGAGAGTGGTCGTCGTGTGTTTGATGTTAAATCCTGTTACGGTGGAGTGAAGTGGAGTGAAGTGATAGCCTCAGATCTTTCCATAGAGTAATAATTAGTCAGATGAAGATATTATACATGTACACAACGATATATGTACATATGAAAAAGAAAACCATTAGTGATAGGCTACATTGCTAATCCACGAATTTAACAGCTCAGAGTACCCCATAGGTTTATTTCCCATCGCCATTGATCACGTTGTATCTTTTGTGCGAGGTATATGTCGTTTACAGGTAAGTCGGGTGAGCACTGGACAAATCCTCTTCATTGAAAAGATACATGCGTTTGCATTGTTTGGAACCCCGTTCGCCCACTCGCTCGCTCACGTACTATGCAAATACTCGCACGACAAACAAACATACACATAACTGTATACCAATAGACACCCCCTCCCACGCTCCAAACACATACCACCTTACTTAAAGCGTCCCACCTACTTCCTCTTAAACAACCCCTTGCCCAAAATATTCTTCAGCTTACTCTCCTTATCCTCAGAACTCATACCCACCTTCCTCTTCCCCTCAGCAACCGTCTGCGGCTTCTTCTGCTCTGGCTGCTGGGGCGCAGGCTCCTCGACGCGCAACGTCTGCGCCTTAGCCTGCCACTCGGGCGCGATAGTCTTGCGCGACGCCCTCGCCTCAGCGCTCGCATTCTCCGCCCACTGGAACGTGACGAGCTCGCTGGTGGAGAAGCGCAGGTCTTGCATCAGGCGCTTGGTGTCGCGTCCGAGCAGGATGAGGCGACCTGTTGGACCCGTGTATTTGAGCTCAAAGGGCTCGTTCTTCTTTTCTAGGAAGCCGGCGACGAAGTCGTAGAGGCCTTGCGCTGTGTCTGCTTTGCTGAAGTTCATCTGGATGAGGGTGCCGTCGGGCATGCGGATCCGGAGGGACCCGCCCTTTTCGACTACTGCGTTGATCTTTTCTTGCCGGGCCTTCTCTTGCTCCTCGAGCTCCTTGTCTGAAAGCAAGCGGGTGTTTCTTGTGCGATCTAGTAGTTGCGATTGGTGGGCTTTTGCGTGCTGGATCGTGGGGACATAGTCGTTTTCATTCCACGCGTTTCGTGCAGCCTGTGGAGTCGATGATGTTGATGCGGCGAAGATCTGTACGTTGCGAGGCTTGTTGGTGGAGTCTGAAGATTGCGGAGTTTCTTGAGCTGGTGCAGACGATGCTGATGAGGTTGCCGCTGCTAATGCTGCTGCTGGGGATATATTCTCGATGTTCTCAGTTGCTTTCACCTCCGCAGGTACTTCAGGCTCTATTACTGGCTCAGCTATCGGTTCTGCCATTGGTTCAGTGTCGACCTCCATGGGTTCTGGATCTGGTTCGTCGTCACGGATAGTCTCGCCTGCAACAGTCGTTGTCGCCTCTGGAGCAGCATTTTCCAAGTCTGGAATGGATCCTTGTTGGGAAGAGGTTGCTGCATGTGCGCCGGGAGGAGTAGGCTCATCGCTCTTGAAGTACTGCGATATCTGTGTCATAGCTTCCTCGAGTGGTATCCCGCTATTCTTGTGTGACAGTTTCAACAAAGCAGACCCGGCATCGAAGCCGAGCTGGCTCAACGTCTGCTGTAGTGCTGTAAATGTCGAGTGCTCCCGATGAGCCGGCATGACTGTGATTACAGGCATCTCGTAATGCAGTCTGCCCGCACCGGAAGCACCGTCCAGCTCAGGCACCGCACGCTGTGTGAAGTTGTAGTTGGCTCCGTCAGCACTCTCGAAATGTCGCAGGATCTCCCATAATGAAGTGGTACTCGCGAACTTTTGTACTAGCCGAGATTTTGGAAGCTGGAGGGCTACTGATATGACAGTTGGTGACCGCGACGCTTGGACAAGCTCGAGACGGGCGCCCTGGGGTAGATTCGCGAGTCGTATCTGCTGAGAGAGTGATATTGGCTTGTTGTTGTACCTATGTGCATATGTCAGCGATTTGTTCTCAGTATCAAACTAACATGCACCCACTTCAGCGTAAACTGATCCTTCGCAACGCCGAATTTCTGACAAGCTTCGTCTCGCACCTCAGTCAGATACTTGACAGGTGTAGTCGCAATCCGAACAGTCCTCGCGTACGAGTTGAACACAAGAACGTGAGACATTATCGATATGGGCGGAAGAGCCTATAGAGGCCGTAGGAGGCAAGGAGCGCAACTGGAACGTTTGCAATAATGACAGCACGTGAGTACCAGCAGCCCCAACGGTGGACCCTTCGAGATGCGTCGCAGCGCTCGATTACTAATAGCAGGTTGATAAAGTGAAGAAGTCGGGCCTCGGGGAAGCTTAAGAAGAGGTTGTTTGGCCCTGCCATGAGGTTGTCGATTAGGACCGTACACAAACGCGGGACAGTGAACGTCAAGGAAGACGCTTACCGTTCCCGATATGGGCTATGAGGGTCTATAGCAAGGATGCTTGAGGATGTTCGCTGTCGTACAGGCGGTTGCTACGGGGGCGTGTTCGTTATTTGCAGCAAAGAGTGTATTTGGTATGAGGTCGAGGATGAGGCAATACGTCGTCGTTGTGGCTATGTAACAGTGTCTTGTGCTAGTGGGCTAGGTAGCTGTGCTTTGTGATGGCGATCTCGAGCGTGTGGTGTTGTTCTGGAAGCTTCGTCGGCGCGCGCGTTGCACGTCAAGGCTGCAGATGTTGGTGACGGCAGCGGGGAGCTTCGAAGCGGCTCTGCCCCACCAGTACCCTTTCCTCGTGTTCGACCTTCCCACAACAAACGCCTCTTCATTCCAACCGCAGCCATGTCGACCACAGATATCACGTCGCCGTCTCAGCTGAGCTCGCTGCTCTCTTCCTCGCGCATCGTGGTGCTCAACTGTAAGAGAACACGTCCATGTTTTGCGTAGCACATAATTCTAATGTTTGTTGATACAGTCTACAATGAAGCGAACACGTCAAGCAAGGCGATTGCCCCCCTCTACGACCAGCTAGCAGGCCAGCTCTCGAGAGCCAACAGAGTCTCGTTTGCCAAGGTCAGCGTGGTGCAACAGGCACAGATTGCGCAGAGCTACAACATCACCAAGTAGGCGGTCAACACTGTGTTTGGGAGCACTACTGACCCATGCTCCCAGCACCCCAACGTTCATCGTCTTCAAAAACAACCAACAGATACGCAAGTTTGGCGGCTCGAATCCCCAGCAACTCTCCGAGGCCATCAAGAGCCTTGCCGCAGAGGCCGAGTCTGACGGCGGCTCTGGAGGCTTTGGGGAAGGAAGCTCGAGTGGCGGTGGCGCATGGCGAGGGGCTGGACTTCCTCGAGGATACACCGATGTTACGGATCAAGTGGATGTACGCGGTCTGGACCTGTTAAATGCGGATAGCGATTTCGGCGGTGTACGCACTCTCTTCGAAACGTCGCAACCTAGCTCGTTGAGCAAGGGCAAGCGGGCCGCCTCGGGATCCGACTCAAGCAAAGACTGGGTAGAGAGCGATGTCGACAACCAACTCATGCTCTACATACCCTTCACCTCATCACTAAAGGTTCACACGATCCAGATCACTTCGTGCCCGCCAAACGACGAAAGCGATGACGACGACGAGACTCCAGTTCGGCCCAAGACAATTCACTTGTGGACGAATCGCCAGCATAATCTGGGTTTTGAAGAGGCCGAAGACATCCCGGCTACACAGACTATCGAACTGAACGAGTCAGACTGGGACGAGCAGACGGGCACCGCCAAGCTGGAGCTGCGGTTCGTCAAGTTCCAGAACGTCTATTCGCTCGTGCTGTTTGTAGCGGATGGAGATGGCGACAGCGAGAAGACGCGCATCGACAGAGTCCGGTTCATAGGTGAGAGCGGCGAGAAGAGGGAAATTGGCAAGTTGGAGAAGATAGGCGACGACTCATGAGGAGATATGGACGAAATAGGTGTCCAGTAATATCACCATGCGATGAAGAGTGTTTATTCATGAGTACATGCAGCGACATCAATGAATTAGATATATCAAATCGTCGATGCAGCAACACACATTGCTCACAGCTGCGCTTGAGATGTTCACATGAATGACATGAGCACCGTATATGCCAATTTAAATCCTCATCTCACTCAAAAAGTATGTTCGACCCTTTTCCAGCGAAGGCGCCACGAAATAGGACGCCGCCACAAAGTGTATACGATCGATGATGCAATATGTTTCTTCTGGGCCGTCAACGACACTTGCCATGTCACTGATAGACATGGCAGCACAGGGGAAACTGTACTATGACGGCTGCCGCACGAAGAAACAGAAGCAGTACACAGATGCGCGAAGTTTTTATCTTGTGCCCGGCGAATCGTGGCGCCGATGGCGGCACTTCGGGATGCTCGTTTAGCGGCCTGTTAGCGCGAGAAACTGGGAACAGAATTTTCTGGATGCGAGATGGACTTCTTTTTCGACATGGCCGCTGATGAGATATTTTATACATGATAGGAAGAGAATGACGCGCCTTTTGGTGCGACTGATCTCATCATAATTACTTTCTGAGGCCTGTTATTGTTGCGATGGTGGAGGTGGACGTGGAGATTGAGAATGGAAGAAGAAGCGACCGTTGCATGACAGTCGCGTCAACATCAACTGCTGTGATGCAACCATGCAATGTTGTTGTTGTGAAACAGCACCAATGCAGGAGCGCACCGCTACTGCCAAAACACAGCAAGCTACGCCAGGGCAACACCTCTGGTTCACGCACGATGCGATTAAGATTTCGCAGACCGCCGAAACGAAATGCTGCCTCAGAAGAAGATGCAACCATGAAACCCCACCAGACCAGGGCCTCATCCTTTTGTTCAACGGCTATTCTTTGTTGCTTCTCTGGCCTTTCTAGCTCTTGTCATCCTCGTTTCAGCTTCGTTTCCGATTCAAAGATACGATGGCAGACAGCTGGGGGTATCCTTTCTGCAATTTGACAGTTCATGCGGCACAGGCATGCCATGCGGCGGGACGGGAAACTTGAGACACCTGTTGGTGTCTGATACCGTTCGTAACGCGGGTGTACTTGCATGCGGCGGCGGACATCGTTGTCGCACTGTTAGCAAACGACTTTGGACGCTGGGACTGGCCTGTTGACGCGTCCAGCATATGGCTCAGCCGCCGAAACAACACTTGGTCACCTTACGAACGGTGACATTATCGTTGTCAATAACGATGCCAATATTCGTTGGCTATATCTGGGGTGTCTGACATGATGGCGTAACACAATTGTCCGAATCAGGTACTGTGTATTGTCCTCATTTCCCACGTTCAAGGTTGTATTCAGGCTATATCGCCCGTCACGTCATCTTCCTTGCAGCACTTCCGTGCCATGTGCGAGCTGAGATGTCAAATCCAGAAACCAAGATCCGTGGAGACGCGTTCGATGACTCGAAAAGAGCGAGTACGTCAATATTCATGATGTTTGCACAAGCTCGCCTCCATGTCATGTCACGATGATCAAAATCTGCGAACAGAACCCTGATGTACGTGCGTTCCCAATTACGACGTGCGTCAGTCGATTGAGATCTTGGCTTTTGGGACCTGCAGCTGAGCGGCCCAAGATCAGCACTCGGATCAGCAGCTTACGTCGGCAATAACTTTATCTTCGAGCCGTCCGTGATCGGACTCGTGGTAGGACCGCGGAGGCGTGCCGCAGACCCTCTCAAACTCATGATTTTTCGTTACGGATACGATGTTTTTCGGAAGTCGAATCATATGGTGTCTATTCCAGGAATGGCCATAGGACCAGGTCTGAAATACTTGTCGAGCAAAGGCCACACCGAGGCGGACGACTTTGTCTACCTATTCGGCTGCACTCCCGGCGAATCTCAACAGTTTCTCTTACTCGTGAGCTGACTGCAGACGCATTTGTTACTGGGTAAGTTTGTACTGGGGTTATTTACCTGGAATCGCAGAAATGCATATCTGACTCGTCATCACTCAACTCGAAGTGGCAACATGTTGCTCACGCCAGGTGGTCAGGACACCGACACTTCGTCAACTCGCCATCACGGCTCCAGGACGGGCCCTCCGCGAGATCCACTTCCCGCCTTACGTTACACGAGGCACGCATTTTGCCGGCGAATTTGGTTACGCCAGGCCTTTGAATCATCTGAGCCATTCCCGTACAAAGGACCTCCCTGGCTCAATGACCACACTGCATAACAATCTCAACGGTTCAGCACGAGCTTCAGTGTGGGGAAGTGTTTGAAAATTGAGACGCCAGGGACCAGTGGTGCGGTGCGACGCGGCTGCCGGACAATTTGTGATGGGGCCGTGTGGCCTACCTAGCCCTGCTTGAGCATAACTCTCAAATTTCATATCGACAATCACGCACAGAACGTCCAGAAAAACTGTGCCAGGCCCCATGCCAACTGCCTTTTCAGGGTAGAACAGCGCTGTCAGTGCCTCTTCGGCGATGGTGAGCACTTTGACGTTGTTTCACTGGCATGACAAAACGCCCACCATGCGCCGCACTGCCAACGTGTTCGGATGGTTGACCGCTTCGGCCACCGGTTGCACGTGAAGCCTAGATCGAAAACCCTTCTACATACACGAAATCAGATCATCAAGGGAACTTGAGTAAGTAGTAACGCCATAAGGCTTATTGAAATTGTGAACGTCGCTTCACCGCATGCTATAACACTTAACGGCAGAAACTAGCCGCGGCGCAAACGGGACAGACGCAGTAACGCAGACGGCGTGGTTAGTGAATGGAGGATTTGTGAGGCGGATGAACTGACAACGCTTCCGGCGAGAAGTTGACGAGTCAAGAGGCGAGGAAGCCAATAGCTAGGCTCTGTCAGCTGTCGATGAACGGCACCAAAAGCCACGACCCCGCCAGCCTGGGTTCTCTGTCAAGATTGCACGAAGATCAGGGTGCTCCATGAATCTCGACAAATGATAAGGTCGATCTGGTGGAGAAGACCGAGAACAAAGAAGAGCTATGGAAGCCATGCGTCGTTCCCCGGCGCCGACCCTCTGGCATTGCAAAGCCCCTACAACGCTAAACCTCGTTGCACGCGGCACATGGAAGAGCACCAGTGCTCATGCGACGGACATGATTCCTGACTTGTGCTATCTTCCTCCAGACCCTGCTCGGGCCCGCTTAATGAACTTTCCAGAACGTCCTTCCTCCGTCATACGAAGGAATGTCACATGCGGCGTGGAAGGTAGGTAGGCCCAAGAAACGAGGTGCAGGATTGCCGAGGGTGTCAAGGGTCACGATAGACGGACATTGTTGTAGCACATTTCAAGTGCCTGTTCCTGCATTCGTACCTGCATTGGTGGGCTGCCCTTTGCTCAATCAGCCCGATAGGAAATGGTGACTACTGTGGGGTGGCATGTCAGGCGATGGTGATTGGGCCGGTTGAAGTCAATCCGCGCCGCTGTCACGCAGGCGAAAAACCCAGAGCTGGGCACCTCGCGGTCGCGTAAAGCAGCAAGAGCGCTAATCTGCTTAGGGCTGCACCGGCGCACAATCATGCAGTCGATCGAATTGTGCACTGTCGCATAAGATTTGCGCTAAACCCTCAAAAATAGCAATTGTGAGGGTGTCGCTGAACGGGGGATAAGGAATTATCGATTGCTGACAGTACGAGAAGATGGAATGCACAAATTTAACGACTGCCGCCCTTCCGAGCCCGGAACCGCGTGGGATAAGCCCAGCGACATCGTTATCGATGCCCTGAGACATATTGTCCGCACATGCACGACCGATGGAAGGGTAGAACAGCAGACTGCAGTCGGTATGCACCGTCCTACTCAGTCTTCAGCCCAAATGCAGCTGTGAAACGCTCCAGAATGACAGCAGCAGACTTGAGCAGCTACTTGGGCCTGCATGCTCCTACCGTGGGTCGCTGAGTCTTCGAGGAAGATAGCGATGAACGGCGCTGGCGAGGTGCAGCTCAGCGATCACGAGCTTGTCGCACCATCACCTAGCCGTCGTCCATCTCCCCACAAAGCAGCCGGATGCACGCGTACCTATTCCAGTTGGCTGGGGCAAATCAGGCACAGCGGGCAGCATCTCTCCGCGCGTCACAACTGTGGTTCCTGCAGTAGGTCGAGGAAACTCCCAAGCATGCCAGCATCGGTATACGGGCACACATTACCTAGGTGGCCCTTCTTTTTGACGCAGGAGGCAAGAAGCAACGCTCTTCACGATGAAGTATTTCCCACGCAAGAATGGAAGCATACGTAGTATAAGCAAGCAAGATGAAGTCATCACATGTCGTGCAATCGTCCATCATCAGACCTCGACGACTTGCTGCTGCGCGTATCCAGTTGATGGCGAACCGCCTGTCGCGGCGCGTCCGGGACGCCGACATCATCGTCAGGTACAGCCTCGATGGTGTTGCTTTGTGTTGGGCCCGCCGTGGCACCGCGGGTCTCGACGACGATTCGGTATCGAGACGCTACGTCTCGTGTGACTGAACTGGGTGGGCAGCGTCGTCATGGCTCGCTGCAGTAGCGACGTACGCTGAGTGGTGAGCACACTTGTGTCGAAACAACCATTCAAACGTCGACAGCAGCCGTCGCGCCCTCTCCCGCCAAGGCTAGGAACAGGGTCTTGACCGACGGGCAGCTATCATTATCGATTGGGCGGATAGCCTGATGGAGATCCCGGCCTGAAGACAAAGAAGGTGGGTGGCATGGCGATAAACGGTCCTCTGTGCTCACCGTCGTTGCACGACACACCAGGACTCGCACCAATCCGCCCACCCATCACACACCTATCGTCCACTGACAGTGCAGCCACTCGTCACCACCAGGGCGGCACTTCCGTGGCGAGTCTCAGCTGCCGTCGCCTGCTTCGTGCAGTGCATTCGGGGAGTGCGGATGAATGGCCATGGACGACGCGAAGGCATCCAATCGTGTGCAGGGCCGCACCCAATGAGTGTGCACACTTGTGCCGGCGGTCTTCATTTCGCATGTGTAGCCCATGCAGCCACGCATTTGGCGACCATAATTAGCGCACAAAGTTATGCACCACGCTGCCCTAAGCTCGCCCATTGTCACCCTCGCGAGTCAAATCCTGGTCGCAGCAGGGGACTGCCGTCTCTCTGGCTAGAGTGGGCCCGCTTGCGCTGCGCCCCGACTCCCCTCCCACACCAGTCGTCGACCGAATCCGAGCGTCAGCCCGTGTGCCTGGTCATCTTTTACTTTTCTAGACTAAACCGCTGTCTCGTCGGACGCTGATCTATGCTACTTATCCAGGCTGTCCCTTCCGCTCGTTGTAATTTCATCATCCAGGGTTTATCAACCATTTCACTTCCACATCGTCACCTTCTTGGTATTCCTTTTTGGTTTACATTTGTACAGTCTTTCCCGTCGACTTTGTGCATTGTAACCGTTCCTTCCTTTGCATCACTCCACCACCATCTTCGTCGACGCACGATCCTATGACATCTTCCTTGACTCAGTAGAACCACCTATTAGTAGACAGCTTCGTCCATACAAGCTGTTGTCCAGTCACTCCTTCGACAACCCAACCGCACCATTACAACTAATACATCATCTATACGCATCGGTCTCTTGAGAACACCATCTTATTGACCCATCACATCCTCACCTCGACTCTAACTTGTAAGTGGATCGAAGCCATACATGCCAATCTGTCCTAACCGGTCCAAGTGAATCGAGACCATCACATTCACAATGGAAGGTTCATATCCCATGCACCCATCCCAGGCCATGCAGTCTTCATTCTTCTACTACAACCCAACCCCACAAGAAGAGAACACACGCCAACACGGACACTTCACACCACACCCATCGGGCCAGTCGACCTTCCAGCCTCAACAGATGTACTACCAGAGGCCAACATCATCGCACTCCCAGATCTCTTACCCACAAACCGCATACGCCAACCAGATGCTGACACCTGTTGCATCGCCTCAACCCATGTACCAGAAGCCCACTATCCTTATTGAGCCCCATGGCTCCCCCTACCTGCAGCATCTCGACACCGACTTTTCTTTCGCACCCGCCACACCGCCTCTCTCAGCATGCGGGAGCAGCATCAGCAGCCCGCCTTCGATTTGCGAGTTCTTGCCAACACCAGTAAATGGTTTCTTCGCCGGTGAGACCATCGAGGGCGTAAAGCAAGGCTGTGAGGGTGAGGTTTTCTCTGAGATTCTGTGCGCTGGAATTGAGTGGCGCTCAACCACCCCACCCATGACACCAGGTAAGCACAATTCACAAACAATCCCGAATAGTAGCATAGCCGGCGGGGTTTGCTACTTTCGGTGATGCGGTTGCAAGTTGTACCGTAACAGTGTTGCTGACTGGAACAAGTGTTCATCCAACCGCCTTCGGCTAGCCAGGGATCGTACCTGTTATCCGCAACCTCGTGCCCCTCGCTTTCCCCATCACCTTCGCCCATTCCACGTTCGTCATTCGTTGAGGCTGAGGACAACTTCTGCAACCCTCAGGATCTTACCGTTTGCGGATCTTCAGAGCTGCCCACACTTTGCCCTAGCGACGAAGAACACAAGATCATCTTCAAGGGTGAGGTTGCCAAGATTGAGCCTGCGCATTCCTTCGACTTGTCTGGCCTCCCCACTTTCGAGCCCTTGTTTGAGCTTGACTGCGAGGACGACTTCACCGGCCTAGTTCACTTTTCCAACAGCGACAACACCCTTCTGACCAGCAAGCGTCAACGACTTGACCTTGTTGCCTTCACTTCTGAGGAGGACTTCGTCAGCGACGAGAGCTTCACAGATTTCGAGGAGGATTTAATTCACGGCCTTCCCCTCACCCCTGCTGCCAGCGACTACTACTCCGACAACATGTCGATCGCATCCGCACCTAAGAGGCGGTCAACCAAGAAGTCTCGCTCGGAGTATAGCGAGGCCGAGTCCGATTACCAGGGTAAGACTCAGACATCTGGTGATGACAACACCGCGTCTGGATCTTCAAGCCAACATCATTCAGGTCACGAGTCAAACGCAGACAACGCCGTCGGCTCCAGCTCTGATGAGGGCGCTGCAACATCCACGCAGCCAACCAGCCGTCGCGGCCGTAAGCAGTCATTGACTGATGACCCATCCAAGACCTTCGTCTGCACTCTTTGCTCACGCCGCTTCCGCCGCCAGGAGCACCTCAAGCGCCACGTCCGTTCCCTTCACACTCACGAGAAGCCATTTGAGTGCACAGACTGTGGCAAGACGTTTTCCCGCAGCGACAACCTGTCCCAGCACCAGCGCACTCACGGCACCGGTGCCATCGTCATGGGTGTGTTGGATAGCTCCGAGCTTCACCAGGGTGCTTACGACAACCAAGACCCTGCTATGATGGGTCGCGTCCTTTACGAGGCTGCTGCTGGCATCTCAAGCTCAAGCTCTGACACCTACTCCGACCTTGAGTCTTCGCCTTCGAAGATGCGCAACAAGAGGAAGCGTGACGAGTAGACTTCGCTCGCTCGTTCACCCTTCACTTCTCTTTGCATCTTATATAACGACTCATCATGACCTCACCCTTTTCAAAGGGTTTTACATCACGCACGGCGGCTTCTACTATTACGCGGTTACGCAAGGGTGGCTCGGTTAGACAGGCTCCACATATCTCCATTGGCGGTCTCCTTCACCTCTTGGTTGCGGTAAAAAGTTCACTATATCTCTTCTTCATCTGTATCATACCGGTCGGATTGCACACGCATTCACCGGGTCTTCTTATATCACGTTTGGGTTTCGCGTTTAGCATGGTACTTCTACAGGTTTCAGCGTGGGTTACTGGAGGGTTAGATCTGGTGTTTTCTTTCGTGGCAATGGTTTTCTTGCACACACACTTTACGATGGCATGGTCATATCCCTATCGGCCACTATCGCCGCGTTTTCTTTACAAGCTCTCGTCTTCTTCGAGTTCTTACTCTCGTTGTAATGGGCTGCGACTGAGCACGCCAATCGTTCTGGGAATATTCGATTCTGTCATATGCATTGTAATCGGCTTCATCGCCTCTACTGCATATGCACGCTCTTCTCTTTGCGTTCAGTAGGTTAGAGTGCTGGCACACATCAATCATAACAAACTTTACCATCACCTCACCTTTTTTTGCTTTGTTGACTTCATGGTTCGGCTTGTGACGCGCGTCCCCGGTGTCTACCTTGATGATCTTCGCGTCACTTGCACTTTTCATCAAGGTTTACATAGTTTGTCACACAGGGAAAGCTTATTTCGTTTCCTGTTTGACATATGGGACATCGAGATGCCACCATCCGATGCGCTAGATACTAACAAACTCTAATCATCTCGATTGGGATATGGTTTGCATTACATGGTACGTTCCGCAAACTTTGGCTAAGCACACTGGTTGTCAGATGTTCATCCCATGGTTCGAGCAAGCCCGCGTTAGTGTGGGAAAGTTTTAGCGAGCAAAACCTACCAAACAAACCAGCAAGCAAGCACGCACGCATCCCACCATGCCCGACCAGAAACGTCACTCGCCTTATTTCTTTTCCCGTCTCGCGTGCTGGACATGTCGTCTTCTTCTCTCCACGTCATCGCGCTGATCTCGGGCGGAAAGGACTCGTTCTTCTCCATCTTGCACTGCCAGGCTAATGGTCACTCCATCGTCGCGTTGGCAAATCTTTACCCGCCGCCTTCGTTTGCGGCGGGTCAGGATGGAGATATCAATAGCTACATGTACCAGACCGTGGGGCATGCCGTGATTCCGCTGTACGAACAAGCGCTAGCCATCCCTCTCTACCGCCAAGAAATCACTGGTAAAACAGTCAATTCAAACCGCGATTATGAGTTGTCAATCGCACAGCAAGAGCAGGAACAGGATGAGACGGAGGATCTGGTGCCGTTGCTGGAGAGAATCATGTGCGCGCATCCAGAGGCAAACGCCGTGTCTACAGGCGCGATCTTGAGCACGTATCAGCGGACGAGAGTCGAGTCTGTTGCGTTGAGGCTGGGCCTCACGCCGCTGTCATATCTGTGGCAGTATCCCTTACTCCCCCCGTATACGCAGTCGTCTCTTCTGCATGATATGGCGGCCGTGGGACAAGAAGCTGTGATCATCAAGACTGCGTCTGGAGGTCTGGATGAGGGCTTTTTGGGGCTGGATGTTGCACAGCAGAAGACTATTGCCAGGTTGGGGAAAGCGATGGGACGATTTGGCGAGGAGAGTAATGGTGCGATTTTGGGCGAGGGCGGCGAGTTTGAGACGCTGGCGCTTGATGGGCCGAGGGCGCTGTGGAAGAAGAGGGTTAGGGTTGAGGCTGCGGCGCCTGGCGTGTTGGAGGGCGGGCAGACGGTGTTTAGGATCAAGGAGAGTAGGCTTGAGGAGAAGAGTGGGGACGAGGAGGGAAACAGCGCGCCAGTGAGGGTACCTGAGCTCTTCGACGAGGAGTTCAAGAAGGTACTCGAGTCCACAGAGCACGACGACGCCACGCTTCCCATTGAACCCACAGAAACATCTCCCTCGGCAGCCTCAGAATCTCTCCCACAGAACACAGCCAACTCCACCCCCACAGCATTCACATCCTCCAACCTCAGCAGCCGCACGTCCAGCTCCCCCTCCCGCCAACTCACACACATCCTCCTCCGCCTCGCCCACACCCTAACCCAACACCACCTCCCCAAATCAGCCATAAACCACTGCACGCTCCTCCTCCGCAACATGGCCGACTTCACGATCCTCAACCCCATCTACGCGCAGTACTTCAGCGGCGTGAACCCCCCCGCGCGCGTCACCATAGCCGCAGGCGACGCGATGCCCAGCGGCGTGCACGTAATGCTAAGCGTGGTCGCTGATAAGTTGGGCACTGAGCAGCAGGCCAGACGACAGGGTCTGCATGTGCAGAGTCGCAGCTACTGGGCGCCTGCAAACATCGGACCGTACAGTCAGGCTATTTCCGTCCCGCTCCCCCTAGTCCAGACAAACAGCAAAGACGAAGACGAAGACGGAGATAAGAAGCCCAAGCCCGACGAAATAGTCTACATAGCAGGTCAAATCCCGCTCGTCCCCGCATCCATGGCCGTCTACTCACAAGCGGGTTTCACCGGCCAGGCCGCCCTGTCACTGCAACATCTATGGCGTATCGGCCGCGCAAAAGGCGTGCGGTGCTGGACGGCGGGCGTAGCTTTTATCCCCGCAGGCGCACATGCAGAGCAGCGTGTGCGCACCGCTCAGCGCGTGTGGAAGGCGCTTCATTCTGCACCCTCCGGCCCATCCTCTGACAGTGACGAAGGAGAAGAAGAATCACCAGACCCCTGGGACCGCCTAAACCGCGCCAAAACCTCCCCGTTCAACGACACGACGCTCCGCCTCCCTATCCCCGATCACACCACCACATCCACTTCATCCACACCCCCCTGCTTCGTAGCCCAGGTCTCTTCGCTCCCGCGCGATGTGGATGTAGAATGGAGCGCTATGGGCCTCGCATCTGCCTCTGTGACGCAGACGCAAATGCAAATACATGGTTCGGTGCTGACGCGTGTGCAGACGGAGAATTCGCGGTCGCGCTTCTATGCGCTTGAGGTGAGGGAGATGGCGGATTTTGAGGCGCTGCGTGAGGAGGGGGTGAGGGAATGGACGAGCGCGACATTGTATGCGGGGCGGGGGTTTGAGGGAAGTGTGCAGATAGGGATGGGTGTGCAGTGGGTGCCTTGTCATAGGGTGTGGGGGGATGATGGAAAGGAGGTGAGAGGTGTGTTGGTGGGGAGGGTGGATTGGGATTGAGATGAGAGGCTGGCTTGCTTGTGGATGGAGTGTATACCCTGTTGATCGGTGGGGAGGAAGGTGTATGGACGACGACATATCCACTCTTAGCAAAGGAGTTCAAACCAAAAGAATCGACATTATACTCGTACAATCATACCTCCTTACCCGTCTCAAAACCCAGGCCTCGTCCTTTCGCCCTTCCAAAACCCCATAACCTCCCCTGTCTCCCCAACCCACTCTTTAACTCCCGTAACAACCGCCTTAGCCATCCCCGCATTCGTCCCGCTCCTCTTCCTGCCCCCACCCGTCGCGCCGCCTATCCCGCCGGTCGCTACTCCATACCCAGACGTCTTCCCCGGCGTGATGTAGCTACTCCCGTCGCCCGTCGCGTACTCAGATCCCATAGATGGGAGGACGTTCTCGCCAGCCGAGAGCGAGACGAAGAGCGCAAACGGCACGAGCCAGACGCACAGGCCGAAGTAACTCGCGATCTCGGTGAAGGAGGGGATGTTGGCAGCGCGCGAGTAGGGGTAAGCGGCGTATGCGGAGGCGGGTGGCGGCGCGCTGAAGTGGCGGAACCAAAGGTAGTGGTTTGCTATGACGAGGCCTGTTCCTGGTAGTCAGCACGCGCATTCGTGTCATCTTCGAGGTAAGATACTGGCGCAGGCGCAAGCGCATTCGGTGGGAGAAAGGAGAGATGAAGTACGTACCACAAGACAGCAAGAACAGCGGATCCGTCAGCTTGACAATCGGGAACCTGCGCAGGTTCTGCGCGTACACCCCATGGCTCACAATACTCAGTGCGCTCAACCCGATCGGGAACTTATCCACAACCAGCAGTAACAGCTGGACAGCGACGACGCCATAGATGAGGCGGTAGAGCAGTTTCTTCGCAAACACGGTGTGTTCTTCAACAAGTTCGGAGAGATAATATAGTCCGGATGCTGTGACACGTATGTACAATTAGCCATGTATCCCTTTCCTCCAGCAAGATGCTCAGAATATCTGTAACAATGAATAAGAACTTGGTGAGAGAACATACCAATAGCAAGCGTCAGAAATGCAAACCCCAGCACAACACCCACGTATCCAAGAAACGGCAATATCCACATATTCGCGACTCTTTTTTTTGGGCTTTTGGAAAGGGGAGGTCTGCGCGGCGATGAGGTCAGACAAGGTGGCAGGAAGGAGGGCTCGCGGAGAAACGGCCGGGCCGAGGAGGGGGGGCGCCGATCGGCAGAATGTGGGGGTCGGTTTGGCCAAAAAGTTGTTCGTCGCAAGGAAATCTTGGCACTCCTTCTACAACCCAGACGTCTGACATACAGCAACGCCGCGACCAGACCTTCACACTCAAGAACAACACTACAACACCGCCAAAATGTCGCGCCCAGAAGACATCCTGTACGTCGTCACCCACTCATTCCATCCTACCTACCTCCACACTAACAAACCCCCCAGCCCCCCAGACCTCTTCTACAACGACTCCGAGTCCCGCAAATACACCACCTCCTCACGCATCCGCTCCATCCAAGCAAGCATGACCCACCGCGCTCTGTCCCTGCTCTCGCTCACCGCGCCCTCGCTAATCCTCGACGTGGGCTGCGGCTCGGGGCTAAGCGGGGAGATCCTGTCAAACGATGCGCCGGACACGCCGGGGGGGCCGCACATCTGGGTGGGCATGGACATCAGCGCGTCGATGCTGGGGGTAGCGCTTGAGCGCGAGCTGGAAGGGGATTTGATGCTTGCGGACGCGGGACAGGGCGTGCCGTTCCGGCCCGGTACGTTTGATGCCGCGATCAGCATTTCCGCCGTGCAGTGGTTGTGCAATGCGGAGACGAGCGAGGAGACGGCTGCGGGGCGGCTGTCGCGTTTCTTTAATCAACTGTATGCGTCGTTGCGGCGTGGGGGGCGCGCTGTGTGCCAGTTCTACCCGAAAAACGATCAGCAGAAGAAGATGGTGTCGCAGGCGGCGGTCAAGGCGGGGTTCGGAGCGGGACTGCTGGAGGATGACCCCGGGACGAAGAATGCGAAGACGTATCTCGTGCTTACTGTTGGTGGAGGGGAGTTGGATGGGGATATCACGGGTGTGGTGCGTGGGATGGATGGGGTTGATGTTATGGACGCGCGTCGCAAGATGAAGGGGATGAAGCGTGGGGAGGAGAAGAAGGGGAGCAAGGCGTGGATCCTGAAGAAGAAGACGCAGATGGAAGGACAGGGTAAAGTCGTCAAGGCCACGTCCAAGTACACGGGCAGGAAGAGGAGGATTCAGTTCTAGATATACCCACCCACCATCACAACGGTCATGCATAGCGAGGCGTTATGGGTTTTTAGTATCGACACGACGAGGAGAGGGAGTAACAATGTCAATTCAATCATGCACCATGCTATATACCAACTAGACGTACAGCGCTATTCACACTCCGGCCGACCCAGTTGTACAATCCAAAGCATTCAATCGTCAAGGAAAAGATCGTCCAGACATGGACGACCCCAGTTGAGCATCATAGATGTCGTGGTATTCTCATGCCTTCTCCATCTGGCCCAGAACAGCGCGAGTGAACTCCTTGGTGGTCGAGTTGCCGCCCATGTCTCGTGTGCGGACCTGGCTGTAGGGGTGTTAGTGGCGCAATCAAAATATCAGCAGAATCAATCACTCACCCATCGGCAATGACCTTGTAGACGGACTGCGAGATGCGGTTGGCGTGGTCGTCAAGACCAACGTGTCGCAGCATCATGGCGGAAGACAGGATCAAGGCAGTGGGGTTGGCCTGGCCCTTGCCCTTAATGTCGAGACCGACGTGACGGCACCCGGGCTCGAAGACGGCGACGTTGCGACCCATGTTGCATCCGGGAACGATACCAGGACCGCCAACAAGACCGGCGCCAATGTTGGACAAAATGCCTCCGTACAGGTTGGGCATGACCATGACGTCAAACTGCTGCGGCCTCGAGACACACTGCATCGAGGCGTTGTCGACAATCATGTCGTTGGTCTCGATGGTGGGGTAGTCCTCGCCCACACGCTTGACCGTGTTGCGGAACAGGCCGTCGGCGAGCTTCATGATGTTGGCCTTGTGGATGCAGGTGACCTTCTTGCGGTTGTTGGCAAGCGCAAAGGCAAAGGCGAACTTGGCAATGCGCTCCGACTTCTCGCGGGTGATGATCTTCAGCGACTCGACGACGCCGTTGACCGACTGGTGCTCGAGGCCCGAGTACTCGCCCTCGGTGTTCTCGCGGATGATGCAGAAGTCGATGTTCTTGTGGCGCGTCTCGTAGCCGGGGATGTTCTTGAGCAGGACGATGGAGGCGTAGATGTCGAGCTCCTGGCGCAGGGCGACGTTGAAGGAGCGGTGGCCGGAGCGCTCGACGGGCGTGTGCAGGATGCCCTTGAGGCCGAGCTTGTTGCGCTTGAGCGAGGCGATGGACTCGCGGAGCAGCTCCTCCGAGTGCTTGTCGCCCGTCTCGACACCCGACACGTCGACCTGCTCCCACTCGACGGGCACGTTGTCCGCCTTGAAGACCTCCTTGACCGACTCGGACACCTCGGCGCCGATGCCGTCACCTGCGCTGTGTTCAATATCGGCTCGTGGCTGGGGGAGGCTGTCGCCGCCTACCGGGAATCAGTGTCACCGTGTACTTCCCGCCGAACTTGGTGGGCTTGAAGATGTCCTGCCCGACCGTCGCCATGGCTGCGGCGTGTTAGCGACGTCATAGGGATGCGGTGCATGCGTGGGCCTACTTCGAGCAGCCATCGAGGGTCCGCATCGTGCGGGCTTCGCGCCCCGCAGGAGCATCTGGCGTGGCCTGTCAGCAGAGCGGCCGCGGGCCAATTGGCGGTGCGTCGTACCTGGGCGGATCGCTGGGACGTCTTGGACAACATGGTGGCTGCGGTGGAGTGGAGAGGGCTGGTGAGAGATTTGCGATGGAGGAGCTGCAGCTCCCGCCATGTCGGAAAATGCAGCCCTTGGCGAATGACCGACCGCACTTGCCGCATTCGTCACCTATCTAATCAATCTCCGATGCACGTCGTCTCTCCATCTCCATCCTCATCTTCATCTCGATTAGAAAATAATCGTGATCGAGTCGGAAGTACCTGGAGAGCTGGATACAAGAGATGCGTGCAATGTTGCTCAAAAACGGGTATGAGAAGATGGATACCCAGAAATCACTACCCGACGCTGCAAAGTGCTGGCTTGTCTTTGACATGAACACTATCGACTTGGACAGTCATTCAGCTCACCATCCCCGACTGGCGCAGACAAAGGTAACGATGTGTTAGGGGTGTTCTCTTTTTCCTTTCAGTGTCTGTAACTGCCCCGTGAGCAGGTCAGTGATGCACCAGTCTGAGGTGCTACATGCTGCTCACGGCCTGTAAGAGATGGACGCAACGTGCATAGTCGATAATCGCAGTCTCATGATGTCTCTCCACATCTCACACAATATCTTCTTGTTCTTATTCATGCACCTAAGCCTCTCAAGCCTCGAAGTGCATCTTCCGCCATCTGCCAACGGTCACACTGCGGTGGACTTCATCGTCACTTGTGTTATTTCCACTAGGACGAGTACAACTATCGTTCCTACAGTCTATTTTGTACACATATGTGCTGCTTGAAGTCGCCTCCACACCACCGCTCATCAACGATGGGCGTGCCTGGGTCGCTCTTGCCATCCTTCTACAACCTCTTCACTTTGACCACACCCCAACAGACATCTCGTCTTACGCACACTCCCGATCCACCTTCACACAGCATCTGCAGCAGCGTCAGTTCCAGCCTCTCTCACCTCGAGGCTGAAGATAGCAGTAAAGTTGCCTTTACCGCAGTTCGACTCGTACATATGCATAAATAAACTTCTCCCCCACCACCAGTCTCTCTTCCCCACGCACTCTCAATCCTCGTCCACTCCTCGTCAACATCTTTGCCACACTTCTTACAACAGTCCACGCCTGTCCATAACAGGTGCGAAGCCCAACCTCAACTCGCTTGAACACACCCAACCGGACCTTACTCCACCCAAACAACTGCCGCCATGAAAGTCGCTGAACCAAAGTCGGATCGCAAGTGCGATGTCCACCTCCATGTACACGGCAAGGTGGAAGCGCTCAAGGAGTATGGCGAATACATCGACCCCATAGACAACGCGATCTGCTGCTTCGTTCCTGTCGAGGACGGCCAAAAGATCAAGATACTAGGCAGCTTCTCGGGCACGGTAAGTTGCGATCCATCATCATCCATCGAATACTGACACGGGGTTTGGTTAGACTTTGAATATCTTCCAAGACGCTATAGTGGATGGAGTACATCGCAAAGCAGTTTCCTACAACCCAAAAGCCGTACGCGACAACAAGCCGCCCAAGAAGTTCATGATCGAGTCCTTCTTGTACAAGACAGACAAGGGTATCATTGATACAGACATGAATGTCTGTTCACTCTCGGATGTGGTTATGACTCAAGGCGACGGCCCCGAAACCATCGGCACCATTGAACTACGCGTATACGCCACCCGCCAATTCAATGTCACTCACAAGCTCGCCGGTGTTACAAACCACATGAACTGCGACAAGAACATTGAGGATGAAGTGATCAATACGATTAGCTACCGGGAAATCCCTCCTACGCTCCAGCTGACTTTCGAAGAGAACTGTGCTGCCCTTGATTCGGTGAAGGCCAGCAGTGAGCATCGAAAGATGACCGCATTGCGTCCTGGGGATGCGCCGTGGGCTATTTTCCGCTTCCACTATCGGGACCATGGTAAGTGCTTTGTGTAGTTTGTCGAACACTGCTGACATCAAAATATAGAAGCCATTGCGGAGAAAGAGATGCAGCTGACTTTCAATCCGTACGACAAAGCTGTTGGCGAAACCCGAACTCTGGCTCTCGAACCTGTACCTTTGCTTGTGGATGGTTCAAAGCCGCCAACCAAGGACGACGGAGATAGTTCTACTCGTACGTCTTCGCCTATGCCTCCGACACCGGGCAAAGGTTCGCGAAGAGATTCAGCTTCCAAGGTGAGAGAGCCCTGCTGCCTTGACCTTAAACCTTTTGGACAATCTACGTCACCTCGACTTTTCGCCCACAACTATTGTTCCTTATATCTGACTTTTACTCACAGCCTTCCACTCTTTCCAGGAGACAACGCCACAAGGCCATAGTTCCTCCCCAGTCTCCTACCGAAGAAGATTCTCTAGCTTCCCCTGATCACTTTTCCAAACTCGAGACCCACGAGGAGATTGACAAGGACCTTGAAGATCACATCTCCCCCGACATTTCTGTGAAGTCACCGACCAAGGAGATGGCAATCCCCATGGCTGACAAAGATGCCGTCAAGGGAGAGACCGATGGTGTTGTCACAACCTCTATCATGGACAATGACAGCAGCAAGGTCCCTGAGACCTCGACAAACGGCAACATCGAGAAGACTGCCAACAAGCCCATCAAGCCTGTCGCTACGAAGAGTTTCAAGAACCCCGTCAAGAAACTTCTTACAAAGGACCAACCTACTATCAGTGGCACTGCCAGCACCATTCCAGCCGACAAGAAGACTACCGGTTCAGCTGACGATGGTACTATAGAGGCCTCCAGCCTGATCGATACCGATACGGACACCAAACTCACCAACGGCAACGCGGCTAGTGAGCCTGCGCAAGTCAAAGATGTCCTTCAAAAGGTCCCTGAGCTGCCCGTTACGCCCGTCAAGAAGCCAGTCGTCAAGCCCGCCCCTATCGTCACGACTCCTGCAGTCGTTCAGGAGAAGTCCCTCACGCCCCCGACTCCCATCACACCCGCAAAGCGTCCCGCTGAGCTCGCCAACGACGCTAAACCTGAGCTGAAGCGTACCAAAGTCACTGCAGCCTCCGCAGTACCGACGATAGTACCTCAAGTTGCTTCAAGCTCCCCAAGCCCGAGGCCGATGACTATGGAGCGCAAGCTCGCGGATCAACGCAAGCGTCTCGCAGAAGTGCGTCAGAAGCGTCAGCAGATGGCTCAAAAGCAGGCAACTATCGAGGAGCAAATGACTCCGTACAAACAGCGCATGACTGAGGAGCTGGAGCGTCTGGCCAGGGAGATGCAGGAAGAGGAGAACGCTTACTTCGAGGACGAGCAGCATTTCACCGCTAGTGTGGAGATTCTCGAGGAGTTCAAGAGATCGGATGGTGGCGAGTAAGCTTGTATCACCATGGGATGCTCATGTGGGGAGAAGACCGAGGGTAGACTTTGGTGTTCGGATAGGTAGGCCTGGAGGTCTTCGGAGTCTTTTCGAGTTTTCGGAGAGTCTTACCATCAAGCAGCTGGACGACTACCGTGGTACTCTACTGAGGCTTGGGGCTGATATGAGTTGGCTGTTCTAGTTCGCGTGGCTGGGTGGAAGGACTGCCGCGTCTCCTCCAACTTGCGTCCATCTCTACTCCGTTGAGAACAACAGCGGGATGGCATGGCGAGGTGTTGCGGCGTTCAGTGTTTTCTTCTACATTCATGAGCAGCCGTGGCGGGGATAGAGATCTAGGAGTTTATCGAGGCTCTGAAAGCGAGCAGGTTCCCATCTGCTCTTTCATGTAGAGCTCTGTCTCAACGTATCTGCTCATCACTCTAGAACTCTGCGATTCTTAGATAATTCACTTTACTCATAGACCTTCTTCACACCTCGTCCATATCAACAACAACCAATATGGATCAAAGTTTTGATGTATACGCAATAGGGTATCAAATACAATTACGATCTTCCCAAGAACGCCCCGCCCTGCTCTCGTCAACGCTCATGTTTAGTCCAAGTGACCAAATAGGGATTTCAATCTATAGCTACGCAAAACTCAACACATCACTACACCAACTCAACGTCCTGTGCTTCCATTCGTGCCGTCACGGACCACTCGCATATTCGCCTTGATGCGCTCCAAGAGCTCGGCGGCCGTTGCAATAGGAGAAGGGTGCAAGTTTCTCTGCGGGGAGCGTTAGATAGGCGGAGTGTTGGACGCGCAACAATTGATAGACCTTGACAAGAGACAATACACCGGAGCGAGAGATGATGTGAAGCAGTATAAGGATACTTACGTTAGTGAGCCAAGTAACGCACTGCTCGCGAGTCCACGTCTCCGGATCTAGACGTCACATGTTAGCATCCTGCACCTCTATTCCCAAAATCAACATACCTCCCGTGGGATCACTGCTCGGAAACAGATCTTGGCCCCAGATGCTCCAGGCTGCAACGCCTGTGACGACGGCGGCGAAGGCAAAGAACGGGCCCTATGCGTAGGTTGTTAGTAGGATGGGGAATGCCCGTCTAGCACGCTATACACGAGGTAGAGGAGGTGTTAGGGTATGGGGAGTTCACGTACACGTTGGCTTACGGCGCGGTCGATGGGGGTGGGCATTGTTGGGTTGGCTTGGGTTGTGGGGTGGAAGGAGAGGTGGTGGTGATTGTTGTAGGTACTGGTAGGTATTGTATAGATGCAATATCAAAGGACACCTCTACAACGTAGGAAGTCGTGAACTAATATACAAACAAACCCTCGCAACCATAACCCTCGGTGTCTTTCCCCGTTCCGCTCATGCAATGCCATGCGCCACACTTACGTCGTCCCCCCCCCCGCCGCCCGCAACCCAATCGCGTAACGCTCCGCGGAAGCGCCACTCCTATACGTCCGTGCGTCCCAAGCGAGCTCCGCGTCCACAACATTTTGGCCTACCCGCTTCCCAAACTCGCACGTCCAGTCAGTCGCTTTTTATAACCCCCTTCAAACGACCCGCCAATTCTCACACAGCCCCGCCGTTCAAGATGCCTTCCGAAGTCTCCGATATCAAGCAGTTCATCGAGATCTGCAGGCGCAAGGATGCTAGCTGTACGTGTGCCTGTTTTTTTTAAGTGATGTTGTGTGGAGGGGGGAGGGGTGCGGGAGATGGAGGGATAGGGAGGGAAGGGGAGAAGAATAAGAAGAAAAGAAGGAGGAAGAAAGGGACAGGAAGAAGACGCTCAACGCAGATGGGATATGGGGGAATTGGACATGGGATCGAAACAAGTGTGGAAGTTTTGTTATGGAAGAGAACAAGTAGCTGACAGATTGCCTTCTAGCTGCCCGCATAAAGAAGAACAAGAAGGTCAACAACATCAAGTTCAAGGTCCGCTGCTCGAAAAACGTCTACACGCTCGTTCTCAAGGACACGGACAAGGCCGAGAAGCTCAAGCAGAGCCTGCCTCCTGGTACGCGACCCTTCTCTTCCATACACACACATACACACACCACATAGTACCGCGAGATACCTCACCCCCACGCGACCAAAAAGCGAGCGCATTGCACAGGCTAACACAACACACGCAGGTCTCACCATCTCCGACGTCGGCAAGAAGAACCCCAAGGGCAAGCACGCCGCATAAACAGCCCCACGATGAAGCGGGAGCTGGATACATGAACACTGGGGGCGAGGGGAACTGCGCAACGAGAGCATGACGGGGAAGCATGGACATGGGATATGGACATGGACATTGGGGCGGACCGGACGGGGCGTCAACATCGGATAACCCTTTCTTCAATGGCATATGGGAACCCCTTTTTTCCCTTTCGTCAACGGGGGGCATGGTTTCCCGGAATGAAATGAAAAAAGTCAAAACTTCCACTTTCGCTTTTTGTCTGTCTGTCATTCTGTGTTGAGCGTGTGGTGAGGAATACATGTGATGGATAGATGGATGGATGGGGTATTTATTGTTATCAGCAGACTAACAATCGTCCAGAACTATTGCAGCGTCTGCTTCGCCTTCCCATCCTGCTTGACATTGAACCGAAACTGATCCTTCCGATCGAGATACACGACCTTGCCATCCAGCCCCGCCGCATGCACAGCCTTCTTGAAGTCGTCCAACGGGCTCAAAAACACATCATAGTCATCGTAGTGGATGGGGATAGTCAGGTCCGGGTTCACCAGCTGCATCAGCTGCACGCCCTGCTTTGCGTCCATCGTCACCATCAGCAGCGGCATCTTGGGCCCTGGGATCGTCGTGCCGCCTAGGTGGATCAGCATCAGGTCGATGTTCTGATCCTTGTAGCGCTCGGGGATCTCCTTGAGTTCGTCGACCATGAGCGTGTCGCCCGAGATGTAGATGCGGTAACCGTTTTCGAACGACGACGAGGAAGCGGGGTCCGAGTAGCCGAGCTCGACCATCCAGCCGTTTGTCGGCGGGACGGCGGAGAGCAGGTCGTTGGCTATGGACAGCGGACCGGGCGGGATGTGTTTCCCTGGGGTGCCGGTGATTTTGACGCTGGGGGTTTGCGCATTGGCGCGCGGCGAGGCGATGTCGAGGACCAGGCTGTCCCAGACGGCGAGGGCGTGGACGTTGGTAAAGGACTCGTCGCCCTTGTTGCTCAGGTGGTCTTTTGCATGCGGGGTGGTGATGATGGGTATTGAGCGGGAGAGCTTGTCTTCGACTTTACGGTCGAAGTGGTCTTCGTGGTAGTGCGAGAGCAGGATTGCGTCGATGCGCGGCAGCTCTTCCAGGTCGATGGCTGGGTTCGTCTGTCTTGTTGCGTTGACGCCGGGCCCGAGGTGCACGTGGTCGCCTGCGTGCAGGAAGTTTGGATCTGTGAGGATTCGCAGGCCCTCCCATTCGAGGATCGTGGTGGCCGTGCCGACGAAGAAGAGCGAGGCGTTTGTCGCGGCGTTGGGAGCATTTGCGGGGTGGATCTTGGTCTCCTTGGCGTCGGGGAGAGAGGCGGGGACGGAGGGTTGGTCCTTGACAGGCGGGCCTGACGTGTCGGGCGAGATCTGGATGTGCTTCATGACTGCTGCTGTCGGAATAGACTTGATTGTTTCTTTTCCTTGTGCAGCGGTTCGTGTGAGCTTACGGAGCCTCTGTGGGGGGATCTAGGTGTGCAGCGGTGGTAGAGAGGGAAGCAGGAGAAGAGGGCAAAGAATAGGAAGCACACTTCATCGCGGGAGTAGGACGCCATGGTGCGCGATGCGAAGGATATCAGTGACGACAGAAAGCGGTAATGGGAAAATGCTGCAGGAGGGTTGATCATGCGGGTGACACTGTGCTGTCTCTACACATGGGCGCTGCTGCCACGGCATGTTATACTCGTCCATGTTGAGTGTATATTTGGAAAGAGGGCTGAGGGTCGATCTTCTTACGCGTCGCTGCCCTCGTGTGACATACAAAAGCAATGAGGCTGCTGGGAGTCGATGCGCAGCGGCTGTGGGGTGCAGCTGCCCTGTCAAACGAGCAGTTGTGGCTGGCGACGAAACGCTGGGTTTCGGAAGCTTGATCCCTGTCCCAGCGTCCCCTTTCGGAAGCAATGCATTGAACACCTGTCTGGTCAACGAGTCAAGACTGGGTGTAATTGAATCCCGCGAAAAATGACGCCGTCAGAGCAGCATCTCTGAACCCACTTGAGGCGCAATTGGACGGGCGCAGTCCAATGCACTCAACACGCGACCCATTCAACCTCCGCAACAAAGCATCGCTAGCAACCCCCTCTGCCTTCCTGCTGCTCCAGAACGCCGCCGCCAAAACCACCGAGAAGGCCCTTGCGTCCACCAAGCAGGCCGTCGAGGCGACCAAGCAGGCGCTCCAGGACAGCGACATGTCCTTTGCCATTCCGCGCAACGTGCCCACCCTCGAGACTGCGCAGCGCCGCTTCGAAGATAATGTGTGGAACAAGGTTACGGGGAAAGAAAAGGGCCTGCCCATGTACAAGGATAAACCTACGAGTTACGGCTATGGCGTGGGGAGCGCGCGGGGGAGAAAGAGCTTCTTGAAGAGTCGGAAGGCTGTGGGCTTGGTGGCGCTGCTCGTGTTGGGCTTGCTCTACTGGTTTGGGTGGTCGAGTGCAGCACAAGATGGGGATGTGGAGACGGATGGCAAGAAGACGTGGGTGCCGTTTTCGGGCCGAGGGGGTGGGAGTGGGAGTGGGAAGAAGGGCGATGCGCTGTGGGACAAGAGGAGGGACGACGTGAGGGATGCCTTCTTGCTGAGCTGGACCGCATACGAGGAGCATGGCTGGGGTGCGTCCACATCCATCTTGCGCGGAGACAATACTCCAGGCGTGAATGCTAACAGAAGCAGGCTACGACGAATACCACCCCATCTCCCGCAAAGGCCGCTACATGGCTGAACCCAATGGTCTCGGCTGGATCATTGTCGATGCGCTCGACACCCTGATGATCATGGGCCTCAAGAAGGAACTCAAACACGCGCGCGAGTGGATATCCACAACCCTCGACTACGACAAGAAGCAGGACGTAAACACGTTCGAAACCACAATACGCATGCTCGGCGGCCTGCTGTCGGCACACTACCTACAAGAGACGCTGCCCGGCCTGAAATCCGACGATGCAAAGGACGAGGACATCTTCCTCGAGAAGGCGACGGATCTGGCAGACCGTCTGATGGGCGCATTTGAATCGCCCTCTGGCATTCCTTGGGCCAGTGTCATCCTCCAGGATGGCAAGGGCGAGGCCTCTCACGCAGACGGCGGTGCTTCTTCCACCGCCGAAGCCACAACGCTCCAACTCGAATTGAAGTACCTAGCCTACCTGACCGGCGAGTCGCACTACTGGGAGAAAGCCGAAAAGGTCATGCAAGTCGTCGACAACAACGGCGCCAAAGACGGACTCGTCCCCATCTTCATCTACGCCGACAAAGGAACCTTCCGCGGAAACGAAATCCGACTAGGAAGCAGAGGCGACAGCTACTACGAGTACCTAATCAAGCAGTACCTCCAAACACAAAAGCAAGAGCCCATCTACCTAGACATGTGGGAAGAGTCACTCAGAGGCGTGAAAAAGCACCTCCTCACCTACACCAAGGAGACCCACCTCACCGTCCTAGCAGAGCGACCATCCGGTATAGAAGGCCATCTGCACCCCAAAATGGACCACCTAGTCTGCTTCATGCCAGGCACCATCGCGCTAGCAGCCACAGGCGGGCTCCCCCTCTCCCAAGCCCAAAAACTCCCCACCTGGGGCAAGCAGCAGGAAGAAGACATGCAGCTCGCGCGCGAACTAACAAAAACCTGCATGGGCATGTACCGCGTCACCCCCACGGGCCTCGCCCCGGAAATCGCCCACTTCGACCTCGACGACCCACCCAAAATGTACCGCACAGAGATCCTGCAGTCCAAAACTGACCTCCCCCTCGACGTCGCAGACGGAGAGGGCTGGAAGAAGGACTTCGTCATCAAACCCGCTGATGCGCATAATCTGCAGCGCCCCGAGACTGTGGAGAGCCTGTTCTACATGTGGCGCATCACGGGTGATGTCGTCTACCGCGACTGGGGCTGGGATATGTTCCGTGCGTTTGCGAATTTCACGCAGGTTGAGGGTGGGGGCGGGTTCTCGTCTGTGGGCGATGTGCGTGCTGTGCCGCCGCCGACGAGGGATAATATGGAGAGCTTTTGGCTGGTATGTTGCCCTCCCCTTTTGTTTTGTTTTACATCTGCATCTATATCTCCTTTTTCACATGACTGTTCGAGAGACTAATACGTACGCAACTAGGCCGAAACTCTCAAATACTTCTACCTCCTCTTCAGTCCCAGCGATGTTCTGCCCCTCGATCAGATCGTGCTTAATACTGAGGCTCATCCTTTTCCGCGCTTTGACGCGAGTAAGAAGCGGTTTAAGACTGGGTGGGCGAGGCTGCCGAGGGACGCGAAGGGGAATATTGTTGTTGCCTCCGAGAAGGAGGACAAGAAGGAAGAAAAGAAGGAAAAGAAGGAGGGGCAGAGTGTGGTGGCTGAGAGTTGAGCCGGGTGTTGTATTGGGTTGCATTATAGGTGTTTTGAACGTTGAACGTTGGATTTACTTTGCGATGGGGTGGTCACGCCAGATCAGACCCAGACTCACGGAATTGGTTGAACGAGTAGGAACACGAAACGCATTTATTGAATTAACCACGTATTGAACTATCTATCTATTCGCACATCAACTTTTCATCAACACATCAAAGCCTTGAGCATGACATGACTATTACTCTTCTCTCCGAACTTCCTTAAAGATCCCCCAACCCATTCAACAGTGCCGTCAACCCCCCAACCCCCATCAACGCCTGCATCGTCCTCTTCTTCCGGCCCAGCGTGCGTCTCCTCGATCTCGACCTCGACCTTGACCTGCGCCTCCTCGCGCGCTCGCGCTCCCCGCTATCAGACTCGGACGTCGTGAGATCTGTGTCGTATCTGCTGCTGGGGTGGGTGTTCATGTACGACTGGCGCAGCGGGGACTGGGGCACGGGGTTTGGGTACTGGGGGAAAGTTTGGCGGTGCGGAGGGGGCGGGTAGGCGGGTTGCTGGGGGGTTGAGGCGGGCTGGGGACGATGGGGCGGGTAGGAGCCTGCTGGGAGGAGATAGGGGTTTTGTTCGTTTGTGGGGGGAGGGGGAGGAGGGGGGAAAGGTTTTGAGCCGGGTGTGGATAGCGAGCGGTCTAGTGGTGGGGGCGGCGGGAAGGATGCGTAGGGTATGGAAGTTGTGGAGCGTTCGAGCTGGGCGTGGGGTCGAGGTGTGCGGTCGCGGTCGATCTCGCTGGTTCGTTGTGCGTTAGGAGGTGGCGGCGGCGGCGGGGGTCGGTCGACAGAGGATGATGGTAGTGGTGGGTGGGTCGTGTTCCGAATGGGAGTAGGGCGTGACTGTAACTGTGGCTGTGGCTCCTGTGTGCTTCTGTAGATTTCGACGGTGCGTTCGACGAGTTGCATGACGTGCTCAAATTTCAAGGGTTGCTCGATACAAAAACATGGTTCAAGTTTCGTGCGCTTTCCTTCGCGCCGCTCCTTTTGCACCTGTGTGACTCTATAGCCGGCTTCGCGGATTGCTTCCTTGCACACCCAGCTTGCCATTATTTCGGTCCAGGGGTGACGCGAGGATAACGCGGTCGATGGTGGTAAATCGGTATTTGAACTGATCATCTTGGCGTCGATGTACTTCCAGTAATACTTGCGTGTGCATAATGTCCATGGGATCTCGAGGTCGACGTCGGAGTTCTCTTCGTTGGCCTCGATTGCAGCTGCGGCTTCGACGGGGAGGCCTGACACGCTGGATCTAGCTGAATTGGGTGTGTATTGCTCGGCATTTGGTACAGGAAAGTTGTTGCGCGATGACCTTGGTGAAGTCCTTGGTGAGGAAGTATGCGATACGGGGACAGCTGGCTTGGGTCGCGACTCTGCTACCGGAATCGGTGTTGTGGCCGTGTCACTGAATAATGGCTGAACATAGTCTGGTCTCTGATGTCTCTTACTCTTACTCTTACGATGATGATGCTCTTCGTCACTATCAGATTCGACTGTAGGTTGTTGGCTCTCCCTCTGCTGCATTCGGATTTCTCGTTCCGCATCACGAATGCGATTGTCGAATTGAGGCAGACTCGTCCACCTCTCCAACAAGCTCTCTACTCGCGGAGCAGAGATACTGCATGCCGCTGGTAGGTATCCGTCCTCGACAGAGCCTGCAATGTTAAGACTTGCGAGATAAGTGTCGTGGTATCGGTGTAGGTAAGATGGGTTTGGTATTGTGCTTCCACGGCCTATAGCGGCAAGGCTTTGAGAGCTGTCACTCTCCATCAACATCCGATCATCCGGGCTTGGCGCTTGTTCGTAAAGTTTTGAGGCGACTAGAATTGATATCTGTTGTTCGATGATGAGCGTTTCCAGCTGCATCTTCTCGTTCGCTACTGCTCTTGCCGCCTGCTGTGGCGATACTGTCGGACGCAACCTGTGTCGTTGTAAGTGTTTTGACTTATGAAATATGTGTGAAGAAGATCCCCGCACTCGAAAGGTCATGAGAAATCCATCAACCCTTGAATATTACCGACACTGAAAGTCCTATCTCATAACAAGCCAGCTCACAGTAGAGAAGTATATGGAAAAGGAGGCATAACTTACTTTGACCACATGATGCTCTGCGCTGTGTACAGCGTCTGCAACAGGACTGACAAGGTTGTCCTCAAAGTTTCGAGGTGAGCTGTAAGATACTCTAACCTTGGCCAAACCACAGAATTTCGTCGGGCCTGTCCGTTTCGATCGTAACGAGAGCCATTCTTGCTGCCATTTCGAGCAGAGGTGATCGACTCTATTTCTGTAAAAACCGATCCGGATTGCTCCATGACATTTTCCAGAATCTCATGAGCCTGTATTCGTATTAGTCAACTAGTCAATCAACCCGGGAACATAGACAAGTAGGACAATTCCACACAATGACCACTACCATCACTTTCAAGGAAACTTTGGAGTGAGACAGATGTAGTTGAATTAACCAAGACTGTCGGACGATCTTGCACATCCCGACTGAAGGTATGTATTGGGGGTGCTATACGTGGCTAGATCGAACGTACCTCATACGAAGGTAGACGGTCATCTTCGGTGATCAAAGCTCCTACTTGCTTCGTGATTGAAGCAAACCCGTTGATTGTTTTCGCGACCTTGATATAATCGCCCGCAACGTCCTGGGTTGAGGCGGCGACTCGATACAGCTCTAGCGCAAGACTGGAGCTGCGAGAGACGACAGGTAGGATTGCCGCAAGTTCCGCCATTGTGTGGAAATTCTCTCCAGTGTCTGATACTCACTCTAACAGAGCTACAAGGTGGCAGTGAGGGAGGAACTTTCTGAGGAGTTAATGTATTTGACTTTAACGTTCTTTGTGGTCTCTGAGGTCATGCCACGGATCATGCAGGGTATCGTACGCGGTCACCGGGAATGCAGCACCGGAGATCTCATTATGCTAGCGATTGGTCGAAGAGCCAAAGTCTGGTGGCTAGCTGCATGCTGCAAAGCGAACTGCTTAACTACTATACGGCTGGCGGCAATTTTGGCTTGTAATGCAATGCCAAATGCCGAACATGCGGCTGTTACTGTAGGTCGGACGCGTGTCAGATTGGGAGGTTGTTCGATTTAACACACTCGTAACACCGGATATGCGGATGCAATTGGCGACTCGAGGCTTCTGTGAGGCTCATTTCAGTGTGTAAGCCAGGCGGTCCTGCGAGCATTTCAGCCGTGGACGATCTTTCGGTTTCCGGTGAAGAGTTGTTAACACTGTACAAGACGCCAGGGTTCGAGTAGATCAAACGTCTCACAAAGACTGGCGAAGGCGGATGCGAGGAGCGACGCTCGTATACCGACCACTGATCGAAGTTCGTCTCATGTTGCTTTTGGGAATAGCCATCTGCAGTGCACGTTGCGCGAGTCAGAATGGTATCGGGGGATGTATACGAATAGAGAGAAGCCTGAGCAACAACACTTGTTCGAATAGTCGTTGCTGTAGAAGACAAGGTAACGGGTGGAGGATGGCGGCCGGCTCTGTGGTTCAAGGGTGTTTGTATGGTGTGCAGTTTCCATCATGTGCTGAGAACCATCGTTGGACGACTTTCTGCTGAACCATGTCGCGAAATAATGGGTGGATGATTGATACCGTGGCCGGCGATGACGAAGGTGGAAAGTCACAAGGCTTCTTGGTCGCTAAGCCATGGTGGCTGCTTTAGGCAGGAGCCCGGCCTCAGTCCCTCGTTTTTCCGACATGTCGATGACGAAAGACTGTGTAACCAGATCCATGGCAAACTCCAAAAGCGTAGTTTGACAAGCACAACAAAGCGAAAGTCATGTCGTTGTTGTTGTTGCCGTCGCAGTCTAAGACTATTGAATGTTAATTCCCCTGCCAAGGCGTGATCCGCCGCAATGCCGGCCCCATGCCAATTTTTGCACATGGCCGCGTCCGAGGCGTGCGCGGTGACCATCGATGGTCTAATAACTCGAGTTTGATGACGGGCGCCAACCGTGCAAGCGTCCAGCGTGCATCTCTGGCGCCTCTGCCTCTTCTCTCATCCTCTCTCAGCACCCCGCTGGTATTGCTCAGTGTCGCATTCGCTCCTTCTACACCCACGCCGCTGCTGCATACTGCCGTCCAATCCGATATCGAGCGGGTTCTCACGCCTATTGCTCCCTTCATCTATTCGCGGAAAAACGTCTCAATCGTCTCCTAGAAAACACCTCCCACATCGCCTGCGAACGGTACTCAGCAGACAGACTGAGCATATGCGATTTTCAGCCAATTACGTTCCTGTCCGCCGACATCTTCGACCTTTCTAGATAAACCCGTTATCGATTGGAGTATTTGCCACGCCTCAACAAACCCCGCACAACTGTACATAGTCATGCCCGTCATGCCTGTCATGCGCCGGGCAGTGTCTACTGCTGCCGTCAGTACGGGCGTCATGGTGTCACACGAAGAGCCTCTTCGACCCTCCTTTAGAGACTACGATACCTTGTCACCGGGACGACAACGACGACACTCATGGTCCACAAGGCCGTGTACGATAGAGGCAGAGAACTTCCAGGTCTTGGTCAGTAGCTATTCGCATGTCCCACATCCATACAACTGACTTACATCACAGCTCCGCAACTTCCTGGTTGAGCTCAATTGCAGACTAGATTTCCTAGAATCCTACGGCCATATCAATTATGACGCTGGCGTCGAATACGCATACAATACTCTCCTTGCCGTTCGTGACTCGTGCTCAAAGATATCAGATGGCGCAATCGAAGCTGGCCGGCGGCAAGCCTCTGTCTTTGTCGAAACAGTCGAGGAGCGTTACAAAGAAGCCATGGAGAAAAAAGAGACGTTAGGAGAAAAAGTCCTAGAAGGCATCATGCTAATGGAATCTTATCTGACGGAATTCGAAACACGCGCATACGCGGTAAAAGATAGCTCAATAAGTACCTATGCGCACGAGTTCTACGAGGAGGGGCTAAGGAAGATGGATGAGGGGTTCGAAAAAGCAAAGGAAGTGGTGGACGGTGGATTGGACAAGGCGCGGAGAGCAAAGGAGACGATCGAATTGACGATCGAACACGCAGTTCAAAATGCACTCGCACGCGCAAAGGAACATGGCCTAATCCGCTACGACGACCTCCCCGAGCCCTGGAGAGTGAACCCACATATTCTCAAAGGCTACCGCTTCTCGGAAGGAAAGTGGGCATGTGTGCGGTCCGTTGTCACCATCCACAACGAGCTCGTAAACATCTGGTCGCATTTCCTCGGCCTTTTGATGGTACTCTCTTTGGCCTTTTATTTCTACCCCTCAAGCGTCAACTTTAGCATGTCTACCAAAGCGGACATTTTTATCGCCGCCGTTTTCTTCTTCGCGGCTTGCAAATGTCTCGTCTGCTCGACTATCTGGCACACCATGAACAGCATCTCGCACCAAACACTGCTCGAACGCTTCGCCTGCGTCGACTACACTGGAATCTCCATGCTCGTCGCTGCGTCCATCATGACCACCGAGTACGCGGCCTTCTACTGCGAACCCGTCTCCCGCTGGTCCTATATGGGAATGACAGCCTTTCTCGGTATGGGCGGCGTTATCCTCCCCTGGCACCCAACTTTCAATCGCGCAGATATGGCCTGGCTGCGCGTCACCTTTTATGTCTCTCTTGCGTGCACTGGATTCGTTCCGTTTGGTCAATTGGCATACACGCGCGGCCTCGACTGGGCACAGTATTTCTATGCACCCATCACCAAGAGTATGGTTGTGTATTTCACCGGCGCGTGTCTGTATGCGTGCAAAGTGCCTGAGCGCTGGTTTCCAGGAAGCTTCGATTATATTGGCTGCTCGCATAACATCTGGCATTTCGCTGTACTGGGGGGTATCGTCTTCCACTACACTGCCATGCAAGCCATGTTCACTTCGGCCCTGACGCGCGCGCAGACGAGCTGCTCTGTTTATTAGATTGAGCGTAGAGAGTTGTGTCCACTTGTTAGGCTTTTTTAAGCCATTCACATTTCGCATTCGATTGCATAGCAGCACGCGGGATTTGTAGTTATGATGGTCCTTCATTCATGTCGACAGGGAATATTTTCGCTTCATTCTATTCAGTTCAATCCTATCACTATGCCTAGCCTTGAGCATGTTTAATCATGTGTTCGAATAAATGTGCATCTGTCTTCGTGGATCTATCAATTACGGCAAGCCGCGATGACCGCGCATGCATATCAAGCCTCCTGCATGTCATGCCTCCTTCATGTCCACTGCTCCGCCCAACCAACACACTGCTGATAACGTCGCAGTTAGGTAGATAACCAGTTAATCAACGGTCGCGACCACACCCTGCCTCTAGCTTTTCTTAGGTTCACTCCTAATTCCTTCCAGAGTTTGAAGCTATTCCACCAATCATCCACCCCATCGGTAATGCCACCCCATTCTTAGTTGTAGTAATAGTGTGTAGAAAGATGTTCGTATTCAGGCATAAAGTAGGTTAAATTTTCGTTAAAGGCTGCTGTTAGATAGCCACAATGTAGACTTGTACTTACATACCTGCTCTCCTTGTTCTATATGTCAGTTTTGCCTGTCTTTTTGTTATAGTAAATGAAAGCCTCTTAGCTATCTGACACAGCATGCAGAGGAAGTTCAATAGCATGTTCCTCACATCTGCACCTAGCAAGCATTGTTGTCCTGACTTTTGCAATCTAGAGCAGTAAGTATAATACAAAACAAAGGGAATGTAACAACTCTATACATTCTGTGCTACTAAGTCAATTAAATGATCTAGTACTGTCATATTTTTAGGACAACATTTTAGTTTATGGCGGCAGTCAAGTCGTAATGTGGTGATGCTTTTTCGAATTAACAACGGATAACATAAGTTTCTCTCTCCATTACGTCTTGAGGACTCGCGTACAGTGTGTGCCGGCTGCTCGCAGAATCTGTTGTGGCAAAGGTGACTGTAGTCAAGCTCTCGACCAATCGAAATACCAGGCAACAGCTTGACAACTACAACTAAGTTTAGTATAGGGATCTTGTGCCTGAATTATAAGCTGTATACGCCTTGCGTGCACTTTAACAAATTGCAATTGTGTAGTTTTGCGGCTTGTAAGAGCCACAAAGAATGTAACTTACTTCCCGCTTTTGCAGTTGACCGAGAGTCAAGATCAGTTATCAACTCATCCATCATTTTGAGATGTCATGCATAGCCGCTAGGCGCAGGATATGAATCGCTGCATCGTAATGCGACATTTCACCAAACAACCTCGGCTGTGGACTGGTTGTGCTCATCAGACCATCCATCGCATTTCAGACTTTCCTCTGTTTCACATGGGAAGTTGGACGTCTGGGGCAGTGCACCGACCAATTCGTTGCAGCCACGAAGTACAGCCAGCCTTCCAGAAGCCTTCCTCTTCTGACGTGGCGTTCTACTCCGCATTCGCTTGCAAGACGATCCCTATTCGGGCTCACCGGGCAGTAGATATTGAACGTGACACTGTCTGCCTTATTCGAAGGACCGACAGGGCGAGCACGAAGAGTAAGTGGCGAGTAGTCTCGCGCGGGCTTATCACGTTTCGAGTGTTCATTCGCTCATTAGCGATAGCTTTCTGTCAAAATCCTTTGTGTTGATATGGTCAGGGCTAAAGGGCGTCAATTGAGTCTTTGCTGTCAGCCCTGCGGCTCCCACTCTTAGAGCGCCGTTAGAGAGGTATATGTCTACGGCCGCGCAACAGTCCAGAAGATAAAATTCCACGGGTTCTACTTTCCTTATTTCTTTGCTCGTTAAAGTCTCGCTTCGCCACTGTCTTCATTGACACTTTCGCCTCGTGAGGGAAGTGGAATCGAAATTCTTGTGCTATTTCTTATCTCTACTCCGCCTTGTGTTCCCTTGACGTAGCCTGACGTAAAGCGCACACCATCCTGTACCATGTCTCACAGCGGCCGAAACAACTCGCCGGAAGAAGATTGGCACACCCTCATTGCCTGGACTAGTGAACCGTATTGTCCCTTCTTCCAAGGCAATGCCGGGTTTACTGGAATACAAGACGGCAACCTTGCTGCAAGCTACAACCTACCAGAACAATCCTACCCGCGGTCAGCACCATTGCCTATTGTCGAGGCGCTTCCTTCGTTCGACTACACCATCTCCGCACCGGCTTCGATCATTGGAGGCTCTTCTTCTTCGGAACAGGTATTCTATACCTCGCCGTCGTTTGATACAACGACTTCATCGTTCGGAGATCGTTATTCTGGATCTTTTGACGCGTGTAATAATGGCCTCTCATCTCCGGGACGGACTATCGACTGGCCTATACTGGATACGAGTTGCAAGCGGATTACGGACAGCTTTGCATCGACCCAGCCTCTCCAGACAGTAACGGAGACTGCCTTGAAACCGTATATTGTCTTCAGTGGCTTGGACGTCTCGGCTTCTCAAGCTTTTACAAACGGTGGGACATGGGCAGATCAACCTCAGGTGATCGAACCCAATGAAGAACACGACAAATATCGGGCGGGTGTGGCTCCAATACCAATACCGCAATCGTACCCGCAAAGTTTCAACGACATGGCTATGCAAGCCCCACGTTCTGTAGAACCACAGCAGATCCGTAGTAGGGCAATCACGATCCCTCGGTCACACCGCCGGCCCGCTGCCTACAATTCGGGTGTCTCACACTCCCAGAGAGTACCATCTACACTCTCTTTATCTCCAGTTACTCATCGACGGCCTCGTAGCGTGGCTCTGTCCAGGAGTAGTTCGCAAGTTGAATCACAAAACAGAACAATCACATCATCGCCAACGTCACTCGAGTGGGTACCGTACGAACTGAATATTCAAACGAATAGGTTGACGCCTTCGAGCAGGGAAGGACTCCCAAGTCGAATAGCAAGAGGGCGCAAGACATGCCTCACAGTTGAACAACGGAGTCACGCAGCATTGATGCGGGTCATCGGCTCGTGTTCAAACTGCAAAAGGCGCAAAGGGAAATGCGATCCAGGAACGCCATGCAAATCGTGTGTTGAACACTACAAGGGGGATCTTGTGAATACTCCATGCCGCGATCGTATCCTTAGTGATTTGTCGAGCGCCTTCCTGTCTGATAGACTGGGATGGCATCCTACAATGCGGTCTCCCAATTTATTCGTTGCGTCCAGCAGTTTTACTACCTCCGTTGATGCCGAGTACACAATCCCGCTGAGTTTCGGCTTCGGACCTGCATTTCCAGTCACAGTCCATGCCCTCCACATCGAGGGTTACCCAACTTTAATTCACACGCACGTTGTATATTCCTGGCCACCAGAGCCATCTAGTGGATGTACGCATGAAGATTTTGTGCTTCCAGCTGTCTTGACTCCAGATGCTGCTTCCTGCCTTTCGCAGTCTCTCGACATGCATCTCGCGCTCCTCGTCACTCGTCACTTTCGTGCCTTCCCACTTTACTGCTCACAGCTGCAAATTCTCCGCGAAGTTTACATCTTCTCTCAATCAGCGTACTCCCGTATTCTTCTGCAAGCGCTTAAGCTCCTCGTCCTCGTACACATAGGTGGTGACATCACGCTCCCCGCACCGTCCCAGAGCCCAAACTTAGCTCGCCTAATGAGTCACACGATGAACTACTCCGGAGCAGAAGATGAAAACATAGGACCCGCACCGTGTTTCATCCGCTCCCAGTTTGGCGCCGTCATGCCCGGTCTCGCATTGATGTACATGAAAGACGTCCTTTCGTCTCTCGAGCAACTTCTTCTCAACCGCGAGCCCGACGACTGGCCAGTCGCTCTCGCCGTGCTGATCACCGTGCTCATGACCGTCGAATCGATCCACTACCACGCCGCGAAGATGCCGTACCACTCCCACTACGGCTCAGCGCGCTCCTCGGACCTGGAAGAAGACCAGGAAACGGATGACGATGGCGTCAGGACTCTACTTGACTTTTACAGCGCGTGCTTCTCCGGCTGCCATGCTAGGCTGAGACCAGATTGGGAGGGAGAGGCACAGCGTGCAAACCGTGCTGATGATGTGTTTGTGGAGAGTGTGAGAGAAGTGGTGCGCAGAGCGAGTACTGCTGGATATTTGGCTGGGAAAGCTGAGGAGAAGAGGCAGGGTGATGATATGGGATTTTTCTTCGACAGGTTGGTTGCACGCTTGCTAATTTTGAGGCTTTGATGGTTGTTTTGATTTGACCTTTGATTTGGCGTTGGGTTTGGGTTAAGAATGTTCGTGAGTAACTTTCCTTACACGCGAGACGACGAAACGGCCATTTCACGATTAACGATAGCGTGGCGCATGTCTGGATTTTTCTAGGTGCTTATGTTGGCTTTTTGCTGAGGCTTACGATATATAAAGTGCATGGCGCGTACATGATGTAGAGTGAGCGCCATGAGCAAGTTTATGTACCACGGGTCCTAATAACCTTGAATTTTCGTTTACCACAAGTTGAGAATCTCGATATGCGTTGATATGAATACTTGCATATGTAGAACAATCCGATCACAGCCTATGTTCGATATGCAAGACGTGGAAGTCGTATGGATATATCATAAGTAACCAAGCATTATCATTGATTTGACTCCGCGCAGAACCTGGTATACAAAGCAAGAAACAAGTACACGCAAACTTCGCACCCTACAGCTATACATAACCTCCGTATCTGTCGTTATTATCTTCAAGTCAGATGCCCATTCCTCCACATATCTGCCTAAATTTCATGCGCCTTCCCCCTGATATCTTTTGTCTCAATCCTGCCCATGCCTCGATACATATCATGTCGATCAATCAAGCTGTTTACCGTCGTGGCACCAGCGAGCATGTTCTCATCGCTACCTTCGCTACTAACAGTCTGAGTTTGCACGAGCGCATTCTTGTCCCAGGAATAACGAGCAGCTTGGTTTCCGACCGCAACGCCGTTTTCTTGGATCGCAGGAAGGTCTCTCCCCTCATCAACAGATAGGTTCCGCATCCTTGAATCTAGATCCAGCGGCCCCGAGTCATCCGACATGGCGCTGAGAGACTTGGATCGCACGGTCGTGAGGGCATTGGCGTCTTCGCCGGTGGAATCATATGAGAAAGACTTATCTGCAGACAAGGCACGCTGCGGGTCGGCTGAGGCATCGGGCAAACTGTTCGAGCGTTGCGTCTTTCCTCCTCTGTGGCTCTTCGACCAGGACTTGAACTTGAACGCCGAGAGCCAGCTAGGCCGTTTCTCCTTGCCTACATTCGGATTCAACGATTTTTCACAGGCGATCTGGATCGCTGTTTTCTCCTCTACGGCTGCAGGGATAGTCGGCGCGCCCGGCGCAAGCTCGTGGTCGCTCTTGCGTCTCGCACCTGTAGCGCCAGCTATAGAAGCTTCGTGTTTTGCTTGATTCGCCGCGCGGTGGGTTGCGAGGGACGATTCTTTGATCTCTTCGTGCAGATATTGCAGCGCTATATCGATTACCTCGATGTATTGAGGATAGTCAACTTCACATGCTTCCCGGAGAAGGCGCAATTTCTCCCAATCTTTCTGGACGATGGGACCCGTCAGCTCGGGATGCCAGGCCATGCAACGGATATCGGAGCGTGTGCCGCGGTCCACTTGTTCTTTCACGCCAAAGAGGTCAATGAGTGCGTCAACCTCGTCACGGATTGTCTTGACAAACTGCTCGAAGCGCGCGCTGTCTTTGACAGTCCAGTGGCTTATTGTTATGTTTGAGGTACGTTTGAAATTGGTTCGAATACCGCTCTGTAGGACAAGGTCCTGGAGTAAGCCGTGTTTTTCGCGGAAAGCTTCGAGGCGATTATGGACCAGCGGCGGATACAGAATCTTGGTAGCATGCTTGGGGCTCCTCAGACCAAACTTATCCATCAATTCTTCTCGTGACATGTGCGCAGGGCGACCCGCAATTTCATTCAGCGCTTTCTTGACCTTCTCATTGCTGACTTCGTCATCCAATCTTGCATCTCTGACACCGAAGTTGACAGGGACATTGGGATCTGGGTTTGTGAGGCCAGGGCGGCTAGGAATCATATATCTAGCGATAGTCGCCGGCGGAGAGGAGATGCCTACTGCATCGCCAAAGATGAGCAGCCGCCCCTGCTGCAGGCCGAGTTTGACAAGGGCGACCTTCTGGGGATGGTCGTTGTCTTTGGACGGATGGATAAGGTTGAAAGCTTCCACGCACGTGCTGAACTGTGTCGCGAGCGCGAAAACATCGGTGAGGATCTCTACCTTGCTCTTGGCAGGTGGTGTGGCTTCGATAGTGTTGGTCGTCATGGTGGGGCAGCTTTTATCTGTGTCTGCCCAGCAAATGTCAAAGGAACAGTCGCGAACGCAGTTGTTGCGTAAAACACAGAGCAATATGAGCGGGACTATAATGCACAGCTGCTGGATGAGCTAGAGGTGTTGTTATTGATTTAACGCTTGCATGACGTCTGAGGAGTTTTTCGAGCATGCATTTAGGTGTGGCGCAGAGCCTGCGAAGGAGCGGGGAACCATCCAGGTTGCATCTGACTTTCCGCAGCCTTGTAATTCGCGAACTCATCTGGGCAAGCCTTGGTGCCACTCTTTTTTTCCTGCATGGCGTTGTTGTCTCGTATCGCTGCATGTTGGGGCGCGATACGCGTGCTAGGGTTGGTTGGTCGATCAAATTTGTGTGCTCAATCTCTTCAGTATTTATGCGCGCTGCCCGGCGAGCTAGCAGCGGAGAAAACTAGTTGGTCCACCAGAAAACATCAATATCCTGACCAATGAGGATTAATATTTGGAGGGAGGACAAAGGCGCAGTGGGCTAGAGTTGGTATCATTAAATATCGTCTATTGGTTCGTCAAATGTGGAAGAAAGGGCTCTTCCCACGCATGTTGGTATCTCCCTGGCCTTCAGATGTTGCTGCGCTCCGTCTTTTAGCCAGCTCGTCAGTCATGACGAACTCGTTTTTGACAAATATCCCACTTGGACTTCGATGTATGCCCTTCCCATCACGCACTCGAACTTTGTTTTGATGCATGACAATTTCCTCTTCGCTGTCTCCATCGCTGTCTGTGGGAGAATCACCAACGTCTCTTTTGCTACTTGTTACTACCGCTGATGCTTGTGGTCGACCGCTCCACGTAAGCGGGTACGTACGAGGCTTTGGGGTTCTCTCGCGCAAGCCGAAAATGAATCCAAACAGGTGGACGAAAGGTCCACGAAACATGGGAAGGCAGGCACAGATGATGCCTGCGTTCGCCTCGATGACAGACCAAATTGTGGCAGGGATCGGCCCCCAGGTAGGATCGGGGTCACTGGCAGAGGCTGCAATAGTTGTTGCGCGGTATATCGAAGCAAAAGTGACGCTATTGTACGTTAGCCACGTTGTGTCAAGGTTGAGTGAAGCAGACACACAATGCACCACTACCAAAGACTAGACATATACCCAACTTCTCAGCTGGACGCAGAGACAGTGTGAGTATTTGTCGGACCGGCATCGCAAGCAGCAGGATGTCCGTAACTATCTGCGTCGTCGCATACGAGATCCACCATGGCTCATTCTTGAAGCATTTATAACCTTCGATGCCCCTGTCCCAGAACGCTGCGATTGGCGTACATTGGAATACCGTAGCAATGACGAAAGCTGTGCCGGAGGCGATGATCCAAGCGTTCATGATGTGGCAAGCGATGCGGAACGAGTTGTGAGATACAGCGAAGATGCGGTAATAGAGGCAGACTACGGAAATTTTGTTGAACATGAGGACCATTTTGTACACAATATTTGCGGCATAGAACCACTGGCGAGCTGTAATCCGAGATTCCGATGGAAGTGTTTTCCAGTGTCTGCCATAACCATAGACTACGGCTGTAGTTCGTTGTTAGTATTGTCAATGTGAACCGGCGGGAGAGGGTTTACCTTGACATTCTGTCATTGATAGTATGCCTGAAAAGATTAAGGCAACCAGAATCGCATAATCATCCACTCCGAGACCACTTCTCTTGACACGCCTCTGGACAAACCTGGCGCCAACAAAGAGCGCCGCTATTGCCACGGCGAGCACACTGGTGAGCCATAGACCCCATCCTCGTTGCACAGGTCCTTGCGTTCCGAGTCCAATGTCGGAAATCATGATCGTTGAGCTTGTGGTTTCTTTTCGGAGCGTAGGAATGACGGTGCCGCACGAGAGGCAGATGCTTAGCTAAAGAACATTTCCATGGACTATCGCAAGCAAGGGCTACGCATCCTGCAATTTGTGAGTTTTGTACCGAGGAGATGGAACCTCATGTGGAGTGATCAAATTGCGTCAATCGCACGGCCCATCAGCATAGGTAGGGAAACTGATTCGATCATGGCTGCTACGTTCTCCTGCTATTGGAAGAACAGTCGGCTCCCGGCTGAGAAGATGCAAGACAACTGGGAGCTTCATATCCGGGTGCTGGGCCTCGGTACCGAACAAGAAAATCCTCCGAGATGGTGGGAGAAACAGGATGGTGGATGAAGATCAATGCGACTCGGGATGATCGTCTTCCGCAGATTCATCGTTGTTCATAGAGCTTTGGAGGCAATGGCTGACAAACACCGATTCTGATCAAACCATTTAATTAAACTACCGGGAGGCACCGTCGTCAACAACGGGAGACACAAACGGCATCTAGCATGTCAGAGTAAATTCAGTCCGGCGCGGGAGAGAATCAAGTTCCCTGTGCTGCCCATTCCATACCTGGTTAGCATGGAAATATCCACCCCTGTCGAAACACGCTCTTCCCGTGTTCCCAACACATGGGTCAGGCACCGCCATGAGTCTTCCACAGGCATTCTGCATCGGTGTATTGTCTCTTTACAGTAAAAATTGCGCCATAGCTTAGAATTACACTCGCCTTGCCGGTCCAGCTAACGGGTGAGCCATGCAACCTTACACGTCCATGGCATGCGAACCGCCTGCAATTCGTCGGATAGGAGACGGGATACATAATGCAAGGCCAGGACTCCTTCCGTATTCATCAGGCGCACTCAGAGCTACCGTCTCACCTTAACAAACATGAATCTTCTGCTCCTTACAGCTGCAGCGGCAGCCACGCTGTTCGGCCCTGTCATTGCCGGACCGGTACACTCGTACAACGTCCTGACAACAAGTGGAACCATTGTTGGTCACGAGGCGTCGAACAGGTCGTCTGTAACGGAGTATCTGGGTATCAGATACGCAGCTGCGCCTGTGGACGAACTAAGATTCGCCGCACCAAAGAAATTTGTCGCGTCGAAAGGTACTGTCTTTGAAGCCTCTGAATGGGTAAGCGTTCCATACACTCTACAACATTCCGCAGCACTAACAGCCTCAGTCGGCGTAAGTATTCCACAGGAAACAAGTAACTTACTCAATGTTGATCCCTGTACAGTGATTGTCTATCGAACAAGCCGCCAGTGAGCAGCTTTCCAAATTTTACCGAGCCGTCTGGCTTGCGAGTATGGAAGAACTTTGCGGCGCAGAACAGCAATCCTACATCCGAGGATTGTTTGAAGCTGAACGTCTGGACTAAGAATGCAGGCAATGCGAAGGCCAAGAAGCCCGTGCTTGTGTTCATACACGGAGGACGTATGTGATCATGATCACCCCACAGCGATCGCTACTGACGATCGCATGAAGGATTCCAGATCCCTGGCCCTCACAGTCCCTTTTACAACGGGCAATATTTGTCTGATACCGAGGATGTGGTCGTCGTCACTTTCAAGTACAAGTCCCATCCTTACACACCGATAAGCTTGACTAACAGTTTTCAGCTACCGTCTTGGAATTTTTGGTTTCGCCGGTGCTCCGGGTGTCGAGGCCAATGCTGCTCTCAAAGACCATCGCGCTGCGGTCGAATGGGTGCGGGACAACATCGTAGGCTTCGGAGGCGACCCTTCACGTATTGTTATCTTCGGCCAAAGCGCCGGTGGTGCTTCTGTCGACTACTGGTCTTTCGCTTGGAAGAAAGACCCTATTGTTTCTGGCCTCATTCCTATGTCAGGGACTTCCTTGAGCTTCCTGCCGAACACTCCGGAATATGCGCAGACAATATGGTATAACGTGTCTCAGACAGTAGGCTGCGGTGGTCCTAACGATAACTCCGCCAACGTACTCTCTTGCGTTCGCTCGAAGAATACCTCAGTCATTCTGGCTGCCGCCGCCAAGGTTCCCGCACTCCCCTCTCTAGCCACTTTGCAGGCGACATTTCACCCGACTGTCGACAATGTCACCGTCTTCGCTGATTACGAGCAGCTGTCTGCCTCCGGTAGTTTTGCAAAGATTCCCCTCCTAGCCGGTAACAACGACCAAGAAGATGGATGGTACCGACTGTCTGGATGGGCTTCAAAGCTTAATTTCACCAACGCTCAATGGGACCTGTTTTCTCAGCGTGCCTTCAACTGTCCCAATGCTTACTCAACCAAGTATAGGGTGCAGTATGGTGTTCCAACCTGGCGTTACAGGTACCATGGTGACTTCGACAACGTTAGGTTGTATAACAGCACTGCAGGCCTTTCGCCCAGAGGTAGCGGCGCCTACCATGGAGTTGATCTGAACAGTGTCTTTGGAACCGCAGAGGACGTTTCTGGCCTCGAGAATTCGCCTGCCCAAGACGCTACAATTAAGTATGTGATGGGTGCATGGGGTGCGTTTGCGACGGACTCAAAGAACGGTCTGACGAAGTACGGCTGGCCTGCATACAGTACGAACGGTAAGATCTTACACTCCCAATAGAAGGTGTGGTTGCTGACTCATTCTGCTAGGCAAGACACTCGTTCGTCTGGCATACAACAACAGTGCGAAGCCGGATTTTATCGAGCCGATCACATACGACGCAGTGTGTCCCGCGAAGAACGATCCGCTACCTGGTCGAGGTGCTTTCTAGGCCTCTTTCTGCCATTTGTTGGTGCTGGACAGGCAGGTGCAATCCCAAGTCTCAGGGCCTTGTAGTGAATCAATATTTCTCCAACCATTCAATTCATCGTGTGTGTTCATGCCATTCTTCTCCACACCTGATCTCCAGCCTTCAGTTTGTAGTGCCATGTATTGTTACGTCAACCATCTGCACTTCCACGTCTATAGAAGACATGAAACTGGAAACACCTTGTCTGATCCGTAGCGTCTTACTGAACTCGGTATATGTTTTTGGTTATTCTTGCTAATCTTACGTATATACTTTCCGCGTGAGCTGAAAGGACGCTCTCCCCCCACAACCATCACGCTATGGCGTGAGTTGAAACAAGATAAGCAGTGCATTAACGGCGGGTGGGAGACCCTTTATTGATGATTCCCCGCTCTTCTCTCCATACACTTCATCAGGATACTCCATTGTCCCCACGGATAGATGATAGCGCTTGACTCGCGTGCAGATTTCCCACCGCCATTCTTCGAAAGTTGGAGACGGCGATGTTGCAGGTCTCGGCGAAACACCGGTCAATGATGACATTGGACCGAAATTTGTGGAACTTGTGGGCTTTTGGATCCTCAACATGTGTTTTCAGCTGCGGGAACCTTTAGACGTTACATCGATGCAAATCTTTTCGCCTAGGGTCTCCGACACGTCATACATCAAATAAGGGTCGCGGTGCTGCCGAGCAGCGATTTGCGATAACATTGCACGTCTTATCCGCAGTTTGAAAACAGAAAAGAGAAGGAACGAATTGCCAGACTACTGAACACCTGCAACATCACGCTCACCAACGAACCAAACAAACGAATACTCATAGTTACGACAAAATGAACGGAATTTCGACCCTCAACCTCAACAAGATCATCCGGCCGGGTCTTGAGCGCGCTCCAACATCTATGAATCTCGCCAGGCCGCTCCCAATCCACCGCCTCGAAGGAAAAGTTGCCCTCATCATCGGTGGCGGCGGCAAAATCGGTATCGAAACCGCGGGAAGATTGCTCGTCGAGGGTGCCAATGTAGCGCTGGTGGACATTGACCAGGCATCGCTGGAAGGGGCTGTGCCGGTACTCAAGGCTGCGATTCCGACCGGGGTGCCATTAGAGAGCAGATTGTTGACGATTGCGGCGGACGCTACAATTGAAGCAGATGTCGAGGCCTGTGTCAAGAAGACAATTCAACGATTTGGCAAGTTGGACTGTGCCCTCTTGAACGCTGGGGAGAGAGATGCGTCCAAGAGCCTGTTTGACACGACTGAGGAGGATTACGAGAGAATCATGTCGACGAATGTGAAGTCAGGTGAGTTCTTAGAACGCCTTCGGAAGGGGTTCATGAAGACAAGCTAACATCGCGAAAGCTTTTCTGGGCGTCAAACATACTGCTGCAGCGATGCGCGATGGTAACGCGGGCGGCTCCATTATCCTGCGCTCCTCCATTGCTGGACTCCGAGGCTTTCCTGGGATGATCTCCTACTCAACTTCACGCTTCGCCTTACGTGGTATTGCCTTGACAGCTGCTGAAGAGCTTGGCCAATTTGGTATTCGCGTCAACACCATTCACACAAGCATCATCGCCACGCCAGGATTCAAGGAGGGTTGGAGCAAGGAAAATCTCGCAGAGCTAAAAGAAGACACCGCTTTGGGGCGGTTTGGACAGCCAGATGACGTTGCGAGCGTGGTTGCGTTTTTGGCGAGTGAAGACAGCAAGTTCATGACAGGAGGTCATTTGAAGATTGATGGAGGGTGTGTCAGTGTATGAGTTAATGGCTGTATTAGTATTCGGCTGGTCCGGAATTGCATCGGAGCGTTCGCATGGAAGGAGTTTGGGTAGAGGTTATAAGCATAATTTAGAGTTATAGATTAGAATAGAAGATTGACACGATTTCATCAAAGAATACACGCGAACATAACAAATCGGCCAATGGCTACGGACAAAGTTGGGCTTTTAGTTGACAAGTAGATGACGTCATCATCATCATCGTCGAAGGGTGTAACATAGCATCCCTCGTTGGCCAGGACAAAGCCAGTCTTAATCCCGACGAACCTCGTTATCGAATATTGTGGATCTTGATCAAGAAGGATCCATGTCACTGACGGGTAGCTGCCGGAGACAAGCATTTTGGCCAACGTTGACCAGACGCCATGGACCCGCATGCTGCCGGATGCTGTCATGATAGAACGGTGCTAGTAGCTTTCCAAGATATAAAAGCATCCGTCATTGGCTCATGACGACTACTTCAATACCTCCGACCAGAAATCCCACGGGTCCACAATCGGAATGTCTGAACACGTCCAACACCCAAGATACGCAGACCATAAACCCAAGCAAGATGGCTACGAATACGAAATGGAGGTCTATGATCGTGGTCTCGATTTTGACCGCCCACCGCTCACTTTCCAAGCCAGCAAGTGGGAAGAGCTAGCCTGCGACCGGCTTTCTGCTGACGCAAAGGGTTATGTATACGGGTCTGCGGGTGTCCGTGAGACTACCAACAAGAATAGAGAAGCATTCAAGAAGTGGTCCATTGTCCCGAGGCGGATGGTCAAGACCGAAAAGTTCCCCGATTTGAGCACCACGGTTTTAGGGGAGAAATTGCAGTTCCCAATCGCGATGGCGCCTGTTGGCGTGCTTAAGATTTTCAATCCGGATGGAGAAGTGGCGGTTGCCAAGGCAGCGGCGAAAGAAGCCATACCGTACATCTTGAGTACAGCATCGAGTACCTCAACCGAAGATACTGCTGCCGCAAACGGTCCCGACGGACAGCGGTGGTACCAACTCTACTGGCCTAGCCGCGAGCACGACGACATAACAATCTCGTTACTGCAACGCGCAAAAACATCAGGCTTCACCGTGCTCTTCGTAACGCTCGATACGTACATTCTCGGCTGGCGCCCATCAGACATGGATAACGGTTACAATCCATTTCTTCGCGCAGATCGAACGGGGGTTGAGCTGGGGATGACAGACCCCGTGTTCCGAAAGCATTTCAAAGAACGCCATGGCGTAGAGGTGGAGGAAAAGATCGACAGTGCGGCGCCGGAGTGGATGCGTACTATTTTCCCAAGCTGGAGCAAAGGCTGGGAAGATATCAAGTTCTTGCAAGAACACTGGGATGGTCCAATTGTGCTCAAGGGAATCCAAACTATTGGTGATGCTCAACGCGCCGTTGACGCAGGCGTTCAAGGTATTGTGGTCTCGAACCATGGTGGTCGCCAACAAGACGGCGGGAATAGCTCGCTCGGCATGTTGCCTCACATAGCCGACGCTGTTGGTGACAAACTTGCCATATTCTTTGATAGCGGCATACAAAGTGGCAGTGATATCGCAAAGGCGCTGGCGCTGGGAGCTGGTAAGTGAACATCCCCATAGTACTTGCCCACTTACTTAACATCTACCAGATTGCGTATTGGTTGGCAGACCATATGTTTATGGGCTTGCTTTAGGGGGTGAGCGTGGAGTTGGTCACGTTCTCAAGTCTCTTATGGGCGAGCTAGAGTTGACGTTGCATCTGTCGGGAATTCCAAGTGTAGACAAGAAAGATTTGAACCGCAGTGTGCTGGTGAGGGAGGAAGACCTATTCAACAACGTGAAAGGGATAGCTATTCGATGAGGAATACTTTGTGTTCAGATTGCTTCTCATCTATCGTCAATATCGAATTCACTGTTGATTGATGATCGTCTCACCTCACCTTCATCGCCGCTATCTCACATGCGCAAGCACCAACCCAATATCTCCAGCCTTGTCTCACGCTGCAACTCCCTTTACCAGACTTCTTCACGTCTACCAAGTAGTCCAGTAGACACATTCATACTTGCTCATTTCTAGCTTAGTCCAAGTCATACACCAATCTATTCGTCGAGAGAAAGGACGGCAATATGACTGGAACTGAGACGATCGAATTCAAGGTAACTGGACCTAAGATCTCAGCCAAGCGACAAGCAGACTCTGCAGCCAACCCCACATCATCCAAGAAAGTCAAAATGGCGCACCAGCTCCAGAAGGTAAAGCGAGACATCCAATCCCAACGACGAAAGGCATCAAAGCACTAACATATCTAAGGTGGAAACCCTTCTGGCCATACATCGCCGACCATCTACATTCTCGACTCGCAAGGAACTCGACGATCTGGAAGCCAAGCTTGGCGAAACGCAGCACAAGCTCGTATCTGAACAGTATGACTCCAAGTTATTACTGCAAGCATTCAATATCGAAATTGAATGTCATGAGCGTATAAAGGTAGACCTTATGAAAGCCAAGAGAACAAACGCGGAGATTTGGAGGGACCTTGATTCGAAGGCCGACGAATGCACGAATCTGATCTCGGAATTAGCTTCTATGCACTGTCAGCTTGGGGACGCGAAAGCAAGTACGGAAAGCTACGAGGTAGCCGCTCTCGATGCCAAATTTGATGTCATGCTCGAAAAGAAGAGACGTAGACGCTGGCAGAATCGCGCTCAAGTACTGTACTCGATGTTGGTACAGGAGGTGGAGCACAGATACGAGGAGGGTAGTGAAGGCCTGGACGAAATCAAGAGCAGTCTGGCTGAGACGTTTGGGCTGCCTTTGGCGCCAGGACAAGCTGAGGTATACAGTGATGAAGATACTGACGAGGATAACGAGGGTGAGGACGAAGAATGTCGAGAGAGTGACTAAGGCATAAAGACTGGCCACCAGAGTACATGTGTCGTTATTGTCAAGATCAACGCCAGGGAACAAATGGGTATCTTCCTAAATAATATCCCGCTCTCTGTCATTACGGCAACTATTAAACCTTTAACAGCATGCGGACTGTCGGAATAAAGCCTTCACTGTCCTTCTCCTGTTGGTCAAAATCTTGTTTGAAAGCCGCTAGTCCCGCGAGAATTCCACACACCATGAAGGCGAGTGAAATCAACGACCAGATGAGTCCCCAACACTGTGATGAACCACCATACCGCTTCGCAAACACACTGGCATCCGAGGAATTTACTTTGCGTAGAATGAGATCGTCGCAGATATCCCAGACGCTATAAAGTGAGGACATGACGCCAATAAAGAGCTGTGACACCGTTAGCAGTAAGTACAAGAATCGGGAAGAGGAAACCTTACAACATAAAATCTCAACGCCTCTCCATGTTCAATGAACCAAAACGCAACCAACATCCCCACACTCAATAGAATCGTCACAATCGTTAACCAATCCTTCCTTGCCCACCACAACGTAAGCAAGAAGCACACCCCGAGAACAATAGATGCCACTTTGCTCGCAACAATATTGAAGCCACAAAACGTTAACAGCGCACCAAAGATCGATGATCCCAAATATCCCGCGGGTAATGTTAGGAACTGCTTTCCACCGCGCATGTGCGTCACGCCACCCTCATGTGGGTCGAGAGAGATGGACTCCACGCGGCCCCCGGTGCAACATGCGGTTATCGCGTGGCCGAATTCATGAAAGGCTATCACGAGCATCTATGGGTTTAGGTCAGGTGATGGCGAGGCTTGCCGAGGAATATCACGTACTTTGAACGGCCATAACACCCATCGCACGTACGGCAAGTTCCAGAGCAGCGCGATGATGACTACATATGCGCCGATGATGCCGAGTGTGACGGCCTGCGTGTGGTTTACAGACAGTCCGCGTCGCTCGAAGTGGTGTGCGAGTATGGGTGTTGACGTGAGGAGACTGCGGCGCGCTAATTTGGCTAGGGTCGTGTGTGTTACGGGAGGCATGTTGTTGCTGTGTCACTGCGTAAGTGAGTGTATCGTGGGATTTAACAGATATCTTTGGAAAGAATCAACAGCGCAGGCTCGACCTTTGAATCGACGTGTTACGCGTTGCACACAGGCGTGACGTTGCACGTTGCGCCTCCCTTTGCTAAAATTAGAGTGGCTGTGCACGCTGTACTCGGCGCGTCTTCGGATACCGGATGTAAAACAGTAGTTAGTCTTTCACGCTTGCGAAAACGCAAATAACATGTATATAAAGATGGAAAGAAGGCAGTACTAAAAAATGAGCTTGAGTATGTTGTTGTTGACGAGAGGATTGCAAAACACATGTAGACATCAGGTCCACCCATACTAGAAGCACAAGATGGTATCAGAGTTCATCAACAAAACAGCAAAATGGATGAGGAAGAATTATATGAGCACCACGAATGACGAAAGTGATGAGATTGACCAAGTATTTGTGCCTAACCAAATTCTAGTGTCGCATGCTTGGACCTCGGGTCCATACAGCCACATGTTGAAGTTCAACACTCAATCACACACGACTTCAGACCCGCTTGGAATTCTTATCACTGCCATAGGCTCTTAGGAGACACCGGAGGAGAATGTTCGATCTCTTTAGGTTGTCCTAGCTGGTGACTCACGACCATGCCTTGCTATCCACGACATCACCTTCGACTTTCTCTGGACTGCAATCGTCGATAGGTTTTAGATAAATGCCGATGAGAACAACGTCGTGATGGGGTATCCAAACTCATTATCTGATATATTGTTCCTATCGTCGACCCTCTTGTCCTACTTGTTATGGCCACAAATATGTCCAATGAATGTTGGGGTCCCTCCCTCTGCGGACAAAAAGCACATGAATGACGAGAAGGTATAGTTGTTCAAGAAATCGTCAAAGTAAGATTATATACTAGTACGCCATCATTTGCTGCCGACCTGAAGATCGGATGAGGACGTCTGATACTCTATATGCATATTTGTGAATAACACGGCTTTCTCGGTTCAAACAGCAGACCTGTTCAAACCCTCCTCTCATCACCGATAGTCTCGCGGTGCATCGACATGTTGCGATTCGGAGAATTCTCGTCCTTGTCATCGTATTTCTCGTCGACTGACTTGGGTCCGCCTGCGGCATTTGTACCAGAGCCCTCGTCCAAGATGGACGGGCGACGATGCCAGTAGGCCTCGTCACGCTCGTTGCGGCTAATATAACCCGGTGGGACCCACTTCTTGCTAGAGAGAGCGGTGAGAGTAGTGTCGGAGTACATCATGTCGACGTTCTCAAGTGACAAAGATTTCGTCTCGAAGAGGAAGAAGTAGGCGACGGCTGCAGCTACGAAATTGCAGCCGAAGAAAACAAAGCCGTAGGCGTATCCCATACCGTCATTGGCGTAGGGAGTGAGGAAACCAATCAGGAAGTTACCTGACGCTGTAAGCAAGGACAAATGCAGTTTTAGGAAGAGAGAACACTTACCAAGCCAGTTGAAAGCTGTCGCAAGCGATGCCTGCTTGGCACGAGTTCGTAGAGGGAAAGTCTCACCAATGACTACCCATATATATGGGCCCCATGTCATGGCAAAAGATGCAATGAACATGCAGGCACAGACAATCATGACAATTCCAGAGCTGGGATGCTCTGTTGGGGGGCGAACAATACCAATTATGGCAAAGACAAGTAGCCAGCCCGCTTGCCAAAGGCCACCTATGACTAATGGAACTCGACGACCGACACGTTCAACGAGGTAAAGGCCTGGCAGCGTCATGGCCACATTGACAGCACCGAGAATAAGCTGCATCTGAATGGGGTCTTCGATACCGGCAGACGAGAAGATAGTTGCACCATACTGCGTGTCGAGTTAGTGAAATGATAGGTTGTTTGCATATAATGCACTCACGTAGAAAAAGTAGTTGACGCCGGTCCACTGCTGAAGAAATTGCAGTGCGCAGCCGAGCACGGTACGGTAAACGATACGAGCAAGTCCAGAGGAACCGGTGAAAATCTCCGCCCAGGTGCTATCCCCAGCCTTGGACTGCTCTGCGATGCTATCCTGCATCTCCTTGAAATCATCGTTGACGAGTGTGTTGGTGGGGTCGTCTTTCAGACCTCGCAGACGAGCCAACGCCATCCGGGCGTCTTCCCAGCGACCGCGTCCAGCCAACCAGCGAGGAGATTCAGGAGAGAAGAGAATGCCGATGCCCAATGGTAGAGAAAAGCCGATTCCTAGACCGATGACGATTCTCCAACTAGCGTCAGAATCTTGTCCAGGGTTGTCGCGGACGCCGAAGTTGATACCGTTCGACACGAGAATTCCGATAGTGATCATGAGTTGGTAGGAGGCTACGACTGCGCCACGAATTTCTCGCGGGCAGCACTCAGACTGGAACATGGGAACTCCGATAGAGAGATTGCCTACGCCGAGTCCAGCAACGATACGGCCAACCATGAGATGGACCCAAGAGTTCATGGCCGTGATCTGAATGATGTTTCCGATGACAAATATCAATACACCAAAGGACAAACTGCGACGTCGTCCCCACCAATCTGCAGTGTAGGCACCGCTCAGTGCACCAACAAGTGTTCCAAGACTCATGGTAGACACAACGAGCGACTGGATGGTGCTATCCCAGCCCATCTGTGGTTTGATGTTAGCAATAATACCCCTGGCCACAAAGAGTAGTTGAACCTACTGTACCATCCGCCTGCCTCTGCCCGAATCGGTTGATGAAGTCTCTGAAGAGAAGCATAGACGAGATTTGACCAGTAGAATCGAGTAAAGTTAGCTCTGATAGTTCTACTCTCCATATACAGCAGGGTTACTTATGTGTCATAGCCAAACAAAAACCTTATTGATATTAGCTACGTCCTCATGGATGAGTAGGGTTGTATATGGGTAGTCTTACCCGCCAATAGAGGTTACGCATCCCAACATTATCGCCTCGATACCACAGTCGGCACCCCTTATACGAACAGACCTACATCTAGTCAGTACAGATCATGATTGTGTATTGTGGTGATTTTGCGTGGTCGTAGTCATGTGTTGTGGTGTTGGTCATTGATCGGGATGTTGTGGTGGTACTCACATCTTGCCCAAACCCATGATTACAACGGTAACAACTAGAAAAATTTGGAGAAGTTCGAAGCGATCCCTCGCAGCTGGTGTTTGTTATCAAATCAAGACACCCTTGGGTATTTATGAGAACCATGTTGATCAGTCCTCTCGCATGCGTAATGCCCAGTAGGACGCCCAGCACTCGTTTCAGGGTTCTACGTCATTCAAGCCACGCCGCCCGTCGGGAATGCATGCTCAAGATAGTAAGTTTCTTGGCCAGCTGTCAGCAGCAGATTGTAGCCAACGGCTATCGTCTATATGTCCGAAATTGCCGTAGTGCGTCTTGTCTCGGTGGCACGAGCCGGTAGCTTCCAGATGAAAGTTGTGGGGAAGCATGTCGCATTCGATCGGACAACACCACAGCCTCCAGCATCTACGGGGTTCCGATGATAGCCCACCTCCAGAGACTCACATATCGGACCGCATCGCACGTACCACCTGACCAAGCCGCCTATGACGATCTCACGCAGCGATGTGGGAGCATGTAGCTGCAAGATTTGAGATACCCCGCATCCCCAGGTCAGCGCCTTTGTGCCACGGCGTCAAGAAAAGAAAAACCCTTGGTGTTGTCGCGTGACGGACCCCCAGAGTCCGATGCTCGATGCATTTCCGGATGCAAGATCGTTGACACTACGGGCGAACGTCGGTGGTCACGCTCTAGTGACTTCTTGGAGGCTCCGGGTGGGGTTAGAGACTAGAAACTATCTCCACTCCTACTTATTACGGCCGTGCTCTCGTCAGCATCCTGAATCATGCCGTATGCAGTCCATGTTACATCTTGATTTTTCAGGGACAATTCCGGCTCTTTAGGTGTGTGCACGTTCCGTTTCGTTTCCCAGTTCCTCCTTTGAGTTGATCTTCTGACGACAAGAATACGGAAGTAACCTCTTGGATCGGCAATTCAACAACGACAAGCTCGTAAGACGTCTTGGCACAAACACCCAAGAAGTTCCACCCTTGTTCTACGGACCAAACGCGCTCTAGGAGGTATCGAAGAAAAACGTTCGCCGACGTTTTTCGCTTGAGTTATCGACTTCCCCTCGAACGCATAGTGGGTCAGAGGGACGATGGGGAAACGTTGGAGTAAGTGGGAAGAGAACAGCGGGGTGATTAACAGTGGAGAACCGCGAAAAGTCGGAGAGTCTGACCACGCTCGTGGGGCTCCAGCGAATCTCCCATGCCTGGCGTGGGGCTCCAACAAATGGCCCACAATTCTGAAATGAAGGAAAAAAGTGGAGGAAGCCAGAGTGGAGAGTGAGTTATTGTTACAATGTTGCCTACCATATTGCGGGTAGCTCTCCGCTTCTCCAACCTGATGGCTGTGGGGGACCCACTGAATCTCTATATCTACCTATGTTTCTCCAGATTTACCACCATAGCTGCCCTGCTCGAGGTCATGCATAGCTATGCTGTTGGGTATGCTATTTGTAAAAAAGAAAAGCATCGCATTCTCCAACGTCTACTTCGCGAGTCTCCATACCAGACTAGTCCTCCTGGATGTGTATCCTCATACCAATTGCATAAAGCTAGAAAGTTTTACCCGTTCTCAAGGGTAGGTTTTCGAGAGACACTTGTAACAGCTTATCGACCTGTTGGCTTCGTAGCTTCAGGTTGGCGTATTCCAAATGTTGAGTGCGCAAAGAGTTCAAGGTGAGTGAAAGGAAACAATTACTACCAGGAGTTGGTTCAAAATTGAAGTTTCTATCGCAACAAGTAAGCTTGAGATATAGAAGCCCGATCAAAATTTCGATTGTATATGCCGCTTTTGTTAACTCTATTTTGTTTTCCCTTTCTTCATCTATCGTCCTTGACTTTTGTATGTCATCGTCCAACATCCGTCATCATACATTGTCATCCACGTCGCAGCCAAATCAAATCACGAGCCATTTCACTTATACATGCACTTCCCCCGATCACGCATCAAGAAGGCAATGGTAAAGTTACTGATCTCTTTCTGCGAAGTAATGATAGTGTTGAACTTTTGGCAGGCACATTATGTTTGATTGATACAGAAGCTGGTAACCGACGCAGGCATTCTTAGTAATGTATTCTGGTTTGGTAACGAGGATTTCGATTTCACTAGAGATGACTTGTGTAAGAGATTGGCAAAGGGTACTCCCTTTTCTCAGACAAACGGTCTACGTCAATTAGCCTATTTGCCCTCACGCGATAGCATAACCGTTTGACAGTACTCCTAACGCTCCATCACACATACGCTCAACCTATCTCACCTTACTTTTCCCACCTCACCCACCTCACTTCACGTCAGGCTTATTCGATCCATCGTCGTGCCCCCAAAAATGGTAGCATCTCTTACTTCACGTCATCTAACATGACTGTTGAACCCTCCCTTTGCAGTCATGCCGCCGACAAGCAATCTGAGCTGAGCTCACGAGGCGCTCTCCAAAAAAGCGTTAGCCCACTTCCATGCGCATGAGGCGGAAGAAGCGAACATGCCAAACTCGCCGTGGAAGGGTGCAGGAACATGTTCTCAGGACCTTATGATAAACAATGCATAGAGAATCAAAATAGACTCCTCGCGTATGCGGAGGAGGTACTTGCTGAGGCTGAAGCAGACACGCTTCGCTACCGTGCAAACGATGCAATAGAGGATTAGGGCTACGAGATGGAAGAAGCGGACGGTGACGATGACGAAGTAGGATAACGCGGATACGACGACGATGGCGACATGGAGGAAGATCTAAAGATTCTTGGCGTCACCGAATTCAACTTTGAGTCAGATGGTGACGCTAGTGCTAAGGGGCCTGGTGCTGAGGAAGACGCTGGTACTCAGACTACAGTACTACCTTCCCTACTCTCTGCCCCACTTGCAGCCAAGAACAGTTGAGGTATATTCACTCCATCTACGTCTGTACGCCCCTCCCGGCGCCCAACCACCGAGGACGAGCATGGCAGGAGTCACTCCGGAGTCTAGAGCCGTTGTGGAGTCTGGAGTTGTTGCGAAGTCTGGAATCGTTATGGAGTACTTGAAATCTTGATATCTTCTTCCAGCGAGTATATAGAGACCGCTATTGACGTTAAAACATCACAGCTCTACCAATATTCTGTCACTTACGATCAAACATGGATCAGTGACATAGACTTCAAAAGCTAGGAGCTCGCTTTCATGTCGTCCTTGATCGACGAACTCATCTTGTATAGACCTAGATCCTCATATGCACCTGATCAGGCTACTGCAGAACAGAACGCGGCGTAATGTTGGAGATACAAAACTGGCTGTAGGTTTAGTTTGGACAAACATGAACATTTGATTCAGGTTATCTGAGCAGGTTCTTGCAACAGCTTGACAACTATATATACGACCATATAGAAGTCATGTGCCTGACTTCATAGCGGTACACACTTTTGTAAATTCTATCGTTGTGGTTTCGCTACTTTTATCTCAAGGTAATGGTACGAGAGATCCGCGCTCCCTGTATACCTCGCTATCGGGATAGACAGCATACAACACGACGAAGCCATAGATGACATTGACATCTTTGAAAACCCGAGCACCACTGCTTGGACACTGCTTGGGTACTTGAAAGCTGTATAACAATGTACACTTTGTATTTTGCGACGCTATACTATATTTGGAACCTACGGCGTTCCATGTTGACGTATCCTAGGGACTAGAAAGGTTGGCGTAGTTATTACCCTTTCTGTGCTTTTTCGAGTTGATCTGTCCTTCTCTAGTTCGACCGCTCTCTGAAAATAGCCTAGCCTTTGTGTCTGCCTTTTGTCTCCAGATTTGACACGGTGGCTACTCTGGATCGAGGCAGTGCGTAGTTATAACCTCGTGTATGCTATTTGTGAAGAAGATCTCTGGACTGGAATGTTGAACAAAATGTGCAGTATGTAAATATGAGTTCCACGCTGTTAGAAAGAACTGGCTTCTGGAAATCACAATTGCGAGAAAGTTTGAGTATCTGGAGGAGATAAATTAAACTAGTCACTAGTTCTTACTTGCAGCCCTACATGCGTGTGAATGATGCTATTATCGATAATTGCATAGTGCATGAACGTTATTTGAGATTGCACATATGCGAGTGTCGAATAGGAGTATGAGAAGGGGTCAAACATGATTCTGTAGGGAGCACGCGCACTCGAGTCTCAGCCTGCTCAGCACCTGATGATCAAATCTGTCATCGCAGGGAATGCCGTCTTGAGTACAACTCCGTACTTGCATTTACCCCTGCTGTCGCGAGACTAGGACGATCGGACCTGCGCCTCGTGCATCCAAGTGGTCACAGCCTTGTCTGATTCGGTGCTAGCGTAGTGCGGAGTACATCTCAGAATTCGCACCAGTCTGACCCACGCAGGCCGCTCGCGCCGAGGCCTTATAACTTCACTTACTCTACAGCAACATGACCCACTACCATGGAACAGCCAGCTCAAAAAAGAGTCTCGAAGGCTTGCGACGCGTGCAAGCGCCGTAAGGTCAAGTGTAACGGCCAGGATCGCTGCCAGCAGTGCAGCCATCTTGGTCTGAGATGCGTTTACTCGCCTACGGGTAAACAGAGGGCACAAGGCAAGAGAGGTCATGTCATCTCGCAGTTCAAAAGTCACACCACCACAAATGCTACCTCACCGCCTATTCTGCCAGCCATCTCCGTACAGCAAGGCTTTCCATCACCATATGGTGATGTCACTCAGTCAATCGAGCGCAATGGGAGCGATATCTGTACGTACGGACCGTGTAAAGGGTGTAGCAAAGACGTAATCTTGAGATGGAAAACTGAAGCTGACGAGATCCAGCATCTCCTTTGTCACCTTCCTTACCACAGTACAGCAAAGCATTCTTCCTGGACCTTGTTCCGGACTATATGGGTGGAGTGTACCCCGTCCAGCCTGTCATTGCGGAACATGAACTTCGGCACTATATCCAAAGCATGGACACGGATCGAGAAGTACGCTCGTTTATCTACGCTTTTGGTGGTTGCACGCTCAACTTGACACGGTATGGCGACAGAAGAACTGCAGAAGTGGTTCAGACTATCGAGCAGCTCATGGACTATTCGATCGAAAGCATGAGACCTACTTACAAACACTTCCATTCGTCTGTCATGAGAGCCATGCAATCCATATTCATACATAACTGCCTCATGAGTCTGCAAGGCAACGATTCCGCTTTCTACTATATGAGGGACGCCATTTCCGTCATTCAGTTACTCCGGATCGACAATCCTGAACACATGGCGAGTCTATCGCCCCCTGAAAGGTCGAGAAGACAGAGATTGTATTGGCAAGCTTACATTCAAGAGCGCTTCATCGCCATCTTGGACTACCGACATGCAATACTACCACCACTATACACCCTACCCGAGGACGATCCCACCCTCCCCTTACAGGTCCACGATGGTTTCAACCAAATCATCAAGCTATTCAGACTCCTGGACACGGAGTTTCTAAACAGCTGGCTCGGCGCCCAAGACGGCAGCGTAACCAGCGTAACCAGCACCTGGGTAGAAGCCAAATCGCGCGAACTAGAAGGCGACCCAGAAACCGACCAACGCGAGCTAGCCAGCCTATCCATGATGCAGCGCGCCGACCTAATCATCACACGGGAATGGCTCCGCACTCTCGTCTGGCGCCTAGCAATGGGCCGCTCCCTCCTCTCTTCCCGCTCCTCAAAAGAATGCCTCTCCCTCCTCTTCCCCGTGCGCCTCTCCCAAACCCTACGCCAACAGGTCTCCTCCATGTCCCGCGAAGACCTCGAAGTCCACGGCAGCAGCATCACGCAGAAGCTCTTCGAAATCACAGACACCATCGCAGACGTCCTGATCCACGTGCCCGCCGCCACGCTCGAAGAAACAGCCCTCCGCATAGACGACTTCCTCTTCGTCCTCGACTTCGTGCTACTCTTCCCGCAGCTGGACCAGACGCGGCGCGGCATCCTGCTGGAGAAACTAGAGCGGCTGCAGACTATGTTCCCCGAGGCCGTGAGCAATGCTAGCTCGCCTAGTTTTCCGCCCGATCTGAGGAGCCCCGGCGTGTACGATCCCTGGCTGCAGGTTGCGCAGTCGAAGACGGCGGCGGGGCTGGAGGGGCTGGCGGATGGGGTGGGGCGCGGCGGCGGGGTCCCGAAGTTGGAGGCGAGGGTTGCGCTGCAGACTACGTGGAATAATATCTCGCAGCGGTTGTCGATGGCGACGTTTGGGGCTGAGGCGGGGTGAGGGGGGTGGTATATCAATTTGTCGGTTTGTTTCTACTCTTTGATTTTGTTTGTTCGGGTTGAGGGAAGCGGGTGGAGTATAGGGGGTAGTACTGTAAACATGGATGCACTTGAAAGGGACTAGGGGTTGTATCTGAGTACACAACAAGGCAAATAAGCAGCAGATGAACATGTATACAAGACCCGCAACAACCCAGCCCACAACACCAGATAACGCGGTGGAAAGCAAACACCCACCCAACCATCTATCCATCCATACAATAACCTACACATAACAAGTCCCTAACCGAAAAAGAAAGCAAGACATATACACACGAACCCCTAACCTTTTACCCTCCCATTCCCCACACATATGCGTACCCTTACTTCACCGCCTGCGCACTAACATGTTCAACATGCGCCGACGCACGCTTCTTCTCGCCAAACTCGCTCTCCGTGTCGCTGACGTGCAGGGGCTCGACGACGGTAGTGGCGAACTGGCGGGCGGGCACGCGCTTCTCGAACAGCATGTCCAGTTCGCCGTAGGTTCTGCCTTTTGCTTCGGGGAGGCGGAACAGCGCCCAGATGTAGCAGCAGAGGCAGGTGCCGGCGTAGAAGAAGCCGGTTTTTGCGCCCCAGTTCTGTTGGGGTGTTTGTTAGTTATGCTATGTTGTTTTTGTGGGAAGGGGTGTGGATGTGGAGGGACTTACCCAAGCACCTGGGTTCAGCATGCGGGGCGTGAGGACGTTGCTGACGACCATGGAGAGGTTGTAGAAGTTACGTGCGAGGACGACGGTTTTCTGCCGGAGACGGGTTGAGGGGATCTCCGCGACGATGGCGTAGCAGACGGGGCCGACGGTGATGTTGTAGGTGCAAGCGAAGACGAGGAGGAGAGCGCCGATGCCCCACTGTGCGCCGACGTTGCCCTTGGGGATGACGCCCATGCCGCCGATGACGAGCAGGACGATGATCATGCCGACGTCGCCCCAGAGGTAGAGGGTTCGGCGTCCGACGCGGGGGATGAGCGCCCAGGCGACGAAGACGCCGATGGCGCCGATGCCGTACTGGCCTAGGCTCATGCTGAACGAGTTGGATACGCTGAGCCCGGCTTGCTGGAAGAAGTATGTTGAGTAGCCGATGAGGGCGGCGCCGCAGAAGGCCTGGGTGAACCACGTCATGGCTGCGATCTCTGTGCGGCGGAAATCCGTGCCCCGGAAGCAGTCGAGGTACGAGGTGCCTGCGGAGACAGCTTTTTCGAGTTCGTTGGTGTGGCGCATCATGGCGATAGTTTCGTCTGCGTTGAAGTCGGGGTTTTTGCCGGCGGTGGTCAGGCGCATGAGCATCTTCTTTGCGTCGTCGTCGCGGTCCTGGCGGACGAGCCACCAGGGCGACTCAGGGGCGAAGATGATGCCGATGATGAGGGGGGTGGGCCAGAGCCACTGCAGCGCGTACGGGATGCGGTAGGCCCACTGGTCGGGCCGCTCCGCAACGCCCTTTAGCACGCCAGATGCGAGGAACTGGCCAATGACCCAGCAGAGATTGACGTAGGTGGTTAGGATGGGTCTGAGCGGGACGGGAACGACCTCGGCGGCATAAGTCGTGGTGAGGGTCTGGAAGACGCCCCATGGGATACCGCACAGGATCAGACCACACAGCAGCATGACGATGTTCTGCGCGAAGAAGACGATGAAGATGATGCAGTTGACGGCCGCCAGGGCTCCGATCATCGTCTTCCTGTATCCGAACTTCTCGGCAATGATGCCGTTGAGCAGGAGGCCGCAGAACTCGCCGCAAAAGGCGCCGTTGGATAGTCCGGCTTGCCAGGCGGCGCTGACTTCGTAGCTTCCATCGGCAAGTTGGGAGCCGAATCGCTCCTTGAATGCAGGGACGGCGTAGAGACTGTTGATGAGGACCTTATCGAAGCCTTCCATGATGATGGCGGCGGAGAGGAAGGCGGACCATGCGACGGCTTTGGGGTACAGTCTGATACCCTGGAGCAGAGTCATGTTGCGCTCCGACTCGGAGGCCTTGTTGGCATCGTGAGTGAGACCCTTGAGGTCGGGGACAGCGATGGAGAGACGACGCTCATGGTCTGCGTCGACGGCGACGACAGCGCTGTTGCGGCGAGACATGTTGGTGATGGTGTTGTTTGTTGTCGTACTCAACCGAGTTTGGTGGCGAGTATGTCTAAACCAATAATAAAAGGATGAATACACGCGAGATGCACTGAAGATCTCGCGGCCTGGCTTGCTCTTGAACCGTGGAACTGGGAACTCGGAGCTCGATGGATGGTGATCAGGTTGGTTGCTTCCCCAGCTTCTACTTATACAACCCCCTACTCTTGAGCACGCGGAGTCGGAGTTTTATGCCCAAGCACCTGCCAAGTGTGGAAAGGCCAATAGTGGAGTGAGGGGATTCACGCGACAGAGTATTATATCGGAGGTTTGTGGTGGTGTGAACGCGACGGACCCCATATTTCCAATAGGGCATTGCATCTGGGGGTCTAGTCTGGGGAAAAAGTAGCGTTCGAAGGCGGGCGGAAGCAATCTCGGATAGATTGCTACAGGCGTTCGATTTGCTAGAACACGGACCGGCGTTAAAAAAGGGTGTCGACTAACTCTAAAAATGGCTGCTCACGTGAAGTAAACTCTGTTAGTTGCTCGGAGAACGAAACGTTCACCGGCCGTGTTTCGTGTTTGATTCGTTCGACGTCGGACCTGTTGCTGGGTTCTCCAACTCTCGGCTGCTTCCTCGTTAGCTTGTTGGCGGGGTGCAGCCATGCTTCTACCCCATGGGAAAGATGCTTCTTACCCCGTCTTGTCGTCACGACATCTTCTCCGTGCGGGCCGGCATGTGGCCAATGACGAGGCAGAAACGCCGCTCCCCCGACATCGATACATGTCAACCCATGCCATGTCGGTTCGCATGCAGAGCCTGTCGATCACTTGTCGGAGATCACGCTGAGGTATAAGAAAGCTGCAGCTCGCAAGTCGTCGCAAAAAACAGCCTCATTATACTGAAACTCCCCCCCACTCCCCCTCTTGTCAGACTCGTCATCTCCCCAATCTCACTTTCCACCCCAAACATGACGGGCCCCGCGAGACCGTGGTGGAAAGACGGCGTCGTGTACCAGATCTACCCCGCCAGCTTCAAGGACTCGAACGGTGACGGCATAGGCGACCTAAACGGCATCATCTCCGAGCTCGACTACATCCACTCCATTGGCGTCAATGTCGTCTGGGTGTGTCCCATGTACGATTCGCCGCAGGTGGACATGGGCTATGACATCCGCGACTACGAAAGCGTGTACGCCCCGTACGGCACCGTGCAGGACATGGAGCGGCTGATTGCCGAGACTCACGCACGGGGGATGAAGCTGGTGCTTGATCTTGTTGTCAATCACACGTCTGACCAGGTATGCCCTGCCCCGCCTTGAACTAGTCACCCCGCGTCTAAAGTGACATACATGCATGCAATCAATGAATGAATGAATGAGAGCTAACACCCCCCGCCACAGCACGCATGGTTCCAAGAATCGCGCTCCTCAAAAGACAACCCAAAGCGCGACTGGTACATCTGGCGGCCCGCACGCTACGTCGACGGCCAGCGCAAGCCGCCCAACAACTGGGTCAGCAACTTCCTCGGCAGCGTCTGGCAATGGGACGACACCACGGAAGAGTACTACCTGCACCTGTTCTGCCCGGAGCAGCCAGACCTGAACTGGGAGAACCCGGAGACGCGCCAGGCCATCTACAAGTCGGCCATGGAGTTTTGGCTGCAGCGCGGCGTCGATGGCTTCCGTGTCGATACGGTGAATATGTACAGCAAGGGCGATATGCGCGATGCGCCTATTACGGATCCTGGGTCCGAATGGCAGCCTGCTGGCCTGCAGTACTGCAATGGTCCGCGCATGGCGGAGTTTCTGGCCGAGATGAACGAGGTGCTAGCGAAGTACGATGCGATGACGGTAGGCGAGTGTCCGCACACGCCGGATATGAAGCGCGTGATGCAGTATGTCAGCGCGCGGGAGAAGCAACTGAACATGGTGTTTCAATTTGTACGTTCCCCCCCATCCCCTCCCTTACACCCAACATCCCACATACTAACAACCCCCAAGGATGTAGTCGACATCGGCCAAGGCCCCTACAAGTTCCAAACCACGCCCAGAAACTACACGCTCCCGGACTTCAAAGCCGCCATCACCCGCACGCAGGACCTGATCCGCGCGCCCTCAGACGGCTGGACCACCGTCTTCCTCGAAAACCACGACCAATCCCGCTCCATAACACGCTTCACCTCGGACCTACCGCAGCACCGGATCCCCGGCGGCAAGATGCTCAGCCTGATGATGTGCGCACTAAGCGGCACGCTCTTCATCTACCAGGGGCAGGAACTCGGCATGACAAACTTCCCGGACACATGGGACATGAGCGAGTTCAAAGACGTAGATTCAAGCAACTACTACAAGATGGTCGCGCGGCGCACAAACAACGACCCCGCGGCCCTGAAAGCCGCATATGCGTCGCTGCAGCACCTCGCGCGCGACCACGCCCGCGTACCCATGAGCTGGTCCACAGCGCCGTACAACGGCTTCTCGCCCCCCGACGCGACGGCAAAGCCGTGGATGCGTCCGCTCGACGACGCGGATGTGTGCAACGCGGCGCAGCAGCAGGGCGACAAGGACTCGGTGCTCGCGTTCTGGAAGCGCATGCTCGCGCTGCGCAAGCAGTATAATGATCTGCTCGTGCACGGGCAGTACGACGATTTGAACGTGGGGAATCGCGACTTCTTCGTGTTTAGCAAGACGTGGGAGGGGCAGAGGGCGCTGGTTGTTTGTAATTTTACTGATGGGGAGAAGGCGTTGGTGTTGCCGCAGCAGATTGCGGGGGCGAAGAGGGAGCTGCTGGTTAGTAGTGTGGATGGGCCGGTTGAGGAGCGGTTGGCGGCGTTTGAGGGGCGGGTGTATTTGCTAGCTTAGGGGGGATTTGTATAGACCATGGATGATGCATGTGGAGAGGCGTTTGGGGGGGTATGAATTGACGAATCATGATTTGGTTGAGATGGACCGAAGGAAAGACTAGGCATAGAAATGAAACCAAAGAGGGAAAGATAAACAATTTTTATTCAGCATGTACATTACCAACTTTTTCTGCATGGATCATCCATCACTCATCACAGTTCGTCAATTTCGTTTGTGTCGTCGTCATCAATGCCATCCGTGGGGTACTTCCCATACCAGTCCTTTGGGTTCCCACTGGGCATACACAGACCAAGTCGCCAGAAGTAGTCTCGATGCGCGAAGAACAGCTGCCAGAACTTGAACCGAGTGGGCACGCCCCATGCAGGACGTGCTGCGTCGCTACCGGCAATACAATGCGGGTCTTCCTCGCCGTCACAGTGTCGAACATCAGCGATTGAGAACGGGAGGTCAGGCTCAGATATGAAGATCTCCTCACTGTGCATGGAGAAGCCCCATTCAGCCAGCGGCAACAGGGGGACTGGATCGCCTGCGTGGGTGACGCGGTGGAACTTGTTGTGCTCGTGGTCGGCTGTGATGTTGAAGCGCTGGTCCATGTAGGCGTTCAGTTCCTTGTTGCCGAGCCTGGGTTCACCAAAGGTGGTCACATGGGGGTTCCACCCGCGTGCCTTGAAGTCGAGACCGGCGAGGGCTGCAACAGCGCCGCCCAGAGAGTGTCCGACCAGCACCAGCTTGTAGTCTGGGTGCTTGTCCAAAGCGGCTGTGACGTGCGGGAGTATCACTTTGCGCGTGTGCAGCCACGACGAGTAGAAGCCCATGTGCACGGTGCAGTTGTCGCATTTGGGCGGATCGGCAGGTGGAGGGTCGTCTTCTGACGATTCGAGTTGGACTCTCGGGGCCAGAAAGTCTGAGCTGGCCTGGTCGTCATCGTCGTCACCGGGATAGGGCACGTAGGCCTGGGGGATGGTGGACAGGTCGGCGATTGTGTTCGCGATGGAGTAGGTGCCGCGAAAGGCGAGGATGATGCGCGGGTTGGCGGGCGAGTGCGAGAGGGCGATGTAGCCGCACGAGTCGGACAGGAAGGGCCCGGTGTTCCACGCCTAGGGAGTCAGTACGGAGCCGTGTGCTCGGCGCATGGCAGCTGCAGCGGCTCACCTCGACCAGCTCGAAGCCCTCAAAGTCGCGGTCGGCACAGTGGCTCGCGCATTGGAAGGGCTTCTGGATGCCCAGGCCCGCAGTGCCCACGCAGTAGGCTATGTCGACGATGCGCGCGAGTTCTTCGAGCTCCCAGAACAGCTGCTGCGACACCAGGCTGCTATTGCCGGCGCGACTGCCAGAAGCAGAGGCGACGAGCACCAGGCATGAAAAGAGCAGGCCGAGGAAGGTGGCCATGGGTGGTGTGTATTACATGTTCCGCAGCAGCAAGCGTGGCGCGACGATGTTCACGTCGAGAGTCGGTGAGGTCAGGGCGCGCTTGTGGCACACGGTCGAGTGTCAGGTGGTGTCGGAGCGTGTAGCGGCCAGGGTGGGGATTAATTGGCTTGGTAGGCTCGGCGCCAGAGGGTAGTGTGAGGGATTGATTCGTGGCGTTGTATGCTCGGCAGTACGTCATAGCAGTGCGTGCATCCTGCGCGATGAGACGTGCACCCGGCCTGCCCTTTGTATCTCTCCATTCCCCAAACTCGTCTCCAAGACACCACCGTCCGCTAGCACCGCGACAAGGAACGCGAAGACCACGAACCCTTTTTCCCCAGCCGTAGCAACTGCTTGGTGCTGTCTTCCATCACTAGCACGCCATGGCCACTCAGCACTCGTCGACAGAGCCGCTGAGGTCGGTCTCGCCCGTCGAGCTCTTGCGCCCTGCCACGGCGCATACCCACGAATCCAACACGCTCAACGTCCCGGGCATCAACATCGACGGTGCCTCCGACGACGACGAGCGACAGCCACGGAGCACCACGCAAGCCGCCATTCCCAGCGCGACCGCCAGCCGCGCAGTCTCTCCCAATGCCCAAGCCACCTATCCTCACGCCATCTATCCTCACACCCAGGTCACCTACGATGACCCCGACTTCAGGCGCCCGCCGCCACTCAAGTACTCGTTGCGAATCCGAAAGAAGGCCATCGTCTACTTCTGGTGTCTGATTGTCGTCGATTGCATCTTGATGCCCATTGGCATGTACTTTGGCCTATGGTACGGCCTGTCCAGAGACCAGCTGTCGGCAAACGCCGTCTTCAGTATCAGCACCGCAATGCTGGGAACCGTTTCCATCGTCGAGTACTTTGTCCGTTTTTTTCGCCTGTGGAAGAAGAACTCCAACTGCAGAGTCATTGGCGCGCAGAGGCATTATGTGAGTCTCAAAGAAATCACGCTCATCCCCAGACTGACCGTATACAGCTCGACTGGTTTCACTGGAATCTTTCGGTAGGATGGTTCTTCGTCATGATCGAGCTCATCGCGTATGTACTTGCCCCCTCGCCTCTCACGTCCAGTCTAACCATTCCCAGCGGCACATGTCCCAAGTATCCTCCTATCCGCGTTCTCGCAATGCCTGCGCCAACTATGCTCTTTGCCATTGGCGTACAACTCCTGATAATCGACGTCCTCCGCTACCTGAAAGTGCCCGCCCCCTGCCGCATTTCCTCGCTACCCATGGGTGCACCTCTCCGACCGGGCATCTACCCATATATTGAAGACATCTGTGCCGTCGATGGCTCGGGTACTACCGACTTCCGACAAAGGCTGAACCTCAGGTACCAGGCTAGCAAGGGCTTCCGCGAGATGCTACATCGCCTGACTCTCTTCTGGGCTATTGGCGCCGTTGTCTGCTCCTTAGTCTGCACCGTCATTGTCTTCACTATTCCGCGAGATGCTGCCTACGTTGTAAGTAGTTCCACTTGCAACCGCCACCTCGCTCCATGCTAACTTTCTTAGGTCGGTTGGGTAATGCCATTCCTCTGGGCGGGCATCTGGACCGCCATTACTATTCCATGGGTCCAAAGAGATCTTGAGAAAGAGTACAATGAATGGACTACGGCGAAGTGGAAGGCTTAGATTTTAGTTTACAGCGACTTTTTTCGTGTTGTTTCTTTTGTATTATTATAGCTGCCACGAGTGACGGTTCATCATTGGCGACGGCGTTGGTCTGGATCATACACTGATGAGTGGTTAGAGATTACGCATACCACTTTGCGTAGAGTACTGGTAGTGCTCGACACTTTGACGTCTTGTCGTGGGACGCAAATACCAATTACTGGAAAAATCACATTTCTCCACAGATAATCTCCCTCTTGAGATTTGCGCAATGTCTCACCCGCGTGGAATACGACTGACGTCACGACGGGACGGGTACGGTAGCAATTTGCCATCCTTCGAAACGACGCAACGCAACCCAAGGCTTTGCACCACCATACAAACGCGGCGCCAATGCCTTGGACGATGTCATGAAAGCTTATTTATAAACTGCGGGTTTGGCTTCATGCAGCTAGTGCGCTGCTTCGTCACTGCTACTTCTCCGCATTCTCGGAACATCTCGATCCTCGACGACTTCGGGCTGGATTTGGAATTCTGGACGGAGCTCCGCGCTGGTGCTGAGGCGGGGTTGCTAATCACTGATTATGTAGGCGATGTGATGGGTTTCGCGGATACTGCAAAGATTGGCCATGCTTTGTTCTATGTGTAGTGCATTGCTATGTTATGCGACGGAGGGGGTTCCGTTGCGTCATGTCGACGTTTGAAGATGCACGTCACCATCCCTCACAACCCTAGGCTTCGTGAGACTGTGTTTCTGCATTGCTTTGTTCTTTCTCTTGACCTGGACGTTTTCTCTGCTCGTGAATAGCAAGTCATATCACATAAGTTCAACTCATCGCAATGTCTACCGGAGTTGGAATGAGTGCGTGCTGCCTCTCGGGCAAGGTCAATGAGGGTACGCCTACGGGGAGTGAGCAAGTCATCAGTGAGTCAATCAATATGATATAAACCGAACAACAACTAACGTCTCCCAGGTGGACTAAACACCTATGTCGCCACCCCATCAGACAATTCCAAAGGCAAAGCCGTAGTCTTCCTCGTCGACAGTACGCACCCCACCCCACCCACACCCCCCAGCATATCTAACAGCACCCCCAGTCTTCGGCTGGAAGTTCACCAACACGCGTCTCCTCGCCGACTCCTACGCCCGCGCCGGCTACAAAGCCTACATCCCCGACGTCCACAACGGCGACTCCCTCCCCATCGACTTCCTGCAGGTCGTCGAGCCCCCACTACCCGTCCGCGAGTCCCAGACCGTCGTCGAAAAAGCTACCGCCACGGCAAAGGTCGGCGCCACGCTCGGCCCCTGGCTCATCTCCCATCGCGAAGCAGTCTCCAAGCCGATCATCGACGACTTCCTCGCTGCCATCCGGCAACGCAGCGATACGCAGAAGGTGGGCGCTATCGGCTTCTGCTGGGGCGGGCGGTACGCGATTCTCGCTGCGCATTCAGATGTGGTGGATGCGGCCGTGGCGTGTCACCCGAGCTTGGTCGCGATCCCGGCGGATTTCGAGCCCGTTGTTAAGCCGCTGAGTTTGGCACTGGGCGATAAGGATAGTCTGCTGGGTGAGAAGGAGATTGGGCAGATTAGGGAGCTTATGCAGAAGAAGGAGAGTGTGAGTGAAGTGAAGGTTTATGAGGGGCAGGTTCATGGGTTTGCGCTCAGGGGCGATTGGAGTAGCGAGAAGGATAAGAAGGCTATGGATGATGCGGAGAAGCAGGGGCTGGAGTGGTTTGGGAAGCATTTGTGAGGGTCGGGGGGATGGACTTGTAGTGTTGGTGGCATGGCAGGGAGTTGTAGTCTTGGCTCTACAATCGCGCGTGGTACTGGTCCTGCGTTTCTCTGCGGAGCATCTCCCTTGATGGATGAGCTTCGGGGGGTCTGTATATATGTCGAAAGGAAGCAACTACCTCAATCCCCGCCAATCACCCAATCTACTCCCACCCTACACCCACTCTCTACACCCACCGAATTGAACCAGCCATCACCACAACCCACACACGCCTAATACACACCAGATGTTGAATATCATGTAAATGTCCCAGCCATGCCAATTACATTGGGCATATAATTCGGCCTTATGCCTCGATTACATGCTCCATCAACCATCTCAATCATCGAACTATCGCTCTTCTGGTGCTCTGTTCATGCCAGTCGTGATGCGCAAGCAGACAGCACATCCTCGACCTCGATACCAGGCCGCCAGCAATACCTTGATCACCATGACCTAGTCCATATCCTCCAACAGAACTCGATAGGTACAACGATCTTGTCTAGATAGAGATGGGGGACGGGATTGCCATCCGCCCCAGTGCTCAGTGCCTAATATTTGGTTTCAGCGCTTCTCTGCTGTATGGTCTTGTGGCATATGGCAGGATAGAGTAGGTCAAGTTTCTTCACTGAGGGCATTGATTTCGATTTTGCCGGGGCGGAAAGCATGGGTTGGAAGGCTGGGGTGGGAGTTAATTTGGGGTCTAGGAAAGGAGAGGTTGGAGATTGGGTAGGGGATTGGAACCAGGATATGTGTATGTTTTGCTTACTAGCAGGAGAGGGTTAGTACTTGGAATTTCATCTCAAGGTAAGTAAGTAGATGCTTGGCATTGGCTGTCTGACGTGTATACATGCAGGCTTGTTCTGTACGAGGAAGACTTCTGAACGACAAATAAGTTTTAGCTCAGACTAGGAGGCGTCTCGGGGTGGGAGGGTGTGTTAGTCCCTCGTTATCACGGATCTTGGCATGTATATATGGCATGAGCTACCTAGCTAGCTCTCTCACCCACACATCACACTAATACATACACGTACCATCCATGATTTGTTACACTCGTGTCCAACGCCCGTTGAGCACGTATGCCGCGTTTGGTGTGGATGGCTGGACAGCTTCCAGAACGTCCAGAATATCTACAACGTAACGCTAAAACGCTTGATCAACTGTCAAACTTTCATCACTCACTATCGTTGTATCGTGGTATCTTGTTTTGTTGAGGAAGAAAGCCGTTTGTGCGAGGGTGCTTGACACTGTCTAGGTACTAGCATGTAGTAATAGTGCAAGGCCTTGACTACTTGGATGGATATCGGGAACATGTATTTTGGAACTGGCTGTTTCGAAGTCGTCGGTTTGATGGAGAGGCTGGTCGAGAAATGTTTTATGTCTCACACTCGAAAGTATCGTAAGTGATATGAGTAATTAGATCAATCTGGAAGAGTACAAGACACCAGTGAGCTGGGACCTAGTGGGTGTATATTTAGTTCTTGCACCGAGAGAGAACATCATCAGCGCAGTGGAGGTCTGAGAAGTACAGTGAACGTGTGGTCCTATGTATGAACTCAAAGGGGAGGGTATGTGGGTAGTCTTTGCTTAACTGCAAAGACTCTTTTCTTCACTTCATCATTATTATTTTAAGTTTATCGCGTATTCATGCTTGTTGCACAAGCTTTATACGCAGTAGATATTAGTAAGAGTACATAATAACAGTAACAAAGAGCTGATTGACCGTCTCTTGACGACTTTCTGCTCAATGTACTGATGCAGACGTCACTTCATCGTTACAGGGCTTGAACTTGTTTGAGCACTGTGCTCGCACCGGCTGGGTATTGTATGTATGGTCTCTATCTAGCAGAGTTTCAGCTCAAGGCACAAGTACGGGGTCAACACAGCATATAACTGCGCACTGATGCTGTTTTCATGGTCAAAAGCATCTTGACTACCTGATCCTTTATCAGCAGTTCTTTCCATTTAAGTGATGATATACCAGTCTAGCCAAACGAAAGCTAGCCTAAATTCTAGTATCATCGGATCAACGAGCGTTTGGGTGTTTGTTTGCCCTAGCATAAGACGCTATTGGGAATCTTGAGAATTCACATGGTGTTGTTTTTGACCAAGCTTCTCTGCATGGATTTTGATGTGAAGATGGTGCGTTGAACAGTGCCTCATGGTCTCTCGGGTGAGAGGGAGACTTCTTCGTACAAGAGTAGAGTTCGTTCTGGAGAAGAATGGCGGCAAAGGTATTGCTGGACAACATGTTACCAGATGACAAGGAGCAAATTGCATTAATGATACGTGTTTTAACCATGACTTTGATATGCGGGGTCCGTCATAAAAATGGGCCTAAAATCTAGGCGTATATCTAACAGTGTAGAAGGTTTGTGCTAAAGAGCTCGGGAAACTCAATCTTCGATGGGTTCTACGGTAGTAGCCACCACTCCGCACTCGAAGAGTATTGGCGTGGTACTAACACTCCTGACACGCAAGCCTTGCCATACGTCTTATTCGGGACATACCGACCAATGCAGAAGCTCGCCGCGTAAGATCCCCATATCGGCATGGACAAGCAAGTTACAGAATCGATCTGCTCGACTCCTTCCAGCGCAGACACCAAGATCTACACTCCTGCGCCCAACTCCGACGTACTCTACCCGACGACGGAGATCAGCACAACACCTCAACTTGGAACCAAATGTCATAACATAAACTTATTCATTTTCACAACCCTGAGATCACGTTGATGCCGGTTCTCATTGCCAGTCCTGGTGGGGAGATGTCTGAATCGTTAACCACAACGTCCCCCGTAGTGCTGTAAGCTAGGCAGGAACGCTCTGCCAAGCGCGCTTCAAGATGCTGAATCGCCAAATGTCGTTTGATCGGTCTGAACCGGAATGGGGTTTGTGTCGTATTCGCTTCCCTAGGTACCACAGTAGGATAAATGCCGCGAGCGGGAATTATCATGACAGCGCGGCAAGGACCCGTGAGCCGTGAAAGCGGTGGACAGATCAATTTCATGGTCCGGTGGAGATGGCAAGTGTTGTCTGCACGATTCATAGAGCCCATGAGTCGGGGGAGTGCTTTGTCTAGAAGCGGATTGATATTGGGATTGCGCGTCTCCAAAGGTTGGTTGTTGAGAAGTGAATGTACGATGTCCCTATTAGGTTTAATGCAGTTGATTTTAACCGCGGCATAGCAAAAAGCAAAAACCCCGGGATATGACCGTAATAAACGCGTAAGAGTATTGCACATCTACGACGAGTACCTAGGTGTGGTTTGAAAGGGCACAAGACAACTCCGCTCAATCGTTCTATGTCTTGCATGTGTAAACTACACGCATTACTAAAAATAAGTAGCACGATGCAATGCCGAGGCGTTACAATGCGATGCGATGCAATGGATATCAAACCGACCGACCCTGCATCCACGCACCATGCCATGCCCTCGAAGCTGCACAGCGTGCCTAACTCCTTCCCTCTTACCCCCTAGCCACTTCCGAAAGTTCTCCAATAACGCTCCGCGGACGCATACATCACACCACTTCCCAAACCTTACCGTCTTAGTCCAGAAACTTTCAGCTGCACCGCCACACATACGCACAGAGCCCCATGCAAAAGTTGGAATTTGCATGGTGATATCAGGGCATATATCGGCCCGATTTGCGCACGATGACCGCACGGTATGGATGCATAGTCAGGGGGCGGCGAGGATCGCGAGGAAAAAGGGTTCCTGAAGTCTGAGGATAGAAGGATGGATGGCTAAAGTGGTTCTTTTTTAGTTGATGTCATGACAGGGTATCCTTCATTAGGATGCTGGACGAGATTGAGCGGATGGATGGAAGGTAGATTAAAAAAGGGTCCTTCTTCTTACGCGCCAAAAATGTATTGGTCAGATTGCTCCTTGAGGATTCTGAGACTGTAGAGAGGATTCATCTACAGTAAGAAATGGCCTGTTTGCGGTGATCTCTTCCAAATTTGAGCTGCGTTTTTATATACCTACATGTTGATTATGACAGGTTGTGATTTGCATGACCGTTGAGACAGTGACATAATCCACAAATAGTTTGAAGAAACGTTCTGGTCATCGGTGATGTGTACACAAGATCGAATTATGCGAAAGCAATTTGATTACAATTACATATACACATAACAACGAGACTCCAATTCCATGTCCTCGATTAAATCTGCCTCGCAACTTACAAGAAAGCAAATACGAAGCATTTAAAAAAAAAGACAAGCGAATAAACTTACGTTGTCGTCTGATAATCAGTGTTCGGTCGAATACAATCGTCTTAACATGATAAGAATGAAGGCATACTGACCCTGTCCAGCAGGCCAATGAACTTTTGCGTGACAATGAGGCGCGAAGCACCGCATTCAAACGCCGAGTGCCGGTCCAAGAAAGCACGAAGCTAATAAGGCCGCATCTGAGGAGGAAGTGGTATCATCGGCGCAGCGGCGCTCGAAGGACCCAGACGGTGGAACATCTGCACCAATCGCTCTCCGACACTGGGCTCAAGCTCAGTGCCATCCCTCGCAATCTTGACCTCCCGGTTGGCGTTCCAAGGGTTGCGAAGCCCGCGCGTGCGGTAAAAAGGCAGGCGGTTTGTAGACACCCATTTGACTTTGAAAGGTTTGCCCCAGCTTTGAGTGACTGCCGAAGAGGACGCATCGTCCACTGGAGTGTCTTCCCTTACAACCGTCTCGTCATCGCCTTCTGACTCGGAATTCTCTGCTTCCCAGAAGATTGTACCACGCGCCGAATCGTCGATGATTCTTCCTCGCGGAGCCCACTCCATGGCTGGTGTAGGGATTGACTTGGGCGCATCTGGTGCTTCTTCAACACTCTCGGGTTTGGGTACCGATCCTATGATACAAGAGCCATCTTCTAGGATGGATGATGCCATGCGAGCGTAGCCGAAATACTCGCCGGATTTGTTCGCCGAGAAAACAAGATACACATTTTCCGCCGACTACCAAACGTTAGTCATCTGCATCGCAATGTAGTATGTCGTGACGAAATTACCTCAAAGGCCTTGTTTAGGATATCCTCGTTGTGGGACTGGGTAGCCCAAATCCCGTTTCGTACGCTGAGCTCCAAGTCCTGCAGTGTGAGACTCTTTACGATGAAATATTTGTTCGAGGATTGTGATGCTCCTGTGCCATTCACACCGTTGTTGTTGTTGAGAGTTGGAGATTCGGGATCGACGTTTTGCGGACTGTCTACAGGTTCGCCGTCTGGCCTGGTTGTTGAAGGTGAGGACAAGTTACTGTGCTGGCTGCCCATCATAGCTGAGGGCCCCGTAGGCACTCCAGAGGCCGGCGTCGAACTGCGGCGCAGCCGACAGACAAGACGGACGCCGTTGAAACGCGAATCGTGGAACCTGTGCATAGCAGCTGTGCAAGAAGCTTCTGTGCGATAGTTCACAAATGCACAGTTACTCTTGGAGATCAAGAACAAGCTCTCAATGTCCTTTGTTGCCTCGCGCGAGAAATGGTCCTTCAAAGCTATGACTGTAGTGCCAGGGGGAAGATTTCCAACCCAGAGCGCATGCCCGGATTGTTTTGGCTTTCGAGGTGGTCCGCGAGGAATCGAGCTAACAGGGCCTGAGCGAGGGAGACCTAGAACCCACCAAGTCAGTGAATGTCCCGATGAAACTCGCGCTTCATCTGAAAGCACCGTTAGGGACCGAATTTTACTCACTTGAACTCTGAACCTGCGGTGCGCCATACGCAGGCCCAGTCATACCCATGTTTTGTACACTTCCTGGACCCATACGAGGGTCAGAGTAGATTCCTTCGTACTGTGATGGCTCGATGTTCTGGCCAGGCATGGCAAATGATGCACTGGTCGAGCTCCCCCTTCTTCCGTAGATTGCTTGATTCTGAGCGCCGTGCATCTGGTATCCGGGAACGTAATGGCTCTGATGTCCAAAGGGCGCTGGATAGTACATAAACTGTGAAGGCTGTTGATAGTGTTGATATGGGGGTTGCATCGAATTTGGTCCGGAGAGGCGTTGCTGGTTTGCCGCAAAAGGAGGATAAGCACCCTGTTGAGAACCTTGCGTATGTACAAAACCCTGCTGGTATGGGCCCGCAGCATACGAAGATGGATAAGGTTGGTGAACAGGAAAGTTGCCGGACATGTGCGTGGGCATTTGCAGATTCTGCCCGAGTTGGTAAGCTATGGCGGACGGTGATGCGCCAGAGAGCGTCCGTGGGATGCCCTGTGAGCTGGCTAAACTCTCGTCGCTGGAGCCAAAGTCTGGTAGCGCTCCAGCCATTGAGCCCATATTGAGAGGAGACACACGATTGTCTTGAGGCTGGTACTGCACGGAGGTATGCACAGAAGAGCGAAAATCTTGCCGAGGCGGGCCTTGGGGTATCGAACTCAGCTGAGAGTAAAACGGAGCGTTGCTGTCTGGAGATTTGTAGGTTGAGGAGCCATAGAAAGTCGAATTTTCATCGTGCGCAAGACCAGTTGCGATGACATCCGAGGCCTGAGGCCTGGATCCAGGAGGTAAATCACCCATCTGAGCTGGGTAAGAGATAGTAGGAAGTGCAAACCACTGTTGAACCCAAATGAAAGCCATATTAGCTCATATCCAAAAAGTTAAGCGAGCGATGGAGGACGAAGTTGTACTCAATCTGAGTAACTTCGACTGTGTGTTGATATCGTACCAAAATGCACAACGTACCTGATGCTATATCAAGATAATCCAAGATGAGTGACCAGCCGGAAAGACAGAGTACCGAAAGATAGTGGTTCAGACGGAGTGATGATTGGAGTATATTGATAAACAAGGAGGCAGTGAGAGTTCGCGTGTAAAATAAGAAGCATGGAGAAAGTGCCACCGTCCCAAGAAAGAGTAGGGGCTCCGGTTGGGGGACGATGATCCGGATTATGCAGCCACTCAGGCTGCAGAAGCGAGCTCTTGAAGCTTTATGAGGCTTGACAGCGGGAGCGGTAGCGTACGCAATGGGGTTAAGCGTAGGTCCAGGTAGTTGGTCAAAGGCTAGACAGGCGGGGGTTTTCATGAACGGTCTACTGGCTGGCCCAGGGCGAGCGGGAATGCCGCACGAGGTTTGCACGCCTTCTGCCTCAGGATTGGTGCAGGCTGTGGCTGGGCTGTGGAGCGACAGGGCCCGAACCGATGTTCTGGAGGCGACATGATCACCACAATGCAAGAGTCAAGGTAATTCGGGTTTCAGGGCATATGTCGTAAGGACGGGAAATGGTACTGTGGCGAGTGAGCGTTTCTAGACGCTCATGGGCAATAGCGCTGATCCTGGCCGACTATCGTGATGCTTGCGGACCCTGTCAGCACACAAGTACCTAGGAGATGGAAGACCCTAGAAATTAAACTAAGAGTTCTGAAAACAATGATGATGTGGTCTTGGTCACGGATTCCTAGTTGAGTTTGCTAGGTTGTTAGGTTTCTAGGAAAAGTCAAGAGCAAACAGGAGAATGCCGTGTCTTGGAAGAACGCAAGACATAGTACGATGCTTGCTCCGCTTCAACTATGCAATTTTCAGATTAGGCCAACGTGTGAAGTGAACGAAAGACACTGTACAGTCGACCAAAGCCAGACGCCAACGTAGCCTGCCGACCAAGGGAGACCGCTACCTACTCCGTACACAGCGATGGTTGCACGAGAACTCGCACAAGCTGGTTGCCCTAAAAAAAACTTTGGATCGACAAGGAGAACAGGGGAGGAGCCGTGGCCGTGGCCGTGGCCGCCGCGTGGACGTTTGGGCATCATGATCATGACATGCTAACGTCAGGGACTGACATGAACCGGCAGAAAGCAACGTTAACAGCTCCCGAGAGGCCTGTGCCCTGATAGCAAGCCTCGCGGCAGTAGTGCCTGAGAAGAGTGGCTGGAGTACGCGTTTGAGACCGACTCGCTGGTACATGGCAGTGGCGAGACGGCGTGCCCGGCTTGCTCACACGGGCTAGTGAAGCGAAGACGTCTCCATAGCAGATGCACCCACGACCGTTTGTGAGCGGATGTGGGGCGCGCCAATCACAGCTTCTTTGCCACTCGGTATGACCGCAAAAAAGGACGAGAGATCGGCACGACTGTTTAGCACAGCCACTACTGTTGTGGCTCGATTCCGAAAGGCCCAGAGCTCAACGTTCGAGAAGTTCAAGCTTTCGAGCTTTGACCGACGTAATCATCAGTGGCTCAGTGGCGTAAGCTAGGCTGGCATCAAGGGTCCAAACACAGGTGCTCTACCAAACCACCACCACTCTTCCGACAACGCTCGGCGAGATCGTGTCGTACAAGCAAGTCTGGCCAGAACCCCGCTACTTTGGAATAGGTATCGGAGATATGAATCATTGTCTAAGATACCGAGGCAGTTCGTCCCGTCATCTCGGATGCCTCGTCTTGCGCGTGCGTTGATTGTGTAAGCTCCGTGGCTGTGGTGGAGATCGCTACCATGCACTCTGCACTTGGCAAAATACGTTTTTGAAAGGAGATCCGTCGCCGCGCCCCTGGCGATCACAAATGGCGTGTCATTGTTGCGGGAACTAATATAGTTAACGCCGTCATAACATACGATATAGTTGATTTATTGTTTGACAGAACTGCCGAGCTTCAAAGAACTCAAATTTGCACCGGGCCCATATCTCATCTGATTGAGAACAGTTTTGGTTTGAACGAGACAATCACATGCTGTGAACTCGTCACGCATGCGAAGTTACGTAGTGTCTCGATGTCCCCACTTGGAGTGCGGCGCCCAGTCATCTATCTAGACGCGCTGACCCCTCCGGTCGTGGACTGCACACGCTCTGTGTCTGTAAGAGCCACGACTCGATCCACGTACAAACGTGCTGGATTGGTAACATCTCTTCGACTACGCACAGTGAACCTTGAAACCTCATATATTATCTATAACACGTGCTTCGTAACGGGGGCCCGGACCAGTGGAAACTGTTTAGGCGACGGCTGCTCCACAAGATACCTAGTCTCATTGAGTTACAAACTCGCTCAGAAATTGGCCGATGTGTTGAAAATAACCTGGCTCTGCAACTGTATCATTGTGTGTGCCATTGGGAAGCTCTTTCCATACTTTGGTAGCCTTGCACACTTGGAACAGCCGGCTCATATGGGAAGGCCTAATGGAAAATATCAGTGATTGAACAGATTCTCAATTCCTGACACAACACTTACGGAACAATTTCATCTTTCAACCCACTTAGGAACAGAATCGGCACTTTGGTAATCTGAGGCAGGGTCTCCTCGCTCGGCCATATCTGGTGGCAGAGCGGAGCGAGGAATCGAGCAGGAGGGAAAGCCGTTGGAATCAATTTCCTCAGCGATGTGAATGTGTTTTCCAATATGATTGCAGCAATGTCGCCGTGCTTCTGATTCCGAGCACCCAGGCCAATCGCAACAGCACCTCCGATGCTCTGTCCGTATAGAACTATACGTGAGCCGCGAATCTCGTGTCGCTGGCGTATGTACTCCAGTCCAGTCTGTGCATCAATCATGAGCCCCTTCTCGTTCGGATTGCCGGACGACAAGCCATAGCCTCTATATTGCAGCATCAGGACATTACACCCCAGCTCGTTCACGAGTATTTTTGCGATAGGTAGTCGGTAACCGATGTTGCCAGCATTCCCATGAAACATGAGAATCGTCACGTTGCGCGCACGTTGCTTGTTTGCTCGAATGTAGAAGGCGCTGAGGGATTCTCCATCTGGTGTAGGGATGAACAGCTCTTCAAAATCGGTGAGGCCAAATTGCGATGGTCGTGGGACGTTGGTACGAGCGTCTGGCGGAAAGGCCCTGGGGTAGATGATCTCGCTGTACTTGTTAGTCAAGTGTTTATTGGTAATTCAATTTGTAACTACAGACTTTTGTTTAAAATACAAGAGCCCACTGAGAGCAGCCGCGATACCAGAGGATGCAAGCAGTGGGAGCCGTAAGTAGGACATGAAGTTGTCGACTGCCGAACTCATCTTGGATAATCCTGGTCTGGGGGATCTGCTGGAAGGGGTAGTGCTTGGTATTGAAGTTGCCAATGTCTGCTGGAGAATACGCAGCAACAGCGTAGGAGGGGGAATGTATCACCTCTCCATAGAGCGTAACTAGAATAGAAGAAGGCTTTCGATTGCGGCTGCAGTTCTCCGGGCGCGTGTTGGAGTTGACGGACAGATAGCTGTCGCATGTTACGGTAGGGGATTTAGCGCGGTAGCGCAGTGCCAAGACCGAGTTGCTCGCGTTGCCTGCGCATCACCAACTATGCAACCACCACCCCACAGCTTCTTCCCCGCCCATCTTGAAACTCCGAGAAGACATCTCTATAGAAACGATCGGCCTTACAAACCACCAGCTCGCTCTATCACGATGATGACTACTGGCTCCTTGGGAGAGGGTAACTTGGGCCTTGGACTTACGCAGCTCTAAAGCTCACCTTTGCGCAGATGGCATCCATGTCGACATGAACCACCTCAAGAAGGGCGAGGTCAAGTAAGACTTAACCAGTACTAGCGATTCTCCAGCGTGCTAACAGACATGTCTAGTCTCGGTACCTCCATGTTTGTCCCCTCAACCCACGCCACTACTCCGCATTCTCTGACGACTCGCACAGCATGGCAATCAACTTCAAGGACGGCGTAATATTAGGCGCAGATAGTAGGACGACAACCGGAGCATACATTGCAAACCGTGTCACCGACAAGCTCACACAAGTCCACGACACAATTTGGTGTTGCAGGTCCGGTTCTGCAGCAGACACGCAGGCGGTGGCTGACATTGTGCACTACCATCTGGGCTCATATGGCATCACGAACGACGAGCCACCAACGACACAGACGGCGGCAGCCATATTCCAGGAGCTCTGTTATTCCAACAAGGACTCGCTCTCGTAGGTGACGCGGATGTCAACCGCGAGCTCGGCTGACAATTCATAGGGCGGGCATGATTATTGCGGGATGGGACTCTCGACACGGTGGCCAAGTGTATTCAATTCCTCTCGGTGGTTCTCTACACAAGCAATCATACGCAATCGGCGGTTCTGGATCAACATACATCTACGGTTACTGCGACGCAAACTGGAAGGAGAACATGACTGAGGAGGAGGGCATCCAGTTTGTCAAGGGCTCGCTCTCAGAGGCTATCAAGTGGGACGGGAGCTCAGGAGGTGTAATTCGCATGGTCGTGCTCACTGCCAAAGGCGCGCAGCGGCACCTGTACCTGCCAGACCAGAGCTACGAGGGCCCTGGTAAGCAGTAGTTGCGTGGTGGTGTTTGGAATCAGGAAAGCCATGCGAACCGCATGTTGTGGGCACACGACGGGGCTGAAACGTCGGCAGGGTTAACAAGGTTTTTACACCCCTCGTCGTCCGCTCGCCCTTCATCCTTTGGACAGCCTTGAGAAATGTGCGTACGAGCGTCTTTGAGGTGTGTAGGCTCGGCAGCCCTGAGTGGCAGGTGCCAACATGATAGTCCAATGAGACATGACCGTTAACTCATCGCCTTGTTCTGATGGGAAAGCTATAGCTACGACAAGAAGCAGGGCAAAGCAAAGCTGGGGAACAGTATGCACCTATTGATGCTTGCACATGCATGTGATAGGCCCTGAAAGGGAGTTCGGGCAGCGACGAGCCAAAGCGGCAGATGACGAAGAGGCCTGGGCACGCTCCCCACGCAGTCCAGTCTAACAACAACGGCTCCACCAGCTCAACACCGCCCGCGTCTTCGTGTTGCCCACCTCCCCTCCCCCTCCTCCCCCTCACCCTCCCTGCCAGACGCGTCGCCGTCCAATTCACTTTGGGCACGGCACGAAATGTTCACTATCTGCCCGTGAGTCGCCTTGATCGTCTGCGCTGGCTGTAGTCTGCGATAAGAGCTTGACCGCGACCGGCTCGACAATACCACCGACACTTCCCACGCTCGTCGCACCTGATCCACGCTCCTTGCTCGACAGTGCTGCCACCGCGCCGCGCCTTCCACCCCTAACCTCCCTACGCTCTGCAGAATCCCGAGTACCTGCCGTCGCGGTATGGGATCGATAGTAGTCAGCGACTTTGGTGGAAACCACTTTCACAACACCATGTTTGGCGGGCATCCGCAGACGCAAGAGTCGCCTGCTGCCCATCACACCACCGCGCGCCCGTCGCCTGCAGTGGCCGCCAACCCGCCGACGCGAGTTGTGGCTTCGCAGACGGATGTTGCCATGACCGACTCGGGAGCCCCGCCATCGAGCTCAACACCCGCCCAACGCCCGCAACAGCACAATCCTGCAGAGCCCAGCGCGCATGGCTCCGTCTCTCACCAGCATCCGCCGGCGCCTCTCAGAACGCACTCGCAGCAGCCCACCCCATCGGCACAACCTGCAGCTGATGCTGCGGCAGACCCAACTCGGCGCATCAAGGTGAAGAGCCTGTCCCACATCCAGAGCTTCGCCATCGACGAGTCCAGCCCATTCTCTCAGACACGCTCCCTGTCGCGACGCCAGCGACGTGACCCCACAGACGTTGGGCCCCAGTATGAGATCAGCGACATGCCCGTTTCAGACATCATCGAGATGGTGGCCGGGTTGCTAACCAAAATCACTACCACCAACGATCGCCAGCACGATCATCTGCACCGCCAGATCCCACCGCCTGAAGGTACCTCGGGATTGAGCCAGCAGACCAGCAGCGTGCTGGCTTTCCACGGCAAGAACGTACCTAGCATCTCCATCCTCAGCTATCTCAGCCGAATTCATAAATACTGCCCTACCACATACGAGGTGTTCCTTAGTCTTCTGGTCTACTTCGACAGGATGACTGAGAGAGTCAACGCTGGACCAATGATGAGCCTCCGTCAGGCTAACCAGCAATCACTGGAGCGCGCAAACTCCACAGCATCTACAAATACCGACTCCACAGCAGCCCAGCAGGCTCCGTCTGTCAAAGTACAGGCTACGACACCGCCACCCTCTGGTTCTCTTGGCAGATCGTCTCAACCCCAAGTATCAGGAGTTCAGCCACCATCCCCGCCTCAGCAAGACCTAGAACCTGATACATACAACCTATCACACTTCTTCGTTGTTGATAGCTTCAACATTCACCGACTCGTGATAGCTGGTGTTACATGTGCTAGCAAATTTTTCTCTGACGTCTTCTACACAAACTCGAGATACGCAAAGGTATGTGGTTGTTTCTTGATAGTTGAGCGTTACTAATACATAACAGGTTGGTGGCCTGCCGTTGGTCGAACTCAACCATCTAGAGCTACAGTTTCTGCTGCTGAACGACTTTCGCCTAGCTGTCCCATTGGAAGAAATGGAGGCTTACGGGACAATGCTGGTCGAATTCTACGCGCGAGAAGTAGCGGAACAACACGAGAGACAGACAGGAGGAAGTCAGTGATTGCGCAGCTGTACATCGCGGAGAGCGCGCACGCTGACGGAGGCGATGAAACGGTTAACATTCACGACATGTGCTGGGCCTGCAGGAGTAGGCCCGCCACTTTGAATCGAGGGCACTGCATAGAGCAGGCAGTTTCTGATTGCAATTTCATAGCAGGACACGAACTGCAAGAAGATACCACAAGAGTTTAGCTTCTACGAAGTGCTGCTTTCCTGGCGTTCGGTGGGTGGAACGATGGCTCGCCGGAGTCTTCATTGCATGAATTCAGTCTCTTTTGGGCTTGTTCAAGTTGGGACGACTCGACAAGCTTGGCTTAGGGGTCTTGATGAAGCCAGGATGCGGCTTCATGACGAGATCACAGCGACGGGCTTTCTTTGAGCAATACATCCGTTTCTTGTTTTCTACGACTTTCTCGAAGACCCTTAGGGCGGCGTTCTTAGAGGTGTAATGGGTGAGGAGTTGATCTTCTTATGCAATGCTTAATACTCAAGCCGAGGTGTTTACGGTGTTTACCCCTGCGTCTCTGAAAGTGATTTTTGAACCGACGAACATACAAGCCTCGTCTCAAACGACGAATCAATATGCATTAGCGATCCGACAACACAAGCAGGTGGATTACGCCACCCCCCTAAAAACATCAACTCACTACCGCATCTCTACCACATGAGGCAACCCCGCGAGGAGCAATGTAAACGCACAGACGGTGACCTTACTCGGGCGTCGCCAAAAAACGGCCCAGCCAAAACATCTTAAATCCTTCTTTCTACACCGCTGCATTTACGTTCCTTACCTCCCTGAAACTATGTCCTCGACCCTCTCCCTCTCCTCGCTCACTCAATACGTCTTTCTGGCCTCGATTGCTTACGTTCTTGCCGGCGCGCCTTTGCTGTCCCTTTTCTACGGTACGCGAGCCTCGCATCCTAGCGACGCTAGCGCAGGGCACCACGGTGCTAGGCTGGATGGCTTGGTATTCCCGGAGGAGAATCTGAGGTGTGGGGAGCATGCGTATCGGGGGGTTTACGTGCTGAGACGGGATCCTCTGGTAGTTTACATTGAGGGATTCTTGAGCGCAGAGGAGGCGGGGCATGTTGTTGGGTTGAGGTGAGTCTTGAGTTCTTGTACAATTGTAGAAGTTGTTCCGCCTGTGTGACGCTTAACGGATGCTTACTCATCGCCCCAGCGAACCGCTCTTCACGCCCTCAACGACTTGGACCGGCCACGCAGAATACCTGAATAAGACTATCCGTAACAGCGAAAAGGCACCGCTGCCGCGTGATGATGTGGTGAAGTGCATCGAGGACCGCGCGCGCCGCTTCCAGGGCTGGCGGCCGTGGATGTTCATTGAGAAGCTGTGGACGCAGAGATACGGCGCGGGCGGGCACTACACGTACCACTACGACTGGAGCACGGGGACGCAGAAGAGCGGGCGGGTGAGCAGTTTCATGGTCTATGTAGCTGCGAACTGCACGGGAGGGGGGACGCATTTCCCGCGCTTGGAGAGACCGAGGGGGCGCGAGTGGTGTCGGTTTATCGAGTGTGAAGAGGAGATGGATGGTGTGGAGGAACAGGGGGTTGCGGGGACTAATGCGACATCTCAAAGTGGGAAGAGCGAGGGGAAAGAGGTGGATTTGAGACAGGGCGTGATCTTTAAGCCGGTGGCGAGGAATGCGGTGTTCTGGGAGAATATGCGGAGTGATGGGACCGGGTACCTGGAGAGCTGGCATGCGGGGTTGCCGGTTAAGAGTGGGGTGAAGGTTGGATTGAACGTTTGGAGTTGGTTCCAGGAGGGGTTTGTGCCACCTGTCGAAGAGCAAGGGCGAGTAGGTGGAGGGGAATAAGGTGGAAAGTGAACAATCAAATATATGGATGACTATCTAAAGAGAACCATGTCGGATTCTAACAGTAATGAATCGGATGTTCATACTTCTAGCTTCTCGAGGGCGAGGTGATTGCTGGAACAATGCAGGAGGATTCGAGGGTTTGCGGATCCAAAGCATATGGCCCTTATCATGCGCAAAGAAGGTGCAAGGGACATGGACAACAGTACCACTCGAATCACACCAGCAGCAACATGGAAAGTCTGTCGACTAACCGTCTACGCTCTTCGTAGTTTGGCAACTCGAATCAACCATTGATGTAAGAAAACATGGAGAGAAGTACAGTACAAAACCCTACTCCAAAGCCCGATCAAAGCCGTAGCCGTTCCGTTGATCTTGTTCCCATGGCATGTATCAAACCCATCCGTTTCCGCAAATAACGCCATCCGTCGATATTTTACAACCAAACACACCCAACCATATCCGCACCTAAACACTTCGTGTCTTTGCCTAGTCCTGAGTCTGCTGCTGCGGTTGACTCTGGCCCTGCCCCAACAACCTCATAAGATCCCCCAGCCCAGCTCCCGCCCTCTTCTTCTTTTTCCCGCCTTCCTTCTCCGCAAATGCAAGGCCCATGAGCTTTCTCTTCTCCTCCTGGATGTCCAGAACTCTCTCTTCCACACTACCCTCAACCACTAGCCTGAACACTTTCGTCTCGCGCTTTTGGCCCAGTCGGTGTACACGATCGACGGCTTGATCCTCGATGGCAGGCGCCCACCATGAATCCGCCATGATGACTTGATTGGCGGCAACAAGATTGAGACCTACGCTGCAAACCGACAAGGAGGCGAGCATGACGGTAGTTTCGGGGTCGGAGTCTAGGGCCTCGAGGGCAATGTCGCGTTGGGTTGCCGACATCGACCCATCAATCCTGGTGTATTTCAATCCGTGTAGAGTGAGGTGAGGCTGAAGGATGTTGAGAAAAGACGTCCATTGGCTGAAGACAATAGTCTTGTTACTCGGATCCTGGCTAGAGGCCTTCAAGATATCAAGCAGAGCACCGACTTTGCTGGATGTGTTTTTTTCGAGGGACTCTTTGTCTGCCAGTTGATCTTGCGTGAGTGCTTCTGGTTTAACAGATACCTCTTTCGCTGGCTTGACAGCTGTCGAAGCGAGAGACTCGAGGTCGGCGCGGCACATGGGACATTTGTGCTGCGTTTCTATGACTCTCTCAATGCAGTTCGTACAGAATACGTGTGCACATTTTGTGATCACTGGGTCTTTCAGAGTATCGAGGCAAACGGGGCAGTCCTCTTGTGAATCGATAGACAGCTGGAGCATCTTCTGAAGAGCAACTTTGTTTTCCTCGGTCAGGTCGACAACACCTTCCGCTTCTAGCTGCTTCAAGATGGAGTCAAGACGCTCTTCTCCCACAAGCTGCCAGTGATTGCACTATTTCAACCGTTAAGTAAGTATTTGTCATAGAAAGCAATCAAGTACACTTACGAGCTGGCGCATACGAAGAAGAACTTCGAGCAAATGGCGATAAGTATCCGCCGCATTCTGCTTGCCGACATTGTGCTTGTAGAGGTCTAATGTACCCTTCGCTTGTCTGAAGATCATTTAGTGTGCAAATCATGGTATTGAACTGGGTGGAACTCACGCCTCTAGCGCTTCATACTTCTCCTGCTCGTGCGAGTGAAGCTTAATCTTGTGAACATACTCCGACAACTCAGGAAGACGCAAGTCGATAAACGACATCTCCTTCTTCCGCCGCAGACAGACACCTTTCATGAGGAGCTGAAGTGCCATGTTACCCTGTGCGTCGCCTTGCAGTACTGGACGCATGATAGCTCCGTGGAAGATCTCAAAAGTGTCGAGGCCGCCGGATAGCCGGAGGAAACGCACAAGCGAGTATAAATCCTTGAGGGTATTGATGATGGGCGTTCCACTGAGTACCCACCTAGACTGCGCCATAAGATTCGTAACGGCAATTGTCTTCTTCGCCTTGGGGTTTCGAATGTTGTGTCCTTCGTCTAGGATAACACGACGCCATTTCACAGAGAAGACCCCGGACTGCCTGGGTACATTGGTCGACTTCTGCGAGTACCACTCAGACGAGACCGAGTCGTATGTGCTGATCACGACATCGTAGTTTTCGATCTGCTTAGGTGTAATGGGCTGCTTTCGTGTGCCGTGCCAAAACATGACACGGAGAGCATACTTGTCCTTGATATGTTTCTTCATCTGTGTACTCCAGTTACTCATCACTGAGACTGGCGCCAGGATGAGAGTCGCGTTGCAGGAGTCAGGATCGCGGCGACCGAGGGCTCTATCGGCCATGATGAGCGATATCACTTGAATTGTCTTGCCCAGTCCCATGTCATCAGCGAGAATACCACCTGAAGCAAGCACAGGATTAGTGATGGAATAGTTGGTTGCAAGATTTGTGAAGGCGTTCGGCATCCTCGGGTGACGCTGCCAGAGCTGCACAATATCCTTCGAGCCTTGAGCTGGGAGTTGAGGTGATTCTTTGTCCAACATCCACTGCAGACCTTGCAGTTGGAAGGGGTGCAATTTTGTCTCGAGTGCTTCTGGCTGGGATGCCTTGGGCATTTCCGCCTACAGACAATTAATAGGAGTTCATGATGTGTCAAGTGACTACTTACCAAATCCTTCTCCTTAACACCGAATTCCTCAACGACACTCTCGACATTCCTGGGGTTGAAGCGCTCACTGCCGCCGATGATGTCTTCGAGGCTAGGCCCAGGACCAACGCCCTGCGAAGAGCCAGCCATAAACTCTGCCATGCCATTCTCGTAATTCAGGCCTCCAGCAGCACCAACAACGGCACCACCTCTCTTCTTCGCCTGCTTGGCAGCTTCTTTGGCGAGTTTTTGTCTCTCCTTCTCGGCTGCGGTCTCCTTGCGCTTGCGATCTGCCGCGTGTCCAATGGGGAGTTTGTCTGCGCGCATCGCTGCCAGGAGGTTCTCGCGCTCCACTGGCTCGTTTGTGCCATAGAACTTGAGCTCAACTGGACAGTCGAAGGCGCCCTTTGGACCAGTAATTTGCGCCTCGATGAGCAGACTACGCTGGTCCATGTATTTCGCCAACTTCGAAGCCACAGTTTTGGGTATATGACCAATCTGCTGACCCTGCACGTTGAGCACCTGAATGGCATTTGCTGTATCGAACAATTAGCCATCACTCACACGGAGCACAGCTCATTGCGCATCTTACCGTCATACTTGTTATGCGGCTCTCTTCTACAAATGACCATCTCCCCAACAGTTGCATACCCGTCGTAATATCTCACTCCTACAATTTTGGCATGTTGCACGCCGTACAACATGTAGCTGTACTGCTGCTCGTTGTATCCTTGTGTTGCATCGGGCGCATCTTGCGACGCGTCTTCGTCGTCGTCATCGTCAATGACCAGAGGGTCGTGTTGCGACGAGCCTGATACGGTGCGTGATGTGTGTGAATTGTATGCGGTACGTGTTTGCTTCGGGGCGCGAGGCGATGACGCATATCCATGCCCTTGAGACGATGACGGATGCGCGTAGCTCTGCGATGACGATGGGTAAGCATTGACTTGCGACGAGTAGAAGGGCGAATCGTCGCTGAAGCCATCAGGGAGAGGCCGTTTGTGGGGTCCCATTGTGGGGAGACAAAACTGTGCGCGACGAGTGGTGCGCCGTTGTGTGTAGCAGCTGTGTGAGGAGAGAATCGATAAGGAGAAAACGCGCTAAGACGCGAACTCCAGTGATATCATCTGACTCGACCCCAGATTCTGGAGTAATAGCGATACACAGCAGAATGCAGTCATAGCATGTCATTGAACTTTTCTACATACGTGGTACAGTGTCACTGCTTGTTTACAATGTTCTTCGTAAATCTGAAACAAACCATAACGCCGTTTCTGCGCTCATAGCCATGAACTTCTTATAAGAAGTAGCAAGTATTTACTATCGACACAAGCCAACAGCGTAACGATGGCGAGCCAGACATAATACAAATAGAGAAAGGAAAAGTTGGTATTACCTGAGGGAATCGATTACAGCGGAGAACAATGCGAGCAGATTAATCTCGAGACGGTCCAGCCTAAAGCTTGCATCGGCCCTTGTGTCAGATTGGCAACAGTAAAGGATCTCTTGGCATAATACGAGGCATACAGTGCTGCGGATCAGAGACCATATGCGATTGCTGGAGCTGAGGGGAGCAGGGCTAGTTGCTTCGCGGGGTGTGACGAACCTCATCTGCGACGACGCGTTAGTAATTATTCACTGGGGATCGTGTTAAACAGAGTGATTGTATCACACATACCTTCTGACTGCAACACCTAATAGCGAGTCCGATGACTGGGCTTCGTGGGAAGGACAGGAATGATGGTTGCGTTATCTTCGACCTGCTTTGATCTATAGATTCGAAACACCAATGTCAGCAAGCTCATTACAGAGAAGAGAATGGTGGTAAATTACATTTCGCTAGCTGTCATGTAAATGCAGAAGAACTAACAAACAAAGCTTGTGGGAAGGTGAAAACGGCGAGGGCAATGATGGTATGACGACCGGAAGTCGAGGTACATGCTAGCTCTATGATATTGGCAATATCAAGAGCAGTCTATAAGCGCTGACGCTTGTTTGCTGCGGCGTGAGGCTGTCCTTTTCCTTTTCGTTTCGAGGGGAGGGGGAGAGAAGGGACGCTCTTAGCAGATAATACATACCCATTGACTTCCTTATCCAGCAGCATGTATTCTTCAGCTGCGTCTTTGCCCCCGCGGTTGAGCAAATACTCCATGTAACAGTGTGACAGCTCCTTTGATGTCTCTGGAGAGAAGCGGCCTTTGGTGCGCATCAGTTCATGAACAGCCTTTATGCGTTTGTGAGATTCTTCCTGATCAGAAGAAGGTTGTCCAACTTCAAACTGCAGGTATTTGAACCAGAAGTCTCGAGAGTCGAGGAACTTCTCATACTTGTCTTTGAAGACTTGGCGAGCCTCGTCGACAGCGCCTTTGCATTGCCACAGGATTCTCGCTTGCTCAGAAGCCAAAACGCCACCGATGTGGTTGTTGTGTTGCCCAATGTATTCATCTAACAGGCGCACAGCAGCGTCATTGCCTTCGTGTCGTCGCTCTACTCCAGCTAGAGAGATGATAGTCTCGATGTGTTCAGGTGCCTGTTCCAGGATGGCGGTGTGAATATCACGAGCGACTGAAATGCGCTCAAGCTTCTCCTCGAACCGAGCCCAATTGAGGCGGATTGTGGGCGCTGAGATTGGCACGAATATGCAGCTGGCCCGCATGTAGATGATTCGGGTGTCCTCCTCTCTACCCTGTGAAAACATCCAGCGTGCGTAACGCAGCCAGAACTCGTCGTAAAGCGCACAAGCGACCAAACAACGCTCATACAAGAAAGAAACACGTTGGAAGTCGCCCTGTTTCTCTTCAAAGTCGAGGTACTTGCGCCAGTTGTCGAGTTCTGCGTCTTCAAGTTCTGTGACATGGAAATAGGCCCTCTTAATAGCCTGCTCAAAATTCCAACGGCTCTGTACTTCCTGCTGTGTACGGGTATATGAGTCGTAATAGTATTGGTGAATCTTCTGACGCAGCTGTCGCTCGATCTCAAGCGGCGCTTTCTCGGGTTGTCCCTGGTTCTCAAGCTGAGCTGCGTTCTTCAGCGTCTCGAGTATCTCAGACTCTGCAAGTTCTTCGATCGGTCGCGAGCCAAGCAGCACGGAGAACTTCTCGTAATAACGAGAAAATTGATATATGGGTAGGAGAATGACGCGGGTGTAGATCTTGGTGACGTTGGCAGGCTCCTGTATACGCTCCTCGAATTCGATGTACTTGTCCCAGAATGGATGGCTCTGGAAATCGAGACCTACAAAATGAGCACCGCGCTCGAAGAGTCTACGTTGTTAGTATGTGCTAAGACGATGGAGGGAGGAGAGGTAGAGAGGAGTTCGGGCTTGCAGAGAGACTAAACCGTCCCTGAACGGGAGCTAGACCATCGACTTCCAACAACTTCGATAACGCGCAATGAGCTCGTCGGGATGCAGAGGGTAGAGTGAAGGGCAACAGAACGGCGTGACGAATAACATCCAGCGACACTCGATCATGTGTGAACACGCACTGCCGCATTGCAGGGTCCTCGCAGCTGGCTAGGATGCGAGTTGAGTTTCAGAATCGGGGAAGAAAGGCAAAACTTACTCTCTGATGATGTCGTTGTCATGGGATGTGTCCATCTTGAAAGAACAGTAGTTGGCCCATAGATCAACTGAAGGAGTGATGCAGGACACGCCGCGCTCGTACACCTAACATACAATCAGTCATATTTACAGTAGGGCGCTCGCCAGGAACACGCACCATTTCAGCCGTTTCGGTGCCGCCTATCGCAAACTCAAGGTCGGCGTATTTCTTCCAATATCCAAAGAAGAGCGGGAATTTGGTGAGGAAGCAATCGTAAACATTGCGCACAAGTTCGATTGCTGAGGGGCTAGAGTTTCGAGTGACGCCGCCCTCGAGTTCAGACGCGCGAGCAACGAGCGCCTCCCACTTTTCGAAATCATCTTCGTTTTCAACCTGAGAGCCGTCAGTATGTGCGCAGCTACTCAAGGTAGTTCAACACTCACAACCGCGTCGAGGAGCTTCTTGACTTCAATTGCAGCCTCCTCGCCAGTGTAGTGCACCTGTGCGATGCTGCCGCGCCCAGTTGCCAGCATTATGTCGCGTTGAGCTAGATACGCGTCGAGGTATTCGGTGAGTTTATGCGAAGAGAAGGGGGTTGCGTCGCTGCGAAATGAAGGGTGGTGAGAGCTTTGCGAAGATGAGCTTGGGAAGCTTGCAACGGGAGCCGTGTCGCAGGTTCCACTTTCGTCAACTAGCGTGATCTGGTGTCGCAATCACGTGATGTCAAGTATGCATCTGCTGCGTCGACATGGATAAGATATCATGCTTGTGAGAGAAGGAAATTGTATTGATAGGTACTCTGAATATGTGGCTCGAGGCAAATCTCAAGATTGGTTGAGTTCGTGAGTTCAAGTGCGGAAGGTTTGCATTCGCGTGTATAAATTCAAAGTACTTCTTTCCATCTCCCTATATTCACATACCGTAGGTTAATCTTGCAAATGGCAGGTAGCTTAGGCATCATCTATCCGTGCACAAGCCAGCGTTCTTGCAAACCTTGAACTATCCATCTTGAGACCTTGAGACACCAATCGCATCTAACACAAACCCTCATGTGGCACTCTCCCCTTTCAGATATTTTGACGTGTCATTCCCCGCAAACGAGAACGGACTCGTCCCAAGCTCGGGACTCCTCGGACTGAGGGGCAGCGCAAAAAGCTCGTCATCCTTGTCATCACTCTCTGAGGGTAATGACAGGCCTCGAGACTGGAAGCTCGGATCCGGAGCTGACAATGCATTAAGAGAGCCCATGCCCGAGCCCTGTTGTGCAACAATCGAAGGCGGCGGGGCTTGAGCTGCAAGTTTGCGAGGTGCTGCTTGAGATGGCTGGGGCTGCTGCGGAGGCTTGGCTGCAAGTGTAGAGGGGTTCGCACCTTTGAAGATAGCGAAAGACGAAACGGCTACGTCGGAAGTCTCTGGCGACAGAGGGTTCAGGTGAGGCATGCCGCCGTTGCCTTCTGACTTTGGTGTGAGATCCCTCTCGTTTGTGCCCAACCTCAGGCCGGCTAGCTTTTCCATCAGCCGTCCTCCGCCGGGTGTCCTGGGACTTGTAGGACCCTTTGGCTGTGCCACTGTTGTTTGCGCGAGCGAGATGTTGAGACCAGCTGGTTTTGCGTTCACGCCAAAAGATTCCTCAATCCAATCTTTCTCTTGAACCGCCATCAGATAGCCAATACCCTCAATGTTGTTTCGTGACTCGGCCGCGATCTCCTTCTGCAGCACTTGTAACCTCTTCTTCGCCCATATGGTATGCAAAACACCCTTCTTTCCCGCCGCGCGTGCTGATGCCCCTAACTCGGGCGGGAAAATGGCAGGCAACGGGTTGGTGTTCCACACCACCGGCGCCTTGTCGGTGTCCTCCGGTCTGTGTGTGAGTGTCACGCTCGTAGGCACTGCAACTCCTGGAGGCAGGAGGAAGTACATGCGATTGACATCGTTGGCAGACTGATCATCCGTGGGGAGAACCCTTGTACTGCCTTCCCAAGATATATGCCAGTCTCCGCGCACCCCTCGTGTTGTGTCGTCGTCCTCCCATTCTACCATGAGGATCTTGGTGCCATCTGTGGTGGCATGGTCGTATTCGTAGCGGGCGAGCGCATTTGTGCTGGAGATGCTCGGCGACTCAACCTCGTCCTTGAGCGGCTGACTTATCGATGTGTCTACAGAGGTGAACGGAACTCTGGCCTGAGAAGTCATTGTATAGAGCTCAGAGGGTGGGGACACGGGTCAAGCGCTATGCCAACAACAACAACGTCAACGAGATTAGCAGTCGCATGCGGCTGCAGTGACCCGACAAGACTTTGTCCAGATGTCGAAAAGCGGCAAGAGAACGTCGTGCGAGTTAGGTGTGTCGAGGCGCGACATCCATATCGTCTTAGTCTGTATGTCTTTGCTAAATTTAGAACGAGCGTTACTGTCGGATGCGGTAACCCCGCCTCATGTTGTGGAAACTCGAACCAGCCAATCGTTCACAAATGCAATAAGAAGTATTTCGGTGCAGCTCGAAAATGTGTATTCAACTTCGATTCGACTCGAACTCATGTCTCTTCGGCATGGCCTTGAGGCTCAAGCGGAAATCCTATCAAACTACTATACAAAATATGTGGGAGCTGCACTAGCTTCCAAATCGTCTCAAGATGTCCACCAGAAAAGGCAGGACATCGAGTCAGCCGTAATATCATCACCATGATGCTCCTCCAATGCCACTCAGTCGATGTTATCGCGCCGTATGAATGCTGTCTAGCTCCCGAAGGGCTGTAATAGAAAATTACAAAGTGGGTATAAAGCGAGAATGTAATATATGCAAAGAAATGAGCAAATGCTTTGATGGAATATAGCGAAAGTTAGGTGCGGGTGGCTCTGACGAAGAAGGAGTGTAGTCGCAAAGTAGCTAAAACAGACCAGGATGCTAACCAGCAGAAAGGCAGGACTTTTTAGATAAGCAAAAAGTCCCAGCCCTTCTGATGCATCGTGTCCCGCCAGTGGACACTCTGTTTGTTGCCCTTTGCGAGGTTGTCGTCGTTAATCAGCCAAACCTCACTCAGGAGCTCCTTCATCTTTCCAAAGGAACCAAAGTTTGAGGACTCGCCCAACTGGAGGGCGCGGTCCGAGAACATGTTGCGGAAGCTGGAGCTTGGCAGTGAAGCTGATCCAGCCACTAGGAGAGGCCACACAAGGGAGCGATCGAACCCGTGAGGACCAGCAGGTATGTACTCCATTGCCTTGCTCAGCGCGCTCACCAAGTTGACGTTGGTCGGCTGCGTTCGGTCGTAGTCAGGAACCAGGCTGCAAAGGTAGATGCGGGCGGCTAGGCGATAGATTGCAGTCATGTTCTTGCGGAGTTGCCTTGGGAGAATCTCTCCGGTCCCCGAATATGCGTGGTTGAGCGCGCCATGTGGTGGCTCTGTTAAGCTAATTTGCTCGCCGAGAAGCTGGATGTGCTGGCACAATTGCACATCATCCATGTTCTCAAGTTTGAGCGCCTCGAGACAGGCAATCTCCGAAATCAAGTACATGATCCTATCTTCACAGCCCATGAGCTCTGCAAGGCCAGAGGATGCATCGGCGATAAGCTTCTCCCTGTAGGTGTCGGCAAAGGATGGCGTTCTGCCCAACATAGTTGCACCGAGGATGTCGATCCAAGAAGTAAGTGTCATGTTGAAAGGAGGCTGGGAGTGTGGCTGTCCGTTCAGAGCGACCATTTGTGCTGGAAGTTCGAGCTTGTGGACGAGACTCTGAACTGCCAGGAAGTGCTGGTGCCATGGAATATCAGGGAGACCATCATCGAGCCGTCCGACCGAGCACGGGAAGAAAATCATACCAAGAGTAGCTTCAAGGGTCTGTGCATGATCGTTGTCACGGAAAAGCGAGTCGGTGAGTTGTTGGACGGTAGCATAGCGGTTTCGATAGATGTCGTTGTCGATCTCGTCTCCCTGGAGGCCTTGAGTAGTCTTCATGTGCAAAGCAGCAACACTCAGGCAGCAGTGTAGGTAAGCCTTGTTGGTCTCAAGTGCTGGGAGAATGACATCCGCGCGGGCAGAGCCAGCCTGGTTTGCCTCAAGAACGGGATAAACCGTGTGCATGACGTTCTCAATGAAGTGAGTAAGAAGATGCTGATCACATTCTTCGACTTGTATCATGGGTTGGTGTGAGGGGCTGAAGCAACCATGAGCAAATTCGAAGGCAGGAAAGTCAAGTGGTTCCTCGGCGAAAGACTCTCGGCGGCTCTCGAAGTAATCTTGTTGTACCCAGTTGTCAGTCGGGTATGCATGTCCTACAGCGGGTGGTGTTTGATAGTGGCTAAATGTAGATATTGTGGAGTCTCGCCGTGTGGGGATGTCGTTGATGAACATTTGAGTTTCAGTCTTGATGTCGATCTCGTACGGTGCAAAGTGTCCAGGATGGGTAAAAGATGGTGCAAACATTGGCGGGGGCATTGACGAGTTGTAAAAGTCGGGCGTGGGATTGAAGTTGTAGTCCAGAGAGTTCTGCGAATCGACAGACTGCGCACGAGTGCATGCGATTCCGTCTGAAAAGGTGTCTGCGGTTTGCATCGAGTGGCAGAGGCTCGGTGGAGTGTTGGTGCCGATCGGAACTCCTTGCGCACTCTTCTCGTTGAGCTTGGTGCGCTTGATTATGTTCTTGATGTGATCCTTCTGGCCTCGTCGCTGCTCGTTGTTGCTCCACCACATCGGCCTTTTGTATTCACATTTGAGACCAAGATGTTTGCAGGCGCGGCAGGAAGACTTTCCTTCATCGCACTTCTTTCGTCGCAAGCGACATGTGAAGCACCCTGTAGAGCTCCCGTTAGCTGACTGTCCAAGCGCGGGATCCCTGCATAAAGACTCGAAGGGTAACTCTTACCTGTTCGTGAGCGGCGATGCATCTTTGCGGCGGCTTGCTTTGCTGCATTGGCAGCATTTGTTGTTCCCACCATAGTTGCAGACTGTTTGCCAACAGATGTGGGTGCGGAAGAGGAAGACATGGACAGTTCATGTACTAGGGCCCAGAGGTGTGGTATGTATATCGAAGCTAGTAAACAATGCGGCAAAAATGACTAACGCGCAACGGGACAATGCAAAAGGGACAGGATAGCAGGGTTCGACCGGGCTGTGTGTAATTAAAGACAGGTACTTGAAGTTCGACCGGCGGACTTCGAAGTGGAGAGAAGGAGCGCAACCAAATTATGTGATATTCCTTTCCTGGAGGGACAACCGACATAGTTATGTACCTTTAAAGTGCCACAAATGGTGCAATGATAGCAAAAACTACTCGATCTATTATTGGATTTTCTGCTATCAGACCGGGTGGTCAGGAGGAACCGTCCAACGGGAATGAATTGCCAACGCCATGCATGCAGTGGGTACTCGACGTCTATTGGTCAGGATATCTCAACCTGTAGGCAGATGTCGACATTTTGGGGTCTTTTCGATCCCGAGCTATTTTGGGGCTTACTTTACCCGCCGCGCTCCAGCCAGCTGCCGCACCGAGCGCGAGAGGGGTGCATGTCTGAACGGCTATCGATCGGTTAGGGGCCCCGCACACTGACTATAGCATGCTAATTTATCTTCTTTAGACCCTAGGCCAAATCAACCTTGTCATCGAGTAAACTTTGCGGGACGTACCCACGTCTTAGCTCGCATTCACCTCCAACCTCCTAAGATCAGAGTGCATGTCGCGAGGAGATACTTGCAGCGGCTGATAGATGGGCGGCCCGGACGTTGCTAGTTCTGTTCTGGAGATCGCTGGTGCATGTGAAGAGGTAAGATGTGGGCGTCCACGGCATTGGAGCATGAATTTGGTGCCTGCATCGGTGTTGGGTTCCAGGAATGCATATCGACTCGTGGCACCGAAATATGCGGCCATCTCTCGAATCTATTCGTTTGTGCAAAGTAAGACCACAACGTCGGGGCGTTGAACTGCGTCCTGCAGACCACGGCTATGGTCCAATTCCCTTTCGAGTTGTCGTAATCATTTCCACCGCGGATTTGCCCAACGAGCTAGTTACGCGAACGAAAAGAGAGGCCGCATGGCCGACCAAAGGCGGCAGGTCCATCGATGAGAGTTTCCGAGCTACGCGAAAGTCGATTATCGTGTGATGGGTCGGGCTAGTATGCAGAAGCGAAGAGACGACGTGGGTGCACGTTGAGTGGTCCACATGCATGTTGTTGGAAGTTGGATTTTGCAGAACAAGCTTTCCTTAGCGGCAGATAGCCATCCAATGGAAGGACGTGATGAGCTAGCTTACATGCGCACGAGTAGATTCGGCTGCGATTGCGTGCAGTGCTCCTAAGTATAGACCGCTAATTGACCATTTGAGTTCGAGGAGTTGCACATAATTAGTACGATTATGCCAGAGTTGCTCCGTAGAAAGAGTAACTCCCTTTTGGGCATGTTCTCCGCTCTAATTGACCATTGGTTACCGACAAACGTAGTCAATACTCTATAGTCCGCGAATGGCTGTAGATAGGTACCTCCTCGGAAGGATCGCTCACCTGAGAGCATGAATTTGTGTTTGCAGTGTTGAACTCGGTACAAGCTGCAGGCTACTTGCCGTTGAAGCTGTGAGTTGCAGAATGTCATACCTACCCCCATCGCATGACGGAAAGTAGCATCACGAAACGAACAGTTGCTGGACAGCTTTTGCCAACAGCACATTACCAAACCGCAATGATGACGATGGGCCGGCCAGTTCGGTGCTTGCCACTCGCGGAACCGATGCAGAACTGGACGACCCTCCGAAGTCTGCCTTTTCGACCGAACAGCACAGCACCACTCTGTCGGCGCCGTGTTCGCAAAAAACGCATCGTTCTGGGTAGCACGACAGACGACTCTCACCGTCTCTTGGGCCAGACTGTACAAGTGGACTCGGGTTAATGCTTATCCTGGTCGCGGTTTGGTAGTGTGGTAGTCGAAAGCCATGCCTGCGGTCTGATTCGCCCTCAACAATCACGCTTTGAGGGTCCATCGTGGTAAGTAGCGGAGCATATGGAGACCAAGAGGGTCATCTCAACGGGAAACCGCAGGAATACTCAGTCACGGGGAGTAAATGTGGCAGTCCTGTGCGACTTCGTTGGCCCTCAGCTCGACCTGGGTTGATGAGGCCTTCACGGTGAACTCTGCCATCTCTGCCATCTCTCGCGACCGCGGACAAGGGTCGACAGAGCATGTGGTCTGTTGTTGTGGCAAAATCGAGTAGAGTCATGGTCGACTCTGGGTGGCTTCTGAATTGAATCGACTTTGCAGCCCACGGGTGCCAACAGCCCAGGTCGCACGCGGGACGCGAGGTGGTGGATTCGACGAGGCGTGAGGTTGGGAGTGGGAAGGCGAAGTTAGAGAAGGTGACGACAACGGTCTCTGTGCACAACTACCCGTCTGTGGCGTGCATGGCTGGAAGTAGCCGTCCGCAGTGTGTGATGGGCCTGTTTCCAATATCGCGTGCTGCATTGTGGCTTGTGATCGCTTCGGCACATCCGAGGGAGTCTTGCTCTTGGCATACTTCCCAGCCTCTCTCTGGTCGGCCAAATAGCCTCACAGCCCGAGCCATCGCCGCTGGTCCTGAATTGAAGCCCAAGGAAGAGTCATCTGACAGTGGGGCTGACGACACCGCCAGTGCGATTTTGCGTCGTTGGACTCGGCATGTACGTACGTAAGTGTACGGCATCGGCAAGACGGATCTGCGCTGTGTAACTACTCGACAGCCACATGCACGATGATCGTCTGGCAAAGCGACCACGAATCTCAGGCTGACCGAGAAGATGTGGACATCTTGCCGTTCATTGTGGGCCATTCCGCGCGTGCCGAAGCGAGCGTGGCCAAGTGCAGACCCTGAAGACCTTGTATATCGGTAGCGTGCATGTGGCTTATGCTCCGCGATATTAATGGCAATTATCCCTCCCGATAGGGCATAATTAGCACTTGCTCCAATCTCAAGGGCAGCGAATGGGCGCCCGTTCATGCCCTCGCTCATCCTGCTGTACAAGCGCCGGCCTCACTTTGACCAGCATGCGGGCGGAAAGCTCCGGGTGCGGATTGGCGGAGAAGACGTGTCTCTGAGACTCGAGACCCCTCAGTGGACGAGCTATGCCTGTAGTGTGCTGCCTCTGCAGCAGACGTTGATAATATCACACCTCGAGGCTCCGCTATCAACGGCTGTCCACAACTTTCTACAAAAAGACTTACAAGCGCCCTCCACCCGAAGGGGTCCTTCTCCGTTTTTTGACAGTCGTGTTGCTACAGTGTACGTGCCATGCTCGAGACATTCGTTCGGAATCGTTGTTAGACCATCGTTGAACAACTGTATTCCTTGCCACTGAGCGTGTACATACCACAAACCGTGATCATGGTATGTCGGACATCACCCTGAATCAGTTGAGTAGTCGATGCTGACATTCTTCTAGCAGGCCATGACACCCTTCACAGCCCTTGAGCCGGGTATGGAGATGTTTGAGAAGGGGACACCACAATCATTCTATTCCTCTACTCTGGCACCCCGGTCGTCATTAGAACGTCCCGTCTCATATATCAGCGTTGCGTATACAGACATCGAAGACGAAGATGACTCAAGTGAATTCGAGGAGTACAGTGGCTCGTCTGTAAGTTTGAATTGCAACGTTTGACGTGCTTCACTGACGGCCAATAGAGCGACAACAGACGCAGTCAGACAACTATATCGACCTTTGAAGAGGTCCACACACCAGAGATCGAACAACGACCCCAATTTGCCGAATGGTATCTGCCAAAAGCAGTCGAAGGCCCCAAAGGGCCACATCTATTTCGTACCTCACAATCCTCCAACGACTTCGACTATGCCCTGCAAATGTCACCACTATTGCCAAGAGAGACTCCCCTCCGACTCCAGACCTCGTTCAGAGAGGCTACGCCCGCGACGGTAGTCCCAAAGAGTGAGTACAATAACATTGCCTCGGCAGTAGCCCATCTCGACAACGCTGAAGTCCGCGCTTGGAGCTCACGCGACGTGGCTACCTGGATGTACCAAAATGGATTCGAGAACGAAGTCATTGACAAGTTTGCTGTTCATGATATTACCGGTGCTGTGTTGCTCGATCTGCAGTTCGATGATCTGAAAGAGTTGGAAATTGAGTCCTTCGGGAAACGACATCAATTGTGGAACCAAATCGACTCCCTGCGTACACTAGATGGGTTGGTTTCTCCAATTGCACCGGCGCCCATACCAACCCCATTCGAGGATCTTGACCATCCATGCTCGGCGGCGGGAAATAGATCGAAAAGCAAGAACCGGGATCGTCGACGTCGTGACAAGCCACGGGGCGCTGGTGATTATGGCGATGACTTGATGACGCCAATCACTCCCGGAGGCGGTCGCCGACGGAGAGGCCGACGAAACAAGAACCCAGCAGACGACTTGATCACTCCTGCAGAGTCGGTTTCTATTGTGGCCATCGAGCAACTACTTCCAAAGCCACACACATGTGCAAAGGGGGAACGATGCGCCAAGTACAGGAAACAGCAACGTCAACTTGCCAGACTCCAAGAGGAGCATGGGTTTCCAATTTCTCCAGAAAAGGGTGGCCAGATCTTCATCGCAGGAGACCCAGGCAACGCCCGGACAGCATATCGGGCCGTCGAGAACGTCCATCGTCCAACTTCGGATGCAGAACAATCTGTCGTGGTGCCATCTGTGGTAGCATCGTCAGACTTGCTAGGACCCAGCCAACTACCCGACTTCAACCTCCAGGAAGGCATGCTCCAAAAGTTGGAGCACCGCGACCCTCAGGACAATGTGCGACACTTCCTTACCCTCCAGGGCGTCGATCAGCCGTATGCTAGTGCAACACCTATCGAAGCACCCCCGACACCTCCTAGGGAGATGTTCCCTAGTCGGCCACACTTGGTGATACCACAGCATCAGCACTACCCACAGGTTTCAGCTTTCTCTGCGTCGACTTCGGCACACACGACAAAGTCCTTCGACCCATTCAATGTTTCCACCCCTCTCCTGCATCCTCCGGAGTTCATGCCAGCCCCGCATTATAACCTCAAAAGTCTTCCCAAACTTACAATTCCAGTGGCACGCTCCATGTCTGCCCAGCCTTACGGCAACCCACGCAACGCCATTCCAGCGAACTCGTACGTTGCACCGGACACTACATTCTCGCCATGTAGGACAGCCTCGCCAGGTGGCATTTACCGATTTGGTACACCAATGTCCGAAATGGACGTACCCGTAACGGCCGTGCCATTACCCCCTGTGTCTCGTGACACAAGTCAGTCGGTGCCACCCAACATGCAATACAAGGTCCAACTCCAAAGGGCTGGATCCCGTCAAGAACGAAGACGTCCCTCCCTACCCTTGCCGGCGCTTAATGAAGGCCAGGTGTTCAGCCCATTGGGTCCTCAATCGGATGATGACACTCTTCATGGAACACAGTTTTCCGATGACAGTGCAAAGTCGTCACCTGTCCGAGTTGCCATGCCTGTAGTTGCCGAGATGGCAGAGGTCCCGTCTGTGCCACTCAAAGGTGGCTTCTCGTACAACGGCGTGAATCACCATGGCTGGATGAAGAAGCGCCGCACCCGACTTTTGCGTCACGAATGGGAGGACCACCACTTCCGTCTCCAGGGCACAACGCTAGCCATGCATCCCAATGAGCTGCCCACCTCGTCAGCACTGCACACAATCGATGTCGACGAGTATGCTGTGGCTTGCTCGTCCCTCGCTTCCAACAAGCTTTCCGCTAAGCTGCGTGCTTTGAAGCTCTCTTCGAGCCACCAGAAAGAGAAGGATAGTATGGCAGCATCTGCATTCGAGTTTCAGCTCGTTCCTGCCGCTCCCACTAAGAGTGATGTTAAGAGAGTCATGCCCAACGGCAAGATACACCACTTCGCTGTCAAAGGCCGCGATGAGCGCATCGACTGGATGCGCGAGCTTATGCTGGCTAAGGCTTTGAAGGCCAAGAACGATGGGTACGAAGTGAACGTCAACGGTGCCGACATGTGAAGCGGTGGCAAGAAAAGAACCAACGGGTACAGAGTGATCACTGGATGATCCTCGACCACCTCGTTGGTTCAACCTCCTTTGCCTTTGTGCAACCAGTCCGCAAGAGATTATTCTGCTCCTTTTTGTTTCCGCGTTTTTTCCTGCGTTTTGTTTCTGCGTTATGTTTTCACTGTCTTCTATTTCCTTGACAACGGCCGCGATTATACCCTTTCATACTTTCTTTACTTGGCATGTTATCCGCGTTCGATATCTCCTCTCCCCTAATTCTAGCACCTTGATATTACGACTGTTTTTCCATCATAAAGATCTGGACGCTGAGCGGGACCGCGAGGTTCAGGGAGTAACGCATGGGGCACACACAAATGTATGGGGCAATGAATGACTAGGATATTATCTACGGAAGAGGAGGAGCATTGGATGGGACCTTTCTGTTCTTTTACTATCGTTGAGCATCTTGGTGGCAAATATGACTTTATTCAAAAGCTGTCGTTACATCAGATTGGAAAACCAGATGGGTGGGGATGAGAGTTGAGAGGGCAATGCATACATGGGGTAGTCAGCTGTAACGAATTAAATGAACTATATGAATTAGAACCTTCTTCACTCCTGTTGTTTTTGCATGTGCCTTTTGTTCTCGCAACCCTCGCAGATGGGTAGGAGGTCCTGACCTGCCTTCAAGTCAAACTCGCACCTCTCGCTCACCCATCACTTCTCTAAATCTCTTCGCACTACAGCATGTGCCAGCACAACCTCCGACCCAACCAGCACACAGAGCACAAGCATGCGAATGACAGCGGCTACCCGCATGGCGGTGATATGGGAGCAGACACCAAAGCGGGTAGCAAGCATGTCAGCTGTCAAGACGAGAGTTTATCTAGAGCGCGGGAGCGAAGGAGCGAAGGATGTGAAGATTTTAATTAGAAGTGGGAGATCGGCGATGTGATGTGATGTGATGTGACAGGAACAAGGAAGGTCAGCATATGCATCGTGATATTTGACAAAAGCATGGTGAACTCGTTTGTGAGGCGGGAGGTGGGGCAATTTGTCAGTTAGTGTACTACAGGGGGGACTTATTGTATGCGAGCTGGCTAGTCAACTAGCTGGAGTGGAATCTGCGGATTCAGAGTAGGCCGCGCGGATATCAATCACAGAGCTGACGGGAGACGCGGGAACGTGAGCAGACAAATATCATTCGATGCGTAGGTAGATATGGGAGAAAAAAGACCAGGTACCCTCCCGTCGTCGGGGAAACATCCTTCACAAAGCCTGGATGTGTGCTGATGGTGGGAGAAACCGGCCAACTCTGTGCAGTTGCCAAACTATCGCTGGAACATGACTCCAATGGGGTCAGCATATTCAAGAGCATATGGGTGTAACAGGTACAAGTCCGTCGGTCCGAGATGTATATACAAGATCTTCGAGGCCGACGAACAAGGAGAAGTGAAAAGTCGAGTAAACAAGCCGTCCTTTTTTTGGTTCGCAATAGATGTCATATCGAGAGTAGTGGTTTAGTCGTCGTGAGCCTCAGGAGCTGCCTCGGGTTGAGCTGAAGCCCATGCTTCAGGGTATGCCTCAGCGAATGCCTTTGCATAGGCACTGGCGTCGCGCTTGCCGATTGGAGAACCATACGGTCTCCATGGGTGCCAGGTCCATCCACCGAAGCCTTGTTGGGCGTCTGCACTAGCTTCGGCGTCACGTTTTCCAATGGGAGAACCGTAGGGTCTCCATGGAGTCCATGTCCATCCACCAAACCCCTTCCCAGCCTCAGCCTCAGCCTCAGCGTTCGCGTCACGTTTTCCGATGGGAGAGCCAAAAGGCCTCCATGGCGTCCATGTCCATCCACCGAAGCCTTGTTGAGCATCAGCCTCAGCTTCAGCACTACGCTTGCCGATAGGAGAGCCATAAGGTCTCCATGGTCGCCAAGTCCACCCACCGAAACCTTTCCCAGCCTCAGCGCTGGCGGCGGCATCGCGTTTGCCAATTGGGGAGCCATATGGCCTCCATGGGTGCCAGGTCCAGCCGCCAAAGCCTTGTTGGGCGTCGGCACTAGCTGCGGCGTCACGTTTGCCAATAGGAGATCCGTAGGGCCTCCAAGGATGCCAGGTCCATCCGCCAAAGCCTTGCTGGGCATCTGCTGTAGCTTCAGCATCGCGCTTTCCGATCGGGGAGCCATATGGCCTCCATGGTCGCCAGGTCCAGCCACCAAAGCCCTTTCCGGCGTCGGGAGAGGCGTCGCGCTTGGAAAGGAAGGCGTCAAAGTCCTCCTCGTCGAAGTAAGCGGGATCGAATCCCTCAGGGAAGTATTCGGCGAAAGCGTCCTTGGGAAACTCGGGGATGGTGGGTTGGGCGTCAGTGACCTCGGTGGTCTCGGTGACTTCAGGGACAGCAACCGCGTCCTCGGGGACTGGGAGGGCAGCCGCAGAGACCGAGGTGGCTGCGAGGATGGTCGCCGCGAGGATGGCGTTGATTCTCATAGTGACGAATCAGATAGTATTGTAGAACGAATGGTGCAAGTTGGAGAATTGAAGATCGACTTTGGCCAAATGACTGTATGGATTGTGTTCGAGTTGCCGTCGATGGTGTCTGAGAAAGATGAAAAGATGTGTTGTATTTAAGTTCGGGATATACATGAGAGGTGTAAGGGCGAAATGAGGTTTTCGACCTCGGTGTTGTTCAATAGAGTCAATAACGATGTCGTTTGTCAATAGACTCCGAATAGGACAACCCATTTCATCCAATGGTATATCACTCATGAAAGTGAAGGACAGACGCTCAAAGGGATCTCTCGGAATGAAAATCTAGTATGATCCAGTAACGGCTCCCAAATTTGACGATAGATGCCGTCTACATTGCCAAGGTCGCTATACGCCGTTGTTCTAGAGAATTGAAGCTTCCGATGCAGTCAGCAGGACGCATAGCTTACAAAGGGTATGCAACTTCTTCCAGGAGTTGACAAGGGATTGCTGCTGTTTTCAAGAAGGGGGTGAAGTGAAAGCGTGGTTGTGTCGTTACTGTTTTTGGGTTTGAATAAAAGTGAATAGAAGAATAAGACTTGGCGCTGGCCGAACTTGAGTAATGCGTCCGCCACAGCCTTACCACTGGAAGAGTAGCTGAGGAGAGGGAGAGCGCCATATGCAAGGAGTATTTTGCGACTAGAACTGAGTGTTATGGCGAGTGAGGAGGCGGCTCGTGCGATGAGCATATAGTTTGATGGGCATGTTTGCACCCTGATAATCCGATAATACTGTAAGGTTAATGTTGTTGAGAGTCCAGCAGAGATATGAATGATTAACCCTGCAGTTTTCTCTACACTACCTTCTATCTCTTTCTTCTTGTGTAACCTTTTTGTATTAGATAGAAGGGTACAGAGAATCTGCAGTAATGTAAGGGCACTATAAACAGGTAATTAAGATATAGGACAAATAGGTATTTATTAAGAGATTAGACAAATCCTTAGAGTATAAGCCTTAGGGATTTATAAGTACTATATACTAAAGCTCTAAGGGCCTTACGCCCTTAGCCTAGAGGTTTACTAAAAGTAGGCTAATAGGAGCTTAGATAGAAATACCTATAATAAAGCCTTTCCTCTTCTTATAGTTTATCTTAAACTACTAGAATTTTTAAAGTAAATAAATAGGTATTTAATTTATATAGTTACCTTAATTAAACTTTATAAAAACCTTCTATAAAAGGAAAATAGTTTAGAAGAAATTTAGTACTAAATTATTTAAGTTTTCTCTAGGCTAGTCTTTAGATCTAGCCTAAGGGCCTACTATACTAGGCCTATATTCTTATTACTAAGTTTTTATAACTTTAGTAAGTATAGCCTAGTTTATTATAAGTAACTACTAGGTCTCTATAGAGAGTTCTGTTTACTATTATTCCTAGATTATAATTCTTAGAAGTATAGTTATACTTATTATATATTATTATTAGTAACTTTATGTTTATAAGTTTTTACCTTATTAGGTACCTATTAACTATATAGATAGTTTATTAGGCTCTATTACTTCTTTAGCTCTATTCTAAAGGCTTTATAATATATAATTATATAAAGTAAAAGCTTAATATAGAGTTTACTTATAATAATTTATTATTTACTTACTTTCTTATTATAGTTAGTATTTATACTAACTTATATAATTATTTATAGGCTAGTATTATCTTTATAAAGTATATTACTAGTAGCCTTCTTAAAGGTTTATTCTATATAGGCAGCGCTTACTTTAATATTAGTACCTATTATACTCTTTATAAGGTTTATAACTATAGTTTCTTTATAGAGGTCTATTAGCTCTCTATAAGTAGTTTACTAGAAGTAGTTCTAGTATCTTAAGTAGTATTTATTATTTATTTATATTATAATAACTTTTTATAGTTATTAGTATACGTAAAGTAAGGTAAAGTAGTATAGTATTATAGTAGTTCTAAAGGGCCTATATATATATACTAAATAGGTATAAAATACCTATATATTACTTTATAACTCTAATATTACTATAATAACTTTCTTTTTATTAACTTACTATACTTCTACTTTTCTATATTAGTAATATATTTCTACTTAAGTAAATCTATTAGCTCTTTACTAGTATAGCTCCTTAGCTTACTCTTACTTACTTCTAGTATATAGGCTATATTAACTTTCTTACTACTACCTCTTAAAAGTACCTTTCTAATAGTACTATTATATTATTTTTTAAGCTATAGTAGAGTAATAAGCTATACTATAAATATAAGGCTAGTTAAAGTATCTATAGTAGTTATTTTAATACTAAGACTAAAGGTTATACTAAAGTAAGTTTTCTATTCTATTTTATCTATACCTTATCTATTACTAACTCTAATAAATCCTGCCTAAGTTCTATTATACTATTAATATTCTTAACTACTACCTTAAGTATACCTTATATAAAACTTAGAAGTTTACTAGCTTTATATTTACTACTAACTCTAATATACTCTTTATAAATAATTAGGTATAGGCTAACTAAGTAAATACTTATACTTATACTAAAGCTTATTATAAAAGTTTCCTTAAGTATAATTATACTAAGTACTATACTATTACTAATAGTAGTTTTTCTACTATAGCTTTTAGTTAGGCTTATTAAGTTTCTACTTAGTATAACTTAAAGTAATATAAGGTTAGTCTACTATTATTCTAGTATCTTTCTATTATTAATTTATTCTAGTTAAGTCTTAGTACTACTAGCCTATATTATCTTAATAATATTATTATTTACGCTCCTATAAAGGCTTACTTTCTATATAATAGTACTTCTAAGAATATTAACTAGCGCTTCTATTACTATAGTACTAATATTTCTAATACTAAGAAGAAAAAGATTCTATTCTTACTATTACTTTAAAAGTATTTTTATTTAGTAGCTTTCTATACTTCTAGTTAGAAGGTAGCTAGTAGTATTTCTAGAAAAGCTTTTACTACTAGCTCCTTTAGTTCTTTAATAGCTAAGTATAACTCTAGTAGTATTAGTTCTAACTTTATAGTATTTTAATAGGTAACTATAAAGGTTTTCTTAGTAGATATATATTTTAGTTTCTTTAGATAGTATAAGAAATAATAATTATAATTTTCTATTTTTACTAAGGCCTATATTATTTTATACTAGTTTATAATTTTAGTTTTAGAAGTAATTACTATACTATAGCTCTAGCTTTCTTTTTCTTCTTTCTTTTAAATATTCTTTCTAGGATATTTTTATTTTTACTTTAGTAAATTATTAACTTCTAGATCTAGTAAGGCTTTTACCTTCTACTTATATTTCTTAGGTAGCTTATAGGTACCTTAAAATATATCTTATAGGTTTACTAGATAGTCTTAGAGAATCTTATTATAGTAATTAAGATTCTTAAGTAGTTCTTAGGTAGTATTCTTATTAGACTAACCTAGCTACTTTACTTTATACTTTTACTTTTAGGTAGTAGTATTATAGTATTCTATAATTCCTTTAACTTTATACTTATCTTTAGGTAGAGTATTCTTTAGAAGTTATATAAGCCCTAGCTAGAAGCTCTTCTTAGTAAGGAGTTTCTGCTATAGTTTAAGTAATAATATATTAAATACTAGATATATATACTTTATAAAAAGTAGTAGTACTAGTTTATAAGCTAATTTCCTAATATACTTTATAATTATAAAAGGCCTAAAGTATTTAGTATTAAATTTCTTTAAAGGCTGCCTAGTAGTAATATTTTTTACTTAGAGAAGTACTTACTTACCTTTAGTATAGTATTTCTTAAAGTACTTAGTATTATACTATTTTATTATACTTTTCTAAGTATACTTAAGGCTTTACTTTACCTTTTTCTATATTTCTTATTATTAAGTAAGTTTTCTAGTAACTTACTAGTAAAGCTTTAGTACCTTTATATTCTTATTTTAGACTTTAAAAGGTTACTTTAACTAGTACTTATCTAAGATTTTATTAAAGCCTTTTAGGTTTAACTTAAATACTACTTTAATAGAGTATTCTTTATATATAGAGTATACTTTAGAGTTATATATATATTTAGTATATAGTAATAATAGAACCTAGTTATTCTACTTATAGTTTATATAGATATATAGGTATATTTTAAGCTTCTAGTTTAGCCTTTTAGTCTAACTATTAGTCTAAGAGTAAAATACTATACTTAGGTAATAGTTAATTTTAAAGTAGTAGTATATATCTAACTAGAATTAACTAGTAAATACTAAGCTATAATTTAATAGTAAAGTATTTAGAAGTTCTTATTTTAAGAATACTTATTTAAGAAGTAGTTTAGCTACTTTTTAGAATAAGATTATTTTAGTTATAGAAAAGTAGTAAATATACTTACTAAACCTATCTACTAATACTAGAATTAAATTATATATATTTCCTAGGTTATCTTTTAACTTAGGTAAGTTAGTAATAAAGTTTAAGAAGTAATATTACTATACTATATTAGGTATAAAGAAAGGTACTAGTATCTTCTATAGCTTATACTATTAAATCTTATTTAACTAGTAAGTAGTATACCTTTTAATATATTTATAAATATCTAGTTTAAGGTATAGCTAGTAATACTTTCTTATAAGAAGATCTTTAGTCTTCTTAACTCTATAATAACTTTTTATAGAATTATTATAGTTTCTTATAAGTATATTTTAGTATAGAGTAATATTATTAAGAATCTATACTTTTCTACTTCTATATAGAATACTACTAGAGTTAACTTTCTATAAAGTAGTACTTTTAATTACTTTACTATCTCTCTATATTACTAGCGCTTTATTTATAAGATAGGCCTTATCCTATTCTTAAACCTATCTAATAAAATTAGAAAGCTATTTTAGAATTTCTAGTATATAAGCGTTTTTCTCTTATACAGCTTTATTTATAAGGTATATAGAGGCTAGGACCTAATTATTAAGCTTATAGTTTAATACTATAGCTATATTAAAGTTCTACCTTTAAGCTTTAAATAATTTAGATTAACTCTAACTATTATAGCTTATAGAAAAGCTGTTAAGAGCTAAGAGTAGTATACTACTAGTAGCTAAACTACTATTAGAAAATTTCTATTTAGAAACTATTTTAGAAAGTTAATAAAGCTATACTAGCCTACTCTTAAGGTAGTTTTCTACTAAAATTACCTAATTAATTAGTTAAGCTTTAAACTTTTAAAGAGTCTATATTTAAAGCTTCTATTAAAGTATAAGTAATATTATATTATAAAGTACCTATTATTCTCTAACTATAAGGCCCTATATATAGTTAGAGTATCTTAAGGAACTATTAGCTAGGTTCTCTAGTCCTAGCTTATATTTAACTTTAAAGTTAAATTAAGCTAGCTCTTCTACCTAATATACTTATTTAAGAGAGAGTTCCTTTATAGTTATAAAGTACTAAAAGTTATTATAATTAGAAAAAACTTAGATTATTAATAGAGCGTATTTAAGGTAGTATTTCTACTACTTAAATAATTCTATAATTATAGAAAGCTTCTTATTATATATATACTATTAAATTAATAGGCTAGTAAACTTATAGCTCTAGAATACTACTAGCTTTTAATAAAGGTTAGTTACTAGCTTAAATATTTAGGGCTAAAGTAAGATTACTACTATAGTAAAGTCTAATATATTAGTTAAGACTATTACTAGCTTTACTAAATTAAAGTACTAGAGTATAAGAGCTTCTATAAACTTTAATTAGATAAAGAAAAAGGCCTTATAAACCTTATTAGGCTAACTTTATAGTTAATACTATTTTATAAGACCCTTTTAAGTCTTCTTTAGGTTTTTCTTTTTCTTTTTATCTACACTAGCTCCTATAGGAGCTAGTACTAAAGACTAGGTAGTTATTATATAGTCTACTAGTAGGTATATAATACTAGAGTAGTTATAGATAAATCTTTTATAGAAGTTTATAAAACCTAAGAATACTTAGATATTCTTATATCTCTTAGGTTTTAGCTACTCTCTAATAGTTTATACTCTTACTAGGTCTATAACTATACTACTAAAGGTAATAATAAAGCCTAAGAACTTTATAGATTTTATTAAAAAGATATATTTACTTACTTTATAGTATAAGCTCTACTTAATAAGCCTATTAAGAATCTTCTTAATATAGGTATTATAATCTTCTTTATTCTTAGAGTAGATTAAGATATTATTTAGATATACTATATAGGTATAATCTACTAGGCTACCTAAGGCTTTATAAATATAGAATTAGAATATTACTAGCGTATTTACTAATCTAAAAAGTATAACTAGGTACTTAAAATAGCTATACCTTATTTTAAAGGCTATTTTTTACTTATTACCTTTTCTAATCTATAGCCTATAATAAGCTTTATAGAGGTTAAGCTTAAAAAAAATAGCTACCTTTAATAATTAATTTAATATCTTACTTATAAGTAAGATAAAGTATTAATTCTTAATTATAACTTTATTTAGTTTATAATAGTCTATATAAAGTCTTATTATCTTATTAGCTTTTAGTATAAAGAGGATTAGAGTACCTATAAGTAATTTACTAAAATAGATCTATCTCTTCTTCTAAGCTATATTAAAGTAGTTCTATAGGATTTCTAGCTTATAGCTAAAGAAGTTATAAATAAAGAGATTTAGAACCTTAGTCTTTAGCTTTAAGTTAATAAAGTAGTTATACTCTTTATTAAGTTAAAGTATATCTACTTAATACTTACTAAATATAAGCTACTTATAGTATAGCTTCTTTAGTATAAATTTTAATTTATTTAGATTAAGTATATTATCTTTAACTACTAGATATAAAGTATTTATCTTAATATTATTAGTTAGGATATAAGCTATGCCTAAAGGTAGTTTAGCCTAATTAGAGTTCTTATTATATATACTAGTAACTATTTAATAGGCTATTATTTCTAGTAGCTAGGCTAAGTCTAGATAGTTTTATATATAGTAGTAAAGATAATTAATAATTTCTAAGAACTTATTCTTTAACTAAAGAATCTTCTTTTAGTAATAGTACTCTATATCTTAAACTATATCTTTTTCTAGTTATACTCTACTTATAGGTATAGGTATTCTAAGGTTTTTTTATAAGAGTTCCTTATATAGAGCTTTTTAGCTACTAGATAGAAGCTTATATACTAGATTACTAGAGTAAAGAATATATACTCTTTTCTCTAGACTTATATTATCTAGTAGTTATTTTATAAAAAGTAACTAAATTTTATTAGTATTATCTACCTACTATTTAAACTTACCTATTAAGAAGTAGATCTTTAGATCTGCCTTTTATAGCTAAGAGTACTCTAGTATAAAGTTATAACCTATAAAGTTTACTACTTAGAATATCTAAGGGCTTACTTCTTTAGTAGTTCTTCTTATATTACTATATAAAAGTATAAGTTTATATAGTTTAAGAATATTTAAATAGTTACTATTAATAAAGCTTACTACTAGCTTTTAATAAAATAGATTATAGAGGAGATTTCTCTTTTTAACTATATATTAGTTAATAATATTAATCTCTACGCCTAAGTTATATAGCGTATAGAGGAGTATTATAGACCTATTAAACTTTTACAGAATTATAGTAACTTTAATATAAGTTTATTTTCTTTTTAACTCTAGCCCTAGCTATAATTAGAAAAGATTTATAATTAGGGCTTCTCTTTTTCTAGGCCTTAGCTTTTTAAGTCTTAGAGTTAGTTAGTATTAGTTTTTTAATTTAGTTTCTACTAACTTTTCTTCTTATTATCTTAATTATTACTAGTATTTACTACTTATCTACTACTCTAGTTCTAGACCTAAAGTAGAGTACTAGTAGATTAGTTCTAGTACTATCTTAAAGGTTTAAAGTTATATCTTTTCTTATAGCTACTTTAAGTTAAAGAAGTAGCTATTTATTTAAGCTTTATAAAGTTTAATAGTTTTAACTTTATCTTTATACCTATAGTAGTCTCTATATTATAAAGAGCTTACTTAAACTTTAACTATTTAGTAATAGTCTCTAATACTTTATTATACTAAATCTCTTATTAGTAAGCCTTAAAAGCTTTTACTTATACTAAGAAGATTTTTAACTTATTATTTATACTACTATCTATAAGCTTAAAGAAGCTTTAATAAAGTAGAAATTTCTTATAGTTTAGGTATAGTAAGAATATATTAACTAAGTTATTAGTATATTATTTAAAGTTTTAAAACTTTAAGTAGTTTTTATACTATATAAAAACTAGGTCTTATACTAGCTTCTACTTCTTTATATATATATTAGCCTAGGTATAGATTACTTTCTTATTAATCTTTTATTAGATTAATTCTTAGTATACTCTATATTAGATAGTACTTATTATTTAGTAAGTTCTAGTTATAGAGTCCTTTAGTACCTAGGTATATTTAAATACTATATCTATATTCTTAACCTACTAATCTACTTATTAGAAGGTAGAGACGTAGAATTTTATACTTAATTTAGGCTTAAAGTTTACTATATTAAGTACCTTAATTAGCTTTTCTACTATATTAGATACTAACTAGAAAAGCTCTACTAAAGTAGTAGAGTATTCTAGGCCTAAGTACTATAAAGTAACTTAGAGGTATTTTTTTAGAATTATAATATATTTTAAGCTAGTACTTTAAAGTTATTCTTTTAGAAGCTTATTTAAAATTAATTAAATATACTACTTACTACTTAGTAGGGCTACTTATATATAAACTCTTAAAGGTAATTCCTAAGAAAGTTATAAAATACTAAACTAGTAGATTACTTTTAGAACTTTATTAATACTACTTTCTAACTATATTTTAGAAAAAAGTATATAGCTTATTTCTTTAATTAAAAGTTATTTTAAAAAGCTTTTATATATTTCTTTAAGTAGCTAGTTCTTTATTAGGAAGTAAGTTACTTTTTACTTAAAAGTTTCTTTTTCTTTATTTAAGCTCTTTATATCTTTAATATAAGTAGCTAGGCTTTACTTTAGAGCTAGGTTACTTTTAGTCTTAGATAAGAATACTATTAAGCTTTTCTTAAGTATAATATTTTATCTTCTTTAACAAGGTATTATTTTTTTATTAAAGAAAATAGCTTTTATTTATTTTAAATTAACTACTTTTTCTAAAGAAGAGTATAAAGGATTTAAATTATAAGGGCACTATAAATAGGTAATTAAGATATAGGATAAATAGGTATTTATTAAGAGATTAGATAAATCCTTAAGGTATAAGCCTTAGAGATTTATAAGTACTATATACTAGAGCTCTAAGGGCCTTGCGCCCTTAGCCCAGAGGTCCACCAAAGGTGGGCCGACAGGAGCTCAGATGGAAATACCCGTGACAAGTGACTCGCCATTGAGCAACACAACTCGACCAGTTCGAATCGAGGTATTAGTGCAAGATGTATGCGAAACTGAACGGTCAGATACTTGACGTTGGCCGCTCTTTATTACCGTTCACGCACATGTAGCGTGCTACTCAAAGAGCAAAGCAACAGTGATGACAACGGTATTTTCGCATCCTAAGGTTGAGAAAGCGTAGATGAGGGCGTCAGTACTACCGTGCTCATGTTTATGAGGGTACATGGTCTGATTGAGGATGTTGGAAGAGCCGCAGTGATGTGGTGAAGTTGGAGCCTGACTCAGCAATCCCACCCCACGTCATCACGCCAAAAGTTCAGAGGTGAAGCTCACGCGTCGCGACGTGCTGCCATTGCAGAACGATGCGCGCCCGAATAGTCAATTATCCGCCTCTCACACTTCGCAGGGTACTTTCGAGTTTCCCGAGAAGTTCGCCATGGCTCTCCGCATCATGTCAATCTCGTAGCAACCGAATTCGGTACATTTCAACCACGCCGCCGGCCGTGAAGCCTTACTACATTACCACGCCCATCTTCTATGTCAATGCTGCCCCTCATGTCGGACATCTGTATACTATGGTCCTCACGGATATCATCAAGAGGTGGCAAGTGCTGAAGGGGAACACGGCGTTGATGTGTACGGGCACGGACGAGCATGGGATGAAGGTGCAGAGGGCAGCTGCCAAAGCTGGCGTGGAGCCTAAGCTATTCTGTAACAAGGGCGCTGAGATTTTCAAAGTATGTATGCACGTGTTGTACTTTCTTCAATGTCCAAGACGCTTACGACTTGAAGGAACTCGCGAAAAAGGGAGACATCTCTTACGACCACTTTGTGCGCACGACGGATAGTGACCACAAGGAAGCCGTCGAATATGCATGGGTATGAGTCTATGGAAGCGCTGCCCGCCACAATCCGCGGCTGATGGTCGACAGTACTTGCTGCAAGAGAAGGGCTACATCTACACGGCCAAGCATGAGGGCTGGTACTCGGTCACCGACGAGGCCTTCTACCCGCAGTCGGCTGTGCGACCGTACCTCGATCCACCAACAGGGAGGAAGATTATGGTATGAGCCCACTCATTGTCAGACAACAGAACGCTGGGCTGACCAACCCGCAGACGTCCATCGAGACCGGCAGCGAGGTAGAATGGTCCTCGGAAAAGAACTACCACTTCCGTCTCTCCGCCTTCCGCGACCAACTCCTCGCTTTCTACGCCGAAAACCCGACGTGGATTGTGCCCGAGCACCGCATGAAAGAAGTCATCGCCTCTGTTGAATCCGGGCTCGACGACCTCTCCGTTTCCCGCCCATACGACCGTCTAACATGGGGAATCCGGGTCCCCGACGACGACACGCAAACAATCTACGTCTGGCTCGACGCACTCCTAAACTACGCCACAAAAGCCGGCTACCCCTTCACACCAGGTCGTGAGAACGACGGCGGCTGGCCCGCAGACTGCCACGTAATCGGCAAAGACATCGTGCGCTTCCACTGCATCTACTGGCCAGCCTTCCTCATGGCGCTCGACCTGCCCCTCCCCAAGCAGATCCTCACGCACGCGCACTGGACGCTCGGCGGCGCAAAGATGAGCAAATCCACCGGCCGCGTCGTCGAGCCCTTCCACGCCCTCGACCGCTTCGGCCCAGACACAATGCGCTTCTACCTCGCCCACGACGGCGGCATCCAAGACGACGCCAGCTACAGCAACACCCGCATCATCTCCCTCTACAACTCCTTCCTCAACCAGCAGCTCGGCAACCTCGCCTCGCGCGTCACGCGCGGCAAGAAATGGAGCGTCCGCGGCGCTATAACGCGTATCTCGCCCCTCCCCACTTCGCAGTGGGACGACGGGCCCGGCTCAAAGTTCTGGACTAACTCCCTCTGCACTATCACAGATAAGGTAGATGCCGCTTTTGCTGAAAACGACCCCCGCAAGGCCCTCCTCCTCATTGCGAACTTCGTCCGCGGCGCAAACTCCTTCTTCCAGATGTCCGAGCCGTGGAGTAAGGTCCTGCCTTTTGCTGAGGGCGAGCCCGGCGAGGACGTCGATAAGATCGTGTACTTGGCTGCTGAGGCGCTAAGGTTGACGGGCATCTTGCTGCTGCCGTATATGCCGAATAAGGCGGATACTATGCTGGATCAGCTGGGCGTGGCGCCCGATAGGCGGACGCTGGAGTGGTGTAGGCCCGGTGCTGATGTTGAGTATGGAGTGCCGATGGTGGAGTTGGGGGTTGCGTTCAAGGGCGTGTTGTTCCCGCCGCTGTCGAGCGAGGAGTAGACAACTGGGGGAAACGCTGGTGTAGGAATGTAAAAAAGTGTACGATGTTGTTCGTCGAAAAGAGAGTGTAGATTAGAATTCACCCTCCATCAGATGAAAAAAGTTCAATGGGCATATGAGCGTGACGGCTGTTCAAACAAAAGAATGGAATTACGACTATACTAAAACGCCTACAAAAACGGCAAGCGAAACTACCAATCGATGCTGCAAAACTTTCCACACAAACGACACAATACCAAACCATTCCTCCCCTACATCATAATCTGGCCCTCAAAATACGGCCTAAACCTCGGCTCATCCTGCAGTCCGCAGTACTGCACACACTCATAGCAACTCATAAGCAGCAGCGGAAACTTGGTAGTCCAATACCTCAAATAGCCATGCGGCAACGGACCAACCTTAGCCTTAACACCCTCCTCCATATCCTCGTAGTGATTTTTCTTATTGCGCAGTGCGCGGAGAAGATCCAACAAGCGATCGCCTGTATACTTGCGCTGTTTGCCGAGGGAAGCGATGAAGCCATGGTCGAGTTTAGCGAGGAAGTTGCGTTTGTGGTCGAGGACATGGTCGCTGTAGTATTCGAGGTTGAGGAGGTGGTCTGAGGGGGGGTCGCGGATCTCGCGCTCCCAGTGGTCTGAACAGTCGCAGAGGAAGTTGAGGCGCTTTTCGGCGGACCAGAAGAAGGGGTGGTTCATGACTTGGAGGGCTGTGGGGCGGTCTTCGGGGCGGGTTTTTAGCATCCATTCGATGAGGCGGTAGGGTTCTTCTGAGTCGTCGCCTAGGCGGAGTTGCTTGAGGTTGGCTTTTTCTTTCTTGATGTTGTACTCGCGGATCTGCATCCAGCCTTCGTCGTCGTCGAAGGGGTGGCCGCCGTTGGTGAGAACGTAGAAGAAGACGCAGCCGAGGGAGAATATGTCGACGGCGCGCTTGACGCCTTGGGCAACAGGATCACTGGAGCTTGAAGAGTCGCGGGAGGCACCTGTGGAACTGCCACCCATGATCTCCTTCGGCTGCGTGATCAGCTCCGGTGCTTTCCAGCCAACAGTGCCGGCATTACCAGTAGTGCCGATGAGTGTGCTGACGTTGTCAGGAAGTGTCTTACACAGCCCGAAGTCGGAAATGACTAGACGAGGGCCCTTTGTCTGGTTCCTCGCTGGATACGCAATGAGAATGTTCTGTGGCTTGATATCGCGATGGATGATCCTCAAACTGTGAAGGTGGTTGAGACCGTTGGCCAACTGATACAACGCACGGTCAACGTCACGATTGATCTCGTTGACTAGACGTTGTTGCGATTCAGTGAGCTCGTCACCGGGCCGGCCATCCTTGTAAAGATCGAAGAGACTGGACTGGCAGAGTTCGACTGCAATATACAGGAAGTTCTCATCTTTCTCGTCATCGAAGTAACGGATGACGTTGGGATGTAGGTCGCTTTCCTGAAGGAGTTTGACCTCTTGCTCAGCGAGTCCGAAATACTGTGGCAACATGCGTTTGACAGCAACCTCGCGTTCCTTGAAAATCATTAGAGTGGTTCTACAAAACTCCTATCAGAATGACTTACATTCCACTTTCCTTCGAACACGAATGTCCCACCACTTCCGTTACCGAGAAGGCGATCTTGATCTATGGTCAACTTGCCAATCCGCTTGATATTGGACACGTCTTGCATATCATCGCCATTCATAGTGACTTCATCCGGTTGCAGACGTGGCGAAGGATCGAGTTTCTTAGCAGCGTCTACGATGCGACCAACCTCGTCGTCATCCTTCTGCTGGTTTCTGTTCAGCTTCCGTCCACCACGTTTCCCTCTGTGTGTCTTCTTCTTCTTTGTCGGGGTTGCGGGTGCGGTGGTCGGGTCCTGGGGGGCCTCATCTGCGCCGTTCATGATGGGTGATTCCTCTTCATTGCCCGCTTCTTCCTCAGTTGGGGAGGGTTGGTCGATAGTGGTGGTTCTTGAGAGGGACAAGTCCTCTTCTTCATCTTCAGGGATGTTGAACGTCACCTTCTTCTCCTTTGCCTCCTGAGTGATCGGCACTTCTAGTTTAGAATCCTCTACCAGCGCCTCTGGAACAACATCCTCTACAACAGGTAGTTCAGCCACCTGCTTCTCAATGAAATTGGGTTGTTGAGAAACGGTAGGCACTGGAGAGAACACTTCCTCGGTCTTGCTAGGTTTGAAGATGTTGGACAAGTAGTGCTTCGCGTGATCGAGCCTTTTGGGGCGCTTGTACGAGGCAACAGAAGTCGCGACAACGACACAGGCCAGGAAGAACACCGCCCAGTATGAGGATACTTTCGACTCCATCATTGCCGAAGGCGGAGCATCGATTGTAGCTCGCTCCATCGGCGATGTCTTTGGAGGATTAGAGACGACCTGGCCATCTTCGGTCTGATAATAGGTCGGGGCTGCAATTGATCTGTATCGTAGTTGGGTCTCCACTCTGTGATCTAGGACATGCACGCCGACAAGGCTCTGCTCATCCGTTACGAAGTGCGGACCGTCCCAGCCCAGTAGGTCATCCTGGTTGTAGCACAGGGCTGTCGGGGCGCCGTCGGTCACTGCGGGGTAGTTTACCTCTGACAACGCATACCAGGCTCCGGCATCAGTTGTGTTGAGAAGGACGTGAGCTGCTTTGTCTTCCGAGAATGCTGGCCCCGGAGGCTGGGGTAGAAGAATGAGGGAGTCACGGTTTTCATTCTCATTCTCATTACTAGACTTGGAAGGTCGAGCAACGTCGAACACTCGCGCTACAGGGTACGACAAGGGCTGTCTGAAGAGAGGACGCTGGTGCCATCTGGGTCTTTTGTGGTCGTATGCAATGACTTCGCCGTTGTACCTGCTGTAGATGTATTGCTTGTCCATTGTCTCTTGGTACTGCAGCTGCAGGTCGCGATCTCGATTGTTGGGGGCCCACTCAGCGTACTTGATGGTGCAGATGTGCTCGTTCGTCATCTTGTTGTGGATGCTGATGGTATACTGGGTCTGTCCAAGATTGATGTCTCCCAAAGATTCACGCTGTCGAGTGTTGAAGTAGTTCCTGACTGGCGGTGCACAACTCTCATCGAGGAAGTCGGTCCCACCTGCACTGAAGCTTTTCTTGACAATACCAGAAGCTGCCTCGACTACCAGCATGAACGTCTTCTTCTCCACGCTGTAAACAACGGGAAAATTCGGGTCTTCGCTGGAGTAGGGTGCGAGCTCGGTCAGCTGCTTGATGGTGAGGCCCAGGTTGTGCAGGACAGGATAGGGCCCTGGAGTGAGGACGTAAAGGGCTCCGTCCTCTGTGGGCTCGACGATCCAGACAAAGGACTGGTCGTGCAGGTCGGCACTGCCCTCGGAGGTGTTGTAGAACGTCTCCAACATGGGCTTTCCGGGCAGCTCCCACAGCTCCTCCCCGTTGTATCGGTCTCGTGCGTGTATGCGGCCATCGACGGTCGCCAAGAGAACAAAGTCCTCAACTTCCCAGTCCTGCAACGAGCGCACACCCTGCATGAGAGCGTCGGCTGCATTGCTTGGAGGAGGGGCTCTGACAGCCGCGATGGCTGGAGCAGAGGTGACTTTTGTTGCTACGGCGCGCTCATTCTGGGCTAGTAGTGGTGTGTATGGTCGCCGTCCGTCGGCGTGTGCATCTGCCCGGTTGGGCCTTGCATGGTTCGGGGGCACGACCGGTGCGTGTGCGTGTGCGCGGGCATTGCGGCCAAGCGGTTGCTGCTGCTGAGCGGCCGCGAGTATCGAGGGTAGGAAGAACAGGGCCAGGAGGAGCGCCGGGCCAGGTCCGGGTGGCCGGCGACGCGGCATGGCGAGGCTGCTTCGTCTACGAGGTGGGGGGTGATGCCTGGGCGAGGCTGGGGCGACGGAGGAGATGGAGCATCAGAGAGTCGATGGAGATGGAGAGGGTCGAGCAGACGACGCTCACGACGCAGCAGCTGATTTTGGGCGTCGATATTAGCTGCGGCGGGGGTCGCTTCGACAGCCGTCGCCAGGGTCTGGATTGGCCGCAATGTGAATCGCCCGTCGATTTCCCTTGTTTTAGGTCCTTGGCCCTGTCATCGGCGTGGGCCGTTTCAGGTACACGGCACAGAGCACGTCGTTATGGTGACGAAATAGCAGAGAGCGTTGCGTCGTGTTGTTGGCAGATGGACGACGTGAAACATCGGATCTTAAAACAAGAATGATTGAACATTATCTAGTAAAGCTGCTGTGGCACGAGACGGTTCTCCAAAACAAAAAGGAAGCACATACTACCCACACAAACTCTAAGCCTCCGAACTCTCCGGCCCCTCGAAGCAGCAAGTCATGCGACCAGTATTTAGGCTTTCCTTGTCTCTACCCAAGCACTTGGTCACCATACATCCTCACCACTCACGTTGCTGTGGCAGTCGGATATAGTCATTGTTGTTGCCTGCCTACATACGTAACAGCCATTTTGCCAAGTACTCTACTCGACAGCAGCATTCACGGCACAGTCAAAAAGTAATTGCATCTGCTCATCAGCATCCACATCATCATTCGCCTTGCACAGGATGGAAAGGCGCTCCACTGTAACAATGCTCAATCGCCAAACCTTCCAAATGCGTCAATGCGTCACGGAGGCTTCCCCGTCCAACACGAGAGAAACCCCCCATATACGGATACGACGCGGACCACTAAAACGTGAGAGACGATCGTTGTCCCAGTTGCTGGGCTAGAATGAGGGCTGAAACACGGAGTGGTGGAGCGAAGAAGAAAACTGTCGAGTAACTTCATCCAACAAATGACGAAGACATCACTAGAGACAGAGACCATAGTTCTTCTTGACTGCATGGATTTCTTTTCGTAGAACACACTCTAGTTGGTGCCGAATTCGTTACAACCTCATGCTCGTACTAGGATCTAAGCCGATTCGCCCGCCAGACACATCAATTCATCAAAGCCTACATGCGCTCCCTCCGCCTAGGAGCTGATCGAATAATGTTGTCTACGCGAAGCAGTAGCTGCAAGGAAGGTTAGCTCATATTCAAACTAACGCAACAATGGGTAAATCTTACCTCGGCGGCCTCGGAAGCCGACGAAACCACTGCGCGCTTCAGCTTGTAGCTCTCGATAACGCCCAGCTCCCTCATATCCGCAATTCCACCACCAGGGGACAGAAGATCCAATCCAGAGCTGGTCAGCCCGGAGTATACGGCCTTTCGGAGTCGGCTGACCAGATCGCTGGAATCGAAACCGGCATTGTCGGCCAGAATGGTGGGTAGTTGTTGGAGCGCCTTGGAGAAGGACTCGACGGCAATGGCCTTCTTGCCCTCCACATTTTGTGCAGCCTCTGCAACGGCCTTGGCCATGTTCATCTCTGCGCATCCACCACCAAGTGTTGTCCTGGGCTCCTTGACAGTTTGTGAAAGAACAGCGAGGGCATCGTGTAGCGATCGCTCAGCCTCGTCGAGAAGCTGCTCAGTTGCACCGCGAAGCACAATGGTGCAGGCTTTGCCAGCGTGGACACCCGAAAACCTAATCAGCGAGTCCTCCCCAATGATGACCTCCTCGATCAGATCGCAGTACCCAAGCTTGACGTTTTCGGGGTGGTCGAATGTCGAAGTGATTTCTCCTCCTGTGACGAGTGCCAAACGCTCAATACCATCGAAGTCTGCGTGCTCGATGGAGCAGATGCCAGCATCCGCGAAGAGCTGTTCCGGCCAGTTGTAGATCAGCTGTCGGTTGACGAAGCAGTTGATTCCATGTGCCTTGATGCGCTCGACCTTGGCCTTCATCTTCTCCCGCTCTGCCTTTTCGAGTTCGGCAAGCTTGCCCGTCGAGTCGACCTTGACTCTTGCGCCAAAGATCTTGATCTTGTCCGTGTCCATGGATGTGTTGGCTACCAGAATCTTGGCGTTCTCTATTCTCTTGGGCTGGTTCACACCAAACTTCTTGTCCAGAATGAAGCCCTCGTCCAGGTATGAGTCCTTCAGCTTTCCACCCGCCTTCTTGATGATCTGAATGTGCGTGAGGTCGGTCGAGCCTCCCAGCTTGAGGACGGCATCGACTGCGAGCGTGGCAAATTGTGTTCGGTCCTGGGAGAGGACCTTGGAGCTTAGTGTGGTGCGAGCAATGGCCTCGAGATCCTTCCTGAAGGCTGTCTCGTCTTTGCTGTGGTCAACCGCAAGCTTCTCCAGAGCTGACAGAGCCGCGTGACTCGCTATCCTGTAGCCCTCGATGATGGTCTGGGGGTGTATCTTCTGGTCGACGAGCCTCTCGGCCTCTCGGAGAAGCTCTGCGGCGAGCACGGTGACTGACGTGGTTCCGTCGCCCACTTCGTCGTCCTGGACTTTGGAGATGTTGACGAGCACTTTTGCGGCGGCGTTGTCGAGGGCGATGGCTTTGAGGATCGTGGCGCCGTCGTTTGTGACCATAATCTCACCGGTAGAACTGCTGTAGTGTGAGTTTGGGTCAAACAAGCAGCGGGGTAGCAGAGCCATACGCAGACTGTAATATCTTGTCCATGCCCTTGGGGCCCAGTGTGCTCTTGACCAAGTCGCCGACAGCGATGGCGCCTACAAAGGCCGATAGACGCGCATTCTCGCCCTTCTCCTCCGTCACGTCGTCCGCAAAGATTTGGGTGGGATTCGACTGGAGGCGTGTTAGCAGACATTTCGGGATGAGGCGTGAGCAGCGGACACACCATGTTGCAAACAGGTGGAAACAAGCAAGGAGGGGTATCTCAGAAGATGTGGGGTTGTTGGCCGTGGAGCGTCGCGACTTTTTTCCAAGTTGCCCGCGCTGGAACCTGGTGTTTGCGTCGTTTGCTCGAAGCTTCTCGGCCAATCAATACGCCGGACGCCGCGCTGCTCGATGCCGCCTGGAACTTTTGCGACTCCCGTCACATCTGCTTGCTGCAACCAATATACGACGTGTTTAGCTTCCATCAGACCTTGGCGCTGCCGGCCGCCGCCTTCCACAATCACGACACCCCGCCATGTCCAAACGACAAGCTCTGGAGCCTCTCGAAGAGGTCTACGACGCGCCCTCCCCGGCTCTGAAACGAGCGCGAGTCGAAGATGAAGAGATGGAAAGCCCACCACCGGAGGGCGCGATCACAAACGGCTACAGCATGCCTCTGCGACTGCAAGACCAAGGAAAGATGGACATAGTGGGCGCAGAGGCGGAGGAGCATGCGGACGACGACGACGAGAACGAGCCGGCGATTGCGGTACCCAAGCGACAGACTGCGCCGGAAGCTGGATACACAGACCTGTACCTCGACACAATAGCGCGCAAGGTGCTCGACTTCGACTTTGAGAAGCTCTGCTCCGTCACACTATCCAACATCAACGTCTACGCGTGTCTCGTCTGCGGGAAATACTACCAGGGACGAGGGCCAAAGTCTCAGGCATACTTCCACGCGCTGGAAGAGGGTCACCACGTGTATGTGAATATGGAGACAAAGAAGGTCTACGTGCTTCCAGAAGGCTACGAGGTCAAGTCGAAGTCGCTGGAGGACATCAAGTTTGTCGTGGACCCGCGCATGAGCAAGACGGAGGTGGCACGGCTGGACAAGGACCCCAAGGTGTCGTGGGACCTCTCCAACAAGGAGTACATACCAGGCTTCATCGGCATGAACAACATCAAGGCGAATGACTACTTCAATGTCGTCGTCCAGGCGCTGTCGCACGTTGCGCCATTGCGAAACTTCTTTATGCTCGAGGACCTGTCAAGTCGGCCACAACTCGCGCAACGATTCAGCACTCTCGTCCGCAAGATCTGGAATCCACGCGCCTTCAAGACACACGTATCACCACACGAATTACTCCAAGAAGTCGGACTGAGATCTTCGAAACGCTTCACACTATCCGAACAATCAGATCCCGTGGACTTCCTCTCCTGGTTCCTCAACAACCTGCACCTGGCCGTCGGCGGCTCAAAGACAAAACCCGGCTCCAGCATCGTGCAAAAAGTCTTCCAAGGCAGCCTGAAAATCGAGTCGCAAGAAATCACCGCCCGCGCCGACGCTGGGGATCGTCTGCGCTTCGAGGATGCAGACGTGAAGACGGAGATCTCCAAATTCCTCGTCCTGACCCTCGATCTCCCCGCAGCGCCCCTCTTCCAAGACGCGCTCGAGAAGAACATCATCCCCCAGGTGCCCCTGACCACCATCCTAGGCAAGTACAACGGCATGCAGCCGCAGGAGAAGATGAAAAACCGCGTCCGCTACCGCCTGCTGCACCCCCTGCCCCCCTACTTGTTGATGAACATCAAGCGCTTCAGCAAAAACAAATTCGTGTCCGAGCGCAACCCCACCATCGTCACCTTCCCCGTGCAAACACCCCTCGATATGTCGCCGTACGTGGAGCCGAATCCGAGGGAGTACCCGCCCGGCGAGCCTATTTGGTACGATCTCGTCGCGAACATCACGCATGAGGCTGTCAAGAAGAAGGATGACAGTGTTGAGGGCGAGCAGGAGAGCAAGGTTTGGCGCGTCCAGCTCAAGGATCGGAGTCGCGATGATTGGTATGGGATTCAGGACTTGTTTGTGGAGAAGGAGCGGGGCGAGACGCTGTTTACGAAGGAGAGCTATTTGCAGGTCTGGGAGCGGAGGAGAGGCGGGAAGGCGAAGGGGAGGGCATGAGCTCTTGGGAAGGTAGAAGTTTTTTGGAGTAATGGAAGGCGGAAAGATAGATACCTTTGGCGAAGAGGGTCAAGCATGTACGGCTCTATGATGTAGGAGTATTGGTTGTGGAGACTTTTGGCTGGATATTTGCAGTCGTCCCCTGGTAGTTGAGGGATGTAGTTACAAAACATTTACCAAATAACACCAAACACCATACACATGCTCGACACCATGACATCTTGAACGAACAGATCGCAAGACCGTCACACACCTCAAACTACCCAAACCAGCACTGACACATACAACGCAGTCATTGCCTCTAAACCTTTCCATCTCAACACCGCTCGTAGTCATCCACACAAAGTATGAGTGAAGTGGGAGAGAAGAAGCGAGCCTTTTACCCAGTACAAAGAAACATCAAAGTACATATGCCATTACGAAGTGGTTTTAGGCGTATACTAGGAACAAATAAAGCATACAGCTCCAATACTAATTGTGTTGTAGTTGTCCAGAGGTATATTATAGTTCACTTCTATGTACAAGATCCAACGAACTACTGGGAAGAAACACTGCAAGAAAGATGGGTTGGGCGTATACTAGGAGCAATCGAGGCACGTAGTTCAGCTAGAGTTCATGTGTGTAGTTGTCCAAAGGTACTATTTGTTGGAGGTGAGATGATTGCATGAAACATAGGATGATGGCCATATATGGGTATTGGTCTGCCCATCTTCACATCACACATCCACCGGCCCTCCTTCACTCTGACAGAGGCCGCCTTTGTAGTTCCTTCCATGTTCAATGGTAGATCAGTTTCCTTCGTTCCCAGCACCATGTCGTTACCAAAACCACTAGTCGAATTGTGTCAGTGTAGGATTTGTCGTGGAGGGGAAACAGCAGAGGGCCGTGTCTGTCGAGTGTGTGTCGGTGGTTGTGTGGGGATTGAGCGTATACTAGAACAACCATGGCACACAACTTCAACCTAAGTATTTGTGTGAAGTTGTCAAGCTGCTGCAAGACTTCGCTACATCTTACATCCTCATACAGAAACACGATAAAGTAACAATAACAAATTCTACAGCAACGCCGTATTAGGCGTGTATCTACAGAATCCAAAACACAGAGTCTCATCTCTACTATGGTACGTAGTTGTCGCAATGAGTATCGCTCAACCTCACTACAACATAACTTCAATAAAATCACACGAAGAAAAGCGAAAGTAGAGGCAAGTTGGACGGATACCAGCAATCATCAAGTCGCATAACTCTACTGCTAGGTTTTCATGTAGTCGTCAGGTAGTTGCAAGATTTGCTGTAGCTAACTTCTACGCACGAGAACGCAACACATCTGAAGGGAACCATACTGCAACAAAAATGTTTTGGCGTATACGAGGAGTAATGCAGGCACGTAGTGTGAAATACAGATTTTGTTTGTAGATGGTTGTTCTGATGGATGTTGTATGGATGCATTGCAGTGCAGTGCACTTCCGGCTCGACAATTACCCGAGAGCCGACGTCACACCGGCCGATTCGCAAACCTGAACCATGGCTTTGACAAACCCTGGCACATTACACTACGCCCCGCACGCATCCTCACCGCCACCAATTTCACCACTCAAATCGATCCGTTGTCTTGCCATCGCTGCCGCCGTCGAAACGCAGCCAATATATTGCAAAAAACCCGCCGTTTTTCCATCGAAGACCATAGAGCAACAGCTCGCGCATTGATCTCATCCGTAGGATAGATGGCGTCAGAAATCAGCATCCTTGGTCCAACGGTAGGATAATTGCCTTCCAAGCAATTGGTTCGGGTTCGACTCCCGGAGGATGCAGCCTATCTTTTTTTCCATCAATCTACTGTCGCGGGCATGGTGGGTAAAATTGGAATGAAGATGTTTGTTTTTATTCGACATGGCAGAGGGTTGTTTATCCAGTGGACATATACAGTGAGGGTTATTCTTGTGTTTGTTAATAAATCAGTAGAGATGAAGCATACAGCGCTACGAGTGAGAACTTTTGGAGGACTAATGATGGTGTTGAAGTTGTCAAAGGTCTCAGAAGTGTGGTCGATGCAGGGACATATCGCAGACTTCTAGGCTGGGCTTCGCAGCGCGGTGACACAGTAGGACACTTACACTGTGCAACGGGCATGGAGGCCTTGAACGGGAGTATATTCGCTTGAGAGGGAGTAGATTACCAATGTATCGATGGCGTCTACATGCACCCATCAACCGTTCCGCTTCGTGCAAAGTAGGTGGTTTTATCCAGTTTTCAATATGCTTATTCGCTTCTGAGGCAGACGAGCAAGCGGTAGAAGTTCGAGGAATTCAATCTAGGATCTTCATGTTCAAAGTGATCAGTCTTTTGGAAAATTCTGTGAAGTGAAAATCATTGCGAGATGTTGTATTGTCAAGCAACGTTTTCTTGCACGTTCCGATCTGGCGCTCAGATCTCAAAAGAAGTACATGCTGCGCAGACAAATACAAGAGACTGAAAACTTCTACCACAGCCCTGTTCACGACCAGCTTGAGGGTGCTGATGGTGTGAATCTGGCTCTCGGTCGATCGAAATACCAGGAACCAAGATGCAGCGAAATCATTTGACAACTACAACTAAGTTTAGTGTAGGGATATTTTTCCAGAACTTTAAACAATATAAGCCTTGCATGCACTTTTATAGATTTTAATTGTGTGGTTTTTGCAGCTTGTAGGAGCCACAAAGAATGCAGCCGACTTCCCGCTTTTACAGTTGCCCGAGACTAGCGCTCATCACATCGCGCCTGAGCACCAAGCTGTCAACCTCCACCCACCACCACTCAATCCCCACCACCAACCACCAAGATGATCCTCCGAACCCTCTCCCTGCTGCCTCTCGCCCTCGCGCCCCTCGTCTCAGCCCTGCAAGCACCCATCCAACCCAGCGTCCTCGACCCACGCACCTCAAAAGAGCTCTTGTCCCTGCACCGCCAGCTCATCGAAATCGAATCCATCAGCGACAACGAAGGCGGCGTAGGCCAATGGCTAGCCGGCTATCTGCGCTCGCTAAACTTCACCGTCGAGCTGCAAGAAGTAACGCCCAACCGGACCAACCTGCTCGCCTACGGTTCTAAACGCGATACCACCATCCTCTTGACCTCGCACATCGACACCGTCCCGCCGTTCTGGCCGTACTACTACAATGAAACCACCCAGATGATCGGCGGACGGGGCAGCGTCGACGCAAAAGCCAGCGTCGCAGCCATGATCACAGCAGTGACGGGCTTCAAAGACGCCCTCTTCGACGACATCTCACTGCTGTTCGTCGTGGGCGAGGAAACAGGCGGCGACGGCATGCTCAGCTTCAGCGACTGGGCCAAGCGACCCACCTACGACATCGTCATCTTCGGCGAGCCCACAGAGGGGAAGCTGGTCTGCGGCCACAAAGGCATGCTGGGCTTCACCCTGCAGGCGACGGGGAAAGCAGCGCATTCAGGCTACCCCTGGCTGGGCGTCAGCGCAAACGACATCCTCGTCGAAGCCCTGGGCGAACTCCTCACGCTACGCGATAACCTCCCCTGGAGCGACAAATACGGCAACACAACCATGAACTTCGGCCGCCTCAACGGCGGCGTCGCAGCAAACGTCGTCGCCGAATCAGCATCCGCATCCATCGCCACACGGCTCGCAGCCGGCACCCCAAAATCCGTGCGCGCCCTCATCGAGAAGACGCTGGTGGACGTGCAGGCCCGCGCCACGCAGGCCGGCGGCGCCCTGCACATCCAGTGGGGCAGCGAGGGCTATGCGCCTGTGGATATGAGCTGTGATATCGACGGGTTTGAGACGCTGACTGTGAATTATGGGACGGATGTGCCGAATCTCAAGGGCGAGCATAAGAGGTATTTGTATGGCCCTGGCAGTATTTTCGTGGCGCACTCGGATCATGAGGCGCTTAAGAGGGGGGAGCTGGAGCAGGCTGTGCTGGATTATAGACGGCTTGTTATTGAGGCGAGTAAGATGGAGAAATATGGGGGGGTTGAAGGGGAAGTGGTGGAGTTGTAGAATTTGTATAATCGATATAAATTCTCATACCGGTGTTACGTCTTTTGGGCGTGTTTCTTCTTGCTTGCTCGCTTGCTTTGTTGTAGAAGCAGATTGACGGAATGCGACGCGGTGAAAACATCGACATGGTGATTCGGTGGAGGAGAGCAGCTGCTACTAACTATGCTTTACACACACACACATGATAAATCTCGGGAGGGAAGGGTAGGGTACACGGTTGTCTTGTCTGTCGTAGCAGAGAGCTCTCTGAACGACCGACCGACTGGCTGGTTTGGCCTGGCTGCTTGATGTATAGATGCGGACAGAACACGAGCGGGTAGCTGTTGATCGTGTGTTTTCATGGACATGTCCAATCCATGGAATAGGTACTCTCTATGCCTCATTCTTCGTTCCTCATTTATCCATCCATCCATATATCCCCGACCCAACAACAAAGCAAAGTCACATTCCAACGAAACATATAAAGTAAAAATGTACCCCCAAATTTAGTCCGCCAGGAGAAAAATCTCGCTCTTCATGATTCATAGAAAACCACAGGCAGTTCTGAGAAATGAGTGCTCCACCCCCTCCCCTTCACACCTCCCTCCCTCCGAACCTCCGCCCACGATCTCACGACCGGGGTGAATGGTCAGGAAAGAGATAGATGGATAGGGGGGTGGATTGATCTTGCGCGTTTTTTCTCCCCCCGCGACCTTGATAAGAAGGAGGGAGGGGGAGGTCAGAAGCGTCGCCGCTATGGGGAAGCAGGACGTCTGTGGGTTCTGTTCGCTGCGCTGTTTTTTGTTGTGTTTGTGTAGGTTTTACGGGGGGGGGGGGGGGGTATATATAGGGAAATGAGATAGGGGGGGGCCGAGCTTAAAAAGGGCCCTGCACGCGGCGGGCCAAGAATACCAGAGTAGAGTAATCGTACAATGAACCTACAAAGACCATAACGTCGTAAAACACAGCCGTGATAAATCCTACACATTAGTTCGTCGCATCCTCACTCTGCGCCAACTTGTCCATCTTCTCCGCCATACCCAGATCGCGCACTTCCCACCCCGCACCCGCCGCACTCACCCAATCCTTCTTCTCGCCCAGCACCGCGATACTACTCTCACCCGCGCGCCGGACAAGAAACTCCTCAGCCACGCTTTGCACCTGCTCAGCCGTAACATCAAGAAGTCTCTCCCTTCTAGCCTGCAACATCTCATCCGTAACCCCACTAAGAAAAAGGCGCATACCCTCTCGACTAACACTCTGCGGGGCATCATACCCCTGAAAAGCGCTGAGTTTCGCCTCCTCGAGATCCTGTGCCGTCCACGCGCGATCGCGCGCCCACCGCCCCGCCTCGCCCATGATCTTCATGCTGTTCTGCGGATTGGGGTCGCGGTACGAGTACATTCCGAACAAGCCTGCGAGGCCGCGCGCGTAGGCGCCGCCGCCGTATGCGCCGCCTTTTTCGCGGATCTCGGGGTGCAGCATCTTGAAGGTGAGCATTTTGGCGAGGATTTCGAGCGGGGCGCCGGCCGGGGAGGTGTAGGGGACTGTTTGGACGGCGCGGGCGGAGTAGTAGACTTGGTAGGGGAGGGGGAAGAAGGATTTTGCGTTGCGGGGGAATTGTGTTTGGTGGGGTGTTGGGGGCACGGAGATTTTTTGGGGGAGGGTGTCGAGGAAGCGACGGAGTGCGTCTTGGTTTGCTGTTGAGCTTTCGCTGCCGCAGTTGATTGCGACGCGGAACTGGTCGTTGTTTGCGATGGCGAAGGATTGGATGGCTTTGAGTTTTTGGATGACGTCGCTGAGTGAGTCTTGCGAGGCTAGACTCGTGGTGAGCTTGACTTGCGTGAGACCGCCTGTCTGCTCGGCCAGCCGACCCACTTCGTTGATCCCGGCTTCTGCGTATCTCATCGCGTACGAGTGTCCTGACTCGGCGATGGAGTTGATCGCACCGCTTGCTGAGCTTTGCAGCAGCTCGCGAATCTGTTTTTCGGCTTCTGGTCCTTCGAAATCTGTTTCTTGCAGAATCATCCGGAGGAGCTCGTACATGTCTGGAATATTACGGTCAAGCGCGTAGCCTGAGAAGGCCAGGCCCTCTTCAAACGCGTCTAGCGATAGTGGTGAGGGCGAGGAGTGGTATCCGACGGAGATGCCACCCGTCTTCAGCTTGATGAGCTCTTCGAGTTGCTCCATTGTCTTATTCTTTGTGCCGAGACGCATGATAGCACTGGTGAACAGCGGAATCATTTCCCTCAGTTCGTCTGGGAGGTTCTGTAATTGGTGCACTGCACGGAAGTATGTCAGCCCATTCGTGGGTGCCTCGCGCCACTGCACCTTCACATCATTCACATCTGTATGACGAAGCGGTTTCCTTTCTTTCTCGCGCGGGATGTCTTTGACGTGGACTGTAGGCAGGCAGCTCAAGTCCTCGTTCCTGGCCTTCTCCTGCACTTCCAGCAGCTCGAGCTCCCGTTGCTCCAGATACTGCTGTGCCTCCTGCTCGCTGGGGAACCGCTTTGTGGTTTCAGCGATTTTTGTCGCCAATCGCTGTTGCTCCTCGTCCACAATCTCCTGGCTGAACGTCTCGGACGGTTGCATGGTAAAGGTAAGAGTGTTCTCGGTCAGGAGGTACTTCTCGATCAGACCCTCCAGATAGTCTCCTTGGGCGTACTTCTCCTGGAACGCGTTAACAGTTTCCTGCCAAGCAAGCGCATCCATAGGATCGATGCCGTTGAACCAGCTGGGCTTCAGTCTCTGCAAGATACCCATTCCAAAGTTCGACGTCTTGTGCTTGAGGGACAGCTCCAGCTGATGAAGGATGCCGTCGACCTTGATCTTGTCGAAGCCGTTGTTTCGCGCCTCGAGGACAGTCTGGACAATGGCTTCGCGGACCTTGGGCACGTCTTCTGCTTTGACAGCATCGAGGCCTACAGAGAAAGTGCCGCGTCTCCCTGCACTGTCGTAGCCTGTGTTTGCGCTGAAGTCTGCGCCAAGTCCCGACTCGACGAGGTTGCGGTACAGTGGAGACCCATACCCATTCATCAGCAAGCTACTCAGTACACCAAGCGCAAAGTTCTCGACCGCGTCGGCAGTGTCGCCCATCAGCCAAGTAACGGATGTCTTGTACTGCTTGTCCTGGGGAACCAGGGGGTCGAGAGGGCCGGGGACGGTGACTTGCTTGGGGCTGTTGAGCTCGATGGGGGCCTTGACCTCCTGGTCGACGGAGATCTTGTCGAAGCCACTCAAGCGCCCGTCGACCTCTTTCAGGTGATCAGCCAGAGGCATGTCTCCGTAGCTGAGGATCTTCGCGTTGCTGGGGTGGTAGTGGTCGGCGTGGAACTTGCGTAGTTGCTCCCACGTCAGGTCGGTGATCTTCTGTGGGTCGCCGCCAGAGTTGTTGATTGCGGGGTAGAGCTCGTGCTGGAACCTGGTGTAGAATAGATAACTTGCATCCGACATCTGGCCCTTCATCTCGTTGTAGACGACGCCCTTGAAGACCAGTTTCTTCGCGCTGGGGTCGTCCGTCTCCGCCGCCATTGGGTTCTCGGGCCCTATGCGCCATCCCTCCTGGGTGAAGTCGTTCTCCTTCAACAATGGATGCAGCGTGGCGTCGAGGTAGACGGCCATGAGGTTCTTGAAGTCCTGGGCGTTTGTGGTGGCGAAGGGGTAGGCCGTGTGGTCGGGGAAGGTCCAGGCGTTCATGAAGTTGGACAGCGAGCGCGGCAGCATCTTGAAGAAGGGGTCGCGGATGGGGTACCTGCGCGTCGTGAGCCATGGGTGCGGTGCGGGGGCGTCAGGGCGGGGCTACTTCTCGCTGCCACACAGCGTCGTGTGCTCGAGGATGTGCGGCACCCCGGTGGCGTCGGGCGGGTTGGTCTTGAAGCCGATGGAGAAGCAGTTGTTGGCATCCTCGCGGGCGATGTGCACGTACTCGGCGCCCGTCCGGTCGTGCTGCAGGTGCAGGGCCGTCAGCTCCAGCTCGGGCACCTGCTTGACGCGCCGGAGGGTGAAGCCGTGCAGCTGCTCGCCGACGCGCGGGAAGTTGGCGACGTCGGTGACGGCGGCATAGCGGCGGCGTGGGCTGCAGACTGCTCGCAGGGTGCGGGGAGTGGGCAGCGGCCGGCCTGTGGAGCGCAGCATCATGGCGGTGGGAGAGGAGTGCAGAAACGTCGTTGGGCCAGCGCTCGTACATGACGCGCTGGCCTCGGACGCCGATTGGCCGGTTGCCGCCGAGACGCCCTCATGGCTACATGGCAAAATTACCCTGGCTGCAGCGGGCGTGGTGGGCGAGGTGACTGGTTGGGACGTGACCTGTGCATTCTCCGGACGACGAGGGCGTCGAGGCCTGGTCGAGTTCCGCAGCTCGCGTGTCGTGACTGACGAAACCACACCAAGAACTCTGCATAACTCCGTCGCTCCCCACCCAGACGACTACCACACGCCCACGCCACGCCCGCACCCTCCCGCTCGCTGACCACACCCACACGCGCCTCCCTCGCCGCCTCCCTCGCCCATCGCACCACGCCCGTCTGCACAGCCGCAGTGCGCCGGGCGCTCACTCTCGATCCGCCGCCGACCGCAGACGCCAGCTCGTCGCGCACCGTTGACGCACTCGCCCCTGCAGCCGCGGATGCGCAGCCCGACCACTCGAGCATCCCCGGCCAGAGCCCCCCGATAGCGAGTGCACCGGCTGCCCCTTCACCGAGCACGTCACGGGGCCTCGACACGCCAGCACCGCACGCCCACACGTCCACGCCCACGCCCTCGCCCACCCACGGCCATGGCCTCGGTCGCCCAGCAGCGCCAGCCGACGTCTGCCCAGTCCCGTCCGCACCACGAGCCCAGCCGCAGCACGTCGGCCTCGCCCTCGGCCACCATGCCCCCCGCACAGCACCCCCCGGCGCCCGCGCCCAAAAAGGCAAAGGGCAAAAAGGCCGCCGACCCCTCGGAGCAGCAGAAGCAGATCCAGGCCAAGATTGCCCAGCTCGAGCTCGATGAGGCCGGCGACAAGGAGCAGGAGCTCGAAATCGGTGGGTACACGTCTGCTGTCTGAGGCACGCAAAAGCGGGGTGGTGGAGCCGCCGGGCGCAAAGCCTCGTCCCGAATGAACGCTGGCTGACCAGAGTCTTCTCACAGAGCGCGAAGTCAAGAAGGCGAACCGCGAGCTCTCGTCGCTGCTCTCCAACATGGACGGCCCGCTGTCCCGCCTCGAGGTCGTCCAGAAGCGCTACACGGAGCTGCTGTCCGCCATGAAGCGCACCGAGCGCGAGCACCAAAAGGCAAAGAAGCGCGGCGACCAGCTGCAGAAGGAAAAGGACGCCCAGCGCTCCGAGCTGAACAAGGTCACCACCATGAAGGACAAGCTGGACAAGCTCTCGCGCGACTTTGCCAAGGAGAACAAGAAACTCAAGGACGAGCTGCACAAGCTCGAGACGAGCGAGTCAACGGCCCGCCAGGAGCTGCACGAACGCCTCGATCACCTGATAGCCGACGTCGACGACTGCATCACGGCCCAGATGGGGCCAGAGCCCCAGAACCAGGCCGAAGTCGAGCTGGACGAGCTGTATGTCACGCTCCACAGCCCGCATAACATGCGCTAAACGCTTCAGGTTCCGTCAGAAATTCAAGTCCTTCATCGATCAGTACGAGCTCCGCGAACTGCAGTTTCACTCCCTGCTCCGGACAAAGGAGCTCGAGATACAGTACCAGATGGCACGATTAGAGCAGCAGCGCAAGCAGCAGGAAGCAGAGTCCTCAAAGTCCCACCAGTTGACCAGACAAGTCTCGACCTTCTCGCAAACCGAAACCGAGCTTCGAACCCAGCTGAACATCTATGTTGAAAAGTTCAAGCAGGTAAGCGGCCTGACCCCCCATCTTTGTTTTTATGGCATCATGGTTAATACTGACTAGATGCAGGTTGAGGAAACTCTCAACAACTCCAACGACCTGTTCCTGACCTTCCGCAAGGAAATGGAGGAAATGTCCAAGAAGACCAAGCGCCTCGAAAAGGAGAACCAAAACCTACAACGTCACAAAGAGATTACGAATCGCAATATTGGCGAGATGGTGGAGGAACGTCAGAAGATGCAGGAGGAGCTCGCGAGGAAGACCAAGGAAGCCGAGATTGCGCGCAAGAAGATTATCCAATTGGAGACGCTGTGTCGCGGCATGCAAGCCCAGGGTCGAGGCCAGGTCCCGATGAACGAGCTGGAAGAGGACGAGGAGGTTACGGAGAGTGAGTACGACTACGAAGACGAAGAAGACGACGAAGAAGGTAGTGGAGACTACGATGACGACACCGAAGAGGACGCTGTCGAACCTGTGCCCGAGCGCCGCCCCTTTGGACCTGTTCCTCCGCCACCGCCGCCGCCACAGGCTATTGTTAATGGAAAAATCAACGGCCATAGAGGAGCCAATGTGCAGATCAACGGAGTTAAGCGCTAGGTGCCACGATCCAAACTCGCCATTGCTCACCGTCGAAGGAATGTACATATTTTTTCAAGGAAATGAAAATCAGGAACGGCACAAACTCCTTCTTCTGTCTACAACTCCCCACGTGCCAATGTTATGACTTACAATCTTGCCAGGCTGTTGCTGTGTTGGACTGGTCGAATCAACATACAGCCTGCCCTCGACTTGTGCAAACGGCTGACGAGATGATATAGGTTGGCAATTTTCGGTAACTTTATCGTCGGGGTGTGAGCTTCCATGATGTGACTCTCGACTCGAACAAGCGCAGGTGGTGGACGGGTGAGCCGAGGCCGTCCCCGCATTTGCCAGACCCCTGTCTCCAAGGCTGACAGCTTCCGCTATTTAGCAACGACTCTACAGATCCGCCATGTACACACACGCTTCATATACTGTTCATACACGTCTCTGCTTTATGCGCCCTGACTTAATCTGTTACAGTCTACATCGCGAAAGCCCACCATGTCGACCCCATCCCTTCAAACGCCGCTCTCGAAGCTACTCGGAATCCAATACCCAATAATCCTCGCTGGCATGGCACGCACGTCTGGTGGACCCCTCGCCGCAGCTGTGTCGAACGCAGGGGGTCTTGGTGTCATTGGAGGTGAATCACTCCCACTGCACAACGAGCAGTTTGGTCCTAACGTTTAATAGGACTGGGATACACCCCACAACAGCTGCAGTCCATCATCGACGAATTGAAAGAGAACCTGTCGGACAAGTCGCTTCCGTTTGGTGTCGATCTGGCGCTCCCGCAGGTCGGAGGCAGCGCCCGCAAGACGAACCACGACTACACGCATGGGCACCTGGACGAGCTTATTGAGGTCACGATTAAGAACGGCGCGAAGCTTTTTGTCAGTGCTGTCGGTGTGCCGCCTGCGCGAACAATCAAGAGGCTGCATGAAGCAGGTAAGCACTTTTAAAGCTTGCCTTCACGTCATTCAAGGCACTAACTAGTTCTTCTTTGTAGGAATCCTAATAATGAACATGGTGGGACATCCCAAGCACGCAGTCAAGGCACTAGACGCTGGCGTTGATATCGTATGCGCCCAAGGCGGAGAAGGCGGAGGTCACACAGGCGACATTTCAAACAGCATCCTGATTCCATCTGTCGTCGACGTTGCCCGAAAATACAAGAGCCCACTCACCGGCGAGCCCGCCATGGTGGTCGCGGCAGGAGGTATCTACAACGGGTGCAGCTTAGCGAGCAGTTTGATGCAGGGTGCGCAGGGCGTATGGGTCGGAACACGTTTTGTTGCGTCGACAGAAGCTGGGTGTTCGCAGATGCACAAGGAGAACGTCGTGACTGCAGACTTCACCGATACTGGGCGGACACTTGTTATTAGCGGCCGACCGCTTCGTGTCCGGTACAACGACTACATCAAAGACTGGCATTCGAGGGAGGATGAGATCAAGAAGCTGACTGACGCGGGGATTGTGCCGATGGCAAAGGACATGGATGATGGGAAGGACGTCGATATTCCCTTTCTGATGGGCCAGGTGGCAGGCGTAATTCAGGAGATTAAGCCGGCAAAAGAAATCGTGGATGATATGGTCAGGGAGGCGGTGGACATGCTGAGGCTGGGGCAGTCGTATATCGGCGGGCCGAGTGCGAAGTTGTAGGGTATCACGTCTTAGTGTAATTTAGGCCTGGGTTTGACTTGGTCGGGATGGTTGTGTGGTGCCTTGGAATCAGGGTTGGGGTTTGTGTAACCAGATGCGCGGAATACGACATGCGAACTAGAAGTAAAAAAAACACCTTCTCGTGGGGGCGAACTGCTATAATCCCCGAACCCCTCAAAAAACGAATAATACTGGCAGCGTGCACACGGGGAGAGGGCAACGGGCCGTCATTGAGGTTCCATGACTTCGATGATCTGCACTAGGATCAGGCTCCCAAGCATCACCACCGCGCTCAGGAGAGGCGACCCGACGCGGTCTCGCCACAATTTCTTCACGTCTTGCGATCCCCGCTGCGACCCATCATCTTTATCCCTTCCCACGTGGCGACTCTTGTTGTACGCACACGACCCTCTCTGGCTTGTGCATATCCCTGTGCAGTGTCTACTTCCGCAGCCTCACGACCAGCGTTGTAGATGACGCTGCAGCCGACACCACCTCGCAGCGGCGCAATCCATGCAGTCAAATCTCAGGGCTCAGGCTGAACAGCAGGCCCAGAGGAAAAAGGTATGCAGTGCAGGGGGGAGTAACAACGGGTACTGAGACTGAGACGACAGCAGCTTGCCAATTCGTACAAACAGCTCCTCGAGTAAGCCTCCGCCTGACGCGCCTCGCACATGCGCGCGTGCACTGACCCGACCATGTACTGAACGCCCAACGCAGTGAATTTGCGACATCGGACCTGAAGAACGTGGGCAACTACACGCTGGGGAAGCTCATCGGCAAGGGCAGCTTCGGGAAGGTCTACTTGGCCTCGCATAAGCTTAGCAATGGCTCCAGGGTGCGCATGCGAGACGGCACGTGTTGGGCACGCAGCGCAATGGCTGACGGCAACAGGTTGTGCTCAAGTCGGCCAAGAAGGACGACGCCAATCTCGCCCGCGAGATCCACCACCACCGCCAGTTCACACACCCGCACATCGCCCGCCTGTACGAGGTCATAGTCACAGAGGAGCTCGTCTGGCTCGTGCTCGAGTACTGTCAAGGTACACCCTAGTATCTGCCTGCCTGTAGCTGGCGCATTCTGACCAGACAACCAGGTGATGAGCTGTACAACTACCTCCTCCAGAAAGGCGCGCTCGAGCCCTCCAAAGTCCAGCGCATCTTCACCCAACTCGTCGGCGCCGTTTCCTACGTCCACAACAAGTCCTGCGTCCACCGCGATCTGAAACTCGAGAACATACTGCTGGATAAACACGGGGATGTGAAGCTGGTCGACTTTGGATTCACGAGGGAGTACGAGGGCAAGTCCAACTACCTGCAGACATGGTGCGGGACGGTGTGCTACAGTGCGCCGGAGATGCTGAAGGGCGAAAAGTACGCGGGCGAGAAGGTGGATGTGTGGAGTCTGGGCATCATCCTGTACGCGCTTTTGGTTGGCGAGCTGCCCTTTGACGAGGACGACGAGACGGTCACAAAGATGAAGATCCTTAAGGAGGAACCGAGATACCCAGAGAACTTTCCCCCGCAGGCGAGAGAGCTGTGTTCGGCGCTGCTCTCGAAACGACCGATCCTCCGACCCACCTTGGCCGAGATACTGCAGAACCCCTGGCTATCCGAACATGCGCCACGTCAACAGGAGATCCTGAAGCTGCAGCAGCCCCCGCCGTTTTCGACAGAGTTGGAGAAAGAAGTGCTGCACCGCATGCGGGCTGCTGGGGTGGATATCGATATGGTGATTGAAAATGTGCTGGCTCAACGATGCGATTCTCTGGCTGGATGGTGGGCGTTGTTGTTGGAAAAGGAGGAACGCAAGGCTAAGAGGAGGGAACGCAAACGAAAGGAAAGGGAGGCCGAGGCGAAAAGCTTGAGACGGTTGAGCGCTGCAAGTAGTCGTCTGGATAAGCTAGCGCCTACGATCAGAGAGATGGACGAGGAGGGCGTGCACATTAGGGACACACCAAAGAGTCGTGGTAGGACTATGAATCGGCGGAGTTCGCATGGTGAGTAGTTGTATTATTTGAGGGTGACAGCTGCGCTAATACTTCCTCTAGGCATCCCAGATCTTCCCCAACTCCCAGAGTCTAGCTCGACCCCAAACCTACGATCCAGCACCGAAAAGCCTCTCCCACCGATCGAGAAACCCTACCTCCGAGACTCGGATTCATTATCACGCCCACCGCTGCCAGCAAAGGACATGGATAGACGGAGATCACGCAGCAGCATGCTACAGGTGGTGTCAACCAACCCTGACCTCCTATCTCCCAACGGTTTTATACCCAAACGCCGCCGAAAACAGCCCTTCATTAACCATCTTCTATCACTCAGGAACTGGATAAAAGAGACCTCAAAACGAGGCCGCTCGCCGCATTCAAAAGCCAGCAGTGAGAAATCCCCCAAACAACCAGAGGGCAGCATCTCCGACTCGAAACGCCGCTCAAGCAACATAACCCGCCACTCCGTCTCTACGCAACCCAACCCCCCCACATCCTCATCAACACACCCACCCCCGCGCCCCAGAGTCTCCACAAACGGCTCAGGAACAAGCTCCATGCGCCGCCTCTCCGCCTCCCCCGCACCCCTCACCCCGCGCTCCTCCTACCGCCGCTCCTCCGGCGGCCTGCGCGGCCGCAAATCCACATCTTCATCCGTATCCTCGATCCGCTCCATGCCGCGCCACCAGCACTCGCACTCGAAAGCATCATCCACATCTTCAAACTCCATCACTTCGCCCACCGTCTCCGTCTCGGGACACTCGGCTCGCAAATCCCCGCATAATAGCTCCAGTGTTAAGATCCTACCGTCTACACCTACGCTCTCGGCTTTTCCCTCAAATATCCGCGTCGTGCGCGCTAATGAGGGCGCGGCGGCGTTTGGAACTGTTCAGCCACCCTCGCCGGGGTTGGTCTTCGCGAAGAGGAAGAGGAGCCCGTTTAAGGGGCCTATGCTGAATGTTAATACGCAAGCTGGTGGTGGTGGTGGTGCTGGGGGGGGACAGCCGGCGTGGAAGAGAGAGGGTGGGAGTCGCAGTGTTAGTGTACAGGGGAGGCGTAGTGGGGAGATTATGGGGATTACGGAGGAGGAGGAGGAGGAAGGGGAGGAGGATATAGAGGAGGTGGAGGAGTTTAGTCCGGAGTTGAGACCGGGGGAGTTTGTGGAGAGCTTGGAGGAGGAGGGAGGGGGGTTGGGGGGGAGGGTGAGGTAGGGGTGAAGTAGAGTGGTGGGTTGAAGGGGGGATGGGGGTTCGTTTTCGCTTTTTTTTTGTCTTTTCTTTCGATTTACTTCTCTGGTGTGCTGTGTTGTGTTGTACTTGTATAGTGTTGTTGTGTTGTTGTTCGTTACGCACGATATCCTGCCTCTCTGGCTTCTCTCTTTTTTTATCCTTTTCCTTAATCCTACTACGGCATCACTTGTCATACAAATTTTTCTTAGCCATATATATGTATGTATTATCTTGTGTATTGTTTTACTTGAACTTGAATACGGCCTTTTGTAAAGGATTGTGCGCTGGGGATATGTCGTTCGTTCTTGTTGCTGTTCTTGGTCGGGGTTATTGATATAGGGAGGGCAATTGGATTTGTAGTCCTTGAACTGGGCTGGACTTTATTTGATTTGGTGATTTGGTGATGTGGTGATGTGGTGATGTGTTGTGTTGATATATCGTGCTGTGGTGGGATGAGATGAGATGAGATGTATCTATGGTGTTGTTAGGTGAGGATGCGGATGTATATATCGGACTGGGAATCAGGGCAGATGTGTGAGATAAAATGTGCGGGTTTTGTTGCAGGGCGATGCGATATGTAGGTAGGTAGATGAGGAAATGGGGGAAATGGTGTGTGTGTATGAGGAGCGTTATGTATTCTATCCCGTGTCCTTTCTGCTCTGCCAGCTTTGGTCTTGTTCATGTTGTGTTGCGTTGGTTTGAGATGAACGTGAGTTGAGCTGAGCTGGTTGTTGTTGAGATGAGTTGAGAAAGAGACAAGTCAAGGTATGCTCAATTGAGTTGATTGAGGTGAGTGTTGTTGAGATGACTTGAGACAAATCCAAGGTATGCTGAGCTGAGTTGAATTGAGTCGAGTTGATATTGACTTGTATCCAAGCACGCCCGCTTGACCTCTCCTGAGCTATCTGTCCATGTATCTACCTATCTGCCGATAAAGAGGCGAATAAACAAAAGAAGTCTTGACTTACTTACCGTGGGTGTTTCGCCCGAGAATACAATATAGTCATGGCATGGCATGGTAGGAGAAAGTGTTATTCAAGACTTGGAGGGGTTGGGAAGCAAGGCGGGCTGAGTGTGTTGTCTTGCTACGCTCTTTTTTGCGCGATATGCGGTGTATATCCCAGATTTTCTCTACTTGGGGGGTTTTCTTCGTAGTGTCTGTTTTACCTTTTCTTTACTGAGGAGGGGTGGAGAAAGCAGAGGTGGAAGAGACGGACATAATCCTACCCCTTTGCAATACTTTTTCGATAGATAATTCCTAGCAGAAAAGAGTAAAGCATAGAGTGTAGTCTAGCTTTCCCCAGCCAGCCAGCGCCCCCAATACATGCAGCGTAACACTCCGTCAACACGTGTCGGTGTACACACGCACAACGGGCGAGACATGCCTTTGCGTTGAGGCAACCTGGTGGGCGGGTACGAAGATTGCTGTCGCTAGCTACGTCTGGATATGCAGATGCGCATCACGCCTACTTGTGCAGTGAGTGAGTGCATACTGCGGCGGGTAGATAGAAAGCTGGAACGCAAGGCACTGGCGGGATGTGACTAGACACTGGTAAGCGGCCCAGCTAACCACGACTAGATCAGCGTGCGTGAGTGAGTACGCAAGCAGTGACACGCCGCACAACATGCTCCGATTCTACGACTTGAGAAAGCGGAGTACAGCGCGCTGCGTCGTCGTCGTCGTGGAGGTCCGTCGTCGTCACTAGAGCCTCTGGTCGGTGGTTGTGATTGTGGCGTAGAAAATTCGACGTTAACACGACTCGTGTCTGCGGCTCTATCTCCCTACCTATCATAGTTTGCTTCGCGTACGTTATCTTCAACTCGGTTCGCTTATACTCCCTCGTTACGCGAACTGAACACCGGAGGAGTGTCACTCGCGCGCTCGAGCCTCGCGCTTGTATGCGTGCCGGAGACTAGTTTGGCGACGGCGTGTTGGAGAAAGTAGGTAGTCGCCTTGCAAGGCGCTATGCACATGTGACTTCCTCCGCGGTCGGAGGCGGGATGTCGAATGTGTGATGTGGATGTTAGTTTGAAGTTGTTGTCGGTTGCGTAGCGATGGTTTCAGTAGACGTTAGTTCAGTGCTGCCGTGGAGGAGGGGTGATATGCGGGGTTGGGAATGAGAAGAGATTGTGAGACATGTCTTGAAAGATCGGAAGGAAATGTTCAAGGCTGAGTGGAAAACAAGTGCCCGCTGTAGCTGTACCTTTAGTGTGGTAGGTAAAAGACGCGAAGACCAGAGCAAAGCAAAGAAAGACGGGAAGGGGAGATCAGCGCTGCACGTCGAACGCCCAAAGAACAAAAAAGTATGCCACCACCACAATTCCAAAACACCCCACGCGTGCCATGACTTACCCATCACAGCGACATTCCCTCTAGGAGGTCGCCGCCTCAGACCTCGCAAAATGCCTCACTACGGACGGAAGAGGCGTTTTCGCAGGCCGAGGCGTTGGCCGTATACCGGGATGGGAAGGCGTTCACATGTGCCTGCATGCGAGTAAGTGTTTAGCGGCGATGAAATGCATGGCATCGTCTTGCCTTTCGCTGGAAGGATCAGGTGATGGTGAGCACCGATAAGAGGATCGCGAGAGAGTGGTGAGCATGTCTGACTGCTTTGGGGATGTGGTACTGATGAGTATAGAAATTGTGTTCACACAACTCGCCTTCTGTAGCACAAGACGTATTGTGCGGACGGCCCGGGTCCGGTCAAATACACAGCACCGAGGATGAACATATGCCCCGCTCATTCAGAAAGAGCTGAATTCTCCGTCGTGAACGGCAGGAGGTGGTGATGGTACCTGCATTTATGTAACAGTACAGAGGTTCCAGGTCAGCCCCTGCAACCAGTAGACGCTTCATGTGAGGACGGCAGTACAGCGGGAAGCAAGTGGGTGAGCGGATTGCCGTGGTTTGATGAATACGAATGGCGGCTCGACAAACCGTTGCACATCTCCACACGGTACGAAGGATGCTGACTGCTGGGGTAGGGCCGTTGGTGATGTCTTGGACAATGCTTGAGGTTTGCATTGGACCCCGCCGTGTCTGCGCCTCTTTCGGCGCGGCGGTTGTCCCCCAATCAGGAAGCGGCTACCAGAGCGGATCCACGGATCCACGGACAGTCATGTCCATGTTGACCGTAAATCTCAAGGCCCACCGTAGGGAGCCGCGCCAAAGGACACGTTCGCGGACTGCGTAGGTATCATGCTTCAAGTGAGGGGTGGTACCAATCTCCCAATTGATAAGCACTTAGCTTCTGGAAAACCGAATACGAGTCCCACCAGCCGCCTCGATAGCGACCAAGCGTCGAGGCATGACGAAACGCGATGGCGTCGGCGACGTTGGTCGCGTGGAAAAGTACCGAGCATTGAGTCAGTCAGGGTTCGAGGGGTGACAGACTACCATTCCATGGCTCAGGCAGCACAAACGCAGGGCTATCGACGAAAATTCATTCTGGTTGGACATTATTGGACAGCCTACTCTCCACGACCATCAAAATCAGCCTTGGGATTGCCCCTGGGTTTTCATTCGCGTGGGCTGCATGTCACTTGCCATCTGCAGGAATTCACGGCATGGCCTGCCCCCAATTCGATAATCGTATCCGCCGCTCACTAAGCCCAATCCCTTCATGGCCCGGCGCCTGCATCTTAGGCCTACATCCAATCTGCTACCCGGCTATCTGGACCCTGCCATATGCACCCTGGACACTTGTAAGCTTGCGTTTCTAAAATACACCTGGCCCAACCTCCTCCGACGTGAGCACGAGAGACGCTCATTACCTTCCTGGATTCTTTCTCTTGGGCCACGACTAGACCACCCTTGCTACAGGATCGACCAAGCTCGCAGCGCCCGCTGCCTTTGCTTTTTGCTGGTTCCCATCGCCGTGTAACCACGCCTTCGCTTATCACCATGACGATTGAGGACGACATGTACGGGACTGAAAAGAGCTTTGGAAGAGGCTCGCAAGCCTCGGATTACTATGGCGAAAGCTCCGTACATAGAGATGGCATCGGGAGAAGAGTTATCGAGAGTTTCAAGAGAGATCCGAATTTCGTAGTCACGCCCAAGACGACTATGGGTGCTGATTCCAAGGTCTTCGATGTCGAGAGTGCAGCGGCTAATACGGCCAATTCGCCACTTGCGCGGAGACTCAAAGGCCGCCATCTACAGATGATTGCTATCGGAGGTTCGATAGGTATGTTACGGCCGTGTTGTCAACGGTGTGGCGTTCCACCAGGCTGACCTTTTTAGGTACCGGGTTGTTTGTTGGTTCAGGCCAAGCCTTGGGCAATGGTGGCCCTGGGTCACTCGTCATTGCATACTGTCTCGTAGGAATAATGCTGTACTGCACCGTTCATGCTTTGGGCGAGATGGCAGTGCTGTTCCCCGTTGCTGGTTCCTTCTCAGCATATTCGACTCGCTTTCTGGACCCCGCGTGGGGGTTTGCCATGGGCTGGAACTACGCTTTGCAATGGTTGGTTGTGCTTCCTCTGGAGATTGTTGCTGCGACTTTTACCATCGAATACTGGAATGGTGGCAAGGTCAACAACAATGTTTGGGTCGCTATCTTTCTGGTCCTTATCGTCATCATCAATCTTTTTGGGTATGTGAACCCATATACTACCTTTCGAACTTCATTCTGACAACCTCCAGCGTCAAAGGATATGGTGAAGCAGAGTTTGTGTTTGCAATTATAAAAATCACCGCGGTCATTGGCTTCATCATTCTAGGCATCATCATCAACATCGGTGGCGGTCCAGAAGGAGGCTACATTGGCGGTAAGCTCTGGAGCGACCCAGGTGCCTTCAACAACGGCTTCAAAGGTATATGCAGCACATTTGTCAACGCTGCATTTGCCTTCTCGGGAACTGAGCTCGTCGGTCTTGCTGCAGCAGAAACAGCCAACCCACGAAAGTCTCTCCCTACCGCTGTCAAGCAGGTCTTCTGGCGTATCTCGCTATTCTACATTGTCTCACTTACTATTGTCGGCCTACTCGTACCTTACACCGAACCGCGTCTTCTACAGAGCTTGTACAGCACCGATGCTGTCGCCTCACCCTTCGTCATCGCCATCCAGAACGCCGGCATCGAAGGCCTTCCCTCCGTCTTCAACGCCGTCATCATGATCGCCGTCCTCTCCGTCGGCAACTCCTCCATCTATGGCTCGTCACGCACCCTCGCCGCGCTCGCAGAGCAGAACCAAGCACCCAAGATCTTCGCCTACATCGACCGCCAGGGACGACCTCTTGTTTCCATCGCCTTCGCCTCAGCCATAGGCCTCCTCGCATTCCTTGCCGGCGCAGACCGCAAAATCCAAGAAGACGCCTTCAACTGGATGCTCTCCCTATCCGCGCTCTCCGCCGTTTTCACATGGCTCTCCATCTGCGCAGCACACATCCGCTTCCGCAAGGGGTGGAAAGTGCAGGGCCACAGTCTCTCGGAGCTAGCATTCCGCTCGCAGCCCGGCATCATCGGCTCGTACATTGGCATGTTCTTCAACATCCTCGTCCTCGTCGCCCAATTCTGGGTCTCTGTCTCGCCCATCCTTGGCCCCGACGAAGCGCCCCTAAATACCTCGGAACACCTGCAGAGGTTCTTCAGCGTCTACCTCGCCCTGCCCGTCACTATCGCCTTCTACATCCCGTACAAACTCTACTTCCGCACGTCGATTGTGCGCTCGCATAATATGGATCTGCACTCGGGTATTCGCGAGCTGAATATCGAGGCGCTGATTGAGGAGGAGCGCGAGGAGCGCAAGAGGTGGCCGCGCTGGAAGAAGGTGTACAAGTTCTTGTGCTGAGACTGATGCTTATGCTTTATGTGTGTCGTTATTAGCGATTATTTTGTCGTTTTTCTTGCAGCGTTTTGCGCTTCTTTGCCCCCCTCTTTTCTTTTTGGTTGCGTCTTGGTTTGTGATACCTACCAGGCGGCATGCTTCGAGCATTGCGCAGCCTTGCATACTAGCTTGTCTTCTATGTGGTTGTTACTGTGGAGCGCTGATGAGGTTGGGTTAATTATGATTGTTGTTGACGTTTCGCTGGGGTGATTGGAGGGTTCATAGATGATAAGTGATATGAGCTGGATGGGGATGAATGAAACCATGAACTTCATACACTATCGCTGTTTATGATTGAGTATTTGACTTCTAACGCCTGTGCAACGACCAGGTACGGCACCACCTTAGAGTTAGGTTATACGCTTGATTTACACACGTTCAACATATACCAGTGACGAAGCAAAATATACACATTTCTTCAACCTCAAGCGTCCAACTAAAAAAGCACTATACCAGGACCGTCCTTCCCTTTCGCCAAACACATTCTTTCAAATCAAAATCAAAATCCCACCACCAATTCATCCGCGATACTCCCTCAGCACATCATAAAAAGGCCGATAAAACTCCGTATTCCTCTCATCTCGCCTCCCCGCTCTAACCCCTATCCCCCCACCATCTCCACCAACCCCACGCCTCTCGCGAGTCTGAGGCCCAGAATCCCGTACGTCAATCCCCCCATCCCCCCGCCGTGGAAACGCATCCGAAGCACCCCCCTCCACCCCCCGACACGAAAAACTCACATCCGAGTCCGGTCTGCGACCCCCCGTCAACGGCCGCCCAGTTGAACTAACCAGCCTATCACGCCAGTGCTTCGACGAAGCCGCCGCGTGCTGCCATTTCCGGCGCTCGCGACGTAGCGGTGGGTGTTGGTTATGTTTCTGAGTCTGAGTGTGTGAAGGCAATATCGTGCCACTAGAATGAAATGGTAGGGAGACAGCGGCAGCAGGACCGCCAGCGCCGCCGCATTCAATGGCTATGTTTACTGTTTGGCCGTTGTTTGTTGCCATTAGGGGGCCTGGGTGGGAGATTTTCGCTTTGAGGGTTGAGTGGGCGTTGGTTTGGGTATTCAGGGGGTTGGCGGTGATGATTGTGTTCCATTGCCGTGTGGTGTTTGTGTGTTTTTCTGGTTGTGGGTGTTTGTGGGGTTGGGTTCTGGGCTGTTGCGGGGGGTGGAGGGTGGTTGGATTGGCGGTTTGTGATGGGTTTTTGTGTGTAGGTTTGGTGGTTTGGTGGTGTTTTGATCTGGGGGAGGGATGGGGTCGTGGGAGTGGTGGAAGTGGTTTGTTAAGGTTAAGAGCGATGTGCTCGATGTCAATACCAATGGGTACTTCCCGGGATGCCAGCGAGATCTGTCCGTCGCTTATAACAGAATCTTTCCGCAAATCCTTTCTCAATGGTATCTGACCGACATCTCCAGACCTTCTACGAGCTGTCTTTGGTGAACGTCGTATCGCTGGACGTGCTGCCGTCGCCCTGGCAGGCGGACATGGAGGCGTTCGAGGGTTAATGAACTTGTGCTCTAGGGACTGTTGTTTTAGCATGTACTCTTGCTTCTCCTTACAACACACCTTGATACCTTCCAACACTGCCTTGCCTTCTCCTAGAGATTTTGAGTTGTGCATTCCTCTCAAAGTTCGATACATCTTTGCGAGTTTCAAACCGGTATGTGTGCTGTGATCTTTACCTTTTAAAGGCCGAGTGGAACTGACCTTAGATGCAGCAGCACCTGCATTTTGAGCTTTGCCTCTCGGCGTGCTTTTTGTTCTTGGGTTGGGCTTTTTGAGAGTATATGGGAAGGAGGGGAATAGGGTGGTATCAGAGTCTCTTCGAGGGTCTTTTGACTTTGAGAGACTTTCGATCTCAGCGGCAGACACAACGCTGTCACGGCGTACAGCTCGATGACTTGATGTCGGGAACCCTACAGAATTTGGGTCGACCTGCATTCGAGACGTATCGGGGGTTTTAAGAGTCTCTGACGAAGTAGCTTCGTCTGTGGATTTACTATCTCTAAAAGTTGCCCAGGATCGCAGGCTTGGTGATTTTGTGTAGGGATCGGGCAGTTTTTGCAGGTCTCGAGCGTCATATATGGCAGCTTTTGTAAGAGGGGAGTCTGGCTGGCCATGATATGTCTCACTCTCGTCAGAGACTTTTGTGACGAAGACAGTATGGCAGGTTGAGCAGATTAGCTGTCCTGGAAGCTTCGTCGTCCTGTTTGCTCCCATCTGCTGTTTTTCTGGGATCGCTCTTGTAGCGGTTAATATCTTGTGCTGCATGCAAATTTATTGCCTAGACATGACAATTCGAAGATAGGTGATGCGGATACTATGATTGGTGGTGACATTCTCAAGAGGCTCTAGCAGATATATTGGATAGTATGCAGTGATAGTTATACGGCAGAATATGGTCGAGCATTGTGTTTTCATCAGACAAAGGAAGAGAAAGAACGAAGTGAATGGGGCGAAGAGACTTCTCACTCGACATAGTAAATATAGAACAAAGCTGCAGCGAGCATCTTCGCCGTTCGAGAGGATTCGAACTATACTTGAGGTATGACTTACAAGATTTCCACGCATGTTTGCGCGAAAAGAAAAAGAATCTGATGTAGGAGTAGTTTGTAGCACAAATAAAAGGTGGTGAGATGTGACGTACCCCTGTCCAACACTAGCTCAGCCCTACAACGCTCTAAACTGTCCTCAACGCGTGGTGTTGCCTGACGACTCTTCAACCACAATCACCATGATCCAGGCACTTCTCCAGGTAAGACATAATAATACACACACATAAAGACGTGAACTGACTGTCTCAGCGCCTGGCCCGCTGGCTAGACCGGCCGTTATTTCCATGGAAGAAGCTTGTCGTTGGCTTCTCGCTCGCTGAATTCGCACTTGAGAACTGGCTCCTCTTCCGCCAATACCGCGTTCTCCAGCGCACCACGGTCCCCAAAGCACTCAACAAGGAAATCGACTCGACTACATTCGACAAGTCTCAGGTGCGCACGTTTTCATTTTCAATACCCCGCGCTTAAGTGAGCTGACATGCAGCAGGCATACGGTCGCGCAAAGGCAAAGTTCGGCTTCATCTCCGGCGTCTTCAACCGCGTCAAGCACCTCGCAACTCTCTATTTCAATGTCTACCCCATCGTCTGGGGTGTCGCCGGCTCGTTGGTCGCCAGCTATGCGCCCGTCCGCTTCTCCGGCGAAATCACCCAATCGCTCCTGTTCATGTATCTGCTAGGATGGATCGACCTTGCGTTTGGCCTCCCGTTCTCATACTACCACAGCTTCGTACTGGAGGAGAAATTCGGCTTCAACAAGATGACGGTCAAGCTGTGGCTTTCTGACATGGTCAAGGGCCAGGCTCTCGCTCTTGCATTCGGTATCCCCATCGGCAGCGGATTCTTGGCCATCATCAAGAGGACGGGTCAGAACTTCTTCTACTACCTCTGGGTGTTCATGCTGGTTGTGCAGATCTCGGCCATGACAATCTACCCGATTCTCATCGTTCCCATGTTCAACAAGCTTGAGCCGCTAAAGCCGGGCAAGCTCAAGGAATCCGTCGAAGCGCTTGCGTCGAAACTCCAGTTCCCGCTTGCCGAGCTCCAGGTCATCGACGGCAGCAAGCGCAGCGCTCACAGCAACGCATACTTCACTGGACTACCCTGGATTGGCAAGAAAAAGATTGTCATCTACGACACACTGCTGGAGAAGAGCACCGAGAAGGAAGTCGAGGCTGTTTTGGCACACGAGCTTGGTCACTGGAAGATGAACCACACGTCACGACTCCTCTTCATCAGCCAGGCGCATCTATTCTACATTTTTGCACTATTCTCCGTCTTCATCAAGAACAGGTCGCTTTACGCCGACTTTGGCTTCATCCGACAACGGCCTGATATCGTAGGCTTTGTCCTGTTCAACGAGATTCTCTCGCCTACGGACTCCATTATCAAGCTGCTCATGAACGTATGGACCCGCAAGATGGAGTATGAAGCTGGTATGTCGTCTTGAAATTCTCCTCTGCTGAACTATGGCTGACCTAATCAATGTAGATGCCTTCGCTGTGGATCTTGGTTACACACGCGAGCTCGGAGCTTCGTTGATCAAGCTCCAGATCCAGAACCTTTCCAGCATGGACGCCGACTGGTTCTACTCTAGCTTCCACCACTCGCATCCCATCTTGACGGAGCGCTTGAAGGCTATGAGCTGGACGGGCGACAAGAAGATTGTGGAGGAAAAGGCCGCGGATGAGGATAAGCCGATCAAAGCTGGTGACCGGGAACTTTGAGACGGCTGGCGATGTATTGAATGGTACAGATCTTGGAGATCATAAAAGGCGCGTTTGAAAAGCATGTAGATGCGCAGATTGGCGTAGACGGTAGAACTGCTCGGTAGGAGCAAATCCACTCCGATGGATGAGAGTCGTCATATCCAATGCTCAGCTGTATGCAATTGCGGTGTCCCAAGTGTCGAACCCTCTTTACTCAGCGTTCTCCGCCCTCTTCTTCTCATTATCCCTCTTGCGCTCCGCATCCCTCGCCTTCTTCGCCTTCTTCCTCGCCTCCTTATCCATCTTCCCCCCCTCCCCATCCTCAATCTTCCTCTTCCCGTCGCCCCCAGTCGCCTCAATCTCCGGCGCCTCCCCCCCATCCTGCAGCGCATTACTCCTCTCGCCCAAATCGCCCACCTGAATCATCCCCTGACTCTCCTCATACCGCGCCATATCCTGCCACCCCTCCTCCGCGCCCGCCCTGCCCACCTTCCGCGCTTTCTTCTGCGCACCCGCGCCGTCCGCCACTACATCCGCGTCCGCCTCCGGCTCCGGCGTCGCTTCGGGCTCGAGATATTCGCCCCGCAGGCCCGCTGCTACGCGCCGCAGGTTGTGCATCACCACGCCGCCCATGGGCCCCCCGTGCGAGGAGAAAGTCACCCCCGTCGGCGTTATCAGCGCGTCGGGGTGCAGGTGCGGGTGGGCTTCCGAGTGCGCGAGGTAGGCTTCTAGCATGCGCGAGCCGGCGGAGAGCGAGATGGGGGTGGTGGAGATGTGGCGGTGGGGCGGGGGACCTTCGAGGGACGTCATTTTTTCGGGGGGTTGTGGGTGGGTGGGTGTATTAAGTAGGAGGGTTTTGTGAGGTGAGAGTTGGGGGGATTGGATGTAGTGGAGAGCGAGATTCGTTTCTCGAACTTTTTTGCGCACGGAGCATGTCCGCTAGCGTGGGTTTTCTGTCCACGCATGGCATGGTGGAACTTTGGGGTGGACGACTCCCGCATCGAAGAAATCGGCGACAAGAAAAGCCAATTAAACACACGATGAATGCGTTTCGCTGTCTACGGGTCCCGGCGACCGCGCTGCTCAGACCGTCGCTCGCAGCTCCACAGCGGTATCCATCAACCCTCCCCCAGAGCACAGTCTCCATAAACCACATGCTAACACCCACCCACAGATCCTCCCTCCTCCAACACTCCCGCTCCATCTCGCTCCTCAGTCCGCGCCGCCCCATGCTCGCCCATCCCTCCCCCCTCGCCGCCCCCGGCACGCCATGCGCCCCCGCGCCCTCCTCCGAAACGCTCGACTTGATGGGCAAGATATCCGCGCACCCGGGGCTGGGGAGCATGCAGATCCGCTGCGGACCGCGAGATACGTAGGTCATGTGCATGTCTTTGTGTTTGGGGGGTTTGGAGCTAATGGGGAGGCAGGTATAATCCGAGTCATATTGTGAGGAAGAGGAGACATGGGTTTTTGACGAGGCTGCGGACGAAGAAGGGGAGGAAACTTTTGATGCGGAGGCTGAATAAGGGGAGGTGGAATTTGAGCCATTAGGGGGTGGAAGGAGGTGTGGTATGGTTTGGATGGGAGGGTGAAGGACGGGGATTGTGCAGAGGAGGGAGATACTGGGCGAGAGCATTGTGTGTTTATTGTACATTGCACGCATAGCCTGAATATGTGATGGTATGGTTAGTTGACTCGACTCAATACACTCCGCCAATTTCAATGGTAGAGCATACAAAATATACAACTGCAAGAAATATCATGTAGCTCTGTTATCACCCTCCATTCAAAGCCTGAAATTCATATACCACGCCAGTATACTTCCATGGGCAAAATATCACACCGTCCAACAAACAAGCAAGCAAGCCAACATCAGACGTAAACGGTTCACATGTGATACCGCGACTCTAGCGTGCTTCCTCGCATAAGCAAGCCACCACACCCCCCTCCAATGGAACACATCAACAGCATGCAAACCGGTGCCCAAAGAAGCCAAGGGAGCTCCCATGCACGAACAACGGGGCTGAATATCTCATAGCGCCAACCAGCGTACGTGATCCGAACATGGTGGTCGAATCATAGGAAGCGGGGAAACCGCTTCCCTGCAGCAGCTTCACATCGCGTCGCAGCGGCGAAGAACCAAAAAGATTGACACTCCACTGAGTCTCGCACAGACCAAAACGCTGGCGTATTTGTACCCGCGTCTGCTCATCCACCTATCTTTCCTCGCTCCCGTCTGATACACATACCTCTTTACCACCACCATGTCCCGCGCAATGCCCACCCCACCAGGCGCCACGCAGCGCCTCCCCCAAATCAGCGCCGCAAACGAACTACTCCTCTCCGCGCTCGCTGCCCACCCCGCCTTCCGCGCCCAGTCGCTCCAGCGCGCGGGGAAAGTCTACTTCATGCACGACTTCGCGCAGCGCACGGGCGCCATGATCGACAGCATCGTGCAGAACACGGCGCCGCCTGATACGCCGGCGACGAGGGGCTCGGTGCCGAATGTGCCGCCTGCTGATATGAGTCGGGCGCAGCTGGATGAGCTGAGGGGTGATGCGGTGGGGCGGTGTATAATGTGAGTTGGTGTGTGAGGGGGGTGGGTGGTTCGATGTGCTGATGGGAGTGTAGGTTGCAGACGATGATTTCGGATACGTCGGGGAGGATGGGGGTTATGTTTGGAGAGGCTCCGGGGCAGGGAGTCGATTTGGGTGATGCGGTTAGGAGGGCGGCGAAGAATGTCGTTGATGTTATTGAGGGGAAGGAGGCGGGTGGTGCGTAGATGCCGTTTCGGACAGGTTGAGCGCCATGTCTTCCGCTTGGATTTCGAATCGTAGTCGATGTTGGACAATCCAGTAGCCAGGGGGGGTATCTGGCGAAACTGATGATGCCTATCCGTATATCTTCCGTGCCTGTGTTGATTTGGTGTCCAATGAAGATCTGTGTTACTCCTCTTGGTTGGAAGCAATCCTCATCGCGAAAGCATAAACATACTTCAACTTTCGCCCACTTCCGGTATCGATGGGGTCTTCTTCTGGTCCTCTTCTCGCTCTGCCACATCCGTGCTTAGATCATGTTCACCCCCATCTAAAGCCTCCACAAGCTTCAGCTCCTCTTCCACCTTATCAATCTGCTTCAAAATAAACGCAATCGTCGCATCCCTCGCCTTGTCCATCCTCCTCAGCGCATCCAACCCCATGCGCGTATAATCCTGCGGTTTCTGCGGCGTCGGCGGCGCCAGCTCCTCATCATTCAACCTCGCCTTCTTCTCCGCCAGCAACTTCCTCAACGCAAATATATTGTAATCTCGCTCTCTCAAGTTCGTCTCCAACTCTTTCCGCACCGCTTCATCATTGACCTTTTGTTTCTTGGCTGCTTGTTCCTCCTGTGCGGCCGTATCGGCAACTTTCCACTTCCAGATTGCTTCTTTGGCGCAATTTTCCATGTGCGTGAAGCGAACAGGGCCGATGTTCTGGCCACCGTACCAGCGCGCTACGACAACGACGCCTTCGGCTTGCGTGTCTACAAGCACGTTTTGTAAACGGCCCCCAGCCCACTTTTCACCGTCGTCGTCGTGGCCCAGATCATACAAAACTTTGGAATCCGGCATTAGGGACTTTTGACGTGAGGGCTTTCTCCATGCTGCGATTTTGTGGGTTGCGGTTCTGAATTCTGGGAGGGATTGGAGGGCTTTGGCGGAGAGTGTTGGAGAGTATGCGCCGATGAATGTAGATGTTTGTTCTTTTATGGATGTCGAGCGGAATATCTCTTGTGCACGGTTTGGGGAATTCGGGCGCTCCCTCTTCAGAGCCATCTCTTGTGATTTGGGTGTCAAGGTTGGTATGATCGGGTTGATGTTTGGTTTGGTGGTTGGTTGGAGAACATGGGAGGTTGGGAAGGTGCAAGCGAGATGGATCCGCACTTGCGCTCTTGCTGGACGGATGTCTTTCCGAGGTCAACTTATCTTCAGTCTAGACTTCATCTTCATCACTTTTGAGCTCGTCTCAGTTATGACTCATTTCGTTGAAGGGCAGAAGGTTGTTATTCTTATGTGACCATCCTTGTAATGATGGTTGTAATCATATGGTCTCTTGACATATCTATGGAGTAAATTCATGGTCATTTACCCATTCTCAACCTCATTTTCACGACTTTGAAGGATAACCGTAGCTGCCTTCGAAAATCCATCAGCAAGTATCATGATGCTAGAAACATTTGATAGAAGATCAGGACAGACAACCAGATCACAGACTTCTACAAGGTATCAAGGCACGCGGATGATAATGGTCTCCTTATTTGGAAAACACCCCGAATCAAGATGTTTTCAAAGTATGCTGCCTTGCTCAAGTATCATTGAGCTCGGCACGGTCAGGTAAACATGCCTCTTCTCTTACTCTCTGACATCTACGGCTAGCTATAACATACAAAGCCATCTTTCCTTGCTCTTATGCCAACGTTTTTTTCTCCCATCAACTTGATCGTATCTCCGCTTCAACGTGAAGGGCTGCCGTTGCGCTTGCTCCGCCTCCGACCTTTCAGGTCGCTGCTTTGAATGACCACTCTCTTGGGTCTTCCGCTTCTCAGTCCGTAAACACATCATATTCGAGCCTGTACTCCTGGATATTGAGTCATCATCTCACCTGAATACACATATCTTTCCCTCTCTGCGTTAAGGGTCCGCCCGAAGTGGGAACTCACCTGCACGCTTGGCGCACTGCGACTATAAAGGATACAAACACTGACCCCTCACCCACTACCACGACCTGATTTCTGAAGACCACCTCAACTGCAAGCAAGACTGTTTACTGAATCGCTAAAGGTAAGTTCGGGGTTGTTGTTGTGAAGCAAGACCAAACTTCCACCCACGAGATAATCCTCAAGCTGGCTTGAGAAGCCTGCTTCCAAGCTATGCGTCAAGAGCCCATCCTGCTCAAGTCAACCTCCCTTGCTAATACATGACGCTCCATAGCCAGGAATAAAGTCGCGCTTCAACCTTCTTTAGTCTCCTTCAACTGCAAGCCAGAATGGGGCGCTTTGACACTCTCAACGATGACACCAAGGACTTGGTCAATTGCCTTCTCCCAGCTTTAGCTGCATCCTTCAAGCTCTCCAACGCCGTGGATATCATCCCGGAGGATATTCGCATGCGCGCTTGGGATTGTGAGAAGAGGGATCACATCAAGGACCAGACCGAGAATGACCCGCGCAACTGGGGCGTCCAGTTCCTCAAGGACCTCATGGCCATCTCACGCCTCAAGGGTGGAAACCTCACCGTGTTTCACACTGACCTACGCGAAAAAGTCGCAAAGCATGAGCCAAAGCATCCATGGTGTCGGCTAGCCGATATCAAGGAGATCAAGGACGACTATGAGAACCCCGGTCGCAAGAACGAGATCAAACCCACCACTCAGTACTCCTCCTCTGGCTCCTCCACCGACTCGTACTTTGAGGAACTGGTTGAGCCCGAGGACCCCAAAGGCCGGAAGCGTGGCCGTAAGCAGCACAACCACGAGGTCTACGAGGCTCGCGTCCAGGAAACCCGCAAGCGCCGCAAGTGTAAGTCTACATCACATGTTCAGCATAACCTAGCACGCTGCTGACGCTGCTCAGATGGATCGCATGGGCGTCTCCGCCGTGCTGAAGACGGCGGTTTCCACCGCAAAGACAAGCACGATCGTCGCCGCAAACACTCCTACTCCGTAGAGCGCGCCACTCCCAACACTGACCGCCGCCCTGTCCACCGCCGTCTCATTCCCTCCGATGACGACGACAATACCAACGACACGTCTCTATATCCTCGTCACACCCCGATCCTCTCGATCTCTCCTGCCCCCCGTCGTGCTCACCCATACGCGGTAGAGGACTTCGACATCACTAACGAGCCCCTCGCCGTTCAGAAGCTTCAGGCTGAGTTGGAAGTCGCCGAGGCGGAACTAAAGGCTGCTCGGCTGAAGTACGCGTACATCCAGGCGAAGGAAGCGGCGGAGAGCCAGAGCCCGTTCAGCGGCAATGGCATGGAGAACGAGGCTTACTCGGGTAACTAGAAGTTTCTCGATCTTGTTCTTGGATGGCGTTTGGGCTACGCAGGTTAATGTACAGTATGGATTCATGGGGGGTTGGCTGTATCTGAGCATCAGAGCTTGGGGGTATTGCACTGGTTGGTTAGCAGCTGGGCTTTTGCATATCCATGTCTTTCTTGGATGCTGCTTGTCATTTCTGTAGATGATTGGTGTGCTTGGTTCGCGGGTTCGCAGGCAGTACAGCGTAGTATGGGGAGTGCCCGAATTCCTTCTTCACCCTCAGTAACGCACGCACGACCTGGAGTCGTCGCCGTGAAACCTTCTACGTACACACAAAACGCCCAAATAAATACAACGTTTCATATATTCTCAGAGTCTGTAAAGCAAACAGTTCTTTTCTCCATGAGCAGTTCACAAGTACCCATCCACGAAGGAGATACTCCTTCTCCCTTCCCCCAACTCTCCACCGCATGCATACTTACACCCACCCCAACAGCCATGAAACGATACATCACCAATGTACCGTCCTCGAGACATACCACCGTGCTGTTGCCGCTCAACCACCTCCCTTGGTTCACCCAAACCTATACAAGGACGCCTGCATCTCGCCAACAAAGCGCGCTGCGAAGCCCCTATGTCAAAATCAAGACCAAGGCACAAACACGTAGAAGAAGAGTGTCTCTCAACCGCACGCATGCAGAGGAACGAGGGGACAGCCTCGATACAACATCTGCACACCTTGCAACAGCATGTTTGATATATCACATCTTAATTCACCAACCAACTCTTTACTCCATTTTGCGTTCTTGGTGCCTGTTGACTCCTACTCATCTTGCAATGTGTCCATCCATCTCCTTCAGAAAAGCGACATGGACATCAAAGCCACCTTTACAACTAGAAGCATACCAGGACATCTACAGAGACAGAACAGGAAGTGTCCAAGCAGCGTAACAACAAGGAAACATCTCACTTCATTCCCCAGCACACACATCACTCACTCCAACCCAAAACCACAAGTCAACAAGTCAACAAGCGACAAGAACAAAATATATACGATTTGAATTTGCATTTCCCATTATCAGCAGACCCAACAAAAAACGCGAACTACAATTACACCCCATTCCATGCCCATCCTCAAATCCTACAAAACCCGACCAGCAGTCGACGACGTACTCCTATCCTTAGTCTCCACCTTGCGCAAGCCCTTGCCAGCCGTGATCTCGCCAAGAAGCGCGCCGCGACTGGGCACTCCACCGGGCGCTCTCATCGAGGGCATTGGTGGCGGGGGAGGGGCTCCCGCACCGGGGGGTGGAGGCGGGCCGGGAGGCGGCGGGGGTACAGAGCCTGTAGGCATTGGTGGAGGTGGTGGGGCGCCTGAGGGAGGTGAGGTTACGGCTGGGCTTCCAGAGCGGGAGTCCTTGTTGTCGAGTGAGGAGAGTGGGCGCGGTGGTGCCATGGTGCCGAAGAGGATGGAGGCGAGGTGTTTGGCGCCGCCTGAAGGAGCGTCTTCTTCGTCTGAGGATGAGTCGTCCGAGTCGACGACTGACCAGTCGTCGTCGTCTTGTCTGCCTCGTGTGCGAGCGGGGGCGGCGACGGGCTCGTTGAATGTAGGAATCGTGGCCTTGTTGGCGTTCTCTTGGGTGAGACGGTGGAATGGGTTGGTGGAGACTTCGCTGGTGCTTGACGGGAGTGGTGGTGTAGAGATGGCGCTGTTTTCTTGGCTGGACATGGCCATCTTCTTCAGGAACGGGTTCTTGGTTTCGGTATCGCCGTGTCCAGGATGGGGGCTGGTCAAGGACGACGCAGGCGGGCTGGCGACGGAAGACGGGGGTGTGTTGTTCTGAGTAGCTTGGGGCATTGGTGGTGCTTGCGGCGGTGCCGTGTCTCGTGGCAGTTCTTGACTAGCGGTGGGTGTAGTGTCTTGCGGAGTGATGTTCTGGGGACCATCATCGTCATCTGATGAATCCTCATCATCAAGAGCCTCCAGTTGCAGTTGCAGCTGTCGTTCGCGTTCACGAGCGGCCTCGATCTCGGCACGTTGAGCGGCCAATCTCGACTCCTTCTGCTTTGCCTCTTTTTGGACACCTTCCCTACGCTTCTTCTCCTCTGCTTTCTTGAGTTTGCCTTGCTGCACTTGCTCTTCCAAGGCACGAAGCCTGGTCTGTGCAGCCTCACGTTCCTTGGCCAACTCATCTTCTTGTCTATGTTCCTCTTCCCTGATACGGTTGTTAGTATAAGCTGGGTCGATAGTTGGCGATATACATACTCCATGCGCCTCGTCTCTGCTTCTTGAGCCCCCTGTTGCTCGCGGATCGCTCTCTCAGCTATTTCATTCTCTGCTCTCTTTGCTTCCGCTTCGGCCTGCTGGACATCGTGTTGTGCAAAGTCTGCCTTGTTCTTACGTGAGGCCGGTGGAGGCGGTGCTGGCTTCTTACCACTGCCCTTCGACGAGACAGGTGGTGCAATTGATTCATCGTTGAGCCTTCTTTCACGTTCTTCTTCGCGGCGAGCATCTTCTTCCTCGGCTTGACGAAGCTTCTCCTCGCGCTCCTTCTTCTCTCGGTCTGCACGCTGTTGAGGTGTTTCGCCGGCTTTTGTTGGTGCTCGGATACCCAAGGCAGCCAGGCGTTCAGCCATGCGCTGCTCAGCTTGTTGCTTAATGAAAGCAGCACGCTCTTCAGGGGTCCTAGTGGCTGAGGTAGCAGGACGTGGCGTGGTTGTAGCGCTACGAGCAGGGCTATCGTATCGAGAAGACGACACGGAACGGGGTTCTTCTGAACGAGCTGACGGCCTATGGTTGTCGCGTGACGAGCTGTGCGTTGTTAGTTCAATACTTGATCCTCGTGAGGAATGACTGCTTACTCTTCCTTGCGAACGCGAGACGCTCGGCTGCTTCGCTGGAGATCGAAGATGAAGTCCTTGACCTCATCTTCTACCCCCAGAGCTTCCTCCCACCTACGTCGTTCGTGCTCACTGCTGTTGTCATGCCCTCCTTCCTTCAGACTTGCTTCCAGTCCCTTGGTGAACTCATTGACGCTGTCCTCCACATCACGGATCATGCGCTCGTTGTTCTCCTTCTCAGCCCTGATACGCGAGTTTTCTTTTTCTAGACGCTCCGTTGCAGCACCAGTATCGTCGCTAGCAGGAGCTGGCCTTCCAGTCAAGGCGGCAGAACGTGCTTGCATCATAGCTTTCGCGCGAGCCTTCAAGCGATCTGATTCGGTCACGGCGCCACCAGGGCCAGTACCAACGACTGACGATGCGGATCCAGGGTGTGCTTTCGCATCCTTGAGTCTGAAGAGTTCTAGTTGCGCTTCGGCGATTTCGCGCTCAGTTCGGCGCACGTTGGATGCAAGCTCCGGCAAGCGATCTGTCAGATTCTGGAGTTGGCGCTTGAGAGCGCGACGCTCTGCATCCGAATCGGTTGATCTTAGAGACGCCTTTGGATGAGCATCGATATCTTCTTGTATCCTGCGGATGCGACGATAGAGATCCTCAGCCTCTCGGCGGTCTCGGCGATCAAGAGCATCGTCCTCGTCTGCGCCATTCTCGTCCCGAATGTCCATTGCGTCCAAGAGAATCTGCTTCTCCTTGACCGATTTCTTTAATTGTTCGAGAGACATCTCATCTGATCGTTCTGGGGCAGGACTTGGAGATGGTGATCGACCGTCAGCCCCAAGGCGATGCCTAGCGCTCGAACGATATCCGATGTTGTCGTCGTTGTTCCGGAAAACAGTGGCGTCCTTGCGACCACCAGCTGCAGGACTTCCAGCTCGGAAAGAGTGGGTCTTGAGGTAGCTAACACCAGTACGCTGAGGTTGAAGGAATGCGCCAGAGTTCTTTCTGTCCTCAGCGTCACCACGAAGCAGAGACTTCATTGCACCAATGGAGTCGTTGATGTTACGTGTAGACGGAGGGATCAACTCTGGAGGAAGACGGTTAGGGACGGGGTATCCGTTCAGCTTACGATAGATGAGATGCATAGCTACTGCGAATTCATCGAGATTAAGCCGGCCGCGATCAGCAGAGTCCGCGAGTGTCCATACTCGTTCAAGATCAGGCTTCGGAAGCCCACTTTGTCCGAGGATCTCAATAGCTTGCTCTCCACTGATATATCCCTTCCCCATGCCGTCCCAAGCCCTGAACGTGTCGTCGTACAGCTTCTTCTCGCCCTTTGTGATAGCCCATGGGATGGTCGCATTTCCAGTCAGGCCAACGGTAGTGTGGTTGCTGCTCTCCCTCCCCGTCTGAGGCATCATGCGCGCAGCAAGAGACTCGATGTTGGGCAGCCCCGTGGCAGGCGTGTTGACCAAACCCCACTGACCAGGAAGGCCTGTTGGCTGCGCGTTGAGAGGGGCCATGCCCGTCTGATTGGGGGTCAGATTCGACCCAAAACCAGTAGGCATCGGAGGCATGGGCGGTCTCGGACCATTGTAGCCTCCAGGAGCCTGCCCGAACCCGGTGGGCTGCGGCTGCATCATAGGCATTTGACCATATCCAGTAGGCTGAGGAGCTAGAGAAGACAGCAGCTGGCTGTTCGACGCCTGCGGTTGGGGCTGCTGGATTGTAGGGACATTCTGCGAGCTGTCGAACTTGGGCGCGTTACCCGATGCACTAGGGCGGTTCGACTGCTCCTCTGCGACAGCAAACGAGATGATATCCACCATGCCCGAGACCTCGTTCTTGACGCGGTCAGGCAACGTATTCGGCAGGTCCTTGCCCGTCAGCTTGAGGTTGCACAGGTACATGGCGAGGGCGAACTCGGGGAACAAAAGCTGGCCAGATTTGGTCGTGTCGGCCAGAGTCCTATGTTTGTTAGCATCAATTGGTTCGCTGCAAGCACCACACCCACCAGATATGAGACAGGGCATCTCCCGACAGCTTGGAGCGCATCAGGAGGTCACGCGCCTGGTCGCCCGACAGCGCCTGGGAAGTGCCCACGGCAGACTTGAAGAGCTGCTCGAACTTGGCCTGGTCTTGCACCGTGATGAACGACAGCCGTATGTTGGGGATCTTGCCCGTCTTTGCGGGGACGGGCGGGGGCACCGATTGCGACGAGCCTCTGAACGAGTCGGCCATCTGCGCCGAGGTCATGCCCGTGGGCTGTGGCCTCTGCGGCTGGGCGGGAGGCTGCTGCTGGGGCGGCGCGCCTGTCTGAAAGGGTTGTTGCTGGGGCGCCGGCTGCTGGAATTGCGATTGCTGCCCTGGATAGCCGGTGAACTGCGGCTGCAGCTGCTGCCCAAAGCCCTGCGGCTGGCCCGGGAAGCCTGTGTACTGCGGCTGCATTGGACCTCCTCCAAAGCCCGTCGGCTGAGGGCCCAATCCGCCCTGGAAGCCGCCGGGCTGCTGGAACTGCTGCTGCTGTTGCTGCTGGCCATACTGCTGCTGACCGGGCCGGGCGCTGTTTCCGCCCCCTAAGTACGAGTTGGACCCTGAGAACATGGTGGACGAAGTGTCGCGGGTCGAATGCACGGCTTAGGCGTCGCGCATGCGGCGATTATTAAAGATAGGTAGAAGACGCGTGCGGGCGACGGTGGTGGGTGAGGTGGAAGGTTGCGGTTGAAGCCGCGTTGCTCAAGTCTACGGTTCGCGCTAGTTGGGGAGGATCCAGGGATCGTTCGTCATCCAACATGAGCGAACTCGACCAAGCCACGACCACGACCACGCCCTTCTCACCTCGCACAACCATGTCGAACGCCCCGAACGGGAATACACCAGGGTCGCGTCCTGAAGCCGACCTTGCCGAGGTACGACTTTGGATGGTTGCTCAGGAACAACAAGTCCTAATGGCTTCTTAGGCTTTCAAGGAGCTTTCGCGAGGCGAACAAACCGCAGCTTCTATGGAGCAACACCTCGATTCGATCGAGAAAAAGATAGAGGAGCTTCTGGCCCAAGCAGAACAGGCAGAGAAGGACATGGCTGCATCGACAGCCAACAAGCCGCCGCAAGACAAGGGCAAGGATTCGTCTTGAAACTGGATACCTCCAACACACTTCCACGAATACCACGCATAAAATGAATGCCATGCCACGGTCAGATGGGTAGAGGAGTCTTTCGCATAAGTAGCTACAGACATGGTTATAAACATTCCAAAAAATATCACTCCAACATCAGGGTATACATCTCCTAGCAGCCTCCAATCGTCGATGGCTTCACTGTCGAGCCATCCATCTTGAACACTTCATCCAAATGGAACACTCCATCGCTGTCCTTCTCCACCACACCCACCTCAGTGATGATGCCGTCAATAAGCTCAGCAGGAGTGACGTCGAATGCCGGGTTCCACACTCCAATACCATTCGCAGCAATGCTGATAGTCTCAACAACTCCAAGATCCAGACTCACACCATCGTGTCGGGGACCCTTGACCATAGTCACTTCCTTACCAGGTCGCTCCTCGATGACAATGTCTGCTCCGGACTTGGTGCTCAAGTCGATGGTTGTTCTCGGTGCAGCGACCAAAAACTTGACGCCGTGGTGCTTAGCTAGAATGGCCAATGAATAGGTTCCGATCTTGTTGGCTGTGTCTCCGTTCGCAGCTACACGGTCTGCACCAACCACAATACCAGCAATGTTCTCACTCTCTCCTCGTAGTCGAAGCAGCGCTGCCGCCATGGAGTCAGTGACCAGAGTGGCTGGTATTTGGTCATGAACGAGTTCGAACGCTGTCAGCCTGGACCCTTGGTTGTATGGCCGGGTCTCAGAGCAGAACGCATGTTTCAGTGTTCCGTTGGAGTGCAGCGACCGTATCACTCCAAGAGCTGTTCCGTATCCAGCAGTCGCAAGAGACCTGAATGCTTAGCAGGTCATAGTACGTCGCGAAGAAGGTCACTTACCCAGTGTTGCAGTGTGTCAGCATGCTCACCGGGCCCTTCTTTCCAGCCTCAGTGTTCTTGACAATCCACTCTGCACCGTGATTTCCAATGTTCTCGTTGTCGCTCACGTCATCAACTAACATCTTCTCCGCTGCCTGCACATACGCCTCCCTCACTGCATCTCCACTCGCTCCCTCCTTAGCCGCAGCTTCGTCTGTAATCTTCCTCAGCTTCCCTGCAGCATCCGCCAAGTTGACAGCAGTGGGCCTGCTCGTAACCAAATAATCCAACTTCTCCTTGATGAAAACTTCGACTTCTTCCGCCACCGACGAAAGCTTCATATTAGTCAGCTCGACCGCCAGGGCTAAAGCAGCCACAATGGCAATTGCAGGCGCGCCTCGCGTCCGCATCTCTTTGATTGCGTGCCATGCGTCGGTGCTGGAGTAAATGTGGTCGTATTCTTCGGCATGGGGTAATTTGAGCTGGTCGAGGATTTCGAGCTGGCCTCGCGTATATTTGATTGCTTGGAGCACCATCTTGAAGAACTTTGATGTCACGGAGTTGTGTTTTGGAGCTACAGAAAATTTCAAGATGGTGAGCTTTGGGTCGTGATTGCCCCACTTGTACCTAACGTATATGCGGGCGCTTTTGCAGGGGTGTGGGATGGTGGGGTTCGTTTGCGCATACGTCAAGGTCGCACGGAAGAGCTCGACATATCATGTTTGTGCAATTGGTCTTGCTGTGAGCTGTTCTACGTCGTGAATGAGCTTTGAAACTCATGTCAGATGCATGCGTGATGAGAGTGCATCCTATTCGCAGACATTGACTGTCCAGTCCACCTGCCCGACCAATACTTAAGCTTGAAAAGTTGCATGGCGTTGACATCACGACTGACCATACAGAGGTAATGCACGCAGCTAATTAGGGAAAGAGGGATGAGTGTTCTGGTTCTGTTTTGCAATCTGGTATGTTCACCACACTTCGTCTCTCTTACACTTCACGTTTCGCTCTTCGACCATCACTCACAGCATCTTTCAGACATTCTTCAACTATCGCTACCCACAGCATTTCCAAGATGTCGTCGAACACGCTCAGCATATCCTCAACCCTTCCACTCCTTAACTCGTCCGCCAAAATCCCCCAACTTGGCTTCGGCGTGTACCTGTCTCCCGCATCAACATGTGTCAACTCCTGCCTCAAGGCTCTCGAAGCTGGATACCGTCACATTGACACGGCTCAGTATTATGATAACGAAACCGATGTCGGGCGTGCACTCCGCGAGTCCAAACTGTCGCGTGAAGAGGTCTTCATCACCAGCAAGATTCTCAGCGCGGGCAGTGATGTCGAGTCGACATACCAGAAGATCGTGGAGAGTGTAGAGAAGCTTGCTGGAAAAGACGGCTACGTGGACTTGTTCCTTATCCACACACCCAACGGAGGCGCAGAAAGCAGGAAGCTGATGTGGCTGGCACTGGAGAAGGCGAAGGAGGAGAAGATAGTGCGAGATATTGGCGTGAGCAACTACGGTATCCAGCACATTGAGGAGATCAAGTCAATTGGCAAAGTATGGCCACCGACCGTCAACCAGATCGAGGTATGTGTCCACTTCTTCAACACTTTCGAATTGTACTGACAAGCTACAGCTTCACCCATGGTGCCAACAACGCGACGCTGTTGAGTACTGCCAGAAGAAAAACATCGTTGTCGAAGCCTACTGCCCTCTTGTCCGCAACCAAAAGGCCGATGACGAGACCCTGCTCAGCATCTGCAAGAAGCACAAGGTGGGCCCAAATCAAGTGCTCGTACGCTGGAGCCTGCAGAAGGGATGGGTGCCCCTACCCAAGAGCGACACTCCCTCCCGGATCGTCAACAACGCTGAGATCTACGGCTTCGAGCTGGACTCTGACGATATGGCGAAGCTGGATGGGTTGGATCAGGGCAGCAAGGGTTCAATCGTTCAGGCCGTCAGTAACGAGTAGGGGACCAAACTCCTGCTATCCCTGTTAACAAAAGCGTAGTTGAAGAACGGGAGCGTCGAGTCTGTCAGGGAGATTCTGCAACACGATCCCTAGGAGGAATCAGAACCCGAGGAAGTTGACGGTGTGACTAAATTGACCCGCGAACTCACGCGAGAGATGGACGACACGAGTTTGGAAGGAGATGGCGAGCCGGATGTTGTGAGCGCTGCCACGCCCTTTTACCCAGAGGTTCGTACTTCTAGAGCGGGCGTGCTCGACAAAATTGGATTGCTGTGGAAGAGAACCAAAAGGGTGTTTCACGACTGCTTCATGGCAACGGACTAAGATACTGGTGCCTGGTCATGCGATGCTGGATATATAGAAATCGTACTACGCTTTGGAAGTCAATACATCCATCCAAGTCATCATCAGCTGTCGTGAATGCAGACCCCCTTAGACCCGTATGCTGAATTGTAATGAAGAAGGGTGTTTAGGATTCACCTAGCGAGAAAATAAAACACGTCAGACTCCTACATGAATATTTGGCCTATGCGACGGCTCGAGAAAGTAACCATGTAGTCTCAAGACCAAGCCAAGTCGTCGAGAAAGAACTGAACCGAACCACCCTCCCACCTGGGTACTTCTGTCGATGTCACCTTGCTTTCGCAGGGTATCTCGCTGACAAGTCTTGCTCTAGCACGCTCTGGTCATGGCGTTTGTGCATCTGAACAGCTTTTAGAAGGTGAGTCTGATGTAGTCAGGCTTGCGTTATGGAATGATCGTGTGGAGCTGAGAAGTATACCGTGTGATTTTGAATGGAGAAGGAGAGTTAAAAGGAGGAGCGGTATTCGTCATCACGTTATTTCACAGTTCAGATGAGAGGAGTTTGAAGATTCGTATGCGTCTATTGTGTATATGATGATCATTACTTTTGAGATGTATTGAAGGAAAAGGGTATGCCGGGAGGTCTTAGGACCTCTTGAAATATCAAACGCCACGCAATGCAAAACACAAATGTAGGGTGTATGGAGCCCTTAGAAGTTGATGCGGAACCTGGGGTTCGTGCGTATCCGCTGGCCGTAGAACTTGAATAGCACCGGTACGGGGATGAAAGCTAGAGCAATAAATCCGAGCAGCGAATTGCCCCAGCCCAAACCTAGCGCGTCGTACATGTCGAGGCCGATGAGGGGAAGGACAGCGCCGAAGATGGAGCGCAGGACTGTGTTTGCAGCGATGGCGCTGGCGGCGTGCACGGTAAAGGCGTCTACGAGGTATGTTTGAATAGTCATCAGGGCAGTGAGGTTGCCGACGCCGATGAATGCTGTGCCGATGATGGGAACGATCCAATGTACGCCGTAGTATGCTGACCACCCGTAGATGAATATACCGATTGGCATGGAGATTGCACCTGGGAGAGTGAGGACGATCGGGAGGCGGTGCTCAGGTGTTATAACCTCGCCGTTGGCTTGAGCTTTCTTGATGAGTTTGTCCGACATTATTCCCATTGCTGCCATTCCGACCATCATTCCGACGCCGATACCCACAAATGAAACGCCGCTTGCGCCAGATGAGAAATGGTACGTTCCTACGAAGGTGAAGGTCATGGTAGTAAAAAAGAGATACAAAATGCCGTAGTTGATGGCCACGTATAGAGCCATCAGTCCCACAATGGGTGACAAGAAAAGCATTTTCATGGGTCGTGTGATGGCTCGGATAAAGATCTCCTTCGCTGGTAGTCCGCTTGCGAGTTTGGAGCGTAGATTCGGGTTTCCTGTTTCCTTTCGAAGGCGTGCGGCTTTGCGCTCCAGGATTGTGGTGGCATATGTTTCGCGGCCGACAATGTAGAGCGAAATTCCAGAGATACCCCCAGCGATGGCCAGTATCCAGAATACCCAGCGCCATGAAGCTGTCTCGACGAGGAATCCACCGCAAACGGGACCGATGACAGGACCAAGTAGAGGTCCGATTGAATATATCGCCATAGCACCTGCTCGCTGTTGCAGAGGGAACATGTCTGAAACGGTTCCACCCCCGATCGTCAACGGGCAACTTCCAGCGCATCCAGCGAGAAGTCGGAAGGCTATTAACATGCCCATGGAGTTGGAAGCCGCGCAGCCAATGTTGAAGACGATGAACAGCACGTTGCAGATATTGTACAGTAGCATACGGCCATATAGCTCTGACAGGGGCGCGATGATCAGGGGGCCGATTGCGAATCCGAGAATATAGACTGATACGACGAAAGTGGCCATCAATTTGGACGTCTCGTTGAAGGCTGCCAAGACATGGGGAACGCCAGGAGCGAAGAAGGACGACGCCAAGGGTCTACGATACGTATTAGTCAGGCAAGGAACTTCAAGAAAGTAAGTGAGTACGTACGTGATGAGAGTAATAAAGCCTAGCGCGGCTATGATCTGCCACTTCTTCCCCGCAGTCCAATTTTGTGGGTTTTGGGGATCATCTGGGCCATCCCAGTCCACGATATCGGGATCTCGCTCCTCTTCTTGAACCGGCGCCTCGCTCGTCAGAGTTCGTTCACCGCTGTGTACTGAGTTTGCATGGCTGTGCGCGCCCTTCTCCAAGTCTTGGTTGAATACATCTGGTGGGGGAATCAGGTCTGCATCGTGGCCGTGCTGGTAGGCGTCGACAGCTTTTTCGTCTTTGAGATCTTGAGTGTCGCGAACAGGGTTCGGTAATGAGGCAGGTGTTGCCATTGTGAGTGGATGTATACTCTAGAATGACATGTTAGCTTGTGCCTGAAGAGTTCGTTTGTATGTTGTAGGTGTCAGGTTACTGACAAGCACACCAACTAAAAGTAAACCTACCAAACTGTGGAAGAAATCAACGAAAGCGCACTAGGTCTCGTTGTAACACACACTGGCAGTTGATGTAGAAAGTTTGATACAGAAATGTGAAGTGTAGGGAAGCAACGAAGATAAAGGAAACGAAATGAGCAGGGTGCGAGTGCGAACGAAGTGGAATTACCACTGGCCGTATGCACTGTATCTCCAGAGTTAACCCAAGCTACAACGCCCAGGATTGACCACTATTGTCTGAGCCAATTACCTCGTAGCTCCTATGCGTTAAGAGAAGCTTAATCGAGCTTGAGATGGCTAAAAGACGTCTCGGCGTTAGAACGGAAGACGTTTCCAGGCCGAAACTCCGATACAAACGAAGCAGACCAGGGCATTTGTATTTCGTAGATATAGGAGTGCGAAAGCGATGCTCTGCTATTGGTGGAGAAGGCATGTGCCCGCACGGCCCTGGTCTATACCCTTTGTGTAGCCGCGAGTAAGTGTAAAACGGACGAAAAAACACGCGTCGGTGACCGAACGGACAGGCGCGAACATCTCAACATTCCGACCCTCACTTACAAGTGTCTTCATGACTCAATAAGAGGTCGGCCCAAGAACCTGTAAAGTATTTTGCGATTGTTAAACATCATTCGCAACACGTAGTGAGTATAGTTCCTACATGTAACAGCGTGCGCGCACTCAGACTCTCGTGAGATGGCTATCTACCGGTACAGCCAACCCTGCATTTCCCCTCTCCACCGTGCCCCGCATTTGCGGCTTTGTCCATGGTGACCCACTGTTCCCCAGACCCGATCTTTCGCACATCTTCTTACGTACATATGTGGATCACTAGACGTAGACAACAGTTCAGCGTATTTCTTTGGGCAAATACAATCATAACAATCAATCTACATCTAATGAATACGCAGCAGTAACGGTCGTTCATTTCGCACGTCCAGCGTACATGGTAGATGTCATGGAAAGCTTGTGTAACTAGATACAAGTGAATGGGACTCTATACGTCCAGTAACTCATGATGAATGCGCACACCTAGAGACCGACATGATATGCACACTCTCGGTCGATCTCAGTACCAGGACTTAAGGCGCAGCGAAATCTTGCAATAATTTGACAACTACATATGAGATTAAGGAATCTTACGTCTCAAGCCCTAGCAGTATACGCCTAACGTGCACTTTTGCAAGTTCTATCAAAGTAGTTTTGCAGTTTGTACGAGCCACCAAAGACGCAGTATAATTCCTGATGCTACACTTGACTGAGAAATCCCTCAAGTTATCAGACTCAACGAAGAAACACATTAACGCCCTCGATACACCATCATTGTACAGTTACACTAGGCAGCGAGAGTGTCATCGATAAAACCTATACTACAGCCTTCGACGAACCTCACCAGCTCGACAACACCAACACACTAGAGAGATATAAGTTTAATGGGAGGTATAATAACTGATCGCATAGTGTAGGTAGGATATCAAACTATACATACCGAGTGTTGATGATTGAACACAGCACCGAAATAGATTAACATGAATAAAAAATCATTGATTGATTGGAATATATAAAATTGCTCGAACTGAACATGTGTCCTGAGATGATTTGGATAGCCAATAGCTTACACATGCTCACTTCTGTATTGCAAGCCCAGTAAGGCATCAGTTCGTTCATCGTCAAGGGACACTGGCCAGTCTCGAAATAAACCTCTACTTCGACCTCGCTCCAAGCATATGGTGCGAGTATATATGTCTGCGTGAAATGATTGCCCTGGTCTATGAGAAACACGTACCCATCTTGCCTGTGACTGATTAGTACATCGTCCTTTGAGAAGACTTGTCTCTACTGTATCAGTCTTGAGCTCGTGTGTTGTTATTGCCACGTACTCGCGCAGTCCGATTTGGAGGGTGGCGTTAGCGAAAGGTATTCCAATCATGTAGAGGTATCATGACTGACTGATTGAATGTCGTAGCGGTTGCATGGAAGAGGAGTGAATTGACTCCCTGCGCGGAATGTCTCGAGATGAAGTTGGCGACTGTAAAGAATGTACTTTAGTTCTTGAAGGAATGGTGTGCATAGAGCTCATGGTTTCAGATACGATAAAGTCTCATCAAATGCAAGACTGTGCCTCGTTACGGCCAACGACTGTAGGAACGGTACTCTGGGACACGATAACAAAGCATATGTTAGCTCACTTCCAGCGGCCCGGCTCTTGGTTGCAAAGAAGCCTATAAGTTCGCATCATTTGTGGTTGAATTGTAATCAAGTAAGTCTATATCTCTAACCTTACGCCCATAGTCTATTCCGTGGCATCGTGCATCCGCACGGCCGACCCTCCAAATCGCACTCGCATCTAATGCTTGGGCTCGATGAGCTCGGGGATATCTTCAGGTTTAGCGTTGCCCTCAAGGATGTTGTACACGGCAGTGAACAGGGGGAAGTCGGCCTCCATGCCCTGCGACTTCAGGAACGCGTTGACTTCGAGCGCGGTGCTGGTGCCCTGCAGCTTCTGGCCATTGAGCTCCTTCTCCTCAATTTCAGCAATCGACTCTCCGCGTTCAACGGCCATCTTCGCGCAGCGGAAATTGCGGCCTCCCATGCACGATGTGATAACATCGGCGACACCGCAGCTCTCCTCGGTAAAAGTGCTTGCGCGAGCACTCTCCCCGAAGAAGGCCTTGCCAAACTTGACCATCTCGAGGATGCCGACGCGCATAACGGCTGCTTTCGCGTTGTCACCCCAGCCTAGACCGTCCACGAAGCCTGCTGCAAGAGCAATGATGTTCTTCAGCGCTCCTCCGAGGGAAACACCCGCGACATCGTTGACCAGGTGGACATGGAAGTATGGTCGATGAAAGAGCTTTCGAATATTGTCGTGCGAGAGATGCGGATACTCGGTAGGAAGAGGGGTAAGACGTGTCGATCGAGGCCCAGGAACGGCTTTGCTGGGCGCGATGAGATCGACTTGCGACGCGTTTGGCGAACCGCTAGGTGTGGGGTTGCGGGAGTCCATAGGTGGTGGGTCATATGCGACTGTTGTCTCAGAGTACTTCTCCTGCGCAATCTCCGATGCAATGTTTGCTCCCGACAAAGCACCACAGTAGATGTTCAGGCTCATGCCGATCGTTTCCGACATGAGACGAATGCCTTTCTCGCCGACGTCTACACCCTTTGTGCAGCAGATAGCTCGAGCGTATGGGAGGATCTTGCCAACCAGTTGCTCGCAAGACCGGGCGGTGAACTGATGTGGAAGTACGAAAATAAGGATTGTAGAATCCTTGCAGGAGGCGGGTAGGTCAGGGTTGGCGACGACGTTTGGAGGCAGCGTAATATTCGGGAGGTATTTGACGTTCTCGTGCACTTTGTTGATGAGCTGCGATAGCTTTTCGGGCTTGTCTGAGCCACTGTAGTGCTTCGACTCCTTCGGAAGAGTGACCTCCTCCTCATGAACCCACATTTGCACAGTCTCTTCGAAGAGCGATGTGTGCTCCTTCACGTTCTCCGCTACAAGTTTGGCCATTGTGGTGCCCCTGCTCGAGTTAGGATTGTCTTTTCAAGTTGTGCAAACAGAGAGCTATCCAGCTCAGCTCAGTTGGTCCATTCTGCACCCGGCCATAAACCGTATTGCCCCGCCAAAGCGAGAGTCGCGATAAGGTACGTACCAGTTACCTGAGCCCACAACCGTCACCTTGTGCTTGCGCTGAGCACTGAGAGTCGCCATTGTTCTCCAAGCGATTGCTCTTGCTATCGATCTTTTGGTACGTGGGTTGAGGCTCGACGCTGTTGGGCGCGTGAAAAACAGTGGACGGCTAGAAGCTCTGACGCAGTTTGTTGGTATGTATGACGTTGACGACAATGGCCGTGAAAAAGACTTGAAGAGCGCCAGCTTATATAGGTCGCGAGTTCTGACTACAGCATCAGTTCAGCTGTCAAGATTGCAACTGTACCCACACCGCGGCCCAAGGACTGCGACGCACCTGTCTTGACTGAAAATGGAAGGGCCTCGGCTGCCTGTGATGCGGCGACGGCGGATGCCTTTGCTTTGACTGACGACGGCGAGTCGGGGGGTCGGAGTGACAGTAGTGCTCAGTGCTCAGTGCTCAGAATGGAGAAGCTTCGTAAAAGGTAATTGTTGAATGCAAGGCGGTCAACAGCTGCGTCGGCTTGTGAGAGTCGGTTGCCCCACTTGTTAAATCCTGGACACCGACGGCTGATCAACACTGCATGATGCATTGGCCAACGGATGGTCGCCTGTGGCTGGAACACTGGGATGACATGCGTAGCGTTGACAACGATGGCATGCACTACCATCTGGTTCGGTGACAGCCCGATCTCAGACTCGACGATGTTTGGTACTTGTCGCGACTGTCTTGGAGTACATGTCGACAACCAAATCGCAAGCATGATCACAGGCAAACATCACAAGCAAGAGCAAGCGCAAGAGCAGTGTTGAAGAATTGGTAGTTGATTCGGGTATTGCAAGTCGTGTATCCTTCATAACATCGCATTAAAACTCCTTCTCGTCTCCCTCCATCCTCCGCATCGCGCTAAAGTGAACATACAAAGCATACAAACGTGACGCCAAAACTGACCGCAGAACTCCAAGGCTCGAGAACGCTGGAGAAGCTAAGCTGTGTTGCATGCTATGATCCATACTCCTATATCCTCCTTATTACCACTCAAAAGGGAACCGGTCCGCTGTCCATGCTAACATAGATGTCTGTCTACAATGCGAGTCCAAAGATGGCCATCAGACCACCGGCAAGGGCGGGCAGGCCGTACTGGCCGAGGGTTGAGGCACCGGCGGCGCTTGCGGCGGCGCTCGCGGCGGCAGAGGTAGCAGAGGAGACAGCACCGCTGGTGCGGGAGGCGGTGGATGATGCTGAGGCAGAAGAGCTGGAAGAGGCATCCTCGCCGATGGTCAAGTTGCCGCATTCGTTGTCACGAGCCTCGTTGCACTGGAACTGCTGGGCAGCGTTGGTGCCGGTGGCCTGGATGCAGACACCATACCAGTAGAAGCACATCTGAGCAGGGACAGTCTGCTGGTAGATGGCCATGGAGTCGGTGATGTCGGTGCCGTTGGAGCACTTGCAAGTGTAGTCCAGCGTCGTCTGGGATTGGCGTCAGTAGAGCTCACGTGGTAGAGGGGTAGTCAACTTACGGCGTCGCACTCGTTACCGTTGCTCGCAATGCTGCCCTGACCGCCGCAAAGGTCAACGCACGTGTTCTGGTTGGCATTGCACCACTCTGTCTTCTGGTCCGTGGGCACGCTGCCGGCTGCGACAGTGCAGCACGCGATGGGAGTGCTGTAGGTGGTGTTCTGGGCAGACGCAAGGCCAGCAAAGGCCGAGGCGGCGACGACGAGGGTGGAGTAGAGCATGGTGGATGGTGGATGACTCGGGGGGTATCAATGCCTGCAAGAGAGCAGTGTTAGCGGCGCGCAATGGCAGTGGCAACACAACGGACAGACGTACAGCTGGTAAATTGCTGGTAAGAGGCGGAATCGATGAGACAGTCGCGGTGGTTGAGAGAAAAACACGGTGAAGATGTCGACGGGGCGACGAGCTTAAATGAGTTGCAGCACAGGCCCGTTCGGAAGCGGCGTCCATTTCACCAACCTTGCACTTGCGCTGGACTAGCCGAGCCAAGCTAGCGCCGCCTGGCAGCAAGAGCCAGCAAGATACGCTCAGACGGAAAGTCCAACGGGCTCAATTTCACGTTGGCTCTCGCACGTCTGGAGATTGCGGCAATCTATGCGATCGACAGCAGCGCCGCGGATTGACAGCACCTTGAGGCTGTTGCGCACACGATGCTGATGCGCGCGCTGGTTTCAGACGATGGGCTGCCCAAACTCGCCACGCCGCGGATTATGTCCGGCATGTCAACACAACATGGAGACCCACAAGTGCAGCAACGACTCTCGAGCCATCGCAACTTCCTCTTGGCCGACGTGCCGTCTGCCGCCATCGTACATGAGAGCCCAGCCATTGACTAGGGCGTGGCGTAGGAGCAACAGCAGGCCATCGCAGCAGCAATAACAGGCCATCGCGCGCGCAAACATGTATTTGGTAGGCGGGGAACAGGCGTCGTCCACAGAGACGATGCATTGGGTGTGCCGTGGCCGTGTTGTTTGTGGCTGTGCGCACGGGCAGTGTTCCACTTGTATGCATCCTCCAACGGGCCGGGCTCCACCTGCGTCCCATTGCTCGCAGGCCTTGCACAATAGCCTCGCAAAACCTTGCGTGCAGCCTTGCGTTCCGTCGCAGCCGCAGCCTTGCCTTCTCGTACCATTCGCGGAAGAAAGCCGTGCATACACTTTTGCTGTTGTTGAACTTTGCGTCTCCAGTCCGACGGTGAGCGTTTCTACGGAAACGCCAATAACACAAAGATTGTTAATCGCGGCGCTAACCGCTATCACAAGACGCAAAGCAACAAGCGCCATTACTTTCTTGTTTCTGCATCGTGCATTTCCGCTTTGAGATAGACCGTGCATGAGCGCTCGAGCCAGTACGCGCACTCGAGCTCAACCCCATGTTTTCGGCTTGTCGAATCCCCATAAAAGACGCAGTCCGTCTCTCAAGAGTAGTTCAGGTTGCCACGCACGCCGTGCGCGGTCAAGCGAATTCTCTACCAGAAAGCATGATACAACAAGCCTCGTTAGTCGGTGGAAGCTCTCGAGCTTTGCCCCACCTCGGCACTCATCCTAGGGAGTTCGAACTTAAATCCGGGAGCACAGATGTTGCTCTGTTCGACACAGGAATATGTACATAAAATGAGGACCCACTTCAGGCGGTGAGATACAAACCCAGGGTTAAAGAAAACCTCACCTGGTCTTCGAAAGGTAGCATTGCTTCTTGAGCACAGCATCATGTTCGTGGAGCATAGTAACCCTTGTGCCTCAAACATAGTGGGTATAAAACAATTCTTCTATTCCTTAACTTGGATGCAGTCACTCAATCTTCACATACCATGCGATACTATTGCCGTCGCTACTTTTCGGTTGTCTCACAGTCGTCTTCTCAAGCCAACTGGGTCTATATCAGTTTGACATCGCAATGGATGATAGTTCTACACGTCTACTGCGCAGTTCGCAGTGACAGCATACGCCTACCTGGTACACACGGTCTCGGTGTTCCGCGTGTTCGCCGCCAGGTCTATGCTACAGAACGTATTGGATACTCCTAGTTTTGACCTCCTGACCACCCACCACATTACGTTGCAAACATCTGTCCTCGGAGCCACACAATCGTAATTAACAGAGAAATCCATGCTAATCATCGCAGCTCTTCGTTGTTACACATTCTGGTTCAACTTGAGGTCAACACTGGAGGTCTACCTCCTCATTCGCAAGCTTATGTCGCGTCGTCAGCGGATTACGCGGATACCACTTTATACGACGCTTTTATCGAAACACACACGAATCCTCACAACAAGGTAATAACCGGATGACCAAGATGAGCATGGAAAAATTAGAGTTCGGCCTCCGTGATGTAATATCCGTAATATCCGTATTCTAGATGCGCTCGTGAGGGGAAACAGGGATTGCACATTTCAAGAGGATTTGATCAGCGAACAAACACATCTCACAGCTATGAGATGGATCCGATCTGGTATTCGAAATGGCTTATTGGGCGTAGAATGACTACTGGAGCATCCATGCATGGAGGCAGAAATATGGCACGTGCCCCGTACCTGTCTTATTGAGGGGCTGCAGCTTCTTTTTCTTGACACTATCAAGGTTGGTAACATGCGTCCCTCAATAATCTTTTTGGAATTGTGCAGTGTCTGCATGCTCTCGTGCGAGGTTTCTTACTGGCGGCCAGTCTCGATGATGTCACGACTTTGAGTGCTTTCGGTAGCTCTCTAACGGCAGCTCCCACACAACTCAACTCCCTCAAAATCGAAATATCAGCCTCGAGCCTATCGGATCGCCGGAAAGATTGGCTTCTTTTCCCTTTCAGAAGCTCAAATGCTCACCAACTACTTTGTCTGCACGCTTGGTCAGGCTGCCACTATACATGAACAGCCCAAATCGTACTCTACAGTCAGCGAATTGGTAGACCACCAAGCACAATATCACCCATACCTTCCTGCCGTTGGATTTCCAATCCCGCATCCAAACCAAGATGAATGGGCACACGAGGTTCTCACATTTGGTGACGTGAAACGGGGGACGGATGTTTTTGCAAAGAGGTTGTTGCATACCTCAGGAGCTCTGGGTGGAAATGCACAAACAATAGCACTTCTATGTCATAGCTCTCCGGAGTTCCTCTTCACATGGCTGGCTTTGATGAGACTGGGTCACTCAGTTCTTCTGATTGCTCCACAATGCCAGGCAGCAGCAATTGTGCATCTCTGCAAGTCGTGCGAGGTTTCTGTACTATTCCATGACATCTCTCACGCTGAACGAGCTCATCAGACCGAGGACTTGGCGAAAGAGGAAGAGATAAACAATTTCAAGTCACAATTGATTCCGCTGCACGATGGGGATAACGTCTTTGAAATTATCCAGGAACCAACTGAGTTGAGTCTCGATCTACCAGAATCAGATGAGACGGCGATTGCGTATCTTCACCACACTTCCGGAACTTCATCAGGATTGCCGAAGCCGATTCCTCAGTCGCATCGAGCTGCAATTGGTGTTCTTCCGCATCTACCGACGATACCAGTAGCAGCGTCTTTTACAACGACACCTCTATATCATGGCGGCATAGCGGATCTTTTCAGATGCTGGACAAGCAATGCTCTCATCTGGCTATTCCCAAAAATGGTGCCTATTACAGCCAAAAATATCTGCCGTTGTCTTGATGTGGCCCAATCATATTCCGAAACACCAGGTCTCCCAGAAGTGAGGTACTTCTCGTCGGTACCTTACATCCTCCAAATGATGGAAGCGGATGAGAGAGGGCTGAAACTACTGAAGAACATGGAAATTGTTGGTGTTGGAGGCGCAGCCTTGCCAGCAGAGGTTGGCGATCGATTGGTGAAGAGTGGAGTGAACCTCATCTCAAGATTCGGAAGCGCGGAGTGCGGCTTTCTACTATCATCGTATCGTGCTTTCGATTCGGACAAGGACTGGCAATATCTGCGCAACTACAACCCTCCGCAGCTTCTGGACTTCGAGCAACGAGACGACGGCTTAGCGGAGCTTGTCATAAAACCCGGGTGGCCGCACATGGTATGTATATCTCCCGGAGCTTGAGTGTGTTTAGCTGAACAGAAACAGGCAAAGCAAAATCGCTCTGACGGGTCTTTCGCAACTGCAGACCTCTTTGCGCCACATCCAAACTATGAAAACGCCTGGCTATACCACTCAAGAGCTGACTCTCAGTTGACGCTAATCACTGGAAAGAAGTTTGACCCAGCATCATTGGAAGACGCCATAGCTACTTCGCCTTTACTGGATGATGCACTGATCTTTGGAAACAGTCAACCATTCCCTGGTGTACTTCTGCTACGATCAGAAAAGGCCAGTGGGATCTCAGACGAGGAGCTTCTCGATGCGATCAAGCCAATAGTGGAGAAGATGAATCGTGAAAGTCAGGATCACGCGAGAATACCACATGACATGTTAATACCAATGCCCCATCAGACACAGCCATTAGAAAAGAGCAGCAAAGGAACCATCATCAGAAGAGCGGCTGAATCCAGATTTGAAGATGCCATCAAGCGCGCGTATGATTCGCAGGAATCAGATCAGTCTGTCGACGTGAAGGACGAAGATTTGCCACAGCATCTCACAGGTCTCATAAAATCCATCACGTCACAGTCCGACAACCTGACTGAAGACATGGATCTGTTCTCCTACGGCGTCGATTCTATTGCGTGCATGCAGTTGAGGACTCGTTTGAGACGGCTCATACCCAACTGCAAAGAGGCGTTGCCTATGAGTGTGGTAGAAGATTGTGGTACAATTGGACGTTTGACAAATTATGTATTGCGGAAAAGACATGGAGAGACAGATGCCAGTGAGGAAGACGAGGAACAGTCAATGCTGAAACTGGTCAAGGAGTATGGCTCTTTTGAACAATCGACTGCGCAAGATTCGTCCGATGGCGACAGTATCGAAAAACGGACCAAAGACGTTGTAGTGCTTACTGGGGCTACTGGAGCGCTTGGAGCGCATATCTTGAAGCTGCTACAGAAGTCGGAGAACGTTGGTACGATCTATTGTCTCGTAAGAGGGTCAGATGAGCAGGCTGCAAAAGAGCGTGTCAGCAAGGCCCTTGAGCAGAGAGGTCTTCTGGATTCTTCATCACAGCAGAGGCTCGGCGAGAAGGTCAAGGTGGTTCAAGCACAGTTGAGCGATGAGCGTCTCGGACTGAGCGAAGAACTGTACGACTACCTGGCCAAAGAAGCGACCTCGATCATCCACGTCGCATGGACTGTCAACTTCCGCCTCAAGCTAAGGAGTTTCGTCAAGGACAACATCGCCGGGGTGAGAAATCTTCTTGATTTGGCACTGAAGACACCGCGTTCTCATCCGCCTCGCTTCGCATACTGCTCGTCAACTGCAGCAGTCATGAACGGTGAGCTCGATCAAGCTGGCTGTTTCCCTGAGCGCATCTTGTCCGACCCCGCGTCAGCATCACCGCTCGGTTATTCGCGTTCGAAATGGGTTGCAGAGCGTGTCTGCGAGGAAGCGCATGTTCGGACGAGTCTTCACGGGCGGGTAGCAGTTGTGCGTGTCGGACAACTTGCTGGCGATTCGCGATCAGGTATCTGGAACACAAAAGAAGCGTGGCCTATGATGTTGAGCACTGCGAGACTCATTGGATGTCTACCTGACCTAGGCGACGAACCACTTGATTGGCTTCCGGTTGATATAGCCGCGCAGGCTTTCCTCGAGACTACGCAAGCCAGCAGTGTAAGCAGCGACCGAATGCCTGTCTATCACGTTCTAAATCCGCACCAAAAACCGACATGGCACGACATGCTCCAGTGGCTGAAGAGGAAGGAAGACTTTGAGATTGTATCGCCTCAAGATTGGGTTAGTCGTTTGGAGAACTGCAAGAACCAGGAGCATTCTGCAATGAAGCTGCTCGGACTCTGGAAAGCGTCGTACTCTAGCGAGCAGCAGGAGTCGAAGCAAAGACCACACTTCTCCATGGTGGAGACGAAGAAAGGAGTCCCCGTGTTAAGGGAAGTCGAACCACTTGATGAAGCGTATGTGGGGCGCGTCTGGGATTGGGTCCAGGCCAATGTACACTGAATCAGGGGTCTGTAACATGGAAGCTGAACGCGACACGTTGTTGCTACAGAATTCGTACCTAGTCAATAGTCTGAAATATTATCTGTGCTGTTCCTTATCTTTCCGCTACTACCAGGCGAATGTCGGGTCGCGTATATTATTGACTACGCGGCTGCGATAATCCACCGCTTGCTTTACTGTAACAACTACAGACAAGTGGTCCAGACGTAAAACTAGAAAGCTAGAATTCTTTTCTACAACTTCTATACAGACTTGATGCAGACAGCTTCAGGTGGTATTGAGGACGCCAGACTGAAATAGGATCAACGTTATGTTCTTCTGATCTGACCGTGTCACAAATTATCACAGCCGCATGCTGACATATGTTGAATTGTGTAAAACCGCACGAGGCTTGGCTGAGCTGGATTGGGATGCAGTTCCGATAGCGTGCGAAAAACTTCCCCACCGCGAGTTCTACGGAGTGGCCGGAGCTGTATTTCCCCAGGATGTTTCTCGTGAAGATCTAAAAGCACGGTACGGATGCCTAATGAGCGTCGATCATGCACTACACATGACCTAAGATTTAATGGCAAACAACATGGGAACGGCGATAAACGGTGATGCGTTGATCTACCAAAGTCGGAGGCGGAGAGACCCTTTGGCCAACTACCGACTTCATTTCAGATTCAGCCCACCAAGCCACAAGCGCATCCTCCTAAGGCAGCAACGCAAGCACGATATGAATCTCTCGGACGAAACGTGACGGGAGGAAGACAGGGTCTCAAGGAGTCATTCAGAGTCGAGTTCGCACGGCGATAGCTACGAATCTAGGGAGGGTCTAGAAGGAGTGCGGAGATCAAGGACGCCGAGTAAACCTTAGTGAGTCTTGTTTCAAGGAACGGTTCCCTTGTCATCGATTTGCTAGTGTTGCTTCCTGAAGAATACAACCCATTTTAACGGGGTTCTAGTTTCCCTTTCAGGAAGATCGATCGAAGTTTCTGCGATACGGTGTGCTTTTCGAACAGTGTAGACGCGCAATGTCATCAGCCAAGTTGTGCTCGCATTCCAGAATTAACATGAGTCAACGAGTAAGCGAGTAGCCTCAGCCAGCACGCATTCCTGGTGATGAATGGCGGCCCAAATGATTGACCGAGTCTTAGCTGGCGCAAGCCTCCCGCGAGTTCACGGTCAGTCAATCGGGGGTCGCACACCAGGAATCCCGTCTCCCGGATCACCGTTGCGCAACCCCCTTCTTCCACCGAATTTACGGACGAAGCGATGACTCGATATGGCTCAATGTGGCGTTTCTTTTTGTTGGTGATTAGCCTTAACTCCGTTTATAATTCTGCAAGCGGTTCTAGCTGTACTTATAGACCTCCTTTTGCCCATCGCAATTAGCTTTGCACATCTCCCACCACAAACAAATTCAAGCACCGCACCTCACCTTGGCGCTTTCCTTGGACCCTGCAGACAAGAACAAGAAGCAAACAACCATCTTGTCTGAGATGAGCGACCACAACAACCAAACACTACGCCCCTCCAGCATGGCGGATTCGGAGAAAACAGCCACGCATAGTGCCGAGCCTTCAGTGCTTGAGAAGAACAGGGCAATCGACACCGTCGAACCTACAGCCCTAGAGAAGAACAGCGTGATCGACACAGCCGAGCCCACAATCCTTGACGACAAGACAACTTCGAACCGCAACTCCACAGTGGATTCATCTGACGACAATGAGGACAACTTCGAATACCCAACAAAATGGAAGCTCACTATCATCACCTTGGCTTTATGTCTTTCGGTTTTCTGCATGGCATTGGTTCGTTAACCACAAGCCTTTCTATAGACACTAAACTGATCATGAACACAGGATAACACCATCATCGCAACTGCCATTCCCCGAATCACAGATCAATTTAAGGCGTTGGATGATGTGGGTTGGTATGGCTCAGCGTACCTGCTCACGACCTGCGCGACACAACTCATCTACGGCAAATTCTACACGTTCTACTCGATCAAATGGGTCTATCTCGTTGCGCTGTTCATTTTCGAGCTCGGCTCCTTGATCTGTGGTGTTGCGCCCAACTCTACTGTAAGTTTGTCCATCTACAACCCTCGAGCAGTCTTTGCAGTCTACGGATCGACTTGCGGAGTTGCAAGGCGTGCTAATCCTTTTTATTGACGCTGACACCTTCTGTAGACCCTTATCATTGGTCGTGCGGTTGCTGGTGTTGGTGCTGCTGGCATTTTCAGCGGCGCCGTATTGATCATTGCGAACACAGTTCCTCTACGACAACGTCCTGCCTATATGGGCATCGTAGGTGGTACATACGGAATCGCTAGTGTTGCGGGGCCGCTGTAAGTGGAGTCTGGGAACTAAGAGTTGATCGACTTACTAACAAATCTTAGCATGGGTGGAGCCTTTACTGATCACCTAACGTGGCGATGGTGCTTCTACATCAGTGAGTTTGACCGTGCTGCGTGTTCCAAGAATATTGAAGCTGACTCGAATTTCCAACCAGACCTACCATTCGGTGCCCTCACCGCCGCATTCATCGTCCCCTTCTTCAAGATCACGCGTCGCGGCAAGAAAACCGAAGCAACATGGAAGCAACAGATTCAGAAGTTCGACCTGCCTGGCACTGCTCTATTTTTGCCTGCGATCATTTGCTTGCTGCTCGCGTTGCAGTGGGGCGGATCCAAGTACGCGTGGGGAAGTGGCCGCATCATCGCTTTGCTTGTACTTGCAGGTCTTCTCGTCATCGGATTCCTCGCCATCCAAGTGTGGAAGCAAGAGGATGCCACTGTCCCTCCCCGCGTATTCAAGAACCGCACCGTTTGGAGCAGCGCCTGGTATGGGGCTATGCTTGGCGCTTCATTCTTCATCATGGTGTACTATCTTCGTAAGTCACTGTATGCTTCAAAGCTCTCGTAGACGAAAACTTACACGAAACAGCAATTTGGTTCCAGGCCATCAAGGGAGCATCAGCAACCAAATCTGGCATCATGAATCTGCCCTCCATCCTCGGTTTAGTCATCATATCGATCATAGCAGGCGGCTTAGTCACTACATTCGGTTACTACACGCCATTCATGATAGCGGGATCAGTTCTCATGAGCATAGGGACCGGATTGATATGCACCTTTGCAGTTGACACAGGCTCCCCAAAGTGGATTGGTTACCAGTTCATCTTCGGTGCTGGAGTGGGACTCGGCATGCAACAGACCCTCATCGCTGTTCAAACTGCGCTGCCTGCCGAAGACATCCCTATCGGTACGGCCATCATGATGTTCACGCAAATGCTTGGTGGAGCACTCTTCATCAGTGTTGGACAAAACGTCTTCACCAACCAACTCATCAAGAACCTCGCCAGAGTCGTACCTGATCTCGACGCGAGCATCGTTCTTACCACGGGCGCCACGGAACTGAAGCATGTTGTTCCGGCAGAATACCTGTCGGGCGTGCTTTCAGCGTACAACTCTAGTCTGGTCCAGACCTTTTACGTGTCCGTCGCAGCAGCAGTTGTCTCGATCTTCGGCGCCGTATTCGTGGAGTGGAAGAGTATGAAGGGGAAGAAGGTTGAGATGATGGCAGCATAAAGTTGAGGAGTTCTGCGCATTATACCCATTTCTTTTTCCGTTGTCACAGTCGATATGAGCGTAGCGGATCAGCGAGGCGTTATTGGTGGTCGTGGGATCGTCTTCCCCTTTTCAAGACATAGAGTTTGATAGACAGATTATAATTTACATGACAATTCCTATTGCGACGACTCCTTACCCTCTCAAGCCTATATATCGTGAATGAGCACAAAAATTATTCTTCTGGCAAGTGTGACATCGTATTGTGACATGGTGTGGTACTCGACGGAGACACCGCCATGCTCGGATTGGAGGATGCAGAACTGGCTCATGTTCGAGGCCGATCGTGCAGGACCGTTGAGCTGACATGTGACAACCCTGCTTGACCGGAGCGCTCCGGTGGATGCCATTTGTGGAGCTATGACATATGCTAAGGTCTTAGTCAAAGCTTAGCTGAGCTTGTTTTGCGCGAGCTAGTGCTCACTGCCGATCGCAGCCGTGTGTTCCGCTTCCCGTCTGATTGCTCGGTGTCTTCACGGTTCTTCTGCTCAGCCCCCAGCCACAGTCATATTTTTCCTCGCCCAAGGTCGCGCGTCTTTGATGATCCTGCGGTTACTGAGCGACACACTGCACTGTTAATCTGCTCCTATTGCGACTGCGCTTCTCGTTGCGCCTGGCACATGACCCCGCGAACTGCTGACTGCTAACGAGCGCTAAACGTCACCCCACTCGAGGATTCAGACACTACCAACCGGTGTCATGGCGCAAAGAAGGAACTCGCGAACAGAAGAGGCGCAGAAACTGGGGACTGCGGGGAACATGGAAGGTGCAACGGGCGCAGACTCGCATCCGCCCAAGCCGCTGGACACAAGAAGTGATACCTCGGCGAGCAAGAAGAAAGACAAGACGCCCGAGGGCGGCTACGATGCGACTCCCATACCGCGCGCGCCGCCAGGCTACACGGTCAAGTTCACATTCCACCATGCGAACAACCTGCCCCTCGCCGACATCAACACTCGTCAGTAGCTCAGCAGAGTCCAAACATGCAGCACTAGCTCACTCCACAGCAGTATCCGCGGATCCCTTCATTCTAGCCGACCTGCAGACGGGCCTCCCGACGAGACACAAGGAAGACCCGCCGCTGACACTGCGCACGCGCACGGTACGGCAGAACACAAATCCCGTGTGGAACCAGGAATGGATAGTCGCAAACGTCCCCGCACATGGCTTCAGGCTGAAGTGTCGTATATACGATGAGGACCCGGCAGACCACGACGACCGCCTGGGGAACGTGCATGTCGTTGCGACGTCGGTCAGCGAAGAATGGCCGGGAATACACAACGAGACATACTCGATCAAGAAGCGCATGGTCAGTAAGAGGGCGTATGCGTTGCGTGCTGTCGCTGTCTGTTTCAGAAAGGCCGAGCACATGCATGGCACCCTGACCGTCAGCGCCGAGGTGCTGGGCAAGACCCAGGACGAAAATGGTGGTCGCGCGTACACGATCGGGCCCCAGTTCTGGATACGGCACTACTCGCCGCTGCTGGGGCGTCTTCTGGGGCAGAAAGAGCCTAGCTCCGACGAAGACAACGTTTCCTTGAGGACTGGCAAAGCAAGGACAGAGAGGTACAATTTCCAGTCGAACCAGATGCAGCTCCGGGGCCCCATTCCTGAGCACATGTACCACCGCTTCGTCGAGTTCAAGCCCTTTGTCAAGTCCATGTTCACTGCCAAGGGCGTTCGCGGCTTCATTCTATCCAAGGCCCTGCATCACCAACACGCGCGCGTGTACAACTTCGACCAAACGACCGAATACCAGGAATTCTCGAAGCCGTGTCTGGAGTTTACGCAAAAGTTCCTCGAACTCGTCCACTTTGACCATGGCGGACGCATCTTCACCTACGTCCTCACTCTCGACGCACTTTTCCGTTTCACCGAAACAGGCAAGGAATTCGGCATCGACATGCTGTCCAAGCACACTATGCACAGCGACGTCGCAGCCTACGTCGCCTTCTCGGGCGAGTTCTTCATCCGCCGCTCCCACCACAACAGCAGCGCGCCCTCAGACGAAGGCAGAAACAACCAGTCCTCCGAAGCCGATGGCGATCAATCCAAAGAAAAGACCCCCATCAAAGACCCATCCCACTACGAGCTCATCATCGACAACGACAGCGGCACCTACCGTCCCAACGCCAAACTGCTCCCCCAGCTTAAAGCCTTCTTCCAAGCAAACTTCCCCGGCCTGCACATCCGCACGCTCGACTCCCAAGGCGACGCAGAGAAGATGAAGAAGATGAAGGACGAGCAGCGCGAGCGCAAGAAGCGCGAGGGCAACCAAGTCGTCTACACGCAGGTTTCGCGCAGCAGCAGCGTGAGCAGCAGTGACGAGGAGGATCTGGATCGCCTAGCAAGTGGCGGCGAATTGTCCGAGAACCATTTGAGACATGTGATGCAAAGAGAAGCTGCGACGAAAGCGAACGCCGCGAAAGATAATTTCAAGGGAATGGGTTCCATGGGCCACCGTAGTGAGTAGAGCGAGAGAGTGCCGGGAGTGGATTTCCGAATGCGAGACATGATGTGGAGATGGGAGGGGGTCATGAGGAAGAATTCGCAAGTCTTGTTTCTTTTCATTTGTGTTGTTTTTGCTGTTTGGCTTTTCGCTTGGTTTTGCACCGTACATAACTGGACACTCCTTTTTGAGATACCCGCCGCTGTCTGTCCTACCACGAACTGGGATTCGCCTTGCGTACGCGTTCAATGGCCGCTAGTCTTTTTATTCGTTTCGTTTTGTTACGCGTTTTGTTTTTTTGGACATGTGTCTGTTTCACACTCCTCTGTTTATGTATGCGTTAGCGCTTAATATGATACTCTCAATCATGCTAGAAGGGACTACAATGGCCTGTTCGTCTTGCGTCGCTCGCAAGATGTCGCACATGTGTTTGTCAGAGGGGGGTTAAGGCGTCACTTACTCTCCTCCTCGAGTGAACTTCTTCAACTCAGAGCGGCAAGCTACAATATCGGCAGGTATATCGTAGCGGGCCTTCCACTTGCCATCTTCCATCTTCTCCCAGAACCAGACGGCAGCCCACCTGTCTTCGCCCAACATCTCTATGGTCGAGATCTGGATACAAGATCAGCGTCATCGCCTGGAAGCTGGTATTGTTACAGCACACGTACCACGAAGTCGTAGGCCTCTCGGGCACGATCCGGTGGGATGATGCCATCTACCAGCGAGCCTGCTTCGAAGGGGCCACCCTCGCCGTGCACAGAGAGCATGCGCCATGCTGTGCATAGGGCGATTTCGGACGCGCTTGCTCCAGGCTTGCTTGATGTTGGCATTGTGTGGTGGCTGTTGGGGTAGTTCTTGGAGAAGAAATGAAGGGAGTGGAGTGTGGAATAGTGAGAGAGCGGAACAGTGGAAGGCGAGGTTGAGGTGAGTGACGAAGAGGTCGAAAAGGGTTCAGAGTGGAAGATATTCCTTTGAATTATAGCGCCGCCAAGACGTCAATCAAACAGAAGGGAAGGCAGGTTCAGGAAACCATACACACGCTTCTGATAGAGCTTCGTGGGAAAGTGTCTCTAGCCCCTACTACTATATGGCAGACTTCTGAATACTATTTGCTGTGAGGAAACATCTCTTGTAACTTCTGCTCGGGAACTCCCTGACGCATGCTGGTAGGATGATGAACTGGTTCTCGTCTAGCGAAATCCTCTTGTTTAGTCAAAACACCTGAAACTAAGCTGCAGTCAGACCTTACAACAGCTGAACAACTACATGCAAAGTTCAAGTAAAACCTGTGAACCTTGAGCATTACTAGGATATGTCTAGTTATCTTTACTTGTCGAATTCGATCCTGTCGTTGAGTTGCGTTGTCTGTTAGGAAGATTGTAGGATTAATCGAGAGCTGTCTTACTGTACGGGATTCTCAAGAGTGAATTGTTATTTTGGGTTATAGCCTATTTATGCTAGTTATCATTTTAGGCTTATAGCGTATTCATGCTCTACATAGAAGCAGATAGACGCAACACAATCAGAATCTAGCGTTGTAACTCAGTATATAAACCAATACCCAGCCCTTTAACACACAGTAAATATTAGTAAAAGGACACAATAGCAGTAACAGAGAGCTGATCAGCCGTCTCTTAACGACTGGTTCAATGTACTGATGCGGACGCGTTTGGAGAGCCCGGGCTCTCGGGAATGAATATGGTAACAATAGTCGCACATTCTTATTACTCTGATCTTTGACCCCTTTGCACAGTTGCATCATGTTAAAAAGACATTCCGATTACTAGTGTGTAGTGCTTTGTTCAGGTCGCGATACCGGTATCGCGACCTGGAAGATCATCCCCTCTCTTGGTCAAGTGTAAAAGTCAAAAGTAAACTATGTTCTTTCTATCACCAAAAGTTGAATGAACTTGTAGGTTTAAATGCTACAAGTAGAGGGGCTTAGGCGCATACCAGCTGTAATTGAGACAGAGGTCTCACAATGCACCTTAACTGTAGTTGTCGCGCTGCGGCAAGACTTCGCTGCAGCTTCCGGCCTTTTTAAACTTAACCGAGCGCCCCTCTGCCTAGAAGCGTTACTCTGCGCCAAGTTTCACGCTAAGGTGAGACGGGACGCATGGGTGAACCCCTGGCAGTGGACATGGACGCGTAGCAGCAAACATGTAGCCTCATATTTCAAGAATGCCCAAATCTCCACAAAATCTTCCTCTAATCCCACTCAATCGCGCTGGGTAGCGTCGCGCAATGAAGCCCATACCTGCTGTGGGGCTCAGTTCGGCCATTTCTCAACTTATCGACTTCTCAATCAACGTTTTGCGCAAAGATAATGCCATATATCAACCGACTACTCCAGTGGAAAACTCAGCAGTGCTCCAAGACGTAATCGACAACTTGTACCGCCTGACTGATGTCATCGACAACAACGAACTGAAGAAATCAAGCAACGACAAAACCGCTAAGCTCAGCGAAGCAGCACAGCAGCTAGTTAAACTAAGTGAAGACGCAAAAGAGGCAACAAATCCTCTCATCGACGCGCTCATCGCCGCACAAGCAAAAGGCAGTTTCGGCGATCCTCGATGGCCCACCGCACGAGATGCGCTCATGAACGGCGTGTGGAAGAAGAAACAAGTCACAGATCTCAAGAGAAAAGTGCGTACGATACGCAAAGACGTCGACACCGCCCTGCTCCTCGCTCTGAGACAACATCTCGACCAATCAGCTGAAGCGGGACTCCCCACTGCCAGCGAGGAAGACACCCGCTTGCATCATTGTGAAAAGTGGCAGAATGAGGCCCTGGATGCTGTTCAAACCAATGAATGGAAACCAAAGAACAAGAAGAATCTCGAGGTGTTCTCTAAGCTGGTCGACAAATTAATTGTAGCGGAGAACGAAGCGCATTTCTGTGCTCAGATTTTTGAGAGACTGGGCTTTAAAGAGCTGGATGACCGGTTGTGTAGTATTCCCACGCCGCTCGAGGGTACGTTCGAGTGGGTTTTTGGGGAAAGGCAGGAAGAAATGGGCGGGCTACTAGAGTGGTTTGGCAACACGCGAGGAGAGAACTTGTTCTGGATTACTGGGAAACCGGGGTCTGGGAAGACAGTACTGATGAAATACCTGTTTCGCAATCCAAGGGTATTTGATAGCTTAGAGGCGTGGTCCGGGCATAGTCCTGGTATCACGTCGGGCTTCTTCTTCTGGAACAGTGGGACGGAATTGCAGAAATCTCCGCTCGGGGCGCTGCGATCGCTGCTGTTCGAGTCGCTGCAGGACATGATATATGGCCCGCTTGAACAGGACCTTTCTATTCTCCATAAGACACTTTTCCCCGATCGATGGGAACAGTTCATCTCCTACGGCGGCGGTCTGCATGAGTTTTCGTTCCCAGAGCTGCTTCAAGCATTTGAGCTCATGATCGCGGATGACTCCAAGAAGTTTCTGTTCATAATCGACGGGCTTGATGAGTTGGAAAAATATTCCGATCAACTCCCAGATATACTCATCAGCGCGACAAAGATGGATCACGTCAAGGTCTGCGTCTCGAGTCGGCCGTCACCACTTGCACAGACGGCTTTTGAGAAAAGACCGACGCTGATCGTAGATGTGTGGAACAAAAACGATATCGAGGCGGGTGTCATGGATGCTTTCGACCAAGACAATGGCCCGAGTAAATTGCGCGGCGCAACAGAAAGCGAAGAAGAAAGATATGTCGTCAACCTCCTCACAGAAAAAGCTTCTGGAGTCTTTCTCTGGGTGACATTAGCCACATACTTCCTGATACAGGGTACCTCCCCATCGGACGATTTCTCCACATTTCAAAGACGCGCAGCTGCTCTGCCGTCCGACATAGACGACCTACTCTCCCACATGCTGCAGAGTTTCAATACCACAGACCTCGAGCAGCTCTGGCAGCTCAGCGCTCTGATCGAAAGCCACGGATACCCAGATCTCCTTCCCCTCTCCTATGCCCTCACCGCCGACACAAGCAGCACCATCGCCGCCGACGTCCAGCCCATAAAGTCCCCGGAAGTCGCCCAAAGAACAACCGACATGCGCAATCTCCTCAGATACACATGCAAAAACCTCTTTTCCATATACGACACAACACCCCCAGACACAGAACACATTCCCTCACACCTAAAAGTAACATATACCCACCGCGCTATACGCGAGTACCTGCGCTTGCCGCGCACGCAAAGAGCAAAACCCCTCTTAACCCCATCCACCACCGACGCGCAATGGGCTAACGCGCACCTCATGGCCCTGAAAACCCTCGACCCATCTGCATCCGAATCTTCCCTCAGCCTCTGGGGCCCGCTCTCTGCGTGTTTGGAATCCGCGCTGTCACTCTATACACTCACGTCCAAATTACCCTACACATACATCGATGCTGCCGGCTCCTGCGCCCTCGCGCTGCATACGCAACACCCACATCTCTCTGATCTGCCGTCGTTCCCCTCCCTGACTCACCGTCTGGAAACGTTTCTCGATATCGCCGCCTGGCTCAATATTCCCGGGTTTGTCATCCTCAAGGCGAAGCAGATGAAGACGGTGGATAAAAGGAGTGTCAAACACGCGCTCGACTTTAGCCGCGAGATGCGGAAACGGCTGGGCAAGGGTGGGGAGGAGCGCTGGTTAGCGGGAAGTGAGAAACTGAGAGTTGAGTATGGGAGGAATAGAGTGGAGGTCGAGGGGTTGTTGGATTATTATGCCAGGACGGTGAGACTGTCGAAGAAACCCATTGTTGATGTGCCGGAGTATGTGTAGACGTATACTTGCAGAAACTAGGACACAAAGAGTTTGCGTTCATTTTCTATGTGGCTGTCAAGTTGTCGTAAGAATTTCTTGCAGCTTGGTCTCCAAATCTTGCACTTGACTGAGAGGGCAACCCTTCATGGAACATTCACGATAAAACCATCCTATCCATAGATCTTCCTCCTATTCAAACCTCCTCATCGTGTACGTGATACTTCTTGCAGAAGGTCCGGTTTGCATCCTCGATCCACTTCGCCTTGTTGAAGCCTACACCCACCGCCTTCTTTGCGTCTTCCAAAGCTAGCAGCAGGTCAACCGTAAACTCGCTCGACATCAGATCCTTATAATATCGCAACTCAATGGCGCTAGACCCCCAAGTCTGGGCGATAAAATCGACCAGCACCCTCCTGACTGGCGCACCTGGCTCTGATCGCTGGTAGGCAGTGATGTACGAAAGCGATACCTTCCAGTCCTGTACAATCTTACGATGCAGCAGCGTCAACGCCGCGTTCTGTAACTTTCCTATGCCACATTCACTCGCGAAGAAGCATAGCGCTAGTATCCGCCACAGCTCGAGTGGGATTTCGCCATCTTCACTCGTCCCTGGGGCCCAAAAACGGTTCGTGTACATCCAATAGATGGCCGTTTCGACCACCATGGGCTTCTCGTCGGGGAGTTCCACCTCGGAGGTTGACGATAAACGGATTTGGGAGTCGAACCAGATAGAGAAATGGCAGAGTAGACCCCGGTGGACTTGGAACTCTTTCTTGTCTTGGCCCTGGCCGACACGCATGGTGACTATCTTGTCAAAAGAGCCACTATAGATGAGAAGTGATCAGTGAGTGTCACCTGGATTTGTGGCTTGGGAATGTTCAACTTACTGAGGTGGTGCAATGTAAGCATAGGCACAAGGCGGTATCTTGTCTTCGATTGCCGCCATTTGAGATGATCGTAAAGCGAGGGTTTTTTGTTTATTTTAATATGTAGCGTTCTCCTCGTTGTCTTGCAAGTTCTGAGTGAAAGATTCGTCAGTCGAGGGTCTGTCGTCGAGGAGGAATGGGAGTGCCTAGAGCTCACGGCGAGATAGGTGAAGTTGCGAGTATATGGTCAGTGAGGTGAGTGAGGTGAGTTCATCGACTATTCGTCATTGTCTGGAAGCCCCGCAGAAACACATAGAAGTGTAACCCGTCGGTGAAAGCGTGGTGTCAGTCCCCACCCCCCACAAACCGTTTGTCCAAAACATCTGCCTTCACCTGCCCCGTCACCCCATCTCCAAAGCCCCACCTCTTGTCCACTCCGCAATCGCTTCGCATACATATACTGCAAAAGGCTGCTTCTTCTCATCAATCCAAGTGATCTGGAATAGTCGCTTGGCGGGATTGGGCCGATAACAAACCTACCTATTAAGTTAGATGAGGGTTGCAGGGTTCGATCTCGTGATAAAACCATTCTGGCAAAAAGCTAGGGTTTTCAACAATGATGGCACATCTACGGCTGGAATACGCCAAAGGCAGGTCGGTTGTTCTTTTTGCTGCTTTTTGCTTCCTTTCGTCAACAGTATGCACATATGAGGTAGATGGACGATGACGTCGGTCTCTTTTTGTGGATAATGGATGGGTAGAGTCTGGGTGTAGAGCACATAGGTGAGTGATGGTTTTATGAAAGTCTTCGGCGATGCGGGATTGGGACATAGACAGAACGACACAAGCACATCGATAGAGATATGAGAGAACATGAGGAGCAGGAAATACACGTCAAAAAACGCAAATGCATATAGAGACTGAGAATGTCATGAGAGGATGAAATTGTACTTTGAGCCTGTCCAGAATCTTCTTGAATCAGGCAGTTGAACACCCTTCATGTTCACTCATGACGCCATGTCATGCTATTCGTGCATATCCATTGTGGATGTATAAGGTCGTTAATCACATTCAGGCCATCGCTGCTCCCGCACAACATCTTCTTTAGTCCTTCTTCAGCGGGGTGAATGTCTCGTGTATGCCCTCCTTGTTGATGATCATCATCTGCAGCCCGTCACCAACCTCAATGTGCCTCTCGACCGCGCTCGTGAACGCATCTCGCACCAGATCCTCCACATGGTTCTGCGGCAGTGGCGCTGCCTGCCTTGACTTCAGGTCATGTCCCGTTCCGCTGCCCACCTCGTACTGATTCTTGAAGTTGACCTGGTTGTCCAAAAAGGGCATGATGAGTGATGCCGCCGCACCCGCCGCTCTGCACTGCTCCCTCTCGTAGCTGCCGACCGGGTCGTACGAGTACAACGCTCCCTTGCCCTCCTCATCCAGACCGGCTATAATCGCATGCACGTAGTAGGGGAAGAACCGCTTGTTGTAGAGAATGTGGCTGAGGCGCTGTGCGCACGCGGAGACGGTCATGGGCTTTCCGTGCTGGTACTTGTACATCTTGACAATGGTGTCCAGACGCTCCTTCAGTGCTTCGCCGTCTGCTGCGAAGCCAACCACGGAAAGCACTATCCGAGCACCCTTGTTGTCTGGCCCCTCACCGCCAATCTTGAAGAGCTTGGGTGCGTATCGCGTGTTGATGCTGTAACCGTTGGTAGAGCGGGTGTCGCCAGCAAGGATGGCGAAGTCGGCACCAGAGATACCGAGAGTGGAACCGCCGTTGTCAGTGTAGCTGTGTTTTGTTAGTTTGTATTTGGGTAGGCAGTTTTGGTCATGCATACGGGTAGAAGCCATGTTGCCGTTCGCCTGACGGTGCAGTTGTGGGGGTCTGAGTGAACGAGTAGCCTGGGCCGCCTTGCGGAGGTGCACCGGAGAAGATGGCGGACATTGCGAGCTCGTCGTGAGTTTTTGCAGGCGAACAGAAGCTGGGTTGAAGGTCGGATTGGGGTTCGGGTGGGCTGGGCGGTAAAGTGGCGGTCTTGTTTGCTGGTTGATGATGCTGGAGCTTGAGGTACGCGGTTCAGTTCAGCCTACGTCGCCAAGCCTGGTCCCAGCTTGGAGCTCCAACTGCATCTCGACAGCACCCACCACATTCGACACCCGCCTATACCAAACTCTCTACTCTTCTTGGGGTCCTCTTCAGATCCCTACCGTCTACCAAGGTCCCCTTTCTCTCCGAGGCTTTCCGCAGCTTCAGGCTTCCAGCCGATCATAACATCGCCTTGCATATTACCCCAAACTCGCCATCATGTAAGAGCCGCAATGACATCTAAGGTTTGCAGTCCTGACGGCTATCTAGGGAGGTCCTTCTGGGTATCACGGGCAAGGACTTCACCATCATCGCCGCGTCGAAAGCCGCCATGCGGGGCGCCACCGTCCTCAAAGCCACCGACGACAAGACCCGGGTACTGAACACGCACACGCTGATGGCCTTCTCCGGTGAAGCTGGCGACACGGGTACGGCAAATCCATGACTAGCGGGCGAGGTTCTAGAGGCAGCAGATCGCTGACGACGTCTACAGTCCAATTCGCCGAATACATCCAAGCAAACATCCAGCTGTACTCGATGCGGAACAACATGGAGCTGTCGCCTGCAGCCACCGCCAACTTTGTCCGAGGAGAGTTGGCACGAGCGTTGCGATCACGGAGACCCTACACAGTGAACCTGTTGCTGGGCGGCTACGACACGATTGCAGACAGGCCAACGTTGTACTGGATCGACTACCTAGCGAGCAACGCACCAGTTCCATATGCCGCACATGGATACGCCCAGTGAGTTGCGCACATTTCGAGTTTGCGACAGGCACTTCATAACTCTCGCGCATACGCACAAAGGTCGGACACAGCTAACCTCGTATAACCCAGGTACTACTGCCTCTCTCTGCTCGACAAGCACCACCACCCAGACATCGACTACGAGCAGGGTATGAAGATCCTGCGGATGTGCACAGAGGAGTTGAAGCGCCGTCTTCCAATCGACTTCAAGGGCGTCTACGTCAAGGTGATAACGAAGGATGGCGTCAAGGACGTCGAATACGAGGACGATGTAAAGGTTATGGTGCCGTAGGGCCATACTACGGTAGTTTGAGGCGGGGTACATCGAAATATGGTGACTTGAACATCAAGTCTACTATATCGTCGTAGGCAGCGCGGGGCGGATATGATCAACGCGTCCCAAAGCGCAGGCTACATAACGATTCTGGAATCATGATAGATACGTTATGATTTAACGATAAACTCCTTCAGATGAGAGAGCTCGCTGCTTTTTGAATGATTTCCACTTTTTGTAATGTTAATAGTGATATTGATGCGTGGACTGATCTATTCAGCAAATAGGTAATGCAACTAGACTACAGTATTGAAGGCAGCAAGTCGATTAGGCTAGGCGTATACTAGTCATACTTACAGTACTCAAAGTCTACACAAAGTACACATGTAGTTGTCCAGCTGCTGGAAAATTTTGCTGCACCTTGGTTCCTGGTACTTCAACTAACTGAGAGCAGTTTTCTGTGCTCGAACTGCCATTTTGCTCCTCCGGCTCACATAGGACAGAGTTCGATTTTGTTCTGTCGCTGCAGACTGGATGGCGAATTATAGTTCTGCAGTAATTGGATTAGACAAGGTAAAACTTGGAGTTTATTAATGCTCTGTTACGTCTAAATCATACAGTATTATATTCTTGTATTAGTTAAGGACTTAAGTGTATATTGTAGTTGTTATACACTAAGGTACAAAATCAGGTAATTTACTCCGCAGCTTTGTTAGGTAAAAAACATAGAAAAAAGACTATATTTTATACTATAATATAGTATAAAATATAAGGTAAATTTATATAAACTTAGTATAAAATAACTATAGTTTATTATTAAATAGGTAGGTAAATTTATACCTTATTTTATAATAAGTATATAAAGATATTTATAACTATTATATATTAGATTATACTATAAATAGTATATTTTTTAACTATTATAGCCTAGTAAGTATATTAGTAGAGGTATCTTTATACTATATAAAGTCTTTATTATTAGGTAAAATTCTAAGTACTACTACTATTTTAAGCTTAATTAAGTAGTAACTTTTAATACTACTATTAATATTCTAAAATACTTTACTAGGTAGTTAAAAGATACTAAAGATCTAGTTAAAGCCTATATTTATTACTATTAGTATTTTAATAATAAGTTATTTAACTTACTATATAAATAAATATACTTTTATTTAATAAAAAAGAGATATACTTTTTATAAGAAGCTTTTTTAATACTATTTAAACTTTTCTTTTAACCTATTACCTTTAAAGTTTATTACTAGTAAAGTAATTATAACTACTAAGTTAAGTACTATCTTTATTATAGTTAAAGCTAAAGTAGAATAAGTATAATTACTAAGTTAAGTACTATCCTTATTATAGCTAAAGCTAAAAGAAGAAATATACCTTTTATAAAAAGCTTCTATATAACTATTTAAAACTTTATTATAGTATACTTCCTAAGAAGTATAAACTAGTAATAAAGGGTATTTTTTTTATTAGTAAAGTTAATACTAATATATTTAACCTCTTTATTAGATAGATATATAAAAAAAAGCTATTAAAGAATATACTAATACCTTTCTTTTTAATATATTATATCTTTATTAAATATTAGTTCTACTTTATAGTAAATATACTTTTAACTTTTAAATAGAAAAATACTTTAATAAAAAAAGCTTTTTAAGTACTATTTAGGCTTCTTTTAAAGTATATTATTTAGTAAGTTTAAAGAGATAGCTAATAGTATTATCTTTATTTACTAGGTTAATACTAATATATTTAATATCTTTATTAACTAGATAGAAAGATACTTTAATAAAAAAAGCTTCTTTAGTACTATTTAGGCTTCTTTTAAAGTATACTATTTAGTAAGTTTAAAGAGATAGCTAATAGTATTATCTTTATCTACTAGGTTAATACTAATATATTTAATATCTTTATTAACTAGATATATAAAAAGAAGCTATTAGAATATATATAAGTACCTTTTCTATTTATAAATTATATTTTAATTAAATACTATACCTATATTATAATAGATATACTTTTAGCTATTAAATAAAAAGATACTTTAATAGAAAATATCTTTTAAGTTATATACTAAGCCTTACTTTATTAACTTATAGTAATCTACTTCTTTTAAAGCTTACCTATAAAGAATCCTATACCTTAGTTACTTATAAATAATTAGTATAATAATAATAGATTTAGTAATATTACTAAAAAGTATTCTTTACCTTAGTTACTTATAAATAGTTAGTATATTAATAATAGATTTAGTAGTATTACTAAAAAGTAACTTAGTTTTATATTTTAACTTCTATATAAGTTTTATATATAATAGATTTTTAAAAGTATTAAGCTATAAAATAAAAAGCTAAGAAAAAAGTAAAATATAAAAAGTAAATATTAACTAAGATTTAATAAACTAAATATAAAAAAAGAAATCTTAGAAAGGTAAAATATAATAGTTTCTAGCCTTAATATACTAGTAGTTTTTAAAAATATAGTTAAGCTAAAGCTAGTAATTATTATTTCTAAAGTACTACTATAGCTAAGTTAATAAGAGTATACTATAAGCTCTTTTATTAAAGTACTACTATAACTAAGTTAATAAGAGTATACTATAAGCTTTTCTATTAAAGTACTACTATAGCTAGGTTATTATTTTAGTAATAGCTCTATATTAAAGATATCTAGCCCTAGTACACTTAGTAAAAGTTAGCTTTTTAGTATAACTAATTTATATACTAATATAGTAGTAAAACCTACTACTCCTAAAAGTAACTAGCTTATATACTAATATAGTAGTAGAACCTACTACTCCTAGGTATAGCTCTTATATTAATATTATAAAGATTACTACTAAGCCTACTTTAAAGACTACTATAGCTAAGTTATTATTTTAGTAATAGCTCTATATTAGAGATATCTAGATCTAGTACCTAAATAGTAAAGATAGTATT